TTAATCTCTTCAAATGCTTCTGAGGAATAGTCTTTCAAATTGAATTCATGATCTTTTAAGTTCTTCAGGATATTAATTATCTTCTTAATTTACTCCTTCTCCTTTTGATCTTAATTCTTAAATGATTAGAGATATGCCACACAGTCTTTGATTTATTCCTTCTTGAGCATATCTAAAAGTTTCTTGTATATTGATGATGAGTCATCATCATCAATAATTATCTAATTAGCATTCGATAAAATTTGTAAGAGATCCTCCTATCTCTCAAATACCTCCTGCTCTTCCTGTACTACTACTTCCACCTTCTATTATTACAAACATCTATAAATATATTAATTAAAAACTTCTTTTTTACCTAAATGATTTGGTCTCATCAGGAGTGATATTGATTATCACTTCTATCTTCACTTTCGGAGCATCCGGTAATTTTACAAGTTCAGTACTTGTTCTTTGGTCCTTCTTCTATTCAGGGGCTGGCTTTAAATACATTTACTCGTAAATGGAGTCAATGTAGCCATTGATTCGATGGTATGATTCCTAAGATGGTAAAAAATTGTTACATCTATATATTGATCAAAGGTTTGGATGCTCTTTTAGCTCTTCTTAATTCTGTTCCTAAAAGGAAACAGATTCCCTTTCTTAAAAGGAAAATATTTAAACTAATGATTTGAAGAAATAATCTTCTATTAAGTTTTATATGTAGAATTTAGATCTATATAGATTAATATCAATTATTTTTTCAAAGTATTCTTATAATTTAAAGAATATGTCTTTTGCCTCTAAATACAGTACAGTTTAAGTTGACATATATAAAAATATGATGTTACCTAATTTTATTTAGAATATTTTTTAGTTGTGCTCACAGAAGAATTAGCTTCACAAATGGAATTTTCAAATATGATCTAAGAAAAGGAATAAGGTTAGGAGCTTATGAGGCAGTGCATTTGATAGGGTTTCCTCTAATTTTTACTAGCCATAAAAGCATTTTGAGGAATCTCTATAATAAGTCACAATATAGATACAAGTTCATTTTAATCATAGAGTCCTTTTTGTTCGGTATTATTATGGTAATGAGGTATGATGTAGTCTCAGGTCATTTATTAATGCTTAATAATTCTTTTTGATCCTAAGTGCCATAGCAATTAATTGCATATAATTTAATTGGTATACCATTAATTTTTCTTCTATATCTAATTGTAAAATGTGCAATTTTTTGGCTATCTTCCTTTGAATAGTATGATATAACTATATGCATTTTATTTAAAGATAGCTTTCGTTAAGGAGAAAAGCAATCTAGATGTAAAATGATTTCAATATTATTTCATTTAGTAAATTATCAAAAATGAAGTTTGACAGGTGTCTTACTCTATTATCATTATTTCATTACATTTTGATAGCTAGAGCACTTTATTTTTAAATGGTCTTCGAATTCTAGAGTCAAATAAAATGAGGAAAACTTCTTAGATTTAGTAGAGAAAAATAAAAGTTTTAAATGTTTTAATTTTATCACCTATGTTTTTATAAATGTTAATTTAATAGTCTATATATTTTATTTCAAAAAACTTAGGATTTATACTCAGCTGTGGGTATTAATAGATGTTTTCAGGTCCATGTTTAATTCTATTGGTGGCAGTTTGGGCTATCAAATTATGATGCTCATTTGAATTTTTCTTCATTTTTCCTGTAATATCTTTTTCGGCTTTGGGATATAATATTAAAAAGTCGATAAAGTTGCCTTCTAAACTATTTTAGATTCTTGTTTTGAGTATATTTAATTAACTATATTATTTTAACTACCAATATAAACACTAAAGTATTTTAATTAAACCTTCCATACTAGAGCAGAAACATTATGTCTAACCAAGGTCATCAAAGGATTTCTTCTCTCAAGAAAATATTTGTATTTTTATTCTTATTCATTCCAGTGGGCTTCTTAAGCAATAATCATTTAGAAGCAATAAAATCTTTTTATTACTTCTAAGAATATCCTAAAGGATTCTTTTCGAATGTTAAAAGATTTAAAGATAATCATTTATCATTTCAGCCTTATTTCATATCGATTTCTTTAACTGGACAATTGACTAGGACTAGCAAGGTCCTAAATTAAATACTTTTTTTATTGTTTAATTAAAAAGCGCTCTCTGAAGGTAGACTTTGGCATAATTAGAATTGGGAATGGTTGATAACTTTTGCTTTCTTCATTTGGAGACTATCATGTTATAAATGATTTTCTATTTGAAGCAGGTTGGAGTTGGGCTTAAATTACTTTCACATGGATGTTAATGTAACTTGAATGTGAATTAAGAATTAAAAAAATAAATGAAAAAGTAAAAAATTTTAAATCAATTAATTAAAAATAATACAATTTTCCTCTTTTTATTGAGGTAGAAATAATGTCCATGTAATCTTTTTTAAGTAGATTTCTTTGTTTAAAGTTTATATTTAAACAAAGGTAAGCAGCTTATTATTAAAGCTAAAGCTGTAAATCGATTATTATTTAGAAATATAAAGAATGTTTATGTAAAAATATCATCACCAACTAAATAAATCTATTATATTCTTTATTTGACTTAAGCCGAAAAAAAAGTTTTATTTGCAAAAAAAATTGAGATTTAATTATTTAAGAACTTAACATGTAATTGCAACTATATAAATAAATAGATTCTTTTGTTAATTCTAAATTTATTAAGCACTTTGACTACTTTATCCCTCTTTATGATTTTATTTGAAAAATATCATATTAACTAGATAATTTGATTAGGAATATTTTTAATAGGACCATATGATTTTTTGTGTAATTATTATTAACAACCATTTTTCATGTTGATGACTAATTTCTAAGAGTTATTTTTTATCTCATCCACTTTGATTAAAAAAAGCATTTGAAAAGACACCTGACTTTAATATTTATATTCCACTTTTTCGAAAATCTTGTAAGAATTATTATGATGATTGGGTCATTTTGTACTTTAAGTTAACAATTCCTCAACTAGTGAGAAAAAAAGGTAACTAACATTTGTTTTTAGATTTGTAATATTTTCTGATCAAGAACCCAGTAATCAATCAACAGTTCGATAAAATGTAAGTTTTTATCAAATAGTTTGTATTCGATTTAAAAGATTTAAGATGATATTTTAATTTTCATCATATATGAGATAGATAAAATATTATTTAAGTAGAAAAAGCAAAAAAAAAAATTTTAGTTTTATAATTCTAGTTCAAATTCTGTTCTTTATTTTACTTATCGTTTTACCCTTTCCTATGCTCAAATTATTGTAAATCAAATTATGGACTTTCTATTAGAAATCAAACTTTCCATTCTAATTTTTGGCTAACCTATTTATATTTCTCATATAATTATTATTCAAGTATCAAATCTCACCCATAGCATTAGCTTATTTTTTTTAACCTTAATAGACTTATATTTTCTTTTCATTTCTCTACCAAAATTTTAATTTTTAAAGGTTTTCTGTAATTAGAAGTCATTTTATAAATCTTTTAATTAATAAGATTTTTGGAGGCTTCAAATTAAGTTAAGATTAAGTAAAATTAATAAGCTCTTCCTTAAAAAGGGTCTTTCCTAAATTTTTAATTTTAATTTATTATTTTTAATTAATTTTTAATTCTATATAATTATGTTTTGAAATATACTCTATCATTTCTCATCAATTTTAAGAGCCAGAAGATGTAATTAGATTTATGAGAGAAATATATTTTTAAAGCCACTTTGGTGAAATCTTAAAACTTTCATCAGTAAAGATATACAACTAATTATAATAAATGCTAAATTTATTTATCATCATTAATTTATTTCTTGACAAAAATTTATCAACTTTAAATTTATTCTAAATGAATGTTTGTTAATAAAATATTAACATTGATCAATATCATAAATCATCTCAAAGTATCTAAGATTCTTGTCTTTAAGTCTATATTCTCCAAAATTAGTTCTCTTGTTCTTCATCAGGCCTAGAACAAATTCTGGAATGATTTCCAAAAGTTGAAAATTAACTTTATCTTCTATTGTGGTCAGAATATTTTAAGGATCTTCCCTTCAAAGAGTATTATAAAATCATTTAATGTAGCTAATGACTATTTTCTCTTTGTTGTTATTATTCTTACTTAAACCTAACAAATTGAAATATTTTCTTTACTTTCTAACTTTTAAATTTTCCCTTGCTAGAGATAATAAGTATTCTTTTAAAATTCTAAATCTTTTTTAAATTCTTGTAAATTTACTTTAACTTGTTTCAAAGATTTTCTAAATTTTAGGTTTAGACCGAAGCTTAAGTGGAAGATAGGTGAATAATTTTTATTTGATGCAATCTATTTTATCAAAAATTCTTTTAAAGTATGCTAAAATTATAGAAACAATTAATTTAGTGATGTAATAACTATTGAGGCCTCCAATAATAACATAAAAAGGCCAAGTTATTTCATTAAGATTTTACTACTAAGCAGAATGAATAGAACATGCTAAGACGATTGAAATGGCACAAATAATGATTGATTGTTAATCTAAGATATTCAATTATTTAGTCATATAAGGATTAATTGATTTGGCAAAGTGACTATAAGAAAATAACAAAAGAAAAATTAAAGATGCTTTGATAGTAATTTAATCATCATAATAAATTCGAGACAATATTATTAGCTCCTTTTAAATTATTTTAATTGTTTCCCAAAAATAGGCTTTTTTGATATACTCATGATATAGATATCCCCAAGTCTTACGAGTGGTTGTTTTGTCAAGTTTTTGCCTATTTTTATAAACTCCATACCAAAGAATAGTTGGAATTGTAATGCATAATATGATTAACAAAGGAATATCAAAAGCAATAATCCATTTGAGATGAGAAGATGTATCATATCTGTAAGACACATTGCTTGAAATCCAAAATTCATCTGAAATTTTTCTATATGATAACAAAGAAATAAGTTGTCCAATTAAATTTGGTTGGAAATAGATAAACAAATAAATTAGTGAGATAGTAATAAATGAAAAATCATGGTGAATTATTTTAAGTGCAATTGCTAAAGCACCTAATCCAATAAATATTAGAATATATGATAACGCCATGATTAAACTCCAGATAACTCTGAAATATATAATTAATATATCAGTAATTGAAACTAAGTAGCAATCAAGAGAAAAGGCCATAGATTCAATAGGATTAGCACAACTATTAATAATAGCTGATAATCCAGGTGGTAATTCTAATTAAAATGTAAAGAGAGTAGAAATTATTTATAAGTAGTTGGTCAAAACTTTTATTAGTATTGCAGTTGATATTTGTTTGATTGGAAATTTAACCCCAAATAATCTTAATCTTAGCCCAGCTATAAATTCTGTAACCATTTCTGAAGTACTGCTCACAGAAATTAAAGTAGACAATAATGTCCATAAGATTACAAAAGTGATCGAAAGTATATTATAAATAGTTATGTTACAATTTAAACATTAATAAGCGGAACTTAAATAGAATGACCCTTAACCTCTTGTATTATAGAGATCACACTATTCACACAACGCGCCAATATGTCCTACTATACAAGATTTATCTCCTGGTTTCCATCCACCTTAACAATTTTTAGGGAAGTGATAGCAATATTCAATATTTTAACTATAGTTATAGGCTCTCCAATAATATTATCTTAATTCAATCATTGAAGATTCTATCAGTCTAATTTTCGTATCGTCTTTGTAACTGCAATTTAGGGCTTTTCTAGTTACTTAATATTAATTTTGAAATTTATCACAAATCATACACCCTCCAGTTGTCTAATTTAGAAACTCACCTAATTGACATTAGAATGTTCTGATGTCTACAAGTAACTTGTAATTATTATTCTAAGACTGAATAACATATGGTGGATCCTTATTATAAAATGGTACTGATATTTCATTGCACTCAATTGAAATCCGAAGAACCAAGTCCTAATCATAATTTGGATTCCAATAGATGACTAAATCATCTAAATTATAATCTCCAGTGTTGTTATCAAAAAAAGCATGATATTTCGATAGACTATATGTAACGTATGTAGCTTCTGATTATGAAGTTAAATTAAATGCCATAGGTTTTAATGTGCAACTTGAATCATATAAACCTTTATTTTGATTGTTGAATTTATCTAAAGCTATGATTCTAAATGTTAAATTGTAAGGGATAAAAGAGTATGTGTACTCATCAAAATATTGATATGATTAAATACTTCTTCCTGATGGAAGAGTCAATTAATTTACTTTAGATTGATACCCTAAAATCTTATAAGGAATGATTCTTATTTATTCAATTATTTCATCCTTGTTTTTTTTTATAAATTTCTTTTCTAATAGAGTCTTACCTCCATCAATTGATATTGTCAATGAGCGTGGCTTCTCAAAAATATTTTATTCATATTAAGTTGAATTATTGTCTGCAAACTCAATTTCTAATTCTTTAGTTAATTGAAGAGATTAATTATTAAAAAACACTGCACCAGCTATTGAGGCTCGATTATTAAAAAATTTAGTTCTGAAAAAATACAATTATTTCTATTTGGAAAAAAAATAAATAGCCCCTCCAATTTAAGCAAAATTATTGTAGAACTAGCTGTTTTTAATAAAAACATCGATTTCTTAGATAAATAAAGATCCTCCAAAATGTGCAGAGTTATTTGAAAATATACAATTAGAAATAATTGTTAAGTAATCTAAGTTAAAATTAATATCATCAAGCTTTTTATATTATAATAGGCGATCACTTTAGAATAGTTCATTATGAAATAACAAATCATCCTAATTTTTCAAGATTGATAAACATCCTATTAGTCCACAAATGCAATTTTAAATTATTATTGATTAAAATTACAAAGATTCAGATTTTGATATTTAAATATCTACAATTTAAAATAATCCATATATGCAATTATTACAATTTACATCCTACATAAATAAATCATTCACAATAACTTAATGAGCATTATCAATTTATTTTATTGTTATTAAACTAAAATTAAAAGGTTGATCTTAAAATATTAAAAACTAGTTGCAAAGTAACTAATTTTTTATCAAATGGATATTATCTATTATTTGTGCTGACCATGATTTGGTAGGTAATGATAATGGACATTCTAGAACTGAGCTTTTGACCGATTCAATTTCTTAACATTCTCCTTCCTTGATTGGTTTTTTAAATTAGTCTATATTTAAAAGATAAAGATTTTGGATTATAATTTTTCCAAAAAATTCTAAATTAATAAATATATTTACTTTCCTTCAAATTTAACTCAATCAGAGGAGATTAATAATATGTACTATTTTGTATTGTTACATTTGATAAGTAAATATTATAGGCTTATTTAATTTAAATTAGAAATTGAAACTGGGTTGACATGAAGGAACAATTAAGAATAGTAATAAATCCATTTTAAATAAAAATTTAAGGATTTTAATGAGCGATGTTGTATGCTTCATTTTCAGTTAATCCATTAATTTATTGAATAAATCTATTAAAACCTAATTCTGTTGAATAGAAATTTATATTTTAAATCTTTATTTAAGTGTCTATCGATTCTAGTTTTATAGTTTTATAAGAAAAAATAGAATTTTACAAAGAAAAACAATTAATTATGATTAATTGTTCTAATACTATCGAATTTTAGCTTTCGGATGGAATTATATAAATTGCTCCTCCGTCATTTCTACTATATGATTTTTCTATTGTTGTATTTCTTAAGATAAACTATAATTAGGAAGCAGATCCATCAATGTATAAACATCCACCAATAGAAAATATTGAAACATGTGATAAAGTATTTGTATTTGAAAAATGTGAGTTAATAATTAATATTGAGCTTTTCCCTTAAGTAACAATATGGAATCCTCCTCCAGCTGTAGCATAAGATTGATTAATAAATATCTTATCAATAATTATTGACTATGCAATAATCATACCGTTTCCGCTTAATGCTTTGATAGGAAATAAGTCTTAAAATTTGATGGAACTCAAGTCTTAAACTTCAGAATACAAAAGATAATGACTTAAAGAAGAATAATTAATAACATTGTTCTTTGTAAATGTGCATTCACGGATTTCTAATTTAGCAGATTTGATGTATAATATAGAATCGCTTGAGTTAGTGATAATATTTTAAACAAAATGAGAAGCTTATATTAGGACCCATCCTTAATATAATTAAATAAAAGCTGTAGTCGCTGAAATTCTTGAAGAATCCTAATAATATTCATTTAAATGATTTTCAGTGTAGTTTAACATTAATAGAGTTATTGAACAATTTTATTAAGAGATTATTGATAGCAAACCTGTTTGTTTATTGGAATCAGTAATTAATAATAAATTTGAATAAAATTTAACATTGATTATAGTAATAACTTCTGAAATTAATCTTTGCATTAAGTCATATCCTTAAAGTATAATGAAGGGATTATTAAAGCTTAAGCTATTTTATAAATGTAAATTATTTATATTGACTGTTTAATAAAACCCTATATATAAGAAAAAATGCATGTCTTTAAAAGCAAACTTTTTTATACAATCTAAAGAATTATGTAAGGGTTTGGTTTGGTATATTAAATTTGAGGAGATGCTACAATTACTAATGTTTATAAATTCTGAATAAAGAAAAGTCATCTCAGGTAATCCATGTCCTCTCAATAAATTAATACTTTCTAAATAACACAATTAGCACTCACAATATATGATAGAAGAGGAATAAGAAATTTCTTACTATTATATTTAAGAAGTTAGTAGACTGTTCATAATTGAAAAATCAACTAAACGAAAAGATAATTAATCTATTTCATTATACTTTATTATTTTAATAATTTGTTGTTTATCATCATAAAGAGTATTTAATATCAGATAATTTTCTATAAATGCTTTAGAGCTAGATTCTAGGGCGGATTCATATTTTGAATATTCAACTTGGTTATTAATTAAATTACTATTCATTATATAAGTATTATTGATTATTCCATGTTTAAGATTTATAACATTCGAGGAATAAAAATTTGAATGTTAAGTTATTCTCGAATTGAATAAAGTTAAATTAGAAATTAATGATTACTAAAAACAGCATAAAAGAAGTATGGATGAATTTTATAGTATTTGAACATTTAAAAGCATTATTTATTTAATCCATAAATTACCAGTAGTATAATTTAAAAGTCCATAACTATGAATGAAATTTGATTAAGAAAATATTGTATCTTATATTGAGGTTTAGTTAAAAAATGTATCAAATAGCAAAATATTCATTTTAGCTTGATATCTAAATAATGTGGAGTTAAAGAAATTGGAATCCAGAATTTTCAAATTATTTATCTAGATATTATTCTTTTTAGAATTCTCAATAGACATAAAAGTAAATATATCAGATGATGAAACAAAAAAGTTAATGATCGTTAAATTCTCAATTAAAAGTGAATAAGGGATATTAGTTCTTATCATTAAAGAGATATTCCTATATTCATTATATGGCATTGTAAATATAATATTCTCCAAATTTAATATCAATTACAATTTTAAATTAAAAAGTGTAATAAAAAATCCATTGTTTGATCCTTAAATAAAATTAAATTTAATGTTCTTAAAAGTTATTTTAGTAAAATTACTAAGGGTTAATTCATTGTAGAATGTTACAATCGTTGGGTTAGTTTAGCCTTATATAATTATATCAATCTACTGAAGTGTAAATATATTTTATTGTAAAAGTGAATATATATTTAAATTTTCTTCTATATAGCATTCAGGTTCATTGCCTTATACGAGAGTAAATTAAAATTCTGCATGTCTTACTTAGGCTTCATTTAAATAATCATAAAGCATCTTAGTTTCAAACAAATTAAGATATTCATAATCATAAAATTAACTTATTAGAATGTTTTTTTATTCAAATAAATCATCATGGGAATCACTACGGAACTATAAATATTATGATATATCACAATAGATATTCTGCTCTATTATATATTTATGATAACATTATGTATTTGATGTGCAAACAGTTATTGTTTAAGTTAAAAAATCAACATAATAGTTATCCTATTTTTTAGATTTTTCATAACATTTTCTGGTGTATCTTAAATTTTCATTAGTTAATATATAATATGGATTAATATCTGTTATTTCCTTCTAATTTCTTTCTACACAAGCAATACAATTAGAAGGACATTAAATACACGTTCCATTTGTATTTTTACTTTTGAGAAATCCAAAATCTGTTTCTTAGCATTGAATGCATGTAGCTTGTCCATTTATTATTTCACAGTTATTACAATTTTCTTCACAACCTTTAATACATTTTTATTCAAAGAGGATATATGATAATTAACATGATGTACAAATAACCTCTAAATCAGATTATGAATTAGATTATCTATAATCTTCAAATGATTTATCATTATTAAAATTAATGACTGCTTTATAAAATGCTTTTGTGTTCCATTTCCAATAATCCTTATAACTGCTATTTTATTATATACAAGTTTTGCAATTATTGATGCATAATTAACATTGCCCAGTTAATAATCCAGAGTAATATCCATCATCACATTATATACAATATGATTCATTTGCAATATAATGATGAATACATTATTGGCAATTATTAAGAGATGAACAAGAAGTTACTTATACAGCATCATTATTTTTCAGGCTAATTATACATTATTATTTTGAAGTTGAATCTAAAATAACTGCAAATTCACAATTATTATTATTTAATTTTAATTCACATTTTTAAGTACTTTGGTTATAATTATAATTTTAATTACATAGTGCACATCCAAAATTAACTTAATTTGAATTAAAATTGTATATATTGAAATTAATATCTAATGTTGTATAATATTATCCTGAAATAATAACATATTAGAAACAATATCTACAATTTTCAATATTACATTCTATACAATTTCTTCCATCGATTGATAAATAATATTTCGAAGGATCTCCGATACAAAAGTTGCAATATCCTTTAGAGTCACAACTATCGCAATTTATACCACAGGATACACACTCATTGTTTTATAGTATTTAATTATCTTAGCAATGACTGCACCACAAAAAATCATTGTGTGTAAAGCATCTTTTGCAATTAGGGCATTTCAAACATTAATTCTCTTTACCAAGATAGCAATCATCATAACATATTCCACATGAATATGAATTTTCACAAAAAAAACAATCCTTAATGCAAGGTTTACATTAATCAACATTGAAATAATACCCTTCTTTACATAATTAATATCCTATGCATCCAATACATAATTTTGTTACATATGTTGCATCATCTTAGATTATCATTTCATAATAACTTAGATTTTTATTATCTCTTTAAACTACCTAATAAGAATATTTAGAATTAGAGTAATATGTTTATGCATCCTAAGTACAAGTTAATGATTATCCAAAAGTAAGAGGTTAAGTATAACAATCGAAACAACTTATATGAATTCCTGATATAAACTAACTAAACTCTGGACTAATATATATTACAATATAATTACCATTAAATACATTAATTTAAAAATAAAAAATATCCAAATTTGCATTCTACATTTAACCCATCACATCTACTATAACCTTCCATATTGCAATCCAATTAAATTTCTTATTTTGTAAGATATGGAAACATCTAATTTACTGATAAGCATTCTTATTGCCCATTAATATCAACGTACCCTTCTTCACAATTACAAGTCTTTCCAGTTCTCGAAAATAATCTATGACTATTTTCATGGCAACTTAAACAATTTATTGATGTAGGCCCATCACACTCTAAACATGAATAATCACAATTCATAACTATTGAAGTTGCAAAAGGATTACAATATAAAATGAATAATATATCACTAAAATAACCCTAAAAAAATGATTTTGCATAATTATCCCCTCCAATAAAAAGAAAGTATGTTACTCCTGTAAAGTGTTTAATTGGTTTATTCCAAACATATTTTTAGTATTAATTAATAGAAGGAAAATATAGAGTAAACAATGGTTAACCATTATTATTTAAAGTTCCAATTTCATATTAAAAGTAATGCCAAATAACAAACAGAGTTGAATATTGATCACCATATTCTGAAATTTTGTCATCATCCTCTGTATTATATCTTGTTTTAACTGGAAATGTATAACTATATGTTGAAATTTCAAATCCATTTTCTCCAGGAATACTACTCTGAAAATATTTTAATAAGACATCTCTATCACCAATATATATATCATCATTATAATTATAATTAATACTTATCCTGAATATAATGGTTTCTAACATATTTACATTTTGCAAATCAAGTTTAATCCATCCTTAGATTAAATATATTGGTTTATTAAGCGGTGAAGTTGTGATCCTTATAAAATCTTATCCATTCATTTTCTAATTTTTCTCACTTACTCTATATTCTTCAATTTAGCAAGTATCATAATTCAAAAATTCATCTACGCATTAATCTAAATCAAATAATATGTTCTAATTATCTGACGTAAACAAATTTGACATCATTCCAAAAAACTAACTTAATTAAACTAGAACTCCATTTAGATTTTAATATGCATATATTCCACCAATATTGTGTCTAATTTTACCTTAAAATGTAGGCACATCATGTATTAAATGTATTTTTAATGGTTCCATACTATTATAGAGTCCAAAAGTAGTTTTTTAAGATAGTTAATCATAATAAACATAAACCATAATCCATAATCCCTCAATTAGTGAACTGCTTATATTAAATTATATAACATTTGTTGTTTATGTAAAGGAATAGTAAATATTATATTGAAAGCTTTATTCAATGTAATCAATTACGATAGAGACAACTAAAATCTAAATACCATTTTCTTTTTATTTCATTGAATAAATAAACTAACCACCTTCAGATATTATTGATCTATTTATAGTTACATTTATTTACGACTCTCTGTTTCCTAAAAATATAAAAAAAATTATGATACTTAAGTCTAAAATATCTGCAAAAGGTTGATACTTTGTCCAAATACCATAACCTATGTTTTATTGGTTTTGAATAACCTAATCTGGCAAATCTAAGTCGATTTAAATATTTGGCTAGTTTGGATATAATAAAGGGCCGTAAGGCATAAATTTGCATTAACAATTGATTTCTCTATAATAAGGTTGTTGAGTACCGTAAGAACAAAAGAAATGATAAAATTTCAAATATAGATTTGAACATTAAACAAAAGAAATATAATAATTAAAGATCAAATATAATATTATCACTTCAAATTTCTAATAAATTAATTTTGCCTTGAGTTTTAATCTAAGTACATAGACCAAAGTTCATAAACATGAAATTAATAAAAATATCAAATCATGATTGATGAAATGCTTCATTATTATTTCAAAATTGTTTTTTGATTTAATAATTAAAAACTTATAACTTAGATAGGTAAATTCTCTCTTTAATTTTCTAAGTTAATATCAAATTTATAGAGTAGCAAAACTGAAAATGCAAGCATAAGTAAAAGTATAATTAATCACAATTATTAATATTCCTAGTTGAGATTAAAAAAATTGTTAAAATCATCTAATCAAGAACATTTATATCAAAATAATTTATCAATTTTGGTTATAAAAAGTAATCAATCTTTGAATTTCCAAAAAGCAGAGATTTTAATATATATATTTGGAGAATAAAATAATATATGAGAAATAACTAAATAAATATATATGTTTAAAAACTATCAATTCTCAATAAAATTTTAATTAATGTTTATATCTGAGCATAATCTCAAAATAAATTTTTTTTCAATTCAAAATAGAATTGCATTTCGTTAATTAGTTGCTCAAATTATAAATTGTTTCTTTAATGAAATTCCTGTAATCCTATTCTAATAAATATGAATTCAAACATATTTCTTCGAAAAGTAAGATCATAAAGAAAAAATATATTCATCTTGATCAAGAATGTGGTGTATTGACACATGTTTTATTAAGAATCAGAAATATAAATATACAAAGAAAGTGTGCTTTTTAACTGATATTTTCAATAAGAATAAATAAAATTATACTTGAAAATTTCAACATTTTTTTTTATTTTAATTTAATATTAAATGACTCTATGTACAATAGTGTTGTAGATTAATGTAGGTTTATATATTCTCAAATATTTTTTAATTCTTATATTGAAATACAAATTTAGATATGATTCTAATCATTCTTGCTAGTTTTACTCTATTGAGTGTATGCAAACATTGTTCCTCATTTCCTTACGATTACACTAAAATTGTTGCAAAGGAAAATGAAAAAATAGTTTAAGATTTAGGAGATTACTTTGGCAAAACTAAATATAAAGATGTAGTCACATTAAGAGATGAAAATCATAAACTATCTTTATTGAATCCAATATAACTAATAAATACAATGGAAATGCCTCCAAATTGTAAAATATGTTTTTGATATTTTATTAGTCAATAAGATAATATCGTATTCTGTATTAACTTCTTCAGAATTTGAGTGGCTTAATAAATATTAATTATTGGCTATAAATAAAGATGATGATATAATTCTGATTTGGACAGAACATTTTGTAGCTGGTACTCAAGGAAGGTTACCAAACTTTGACTCTAATAAAATTATTGGAAATATCAATTAAGTAAAATGTTAATCATCAGTTATTTTGGATGCAAAACACCTATTAATAGATTGTTATTAAATCGATACTGGAAACTTAAATAATCAATTTTATTTAATCAATTAAGATTAAGAAGAAATAATTAAGATAGAAAATACTTATCCTTTATTAACAGATTAAAAGAGATACATACTTAGCACAAATAATTATATTTATAGAATTACAACTTACTCAACCGATAATCCATCATATATTGAGATATTCACATATGATTTATTAAGCAATCAAATATAAAGGATAAAAATTATTGATCAAGAATTAATTTTAAATTATGTAACATTTCGTGAATACTCGTTTGAAATAGTTGAAGTAAAAGTAGGACCATAAGATCAAATCCTTATTTTGGATTCAATAGGTAATCTATTTTAAATGAAGTATCTTATTGATAAAGACAGTTGGGAATTTTCATTTTTAGTAATGAGATTGGGTAATTCAATATCATTTGATTATTCCTTTAAATATAAAAGGATGGCAGTATTACAACCTTTTAAAATTATTTATGGAATATTTCTTACAGAATATAACTCAATTGAAGATTTGTCATAATCAAGAATACATATTACTAACAATTTTTTATATTTAGTGTCGTCAACTAAAATAATCTCATTTCTTTTAGACATTTTTCAACCCATATATTAAACAACAGGTGATTTCAGTCATTTGTTAACTGATTATACGCAAAATGATTTCTTAGCATTTAGTAATACAAATATAAAACATTATTTAAGTGGATCAGAATATAAAATTTAATATTTAAATAATCAACCTGAATTAAAAGGAACAGCAATATTAAATCATAACTAATGCTAAGTGACAATTGAATATTAGACAGTAGCTCGTGATTCAAAAGAACTTATCTTGGTTTCTAAAGGAAATATTATTGAAACTCCTTTTCTTTCAGATACTATTTATTTACAATATACTTTGCCAAATAGTATTAACAAATTAGTTGATGGTCCCACATAATCATTATCCTTTTAAAAAGTAGATAATAATAATCTAGAATAAAGTGGTAATGTAAGTTATATAGGAGTGACTGGAGACTTGAAAACAGTATATGAAAATGAAAATTTAAGTTTGAAAAACCTAATATTTACATAAACTATTTCAATGTTAAATTCTAATGATAATAACTACCTCATCATAACTTAGAATCAAGAAAAGTTATTAAAGATTTATAGGTGTTACATATACATCGCTTAAGCTTGTACTTAAAGTTATGAAACATTATTAACATTTAAAATAACCACTGAAAACACAGCTATATAATATGAAGATTAAGCTCTCAAATTTATAACTTTATTGGACAAGAACAACTTATTTTATTATTAATTCTTCTAAGGGGAATACTTTAATAAAACTATCACACTAACTGATCAAGATCCAATTGATGAGATTGATAATATTTATACTAACTATAAATATTTTATAGCCTATTCTAAAACAAAGAAAATAATTGGAGTTTACGAGTTTAAAAATGTTATCTTTTTATATTCAATAACTTTGGATTAAATGAAGAAATTTGGAATATCTGATTGGAATCCTTAAAGACTATTTTGTAATAATTATAAGGAAATCCTATTTCTAATTAATGGTCAACAATAAAACGAAGTTTTTATATTGACTTTGAATCTTAATTATTTTACTTTAGATTATGTTATGAAAATAAATGAATCAAAAGATATTAGAATAATTACATTCGTCGAAAGATTCGCTATTCTTTAATAATATGAAAATGGAATTATAAGTTTTGATGTCTTCAATATGAAGGAAATTACAAATATTTATTTTGAGAAAACACCTACATTTTATGATTACAAAATTTAAGATTTGAATTCCATCTATTGGGTATCATCCAAAAATCTATTGCACTCTAAAGCCTAATTAGAAAATAAATAATATCTATTAACCTACATGATTGAATAAACAGATCATAATTCATTATATACTGTTTAAGTATTAAATGAAACAAATTAATATATTACAGTTGATCAAGACAGAATATTCTAATTCAATTAGGATGTCATTTAAATATATTGGATTCAAAGAAAACCAAATTTGGTATATTATGTGAATTTCAAAGATGAAACATTTATAAGTAATGTTAAATATTAAATTATATATAAAAATGGATAAGAATTATAAGTTAATCAAAACTTTAGACTTGTAAATACTTATATAGAATTAAAAGCGTATCCAGATAAAATAAATATTACTACTAATCTATCAACAAAAGTGTAAAACAATAATATTTAAAATATGGGAAGAGCTTGGTATTTTGGTGAGGTTAGTAAATTTGATTTAGAGTCTCCTGATATTAAAGGTTAAAAAATTGAAATTATAGATCCTATTGAATAATTAATAGAGTACTATTAAAATAACACAATTAGTATAGCTGATTTGGATAATAATCATGTTTTTGTTTTAAAAAGTGATAGTTTTTTAATTGTAAGTAAAAAATCCAATTAAGTTGTTGCTCAAAAAAGCATCACATAAGGATATGATTGCAAAAATATATTAGCTTCATTTTAATCTAAAATTTTAATTATGTGCACATAAGAAAAAAAATAGTTCATAAATGGAATTTAATGTGTAGAAGCTGAATGTAAGGTAGGGGATACTTGGTTATAAATTGACGATGATATTATTTTTGGATAAATGGATGAAGATAATATATATATTGTTTAAAAGTAGAGTATTTTAGTTTATTCAAACTAAATTTTAGATATATTACATGCAAAGAATTATGGTTTGATTACATTTGAAGATTTTGAATATTTCTAGTAAGGATTAGCTATAAAAAAAATATAAACAAATCTTTATCATATTTATTGCACAGATTTAAACTAAAATTTTATTATATTGGAATACATAATTAAAGATGAAAAATTAGTTAGAATTAATAAAATAAATTACAGTCTATATGATTTATTAAATAATGAGTTTTATCTTTTACCCTCAGCTGAATTGAATTTAATAAAGGTTATTAATTTACAGAATTAAGGTGCTATCTTTTAGATTGATTATATAATATTTGCTACAGTTGGTCCTCACTATGGAATTAGAATGGAATTTAATTGTAAATCTGACTCATGTACTCTATCATCTTAAAAGATAATATATATCTTATAGGGTTATGGAGAAAGTAAAGTTGACAGTTTGATTTTACCAAAAGTAATAATAAAATAAAAATATGTTTCAATTGTGTATCAATTTAATAATCCTGGCCATAAATCTTATACTTAAGCTATATATGAAATTCCTGAAAAAGAATCTACAAATTCTGCTGTTTACTTTTATGCAGCAATACAAGATGTTTCATACGCTTATTATTTAAATTTTTAAACAGAATTGTACACCTTTGCAAATGAGGTAATTATTTAGAAAATAATTTTAGTTATATTTAATTAGTAATTTGAAATAATATGGTTAATTAAGATTATACAAAGTTAATCAATCTCCAAAATTATTGATTGATGGGAATATTAGTGAAGCCAAAGTTACTATCTCATTGAAAAATGATTATGTAATAAGAAATTTATATCTTGACATTACAGCATCTGATGATCCAGGTTAATCTGATAATAATGGTCATACAATACTATGGGTTATTTTAGGAATAGTAGGAGGATTAATAGTTTTAGGAGTTGGATTTTGGTGTTGTAAAAAGAAAAAGTCTAAGAATGAGCCTCTGTTATGAATTATTATTATTTCATGATTTAAAAAATAAAAATCATTATATATAAATTATATCAATCAAATTAATATGAATTAATAAATATAATATAGATTTTATTAAATTTGTAAATTAATAAATTCTAATTATTGTATTATATTTATGTTATTCATTATTACTAATTAAATCTAAATTAATTATTTTAATATACAATATTGTAAATTTATAGTACTTTATGTTTATACTAAAAAACAATTTAATTAGCATAAATGATTCATTATTCAACATATTTCCTAATTTTGATTAAATTGGACTTATTATCCCAACTTACCAAATATTCTCCATTATTGCTCAATTATCCATATATACATTAATCCCTATAATTTATTGATTATTAGATTTTAAAATCCTCTGAATCTTGCATTTTTATTAGATGAATGTAATGACCATGTTTAGCTAATAGCATGGCTTTTTTTGGAAAGAATTAATGTGGAAATAATGTTCCAAAATCTTAACAATCACTTTTTGCATGAATACTTTTTGTCATTATAAATTGACTTAATGAATTCCTATTATCATAAATCCACATTTCTTCTTTATTATAGGGTTAGAAAGTAAATAAATAATCTGTAATGAAACATAATCGGTAACCATGAACGCTTGTGAAAATCTTTTATTTGACTATCCATTATGATGAACTCTTTTATAAAACTAAAATTAGATTATCATATCCACAAGAGATTAATTGATTCTCATCTTAACTCAAACTCAATGCAAATATTGTATCATTATGCTCCTTTAATACTTATGAACATTTCCAGACTTAATTCTAAAGATTTAATTCCAAAAAATTAATTGTCTAATCCATACTGCCTGATATTAAAAGATTTTCTTAGGAATTTTTAATTAAACATGTAATAGGTAGATGATGAACAACTAATTTTATTATGAATTTTGATTTGCTTATAAGATTGATTGGCCAAAATAAAAATTTTCTATCATGCCCACCTGAGATTATTTGATTTGAATTATTTAACCATTGCAAACAATTAACATCAAAATTGTGTCCTAAAATACTCTATACATATTTAAGTTCTCCCTTGTTTATTTAATATACTCTTATAATTTGATTATAACCCATTACCAATTTTGTGTCATCCTTATTAAATGTAAATGCTTTGCACCATTTATCTTTATAGACTCTATGCTAATCATGGAATTTATAATAACATTTATTATCATAAACCTCTTCTAAATCAATTTCATTCTCAATATTCATGTTCATAAATACGAAAATATTTATTTATATTTTCATGATATAATTGATATGTTCAAAGAAAATAAAATTACATATTTGATAGAAAATACACAACAAAATTATATCTGTTAAAATGACATGCCAGATTTCAAATATTCAATATTGAATATGTAATTCATTTGAAAATCTTAGTTTAATTGTTATTAATTTCTCCTTTACAATCATTATTAATATAAACTCCGTCAAAATTTGACAATTATTTTATAAAATTAATTAAACCTTAAAATTTCCCATTTTATGAATAACAACATCTATCAACAAAAATATAAATCCATTTTCAAAAAAGTTTTTATTGTGAGAATTTATTCAATTTCATAAAATGTAAACTAAATAAGCTTTCTTTAAACCATTTAATTATGAATTAATAACAAAGGGTGATCCAATAAAACAAGATTAGCGGTCTTATGCTTTAGCTTTTAACATAGATTGTTCGATACTAATAGCTGGATGTTCATATTCAGTTAGAGTATTTGAAGTTAACAATGGAATATTAGAAGAGATTCATGTCTTGAATGAGCACACTGGTTATGTTAATACATTAAATTTTTTTAAGAAATCACCATTACAATTTATTTCAAGTGATGCTGATTCTACCATAATATTATGGAAATAAATGAATAATAAAGAATGGAAATGTTAATAAAAATTATTAGGACATACATCATCAATTTGGGCATTGATTATAAATAAAGAAGAAGATCTCATCATTTCTAGTGGTTTAGATAAAAGTATTAAATTTTGGACTTAATAAAATCAAGAATGGATATGCTGTTAAACAATTCAAGAACTTAATAGTCATGTTTACAGTTTAAGCATAAGTGAATCCTAAACATAATTGATTTCTTGTAATGGGGATTCAACAATATTTATAATAGAACAACAAAAATAAAACACATGGCAAGTAATACAAAAGCTCAAGACTACCTAATTAGGATATCGAGTATGCTTTATTAATGAAGAAATATTTACATTTTAACCTAAAGCTGGTGAATATTTAGAAATATTTAAAAAAAAAGAAAATGGAGAGTTTACTAAGTCCTAAGAAATTGCAGTTAAAGGAGGTAATTCATATTGCAGATTTCTCTTCCCTTAGCAATTTATTATTTAAAAATCCCTTCTTATTAGCAAAAATGGTTCTTATTTAAATTTTATTAGGTATTATTAGAACTAAGATTAAACTTTCGAATTTATAATTGAATAATCTATTGATTTTGGTTCTGATACAATTGGTTATTTATATGGGAATGCAAGTGATGATGGATAATTATTGGCTATTTGGAATGGTTAGTCATTAGAATTTTAGATTTATCAATATAAAGAATACTGAAATATATTTTCAAGTTTAAATAAAATATTAAATATTATAATTTAAAATAAACTTTGTATTACTATTTAAAAATAATTACATATAATTATTGAATTATTTATGAAATAAGAGATTATTATTACTTATTAGAATTTTAGATATTCAAATCTTCTAGATTAAATTTTTTCAACCATATTACCTAATAAAATATACACTATGAACTTTTAAATTACCTTTATCATCTTTTCAATAAAAGAAGTGATTTTTAATTAACTATTTGATTGATTATATGATATTATTTATAATTTAAAGTTATAGTAATTTTTAAAATCTATACTAACTTCTTTTAGTTTCAATTATCTAATCTTTTTTAATTTAGAAAGAAATATATTACATTATATAATTTTGAATGGGAAATACATGTTGTGTTAGAGATACTACTATAGATAAGCCAATAGCACCTTTAGAGATAACTCCAATAATTCCAAGAGAGGATGAATTTGAGTTTAAGAGACAACACAGTGCTATTAAAATTTAGTCAGTTTTTAGGGGATAATAAATTAGAAAATAAGTAATTTTAATAACAAAGAAGGGTTCTTGAATTAGAATAGGAATTATACCCATCTGCTGATATTGCTAAAAAAACTAATAAAAAATTTGAATCAAAAAATCCTTTTGTAAAGAAATCATTAGATAACTTTGGTCCTTTTAATTTTGATTAGTGCAATTAACTTTCAGGGGCTTAATATCTCCCTCCTATTGTAACTTTTGTCTTTGTTAGTTAAATAGGAATTTAATAATGGAATTATATATTAAGGATAATGGTTAAATAAAAAAAGATGTGGCAGAGGCTAATAATTATTTCCAGATGGGACTTTGTATGAGGGGAGTTGGAAAGATGATATGGCAGATGGTTTTGGGAGATTAATTACGCCTGAAGGGGATACATATGTATTAATGCATTTTATAATAAGATTGGATTTTGGAAAGAGAATGAAAAAGAAGGTTTAGGAACTATGTATTATGAAAATGGAGTCATTTTTGAAGGGGAATTTAAAAAGGATTTGGAAAATGGATAAGGAATAGAAAAATGGCCAGATTAAAGTATGTTTTAAGGAAATTACACAAATGGAATTAAGGAAGGTTTTGGCAAATATAAATGGACTGATGGATCTATATTTGAAGGAATGTTTATAAATAATTAAATAAATGGTAAAGGAAAGTAAATTTGGTCTGATGGAAGAGTTTATGAAGGAGATTGGGTATAAAACAAGATGCATGGAGTAGGAACTTTTATTTGGCCTGATGGAAAGAAATATGTTGGAAATTATAAGGATGATTTGAAAGAAGGATATGGAGAATTTTATTGGCCTGATGGAAGAGTGTTCAAAGGGGAATGGTACAATGGTCATCCTCATGGGAAAGGAGTATTTTATGATAAAACAGGAAGGTAGGAAGAAGGAGATTGGGAACATGGAAAAAAAATAAAAATAGTTGAAGTTTGATTTAAAGAAATTAAAATTCATATTATAAATTTTGTTATAATTTTAATTAATATATATTAAAATTGTTTTATAATATTATCTTATTTATCATTTCTAAGCTGCTTTGTCCATCAATGTAAGTAGATCGATTTCATCTTCTTCTTCTTCTTCTTAATCATTTTATAATAAATGGGATTACAGATTATTATTAGTATCATCAAATGATTAAATAATATTTTGTTTTAATATTTAACTTTATTATTAGGGTTGATTTTGATTAATGAGTTATGACTATTATTAATTATCAATATTTTATTTTATAGCAGTTGGTTTATAGAAAAGATTAATATCTTCTTATTAATCTATTGGTTTTGCTTGAATCAATTAAGCTAGATGATTTAATGATTAAGTTTAAAATTTGGAAGATTGAGAATCAAGTGAATCTGTTTTATAGAAATTTTGAGTTGATAATATAGATTATGATTTGTTCTATTATTAGGATTCCTTATTTTAGAATATATTTTCACCAAGATTACATTTTCCTTAAAATGGATTAGTACTTTTATTTTCTTTAAATTAAGATGAAACAGCTAGAACAACGTTGTATTTTTCTGGGATTTTAAGCATTCTAATTACACCTGGTTATCCAACACCATATCCTGATAAACCATAAGATCTTTATTAAAAAGTTCCATCTTGATTTTGGGATTTATCATTTAAAAACATTTATACTCTAGTAAATTTACCTCCCAATAATTTCATGATCTCTCCTCTTATCATCATATATTCAAAAGAAGATAATTTAGAGTATTTGTCAATAAATGTTTATTTACATTGAAGAACTGCTTGAATAGCTTAATCATTTATTCCAATTTCCTATATGACATCGAAATGTCTAAGTGTGCATAGATAAATTTCATAGGGTGAATTTGATTTCATAACATAAGACTTTAAAGTCATAATTACTAGATCAAATAATTTTGATAAACTATCTTCATTTAGTTTCATAATTGAACAATGGACAACTTGATCAACCTGTTAAAATATTTCATTGTTTGATAATGTCTTTGCTGGAGTGAATATTTTTTATAGATTTGGATAGGTGTATATTTTAATGGCAAGATCATTCAAAACAGTCAATCCTAAGGGAATAGATTTTAAGTTTCACCTTTTTCCTTATCAATGCCTTATGCTCTTAATCTTTATTCAATTATATAGAGGACATCTCCGAATAAATTGAGAAGAATTAATCCATTTGCCATATATGCTCCATTCATTTATTAAATTATTATGGCTGATAAAAAGTAATAGGCGTAAGCAAAACCAGGAGTAAAATTCTAGGATCAACCAGCAAGTGTCTAACAAGTAGAAAACAAACCATAAGTAATTTACAAGAATGCAACTGAATAGAAGGATCAAGCACTAAAGTAATTTAATAAAGTAACAGTTTTGATTGAATTTAGGTGTAAACCTTATTTAAAACATACACAGCATCAGATCCACAATGTATAAGAAAAGACACAGCATAATCTTTAAAATCCTTGCTTGCATCATTGAGAGATTGCATGCAAGTTTTGAATATAGGAACATTCGAGGATAAGAATTCAAATTATTATCTAATATATAATGGAACAGTTTATATATTTGATATTTGTCGAGTCTTAAGAAAAGTAATGTTTTCATCAATAATATAAATAGTCAATATACTAATATATAGCAATTGAATTTCTGGCATTTTGTATTACATCAATGGAGGGATGTATAGTGCTAACATCCATTAAATATTTGGATTGGAGGATCAAACTCTATGTAGAATTGGCTCATATCTATCATTCCTTGTAATCAAAGGCATGTGCCTACAGGACAATTGATTTAGGGTTATAAAAGGTATAAGAATTGAGAGAGTTGGAAGAAATGGATCCACCATTGATGGATTATATGGATAAGATCTTAAAATAGAATACAAGATTGCTGAAGATATTAGAATTGAAATTTAAAGTGCAAGCAGGAGTATTCACTGTAGATTAATGGAAAAAGAAGATTGAAGAATTTGGATAGGATAAAGAGGCTAGATGTTTGGCAATTATTGAATCTTTACGATTCTCACCTCCAAATTTATCTAATACAGTCAAATAAACACATGTAGGAAATTAATTGAAAGAGTAATTAGTATAAGTTAGTTTTGACTTATTGAAAAATGATATGGAAAGAATTGCAATAGCATTAGAATAATAGATGGATAAAATAACAAAGACAGTTGAATTTAAATCAAAAAATATATTGGATGAATTAGAGAGAAATGATATGACAAAAAAGAGAAGGGAATTTGAAGCTTCATTAATCAAAGAGAAAGAATGGAGAGCTTTGGCTGATGGTTTGCCATTAGAATATTAAATTGAATTCGCACATCATGCATATGATGTTGGAAATATCAAAGTCTTTGAAGATATTAGTAATTCAGCTTATGTAAGATGTAAATATAGAAGAATTGAAGTACCATATATCTAAGATGTTAACATATTGATTAGTACTAATCCTTATCCTAACATTCCTAATGGTTATGATAAAATTTAAATTGATATTAATGAAGCAAATCTTAGAACAGAATTGAAAAGACTTAGAAATAAAAATAAAGGTGATTAATAATAATAATAATAACAAACACAAAAGAAGGATGATAAAAAAGATAATAAAAAATAACCTTAATAATAAGAGTAAGAAAAATAATAGACTGATTAAGTTGGATTGGGTGTTTAAGCCACAGATTCAGAATTGGCATAGATCAATCATAATTATATTTATTTAGTTTATAAAAAATCAATGACTCCTGATAATGCTATCTATGAAATTGATGTGGTTATGGCTGATGAAGAATAAGGACCTGTTGAAAAAATGAATTAAGGATATCGAGCTATTGCAATACCCATAAAATAATATACTGGAGTCAGAGAAAAGTATAAAACAGTACCTTATTTATTACTTAAACATACTATGAATGAGTTATCTGATGAAAATGAAAAGATGACTCTTTTAGTTGGAATCAAACCATTATTTGGTAAGAATCCTCTCATTAGACCAGATTTTGGATATTAAAAAATAAATTTAGACTTAAGATAAACTCCAAAAGAGTTTATTAGAAGTCCTGGTATGGATTATATTTACATTACATAAAAAACAGATAAATATTATTTTGTAAAAGAAAGAGAATTATAAATATTGATTCATTTTATTAAATTAGAAAAGTCATATTAAAAAGAAATTTCATAAAGTATAGAGGATGACAGTAGATTAGAATTGGAAATATGTTATGATTTATAATCACTTAAAGAATTGATGGATATGATAAGTAGTTGTTTGGTTGGACCATTAGGAATCCATTTCTTAAAAGAAAAAAGAGATTTTCTATCATAATTAGTATTTCTTTTATGGAGAAAATATTTCTTACCACCTCTTTATTAGATGCAATTTATCTAAGAGTTATTGATAACTTAAGAGATGAGTAGATAGGATTATAGTCGTTATGATAAATTAATTTAAACAGCAAGGGAGATTTTTAAAAATGGATTATTAGTTTTGAATGAGATACTATTTAAAATACCTTATGTTGATATAATATTATTATGCAAAGTGAATTTATCACTTGCTAAATTTTTAGAAGAAGAGAAAGAAGCATAAGTTGCTGAGGAGAATTTGAAAATTTGTATTGATAGAATAATTTAGCATAGAAATTCATTAACAGTAAGAGGTGTTGATTCACAGAAAGATTTATTTTTACCTTTTGCAGTTACATGTTCAAATTTTAAAATAGATGAAATGATGAATAGAATGAGGGAAGCTTGGATTAATCAAAAAAATTAAATAAATAGAGAGATTAGAATAAAAAATAGATCAAATAACAAAAAATAATAATTAGAAGATGATGAATTAAATGAAGAGGAATATGAATTACTTGAAGCATATTAATCTTTATTAGGAGATGATAATAAAGATACAAGCACTCTTTCAATTTAATAAAAGATTAATGAGACTGATTTAATTATAAATGCTTTACATGCAGATTTAACTGTTGCATTATATAGATGTTAATTAAAAGCAGGATTAGATATTTAGAAAAATTCAATAAAGAAAACATCTTTAGAAGAAGAAGTCGAAGGAGTTTCTTAAGCTATACAAAAGAAGATGTCAATTATGTAAGGAGAAACTGCCTAAACTATTAAGAAGAATGTAAATCAATTATAAAGTACTCTTTAAAAAGAAGGAAAGTTGAAACCACCAAAACCTGTTATACATTAATTTGAAACAGAAATAATGAATTAAGTTAATAAAAATCCTTATGCAAATTGTTTATTATATATGCTTTTGGCTAGTATTAAGTAGAAATAAACAGAATAAAGATCATTTTTAGTTGATTCATTAAAGTTTTTACAATAAGCAGAGAAGGAAGAGTAATTACATATTGAAAATGGAATTAATGATGCTATCTTTGTTATGTCTACATTATGTGATAATATTGATACTCAAAGTACATCAAATAATGTATTTCCATATAATATGTTGTATAATCCATAATATATTAAATCTACATAAGTACCTCGTAAACCAATTTTAATTAGTAGAAATTCAGAATCTGTAACATTTAAATTGCCACCTTTCAAACCAAAATTATTAGATATGATAGCTATTGATTAAGCAAAAAAGACTATTACTAGTATGGCAATATTTGGAAAAATAAGTGCAAATGGAGTAAATGTATCTCTTACTTGTAATGATTTAAATAATACTGGAATTAGATAGAAAATAGGAGCAATAGTTACTATGAATGGATTACAAAGGAATGAAAAATATTGTTTTGCTGTTGCAGCTTATGATGGTACTGAAGGTGTATCAAATGGAATTGGAGAAACAGGAGATGATATTACAACATTACATCCATTACCATTACCTTTATTAGCATCATATTTATGTAAAGTTGCATATTAATTATCTAATTTTGATATTTGTGAAGAGGCTGCTGATTTTTGTATTATGTAATTTACAGAAGATAGTGAATTTATAGATCGTTAATTACACAATGAACTTAATCCAATTCATATTAAAAGATTACTCTAATAAAGAATTAAATCAGTTAGTTTAATGGAAATATAAAATTTAACAGAAACTTTATTAATTAAAGCTAAATGTTTGTAAAAGAAGATTACAAATACAGGAACTTAAGCTTAGAAACATATAGTATTATTAAAGATTTGCAATTATTTATTGCTTTCTTTAGAAACTTCATTATGTTGTAGACATTTTACAATTGCTAAAAGAATTGTAGCTGAATTATACAATATGTTAGAATCATTTTAATAAGAAAAACCATTATAAGTATTTCACTTGTTACTTAAAGCATAAATTATTATAGTTGAAATACCTAAACAATATTGGGATGCCAATCTACGTATATTATCAGCTAAATTTACATATGAAATATTAAAAGTATGTATGAAATTAAATGAAATTACATTGGGAAGAAGAGTTATAACTGCAGAATTATAATCATTTAATAGAAAGTGGTATTAAGTACCTAAAATAATCATGATTGAATAAGTAGAAGACACAAAAAAGGATACTAAAAAAGATGTCAAAAAGGGAGGTAAACCATAATAAATAGATGAACCTGCATAACCACCTAAATAAGTACCTAAGTTAATTAGAGAATTATATGAAGTGAATTCAACTGTTTAAGATTATTTAGAAGAAACTTTATTGGCTATGAATGATGAATTTGGTGATTATGTTCCTTCATTTGTTGAAAAATGGAAAGAATAAATTGATCAATTGATTCCCTACATGGAAAATCCATCTGATCAAATAGATAAGATATTTAGTGAATTATCAATAAGGTTAGAATATTGGGAATGTATAAAAGATTTATCTACTGCCACTTAAAAATTACCAAAATAACACCCAATTTATATTGAAATGTTATGTAAATTAATAAGGAGAATGATTTAAAGTAATATAGATTATAAAATTATTTAACCACTAGCTGTTTTTAATGAATAATTTTAACCTAGTGTTGCTTTAGCAAATGATATTACTTAAATTTAACAAAAATGTATCTAATTGGATATTGAGTTTTATCCTGCCTTATTACCAGAATTGATTATAGATAAAAATACTAATAAAGTAGGAAATGATGATGCCATTTAATTATTTGAAGAATTTAATACAAAAAAAACTTAATTGTTAGAATAATTAAAAATTGAAGGTTAAACAATAAATAGATTTGGAATAATGTCAAAGGCAAAAAGATTTGAATATGTATAATTATGGAGAAGTGAATTAAGTTATTTGAAAGCTATATTGTCTTATAAAAGTAATAGAATTAGATTAGTTGATGTGGATTGTTTTGTTTCTGTCTTTAATTTAGATATTGAACATTTAAAAGAATTGATAAATGAAAATGAATCTTAAAAACAAATTAAATAATAATAATAAGCATTATAATAATAAAAAGAACAATAATTATAATAACTTTAATAATAATCATAATAAAAGTAACCTCCTGCAAAATAACCTCCAGGAAAATAATAAGTTTAATAACCAATTGTAGAATTAAGTGAAGAAGAAGAATTAATATAATTATCAACTCAAATTATTAAAAATGTTGCAGATGCTTGTGGATTTGCTGTTTGGAGTAAACAATATATTGTTATGTTAAATCATGTTAAATTTTTATATAATTTTTTATTAAAAGAATAAATAACTCCATTTATTCATTTAGGATAATGTTGGTAAGACTTATGTTTTATTGGAAATTGTATTAATATGTTAATAAGAGAGGTCAAAGATCATGGTTGGTTTTAAGTAAAAGAATAGGCAGAAAATGAATTGGCATTACAACCACACATGCCATAATAAGATTTTGTATTTGAACCACCTTTACCCAATACTGAACCAATTAGACCATCTTTACTTACTTAATTATCTAAAGATTGTTGGTTCAGTAAATATAAAGATATGGATTTATTAGCTAATATTATGGCATATATTGTATAATCATTAATGGTGGAGTAAAAGTGGAATAGTTTAATAGGAATATCAAGATAATTTTGTAATTTAACCACTCATTATTATTCTTAATATATTTTACCATTTACAATTCATGCATAAACTATCTTATTTAAAGAAGCTTAAAATAAAACATAATTAAAATAAGAAGAACTTAATGCAAGAACACAAGCCTTTTAGGTTTGGGAATAAACAAAGAAAAAGAAAACTAGATCATCATTGTTAACTTAAGAGATACCTTAAGAAGAATAGGATTATCGTGCAGATAGAGAAATGTTAATATAATAAATTCATTTATTATAACAAAAATAAGATTTCATAGAGAATTAATTAAAAGTAAGTGAAAAGCTCATTTAAGAAATAAATAGAGATGCAAATTAAGCTTTAGAAAATTTGAAATAAGCAAGAAAATTATATGAAAAATTTGCTATAGATGATGAATTGTTAAGTAAAGAAAGCATACAATTAGAATTTAATTCTGAACAATTTTTATTGAAATAGACTACAATAGATAAGAAGTAATTACAATTGATGGATTAAACGTTGAAATAAAAGAAGAAAAATCACAAATAGTTTGGTATGTAAGTAATTTCTAAATATAAATTAACATGTGAATTATTACATAAAAGACAAGAGAAATTTGCATAGGCATTGGCTTTAAAAGAATTGGGATCATTGAATTTTGCAATGTAGAATTATGCTTAAGCTGAAGAATCATGGAGTGAAAGTTTGGATACAATATTTTAAAGAATATTTGTATTAAAAAGTAGTGCATTCAGATAAATTATATAGGAATGTAATAAAAATAATTAATTACTTGCATAAACTTATGGTATTCAATAATGTTTAATTGGTGTTACATTGTGTTCTATATTAGCATATAATTGTTATTATTCTAATTGTCATTAATAAAGAGAAAGTGCAATTTTGGCATCTGAATTAGTATCTTCAGTACTAAAATTATAAATGATTAATGGATTGGATTGGTAAGCATTTATTCACTCTAAAGAAGTTGCAATTGGAAATATATTTAATGATAGATATGTATTAGATCCAGCTGAATTGGCTTTGTCTTGTGAAAGATGTGCCTGGCTATTGTTAGATAGAGATGAAGCTTTAAGAGCAGTTCCTCTAATTAATTTACTTGGAGAATTAAGCAATAGATTATAAAGTAATTTCTATTCAGTACGTGCTAAATTATTAAGATCAATAGCCTTGTCATCTATTGGATATATTAATTAAGCATATTAAGCTTTATTATAAATTGCAAATGAGAAGGATTTACCAGATTAATCAAGTTCACTTTGGTAATCTAGAGTTTCAGGAAAATGGTGGTATTCAAATTTAGAATGGAATAATTCAATACCTCCTTATGACGAGAAACATACACAATTAACAGAAAAGATACTCAAAGAATTAGAGTTAACTAGAGAATTTGGTTTGAAATATGGTTTATAGAATGAGAATATTTTCAATTATGCTGTTGCACTTTTAGTTTATAATATACATTCTGGGGATATTATTGAAAAATGGGAAATCAATGATTTAAGATGTAAATTCTTAATAAAAGTTGAATCTATATTGAGAAATACTTTAAATAAATTGAATTAGGAAGAATAAATAGAATAAAAAATATTGACTAAACCAAAGGAGGAAATCTTAGCTGATCCAAAAATGGAAGATTATTATCATTTATAAGGAACAACTAAATAAATTGGAGTAACAAATAATTAAGAAGCTTTAACATATTTATAAAAAAGAGAAGAGAGAATGTATATGATGGCAAGATCTAGAAATTTAATGGCAAAAGTTAATGTTAGTATGGGTTAAATTACAAGAGCATTGTATATATTCAAATATGCAATTGAGAATTTATAATCATATACACTTGAATTGTCTACAAATGAGAATGGTGAGGAATTGGAAAATTTACCTTGGGATCAATTAAAACCATAAGGAGTAGTTGAGGATAAGAAGGGAGCTAAAAAAGCACCTGAAAAGAAAGGTAAGGAAGGAAAAGAATCTAAAGATAAACCTATTGCAGATGAAGCACCTGCTGTAAAAACAGATGCATAAATAAAATTAGAAGAAACAATTTTATAAATTGTTGAAGCAAGAAAAACTAGACATTCAATTAATATATATTATTGGATTAAATTAAGAACTGAATTAACATTATTATTGTATAGACATAATCGACATGATGAAGCTTTAGAATATATGGAAATTTTGATGAATGATTGCAAATAATTTAATGATAATTTTCATTAAAGATTAATAATTGAATATCAAGCAAGAATATAATTTAAGAAAGGAAAATCAGTTGAATCCATTAAGAAATTTAAAGAAGCTATAGAAATTGGTTAAAAGAATTTCCATTAAGATCCTTAAATGATTGTTTTATATGGTGATCTTGGAGAAATATATTATGAAAAAAATGAATTATAAGAAGCCAAACAATAATTTTATGATGCTTATTAAATGGCTGAATAATTAATGTAGATGATTAATTATGGATATGGAGTAGTACCTAATTGGAATTAAAAATGTGGATAAGAAAAGATTTAGATTTGCTAAGATTTGTGTGTTCCATTGGAAATAGAATAAGAAATATTAAAAAAGACTGATAAATAAATAAAAACTACTAAGAAAGATGAAAAGAAAAAAGATGATGGTAAAGTAGTAAGAAAGGGAGCTGATAAGTAAACAAAAAAAGATAATATTGATAAACCATAAATGCCAATAAAGGGATTAAATTAATTACCTAATTTTAATTTCATTTAACCAACAAAACTTACATATACAACAGTAGATATAGATACAATTAATAATACATAATATCAATATAATTGTTATTTAAAGAACATTGAATTATGGTAGAGAGCATCATTAAGATATGTTGATATAATGATTACATTAAATTAAGCTAATGAGAATTCTACAATATCAATAGATTCTTAAGAATCATCAGTTGCTTCAGATTCAGAAAGTGATAAATCTTCAGTTAAAGATATATTTGATATTAATGTAATTAGTGAAATTGTTAATAAAATTGATACTTCAATTAGTAAAAGTATAAATGTTCCTATAAGTTTCAGATTAGAATTGTATTATTTATAAAGTAAGATATTTAAAATGAGATTTGTTTAATTACTATTAAATTTACAATAAAAGTATTTTATGAAATATTTATCTGGTAAAAATAAGAAATATGCTGATTTCTATGAAAAAAGACCTCATAGAGATTTAGTAAGAAATAAATACTTTTTACTTATTCCTCCATTTTGTTAATTACTTAAAGAATAGGGATTATAATATCTTATGTAAGCAAAAGAAAGTTTGTCAAAAGCTATTAGTGTAATTAGAGGAGAAGCTGTGTTATTTGAATATAATAGAAAACCAGAAGATATCTTAGTTGCAATGGCTGAGATTTGTTTATTTATTAGAGAATATCGAGTGAGATAAGGATACAGATATGTGAAGGTTGATTATTTATAATCCTTAATTAATTCTAAGAGTAATTATTATTATTAATATATTTAGATACTGAATAAAATAAAATAGATTTGGAATAATAATTAATTAGTATGGAAAGATCAGATAGATTGGAATAACTTAATTTAGAATTAGAAGCATAAAGTTATCTAAAATATGCAATTGAATTAGTTAAAGCAAGACAAGAATTATTAGAAAATTTTGCTGCAGTTGCACTAACACCATTACCAGATGTAAATAAATTGGCACTAGAAATTTATACTGAAATAATCGAATAAGATTATTAATATAAGAAAAAATATAATCCTATGTTATTTGATGAATCCAAGAAAAAAGTTGGTGTTTCATCAATGGATGTTTTATAATTTATTTAAAAAGTATGGAGAGAAGCAAAAGTAATGACTTTTAGTGGAGCATATTTATAAAGAATGATTTCTAAAACTCATCGTTTCTTAAAATTACATATGTAATCTTATCAAAAATGTTTGATAACTTCATTAGAGGTAGCCCCAAAAAATGATGTGAATGCTGTATTTATAGATGAAGGCATAATTGTTACTAAATTATTGTATAATCCTGTTGCACATGAATTTAAAGTTCTTTATGTTTTAGGAGGATTAAATAAGGACAAAATTATTACTTCATTATCTAAAGAAGAAAAGGATAAATTAATAATATCAGATGAAAAAAATGTATTATATGGTAATATATATATTACTGATGCCAATATTTCTATGCTTTTATAAGATGCTCTGAATTTATAATCTAAAATGAAGGAATCAGATTAATAATCATAAAAGATGAAAGAAAGAGATTACAAACATCATAAAAAGGCATTCTATAAATTAATTGAATAACTAGGATTCTATTTCTTCTAAAAACCAAGTATAATTTATATTAATTTAGGCACAATTTAAATGTAAAATGGTTAAACCCATGAGACTGTTAAAAAGAATGTAGCATTTAAAAAATCAGAATCCTTTATGTAAGAATAAAATGAACCAGATATTCTTGCAAAATATGAAGCAATAGTTCCAGAATTAACTCATGATAACATAACCATTTTAATCAATTTATTCAATGATTAAGGAGTATTGTCCATAAATCACAATTATTTAGCTATTTTAAGATATTTCCATCATTAGAAATATAAATGAGATTATTAATACATTTAAATTAATATTAATTATGTTAGAATTAATAAAATGATAGAATTTGACAAAATGCTATAAATATATTCTAGCCTTTCTAAATAATAATTGAATAATGGACAATCTAATCCAATAAAAATGTTTTAAACATGATCAAGATTTTTTAGCTGTTCAAATTGCTTAAGAAAATAAAGATGAGAATAAATATTTTTGTCCTTAATGCTTAATTGATCTTATAACTAATAAAGAATTGATACTAATAAGTTAAGCAAAGATACAAATAGAGAATAAAAAAAAGGAGATTTCTAAAAGAATATAAGAACAATGTTAAGAAAAAATAACTTTAATGAGCAATATAAAAAAAAGTATAGAAGAATTATAATGTCCTATAAAACAAGTGTTTACTTCAATTATTGGAGAAATTGAATAATTAAAAAGCGAAACCTGTAATTAACTTTAATAAAGTCAGATAATTACTTCTGAAACTTAAATCTTTGATTAAGATTTAAAATTATTAAAAGATGATTAGAGTAGTTTATCAACATAAGAAGAAATCGATGAATAATTAAAAAAATAAGTATTCCTTTAAATTAAATACTCTTATTATTCTTAATAATTAAATGAAATTCTTAAATAATTTGAAAAAATAGCATCCTTACATAATGATAGTTTTGATAATTCTGATAGTACTTCAGAATAAGGCAATCCTAAAGACTATGTAATTTTTTATATTTATATAGAAAACGATATCTTAAAAGTGTAAAATTCATAATCAATAATTAAAAATGCTAAAACTTGATTAAAATAATAAAGTCTAAAAATATGCCTGTATTTAATGTATATCAGAAACATAAGGAAAATACATAACACCTACTTAAGTGTAATAATCTTTTCATGATTACTTATAACAATCAGAAAAGTTATTAAAATATTTTTAGTAATTAAAAAAGCAATCTACTAGTAACAAAATAAGTTTGTTAAATAAAATAAGGTAAATGTACATATAAAATATAAATTAATATATTTAATAATTAGAAGAAAATGAAAAGTCTTTTAAAAATATTATTGAGACAAATTTATTATATAAGGATCATAACATATTTTTATTAGAATAAGAATTATAATTAAAAATATTGGAACCAGTATATTCAAAAGAAAGTCCAGATAATTATTATAATATAATTAAAAGAGAATTAGAATATGAGAAAAATTTGTAAATCAAATTTGAAGAAAGTATGTAAGAATTGATTAAATACGAAATTCAAAATTCTAATCAAATATATATTGAATAATTAGAGCATTAAGACCTTTTGAAAAAACTAGTAAACAATATTCAATTAGAAAATTTAGTATAAGACAATAATCTCATATCAGAGAATTCTAAAGATGATGAAGAAATTTTAAATTTAGAAAAATAAATAAATAGTTTTCTATCTAAAAAAATGACAATATGTTTAAAGTATAATTAATTGTTATAAATATTTGAAAATCGTAATATTTTATAGATTGAAGAAGCACAATTGATTTAGAAATTAAGTGATGAATAAAAAAAACTAAAAGCCAAAAAAATCAATAGTGAAATAGGGGAAGAATAATTTTAAATATAATAAGAAAAGTAAAATAGACATTTAGAAAGATTAATGACTAACATTAATTCAACCTCGTATTTTAATTACACATAAAAAGAAATTACAACATAAGACTTTGATAAAAACTAAAGTATTGAAAAGGAAATAAATTAGGTTATATATAAATTTTTTAATTTGTAGTATAGGTTCATAATTGGTCGATTTGAAGCCCTAAAAATAGCATAGAATACTTCTTATTTCCCTTAATATGATAATAGTACTAAATTATCTACCTTATAATTAGTTAATTCAAAATTAATTAAATGTAATTATATTCTTATAATTAACTATTAGCCTCTTAAGGAGTATTTGGATTAGCTGTCATATAACCTCCATTACCAAGTGATAAAGTATCAACATTCATTTTTTAAATAAATGTATAATATTTAATAATATTAGAAATCACAATCTCTAGCAGGAGTTGGAATTTGTAACTTGTAGGCAGCTAAAGGCTTTAATTATGATATGACTGCAAATCATTAATCCAAAAGCCATAATGCTTATCTTGTATGTTCTAATGGATATTAAATTTCAAGTAAATTAGGTTATACTAATATTAAATTTACATTTGAAAATAATGGAATCATACAATGTGAATATAATCCAATGAACTTAAGATTAAATTTAAAAAATTTGAATGTATAAAACTAATATAATAGTATTAGGATGGAAGAACTTATTAAGTCGATTTGGTTAAAAATAGTTTAATTATGTCTCCATGTGTTATGCTAAGTGGAGATGCAGAAATAGAAATATTATGAAAATTTTGATGTATTAAAAAATCTTATTATTATGTTATTGGAATTCTATATATATTATAATTGAATATTATAATTTTTAAAACATAAATATTGCAAGATCAAAGTTAAATCAAACATAGTTGTTTAGGTTACTGCGATGATAATATGCTTTATTAATTTTCCATAGTTTATAATGACTTGTGAATTTCCAAAAGTAGTAAAATTAAATAATGTCTTAAGCATTTTTAGTTTTAATCTTATATAATGGAAATAATTTACAAGATGGGATAAGAATTCATATTGTTTACCATATCTACACATTCCACATTCAAATATTGCAATTTCTTTAGTTGTCCAAGTTTCTTAATGATTAAAAATAATAATAATACCAAAAGGAAAATCATTTCTTAATGGAGATATTAGAATATCTAAAACATCTTATTAAAGTAATGAATAAACATTGGTATTTGTTTGTTATTGTTATTATTGTTCAGTTTATTCTTGATTTGGTGAATCATTATCAAGAATCTTCTTTTTTCTTCCAGGTTTCTTTTCCTTAAATTTATAATGTAATATAAACTTGTTTGAGTTCTTTTTTTGAATCAATTAAGACCTTTTCTTTCATAAACTCTGCCAATTTTTGATCACTCTTATAATACAATTAGACCACAACACTAAGAAGACTCTCTAATGCATTGACCCACAAAGGTTAAGTTCCTTTTAATCTATATTGTCCTCCTTATGGCAATTTCTTAGTGAATATGATTGGAGTAATTGAGTTTGGCGGTAAAAACTTACTATGTAAAAATAATAAGAAAAAATAAATGATGTATATATGGATTAGAGTTGAGATTGAATTGAAAATGATCTTACTCTAATAATACTTCGTCAATTAATGCATCTTAATTACTTTTCTTTTTGTATTGATTTATTTATTATGTTGGAAGCTCTAAATATCCGGTACTAAAATAATAATAAAGGAAGGAATTAAAATATAAGAGTAGAATATGAAAAACTACATTTGTAGTTGTTAATAATTGTAATAGATTGATAGTTACATACATATGAGAGCCTTATCGAGCAAGATGTTTAATTTATTAGATGACTTATTTTTGTTATTCTTTAACTCTAAAGGAATTGCATTACAAATTAATTGCTAAATTAATGTGGATACAAGTACTAGCCTTTTCAGCACTGCCATCCATTTTTATAACTTTTCGTATGCTTAAATCGAGTCCATTTATATCTTCAAATTAAGTGCAATTATATTTATTTTGTTACTTTTCATCTGACATATCGTTCATTATCTCCTACCAACTAAATATAATCTAAAGCAGAACCTATCTAAAAATGAATAATGCTTATTGAAAATAATTAATTTGTTTCATAATAATTCTTAACCCTTATATTCTAAAGCAATGATTAGTTACTTTTCATAATGAAAAAACATTATCATAAGAAATCAACTTGTCATTCATGAACTTTATATTTCATTTCCATTTATTTATCTTTTTATTTTCAATCTGTCTCCTTTCTAAAAATATTTAATGTACTTCTCAATTTCCAACTCTTATTTTTTATTTACTATACATCATAACTAATGCAATCAATGATATTCTAATAAATCTTAAAGGATAGACAACAAAATAAAAATATTAATGGAAAGCCTTAATTACATATTATTTCATTATGAGTTTTTATTTTACTATAAGAATTGGAAACCTAGACAAAATATGTAGACTTCTTTAATTTTCTCCTTTATTTTCATAATTGAGTCAAGAAAAACTAATCATTTGGAATTATATTAAAATCGAATAGAAAAGCTTAGGATTTTGATAATATAATTGTATCGAACTTATGTTAACAAGTATTTGTGTTATTAAGTACTTTTATAATAATAAAAAAAAGCAAATTTAATTTGATAATTTATATCATTTATCAAATATAGCAAAAGCTGATATAGGTCTTGGAACATCCATTTTAATGCTTACTTTTTTTGATTTCTTTATATTATCACATCCTTTATAATCAGTTCTTGAATACTATAAAATATTGTAAAATTAATTAAATTACTAATTTTTTAAGTGTTTCATTTTAACTTAATATACTTTTCATATCACTTTTATAAGTATTACTTTCTCTCATTTTCATAGGACTAGTATCATCTTTTTAACCTTAAGTTACACTATTACGAAATCCTAAAGATGAATTTGCATGACCATAAGTTCTAATACTTTCCATTTTACTTTATTATTCTGATTTTTGAAGACAAGATATTCTTAACTAAATTAGCATTATAAAATTTGTATACTTTTTTATCTACTTTAGAATCTGGTGATAAAATTGGATCTTTAAATACTGGTTAACCTGGTACACTTTTTCTTAATCTTTTTTACTCACTTTCAGTTTTTTGTTCTTATTTATATACTCTAATAGAACTCCTATAATCTTTTTCTTAATGAATTTCTGATGATTATTATTGATATTTTTTCATATAATGTCCTTCATTAAACATCATCAATTTCACATTAGTTTTGTTTGATGAAGTATGTACATTTCTAAAGGGATCACTTTAAGAATCAATTCCACTGAATAAAGCCTTCTTTTTGCCTGATTTCTATATTGGTGTATCTTAATTAGCCTGATTAGAATAATAATTTACTTAAACAATAGTATCAGTAACTTTATATGTAGGAGAGTTCATTCTATTTTCCTTTGCTTTTTTACATGATTCAATTAATGCTTTTTACATAAGTTAACTGTTGTATAATAATTCTCTATCTTATTATACAGATTTATTAGTTTTAAGAGGAGTAGATGTAACAGCTCCAAGAGATTGAACTTTTGATAGGGCTGATTTTGTATTAGATTAATACATTGTTAAAATAGACATTTTAAATATGTTATTAAATTTTATTTTGTTTTAATCATTCCAATTATTCATTTGTTAGTATATTATATCTTCTATTTACACTATTAATACTAATTTTTTTTTTATGTTATATTTAATCTATCGAAATAACTTCATGATTATGTCTTTCACTTCTTTATGGTGATACATTACCAGATACACTATTTGATTTTTTCTTATTTTTACCATCTCTATTTCTAACTTTACCAAACGTTCCTTCAAATCTTTTTGATCTTTCTTATGATAAATCCAAAGAATGATCATTACTCTATTCTTCTTTTTGAATATTGGAATTTTAGACATTTATTTCATTCTCAGATGTTTAAATAGCATTATCCTTTAATTAATGATGTAGAAATGTAGGAGAAGATTCAATTAATGTTTTTTAATTTTTTCCATTTTATTAATATTCAATAATCTAATCCCCATTTGTAACATTATTAAACAATTATTGTTATCCAAAAGAGATTCTATTTTGCTTATGAAAAATTGGTTCTTATTATGAGATTGTCTAACTTGGAGTATCTCTCATAAGTACAGGTTAAGATTAAGAAACATCTGATTCAGTCTTCATTACTTTATATTAATAATTGTAACTATTCTACATAGCTAATTTTGTAATCTTTTCTTTTAATTAATCCTTGAGTATATTAGTTTTCATCAACTTCTCACTCAATTTATTCGAAAGTTGAGATGTTGATGCAAGTTTATTTGAAGATTAATATTAACTGTAATTTTATTCTTAAACTCTATTAATTAAAGACTTTAAAGGATCTAGATCAGTTGTTATTATTTTCTTTATCATTGATTAAAATTTATCATTACTTCCTTATTTAGGTGTGTATTTTTAATCAGATGAGTACCATGATTTATTATTACTAATAGGATATTATTCATAACATTAAGTTGAAGTTTCTGTAAAATATTAATTCACTATTTGAAGAACTTTTGTTAATAAAGCAGAGTATTACAAAGTATCAAACATTTATAAAAACTTATCTTTATTACCACATCTTTATATAAATAGTTTATTTAATTGATGATTTCCATGTACAATTGATAGAAAGAGAAATATATTGCATTACAAATTTTAATCATATAGATCTGTTTTATTTGAAAAACTATTAGTCATTGGTTTTTTTGCATTAGGACTCAAGTAAATTGTGTTATTCATTCCCTTTTATAATTAATGTAAGTTACAATCGAAGTGTCTAAAATAAATGAATTGCCATATTATTTTTTCATCCTATAATTATTTTATTAATATAATGGATTTTAAATCTCGGTTTAAGGGAAAGATGACCATAATGAATAAAGAAGGAGTTATAGGAATGGTAAACAAACCCTCAATTCCTATTGCAAAAAATAACTCATATTTAAGTTAAAAGAATGAATTATCTCCAACCATATAGAATCTCGGTCATAATACTGAAGGAATAAGGGAAACAAAATCTCATATCTTTACAAATATTTAAACATCTCCCAATAAAAGAAATTTAACTAATTATGGTTAAAAGTTTTCAAATGCTGGATAATAAATTATTAAATAAAATCATGTTAAGACAGAACATCATTATTATTTAGATGATCCCAAAAAATAATTGAATTAATTGTAATTTAAAATGCATTAAGATTTTAATTAATTGAATATGGATGAATATGAAATTGTTGCTATTCCAAAAACAATGTTAGGCTAACTTCGTCAATAATTAAGTGTTGATAAGTATGGATTAAATAAAAGTTTTGGAACTGATAAAAAAATACCTGTTGAGTATTTTATATCATTTAGATAGATTGTCTTAATTATCCCCTTAAATTACTACTAAATGTACAAGTTATAATTAAACACCTTTACTGAAAAAACAGAATACTTTTGATTAAATGCTGAGACCCCCTTTTAATAAATAAAGATCTGAAAAAATGGAGAAAAAGAATTAAATCATCTAATAAGCTGGTATTGGAACTTTAAGATACAAGTATATACAATTCAATATATAATTTAGTTCCTATAGTAAAAGATGAATTTTATATTATTATTAATAAATTTTGTTTTAGGAATACTTTATATATTCATTCAATTCACATTAATTTAGATGATTGAATGTACTAAATATAATTTTAATATCATAAGCTATTTTTGTTTTTATATATTTTATATAATTTGGGTATATTAAATTATATTGTATCACAATATAATGTCCAAAAGATTAACGATTTCCAAATTTAATCCATTTAATACAAATGAAAACCCTGAATTAGATCGAGTTGAAACTTATAAGACTTTTTATAAGAAGAGATTTAGAAAGCTATAAGCAGATGAGAGTCCTAATTAAAAAATTATTCCTTAAAGTATCCTTTTAAAACCAGGATAAATTCCATTTAAAAGATCCTTTCAAAAACCAAAAGAAGATCTCATAGATGTTAAAAAATTGTAATTGTATTTATTAAGAATTAGTTAGATATGTGAATTATGGAGTTATAAGTATAATCATGTAGTACAGAAGGTTTCCAAACTCAATAATGTGAGTGAAATCTTGGAAATTTAGAAATAACAATAAAGAAAATCATAAAAATATAAAACTTAAAACTCGTAAATATATATTTCATTCTTATTAGATCTGATTAAATTCCTTATAATTAGATTGCACTTTCTGATAAAACCAAACTTAAAACTGCAATGTCAGATTATACTTTGCCCAAAATAGAATAATTATCTTCCTTTTAAAAGTAAGAAAAACTAAGCTTTTAATTTTAAGTACTTTATCCCCAGAGAAAATTTTGACTAGTTCTTAAACTCAAAAAAATAACTCTATATCTGACTTCAAAGGCAAACTCAGAGAATTAATTGAAATATGTGACAATGCGTAATTATTTAGTCCAAACAAGTTTAGTAAGATATGATATTCCTCTGATGCTTAATCAACCGAATTTTATATTCTTTTTTTTCTAATCATTCTAATTAATACTTATTTTATAATAATTAATAAATCCTTTGAATTTAAGAAAATAATCCTGTAGAAATTTAGACTTCCAGACTGAAAATTTGTAAACTTTTATAATCTAATTACTATTAAATATATATATATATATATATAATGAATAAAGAAAGATAAATAAATAGTAAACATTCTACAGCAGATGTTTAACACTTATTTTTTCCTAATGAAGATAATTTCTCAAGATTTTGTAGGAAATTAAAGAAATGTAAGTCAACATTTTTAGGCTGCATTTATTTATTGACTCATTAATCAATTATTGACATAATAATTTAATTAGCTACTTAAGGATGTAGAGTTGATATAATTATGGATTAAAATTCAGAAGAATTTGAGGAAAGAAAATAAATAACCATTAATAAATTATTAGTAATGAGTGGATTTAAAGTAAATGTTTCTTTGATTGAATCTAAAGGTTTAATGCATACCAAATATTGTGTTATTGATAATAAACTTACAATATTAGGTAGTGCTAATTGGACTTATTAAGCATTCTCAAATAATTTTGAGCATATAACAATAATTAAAGATTCTAAAACAGCAAAATAATTTACAGAACAATTTAAAAATATATGGGATTAAGCAAAATAAGCTAAATTCATAGAGTCTTAGATTATATATTAACCAAATCAAAATTGTATTGAATTTAAATAAAAAAACAGAATTTCACCAAGATTAAGAATATCAAAAAGAAAATTTTAAATGAATTTTCGAAAATATAAATCAAAAAAATAACTAAAATAAAAAAATAAATAAAATATAAAAGAGAAGGAGAAAGAGAAAGATATACCTAAATTTTAAATGATATAAATAGAATAAAATTAAATATAAATATAATAAATTGAAGAATAAAAAACAAAGTAAGTTATCAATTAAAAAGAATTAAAAGATTTTCTTGAGAATCTAAAATTAAATGAAGAAAAAAAATAATATAATATAAATTAAAATACTATTAATAATGATGCAATAAAAGATACTAAATATAGTTTAATACAATAGGAATCTAATCCTTGGTAAATTTAATAATAATTATTTGATCCAAATATAATTAACAATCAAGTAAAACGTAACGAAACTTAGAATAAAGATTAAAATATTATTATAATAGATGAAGATGATGATGAAGATGTACAAATAATAACAGATATCTCTAAGTATTTCCATTGATTTTTTGTTATATTGAAATTTATAATAAAGAAAACAAAATCACATGTTTATAGGGAGAATCATTTTTTGAGTGTTCTAAAATTTTAGCTATTTTTATTAGAATGATTGACTAGATATTAATTAATTACTTACCAATCTTAGATGAATGCGGTGAGATTTCTTATTTTTCAGAGTTACTATTATTCATAAATTATTAGATATTAAGTTTTATTTAAATAGGTTATTTTTTTGTTCCTTAAAACTCGTTCTATTTATTATATTCTTAATTCTAATTATATTAATTTTAATGCTTTGATATATTATAATTTTAATATTCATTCTTAAATTTTAAATCTTCATTATTATATCTGATTGGTGAAATTCTTTAATTTTGTTGTTAAGGTGAAAAAGTAATTTAAAATTAGTTATTTTATTTTTAATTAAGTAAATTATCTTATTAATTTAATTCATTTTAGATTTATTAGTCTATCAATGGCTTAAAAGAAAATACATTTCTTTCAGAACGACTTTATTCCTGACTTTAAGTAATAGGATTAACTTACCTCTCTTTTAATAATTATTGTAAATCAACTTTATGAATATATTATTCTTAAGTATTATCATCAAAGCTATCATCATATTCTTAACAAGAATGCTTATCATCAGATTGATTGCTAATATTATGAATAGAATTCATTGTATTTTATGAAATGTTTTATTTTGATTTATTGGTCTTCTTTTTATATAAAATTGCAGTAGGACTTTCATGATTTTGACGATTAAACATTTTAGATATTTCTGAATATTTAGTATTCTCAAAAGGTTTTGAATATAATTCTCTTTCTTATTCATTTTTCAATTTCAAAAAATGATCATTTATATTTAGTTATTCTACACTCTTTGAAGTTTCTTTATTTAATATTCTCTAGTTCGAAATTTCAAAAACCTTTTAACCTTTTTCAAATGTTAATTTTATATGTTAACCAGAATTTTTGTTCTATTTCTTTTATTTTACAACAAATTTAAATTTTGGTGAACTAGGTCTTCTTGTTTTATTTTAATTATTTAATTCTTCATTTTATTTTTAAGATTATTATTCTTATTTTCTTTTATTAATCGAATTAATAGATGTATTTGTTTATTCTTTTTAGATTTTACTTGCATTAATTAATGATTAAAACTCTTATTTAATTTATTATTAATCTTCAAAACTAACATCATTTGTGTTTTTACCAATTTAAGAATAATTCTTAAAAAGTGTTGGATATTCATTTTTTTCATTATTTTCAGTTTTCTAAATTATATATGAAGGATATTTGTGAAGCCATTTATTATTATTTTCTTCTAATTGTGGATCACTTGATGTTAAATAATTAGATTGAGTTTTAGACTCAAGATTTCTTGAACTATGGGGACCAGTCAACAAACTTGGTTAAAATTTGCTATTAAAAATTTAGTTTGACAATAATCCATTTGGTTAAATCTTTAATTTACAAATATATAAATACATTTTAAATTCCTTTCCTTTAATTATGACTAAATAGATTCAATTCACAATTCTTATCTAATTATATTGATTCGAATGCTAAGCTTAAATTAAGATCAATCTATTACATTTAAACTTTTCATAATCCAAATCAGAAAAGCTAATATTCTTTAAATAATTCATTTCTTGAATGAAGCCATCCTTTTACATATTATAAAAAACATTGTTTTTCTTTAATTAATCTTAAGTTTTCCTAATTTTAATTTAAATAATATACCCTTACTAATTCATACTAGTTTGTTATTCATGTTCATAAATTGAAAAAGTGAATTTCAAATTAGATATCATCGTTAACTTTGAAATAATTTATATGTTATTACATTCTAATCCAATAAAATTGGGATTTAGTATAAACATTAAGAAATTTCTTACATCTCTTTTGCTCCTTCATCATCTATTATTAAACTCTATTCTAATTGTTCCATTAATAAATTATAAACAATTAATTCTTAAATATAATATTTATATATTTGATATAATATGAATTCATTTTATAAGTTTTCGATTTAATTAATTATATATTTACAAAAATAAATGATAATTTATCAAAATAATCAAATTTTTTATTTAAGTTCTAACTAATTCATTTTTACTATAATAACTACATTTTATTATACAATAGTTTAAAAAAATGATATAAGATTTAATCAAATAAATAATTTTTATAAAATTTAATTAATAAAAAATCAAATTTTTCTTTCAATTTTTGAATATATTGTAATTTTATAAGAAAATGGTTTATTTTTAATTATAAAATGAAAAATAATAATTATGTTTATTTTATATCAATCAAATCTGATACGTCTTAAATTTGCAGCCAAAACAGAATCATCAGCTTGAATAATCTCAAACTTCTTTTGAATAAAAGAAAATTAGATTTCCTCTAAACAATCCTAACTTTATGAGAATTTAACTGTTTTTCCTTTATAAACTTCTTCATCGAATCCTTAGACTACAACACCAGGAGGGATCTTGATAGATTTAACCTAACTGATTTTTTCCTATTAAATATTTAAATTGATTATTACTCTAGCAAGTGATGGAGTATCTCTACAGATTTCATATTTGGTTCCCTTGAATCCACATTCAGTATACAATTCAACACAATCTTCTTTTAATTCATAAAGTAATTAGAATTCTCTGAAACCCCATGATTCATCTTCAGCACCTTAATCTAATGTTGAACTTAAGACTATATTAGCAGTTGGATTAGAATGTTCAATAATGACATCAACATTGAAGAAATAAGTCATCCATGTACTTTAAGGAGCTCCACAAATTTTGGCTTATCCTGGAGTACTGAATCCAAAAGATCTTTCAAATACAACTTTTCCATCAACAAAGACTTAGAATTTTTCATCATCCCATGAATCGATCTTCCAAAATTAGAATTGAATTCTGAGTCTAGAATGTTTTGGAAGATTGAAATTTCTTTCAGCTTTAGCTCTTACACCAAATCTTTAATAACCACCAAACAATTTCTTTTATCCACATGTTGAGAATGGATTTTAATTTTAGAAAACATTTGATGGAATCCAATCTTATAATCCTTAGAAATCTTATTCATCATTAAAGAAGAATCTATTTAATGTCATCCATTTAACTAATCAATATATAAATATATTAAATTACTTCCTTCTTTACATTCACCATTCACTAAATCAAAACCTTAACCACAAGAAGTACAATCAGATTTTGCTGGTCCAGTACAACCTGTACATCCTTTGAAACATTAAGCAGCAAATAATTAGAAATCTCTAACTCCCCATGATTCATTCTCAGGTGGTTCATCCAATGTTGATTTCATTAAGACTTTTACTTCAGGGAATTTGTGAGGAACATTTATTTCAATATTAACAATCTTTTCAGCCCATCCTTCTCCTTATTTTGCACCTGTATCAACACCACAAAGATCAACACCTTCATTATAAGCAAAGGCTTATCTAAATTTCTCTTAATCATCAATTTCCATTAAAAATAATTCATTATCCCAAGAATCAATTTTCCACATTTAAACCTTAACTTTAACTTAAAAGTGAGGTGGTAAATTAGTAAATCTCTTCCATAAATTAGCTTTTCTTCCTAATTTTCCAAAACCACCAAAAAGTTATACTCCTGCACATTCATTTGATTCAGCTTTTCCTTCTCCATCTAATGTCCATCCTTCTAATGAAATTTATTTATTCCAATTAGTAGCTACATTTGTCCAAAAGAAACAATTATCTGGTTTATTATCACCACATACTGCACATTCTGGATGACATCTTTAGAATGATAATTTGAAATCTCTGAATGCCCAAGATTCCTATTATATTTATTATAATTATCTATACATTCAATGCATCTTCATCCAAATTTGATGTCAATACTATACTTACTGTTGGTGAATTGTGTGGAACTTCAAATTCAATGTTATAAAAGGCTTCTTTCCAATCATTAGCAGCTCCACATAAATTAGCACCTTCAGAATAGTGCCATTTTGCTTGCCAAATGAAACCATCAACCAAAACAAACATTATTTCATTATCCCAACTATCAATTCTATTATTTTTGTTATTTAATCAATATTACTTCCACAATTGTATATTGATCTTTAATTTATAATGAGGTGGAAGNTCCAATCTTATAATCCTTAGAAATCTTATTCATCATTAAAGAAGAATCTATTTAATGTCATCCATTTAACTAATCAATATATAAATATATTAAATTACTTCCTTCTTTACATTCACCATTCACTAAATCAAAACCTTAACCACAAGAAGTACAATCAGATTTTGCTGGTCCAGTACAACCTGTACATCCTTTGAAACATTAAGCAGCAAATAATTAGAAATCTCTAACTCCCCATGATTCATTCTCAGGTGGTTCATCCAATGTTGATTTCATTAAGACTTTTACTTCAGGGAATTTGTGAGGAACATTTATTTCAATATTAACAATCTTTTCAGCCCATCCTTCTCCTTATTTTGCACCTGTATCAACACCACAAAGATCAACACCTTCATTATAAGCAAAGGCTTATCTAAATTTCTCTTAATCATCAATTTCCATTAAAAATAATTCATTATCCCAAGAATCAATTTTCCACATTTAAACCTTAACTTTAACTTAAAAGTGAGGTGGTAAATTAGTAAATCTCTTCCATAAATTAGCTTTTCTTCCTAATTTTCCAAAACCACCAAAAAGTTATACTCCTGCACATTCATTTGATTCAGCTTTTCCTTCTCCATCTAATGTCCATCCTTCTAATGAAATTTATTTATTCCAATTAGTAGCTACATTTGTCCAAAAGAAACAATTATCTGGTTTATTATCACCACATACTGCACATTCTGGATGACATCTTTAGAATGATAATTTGAAATCTCTGAATGCCCAAGATTCCTATTATATTTATTATAATTATCTATACATTCAATGCATCTTCATCCAAATTTGATGTCAATACTATACTTACTGTTGGTGAATTGTGTGGAACTTCAAATTCAATGTTATAAAAGGCTTCTTTCCAATCATTAGCAGCTCCACATAAATTAGCACCTTCAGAATAGTGCCATTTTGCTTGCCAAATGAAACCATCAACCAAAACAAACATTATTTCATTATCCCAACTATCAATTCTATTATTTTTGTTATTTAATCAATATTACTTCCACAATTGTATATTGATCTTTAATTTATAATGAGGTGGAAGTGTTAATTATTTTAATGCAGTTGCTCCTTTACCAAATGCTCCATATCCACCAACCAAACTAATCTTATCACATTTACTAAAAGTGTTTCCTTTAAATGCTTTCTTTACAACCCAACCTAATTATTTATTATCAATCAATACCATCTAAGTCATTTATTTCAGCTGATGTAAATGCTGTATAATGGGTTACCCAAGGATCCTATGCTAATAAGATCTACACACTCAACAATACAAGTAGGATTGTCTTCATAATATAATAATATTAATGCTAATCATTAATTCTCTTAAAAACGAATACTTTNTCCAGTACAACCTGTACATCCTTTGAAACATTAAGCAGCAAATAATTAGAAATCTCTAACTCCCCATGATTCATTCTCAGGTGGTTCATCCAATGTTGATTTCATTAAGACTTTTACTTCAGGGAATTTGTGAGGAACATTTATTTCAATATTAACAATCTTTTCAGCCCATCCTTCTCCTTATTTTGCACCTGTATCAACACCACAAAGATCAACACCTTCATTATAAGCAAAGGCTTATCTAAATTTCTCTTAATCATCAATTTCCATTAAAAATAATTCATTATCCCAAGAATCAATTTTCCACATTTAAACCTTAACTTTAACTTAAAAGTGAGGTGGTAAATTAGTAAATCTCTTCCATAAATTAGCTTTTCTTCCTAATTTTCCAAAACCACCAAAAAGTTATACTCCTGCACATTCATTTGATTCAGCTTTTCCTTCTCCATCTAATGTCCATCCTTCTAATGAAATTTATTTATTCCAATTAGTAGCTACATTTGTCCAAAAGAAACAATTATCTGGTTTATTATCACCACATACTGCACATTCTGGATGACATCTTTAGAATGACAATTTGAAATCTCTGAATGCCCAAGATTCCTATTTTAATTATAATCATTATTCTTACATTCAAAGCATCTTCATCCAAATTTGATGTCAATACTATACTTACTGTTGGTGAATTGTGTGGAACTTCAAATTCAATGTTATAAAAGGCTTCTTTCCAATCATTAGCAGCTCCACATAAATTAGCACCTTCAGAATAGTGCCATTTTGCTTGCCAAATGAAACCATCAACTAAAACAAACATTATTTCATTATCCCAACTATCAATTCTATTATTTTAGTTATTTAATCAATATTACTTCCACAATTGTATATTGATCTTTAATTTATAATGAGGTGGAAGTGTTAATTATTTTAATGCTGTTGCTCCTTTACCAAAAGCTCCATATCCACCAACCAAACTAATTTTATCACATTTGCTAAAAGTATTTCCTTTAAATGCTTTCTTTACAACCCAACCTAATTATTAATCATCAATCAATACCATCTAAATCATTTATTTCAGCTGATGTAAATGCTGTATAATGGGTTACCCAAGGATCCTATGCTAATAAGATCTACACACTCAACAATACAAGTAGGATTGTCTTCATAATATAATAATATTAATGCTAATCATTAATTCTCTTAAAAACGAATACTTTATAATTTATATTATCCAATATATATATAAATTCTGTTTGTATCATCCCTTTTATCTATTTCCATTATTAAAAAACCACACTCTTATCTAATTATTTTAAACAAAGAATTAAAATAAATATGATTTCTATATATTAAACTGTCATTTGACACTTCTCTTTTCTCAGAACTCAAAAATATCATCACTATTCATTCCCAATTATTAGAAATTTGTTCTAGCTAATGAATTCATCATAGGAGGACCACAAGTCAAAGCCAAAGTTTGATTATCTAATTTACCAAATGCTTATTCAGTCATATCTTTAGTGACAAATCCAGAAAAACCAACCCATTAAGCAGGAGGCTAATCATAATTTAATAATTATTTACATTGTCTAAAGTCAAATGTAGAGTTAGTTTCTTTAATGCAGCAAATGCTTTCAACTCATTGTATAATAAAATGTCTTACTAATATGATAGAATAATAATTATTACTTCAGATTTATTAGCAAAAAGTAATGCTAATTGAGTTCTATCATTATTATTTGTGGCTACAGCTTGTATAATTTAATACATTGGTGTGATTCCTGATCCACCAGCAATCATCACTATTTTTTTATATTTTTTTCTATATAATTATGGCATTTTATTGATCTAAACATTTCCATATCCTAAATATATTAATCTACCTCCAGGACCAGTAATATGAATAGATTCCCCTGGCTTATAATATAAATTAATTTTACAATCATATTTTCAATCCAAGAAGTTAATTTACCTCCATCAGGAAATTTAGGATGCTCATTAGCTCTATAGATTTTGATTAATAAATCAAAATTGCCCTTCTAATCAACTGGACTAGTGGGAGTGTATTTCCTCTCCACTAACTCTCCTTCAGGATATTCCCTAGTTTTTATTTGCTCACTAAATAGTTAAAATTTAAATTACTGTAAGATAATATGCTATCCTACTTCGATTCCCAATACGTGTCTTTTAGATGGAAGAGCAAATTTAAAATTATATGTGTCATGACTCAATTTGGTTTTCTCTATCAATTAACAAGTTAAATATTCCCGCTTATGTTTGGGCTCTAAAGCAGTTGGACCTTTGGGATTTATAAGACTTTTCCATATAAATTTGATTAAGGCTACAACAAGGAGGGCAGCAAATATATAAATATAAATCATTTAATAATATTTAAGTAAATCAAATATAGGATTTAATTTTCGCTTATAGTTAAGGTACATTATAAAGAGAGACCTTAGAGCCTGATTGTTGAACCATATTAGATTGATTATATTGACAATATGATTATTGTTGATAGGGTTGACGGGTTTATCTTGTTTTGTTTTCATTGTGTCCTATCTCCTTTGAATATCTTGATATTTATTTTCAATTTCAGCCATTTCATGATGATTTTTTATAATAATTTCATTAATTTCATTCTCTTTATGAAACACTTTCTCTTCCAAAAATGATCTCTCCCTATCAAACATTGATTTTACTTCTTGAACATATAATTCAATTTATTAAATCTATTTCATTAACTATTTATTTTCTGCAGTTAATCTATATATAAAAAAATTCATATATACCTATCATTTTCTTCCTATACTTAAGCATTAGGATTTTCTGGTTATAACTTCATTATTTTTAAATCTGACAATATACCATTTGGATCTTTTCTCACACTCCATTTAAATTTATCATTATCAAATTGTAATTAATCATTTTCTACTTCTCTTAGTTTAAGTCTCTTTCTCAATACTTCAGATTCAAAACACAAAACCTTCATTTATTCATATTATAATTAAAATTAATCTCTCAGCCTTTGTAGCTTAAACTAATTTTTACATTTTTTCAATTCCTCATCATATATACCTTTCAAATTTGTAAGTTTCTAAATCTTTTCTTTTAAACAACTCAAATGTTCTTATTAATCCTTTTTTCTAAATTCTAAATCATTCTCTATTGAAATTTTCTAATTCTCTAAAATATTATATGCTGCCAATAAACTTTTAAATTTCTCATTCACTTCCTTCTACAATGTATTTATTTAATTTAGATCAATACTCAATTAATGATTGAATTTCTGTAATCTTTCAATTGTACCTTCTTTCTCTAATATAGACAATTTATCTTAAGCTGCTATCTATGTTTATTAAAAATTGATTTTCTATTATCTCCCAACTTCTGATTCAAACTATTTTAGATTCTACTCAAATGTATCTATAGCTTTGTTCAAATAATTATTCTGTTTTCTAATTCTGCAAATTGAAATTTAGACTCTTATAATTAATCTTTAATAATTAATAATTTAGATCTAGATGCTTATTTTAAATCATATAATTATTTATCCAATTATTCAATTTACATTTTGGATTGACCTATCTATTGATTCTAGTTTCTAATTTCTTATTAAAGCATATCATTTATGTTTGAAAGTTTAATATTTTCTGTAATTAATTTTGTTTTTTCAATATTCTATTCTATTCATTCAATTATAATTATAATTATTAAGCAGATTCTTAATTTTTTAATAAAATTTCTTTATATTTATTAGCAATTTCTCTTCCTTTGAATTTTTTCTACAAGAATGACCATAATTATCCTTTTCTCTTTTAATTTCATCGAACCCACTTGAAGATTCACTTTTTAGATAATAATTATTTTTTATTTTAGTTTCCATAAATCATCTACTGTTGATTATGTGTGATTGGTTATTGTTTTTTAGGTATCTCTGATTAGTTATTCTTATTAAATCTTAATTTTCCTTTAGTAATTGCTTTTATCTCGAATTACTACTATTGATTTCTCTTATTTAAGATTAATATTTTATATAGGTTTTATAATTTGCTTTCCTTATTTGAGGCTAATTCTAAATTTTAGGTAACTATGCTTTAATTTCATTTTACTTAATCTATGGTTATAAGATTAGTTTTTCGTCTTTGTATTTTCTATTGATTTTTATCTATCTATTTCTGCTTTGGACTTTAGAGTATAATAAATATATATATAATTTATGATAAATATATAATATAAATTATTTTTATGAAATATATTTATAAAATATCAAATGAATTGAATGCTTTTGCAAACTAGACATTTTTTTTGGATGAACCTCTTTATTTTAACATTTCATCATCTAATGGTTTTTAAGATCAAATTCAAATTATTAAAATTTTTCATTTGCATTCTAAACTAATTTAAATGCTTCTTTTTAAGAATCTTAAGGATTTTAAACATCTCTGCTTACTTATACCAATAATTCTTTTTTTAATTTCTCTTGTTTCTTTGACATTAGATTAACGTATATGTTTAATAATATGAACCAATATAATAAAAGTAATATAAGTATATTATTATTTATCATTTAATCAACCTTCTTATAGAAATCTACGAATTTAACGTGATTCTTTGTTGAATAAATTGTATTCAATCATTTTATCAAAATCAATATAATATTTTGAAGTATTTCTCATTACATTTAGAGTGTTTGATTTTTGTGAGTTTTTGCAGTATTTTTAGTATGCTTTTTCTAGTGCATCTGTATTTTCTTTATCATAATTATTCCATTCATAAGATTTTGGTTATAATTAATATTACCATACTATTTCTTTTAAAGCTCCTCTACTAATTGGTTTTTTAGGTATTTCTTGATATGGTTTTTCAATATTCCTTCTTTAAATATGATTGATTTTCAATGTGTTTGTATTCTCAAGAGTTCCTTCTTTTAGATCTAATATAAATCTATTTTATTGCAAAGTGAATTCATATATTGATAAACCAGTCTAACATGCATTTTAATAGAAATTTTCAATTTTATCACTGATTGATAAATGTAAAGGTCTAAATTTACCATTATTCTTTTCAAACCAATGGTATTATGTATAAGTTAATTTAGGAGTGGATTATTATAGTGATATTTAAATTTTATTGTGTTATTTGAGCAATTTTTTACCTAAAGGCACTTCATAATAAATTTGTCTTGATTTTCCATTAAGAGTATTTATTAATCTCATACTTTTTAGGTCTATGCAATGTCCACCAATGTCAGCAAAACGTACATAAATGAGATCTTTCTCTTCATCAATGGCTTTGAGAATGGATAAACTTAATTGATCAGTTGCTTGTTAGACAGTTGTAGGTGTAATTTCAATATAAAATTCTTATAATTTATTTTGATTGATTTATTTTTAAGTCTAAGCTGATTTCTTATATTCTATATCATAAGTTTAATCATCTTGAGAATAGTTTTAGTAATATTTTTGGTTAGGACCTACTTTTCTCATTTTCAGAAAAATTAGTTAATAAAGTAAAATTAATAAATTTTCATTTTTATAATGAATTAAATAACATTAATATTATTGATCTCCATTTTTGGAGTGAATGGATATATTTAGACTGAAAGATGGTTTGAATAATAATTGATTGATCATTATGATAGAACTAACAAATAAACATTTAGATAAAGATATTGGACAGTTGAAGAATACTTCTAGCCAGAAGGTGGAGCAGTATTATTTTGGATCTGTGGAGAATATACATGTAATTTAAAGAATATAGAATAACTAAAGGTCCAGGAATAAGGAAGGAGAGACTATTTCCAATTGAATTAGCATAGACGCATAAAGCATTAATTGTAGTATTGGAACATAGATTTTATGGTAAAAGTATGCCATTTGATAAAGATGCGTTAAAGATAGAGAATTTAAAGTAAGATAATGAAATAATAATATAAGATATTTAGGTATAAGATAAGCATTAGATGATTTAGCTTACTTTTAATTGTATATTGTATAAAATAAATTATTTGGAGTAAAATAAAGTAATCCATGGATTGCAATAGGAGGTTCATATCCTGGTGCAATGGCTGCATGGTATAGATATCAATACCCACATTTAGTAGTTGGAGCATTAGCATCATCTGCAGTTATTTAAATTCTTACAGATTTTCCAAAATTTGATACATAAGTTTATTAAAGTGCTTTAAAATCAGGATAAGAATGTGCTGATAATTTAAAGGCTTTAAATTAATATGCAGAAGATAATATAGAATCTGTAAGAAGGAGATTAAATGCAGAGAAATTAACTGAGGATGAATTTTTATTTTATTTTACAGATGCTATCATTTTAAAAGTTCAATATGGTGGAAGAAGTAGATTATGTAATGATTTGAAGGGGAAGACTATTAATGAATAGATGGATTATTTTATAGAGAGAGCTCTTGTTGAGGATAATCCATAATCATATGGATCATATTATTTGAAGGATGATGTTTATGATGAAAATAATCTTAGATCTTCGAGATAGTGGATGTATCAATGTTGTACAGAAGTTGGTTGGTGGTAAACAGCACCAGATTAGAATTCTTTGAGATCTAATAGATTAGATATTGAATTTTATAAATAACATTGTAAGAATATATTTGGTGAGGAATTGAAGTTATGGCCAGATGAAGATAAAGGAAATGCTTATTTTGGAGGATTTGATTTATCAATTGATAATGTCATATTTACTAATGGAGATGAAGATCCATGGAAATGGGTGAGTATTATTGAATAATAAGGAAATATGAATGTATATCATATTAATTGTACTGATGCTGGACATTGTGTTGAATTGTATACACCTACTGATTAAGATTGTGATTAATTAAAATAAGCTAGGATTGAAATCTCTTAAATATTTGGTAATTGGATTAGAGATCACTATTCAAAATAAGAATTATGAATATTTTATATCAATCTAACAGTATTAAAATTAAATAATTTATATGAATTCCAAAGATTACAGTATTTATTTGAATATATTTCATAGTTCATAGAATGCTATACTTAAGTCAACTTAAAAAGGATTATTTAGAATAATGCTTATCTAAAGAATAAGAGCCAGATTATGAATTGATCCATGTTATTTCCATTATTGAATCAAATCAAAACTCAAATTTAGATTTAACTCTAGTGAAAGCAACATCACTTCTATTGATTCTGCCATTACTTAAGGTAAAATTATGCTATTATCGGTCAAGGCAGTGTCAAAATCAAATTGACTAAATTACCATCACATCCCAATAAGCCCAATAATTGAAAGACATCCTTCCATAGTTCATTGAAGAAAGCAATCTTGACATTTAAATACGCAAAAAGATTCCTCAATTAGATCTAAATTAAATCAATTCATCTACAAACAATATGATTTAATCTTCTTAAAGATTAAACAAACTATAAAAATCACCATCACAATATTAATTCAATACTGATCGTTTATAAAATCCTTAAAGTACAACAAGAATTAAAAAATAATTATTATCAACTGGTTTAAATCATTAAACTTAACCAAAATCACCTAACACAAAAATAGTTAATATCAAATTGAAAAAATAACATACAGAAATAGTAGGAAAATCATTAACACATAAAAAAAGATTATAATTATAATCTCATGAAGATATAAATAGAAAAGTTAGTTCTCATAGTTTTACTAAACATAAAAATACTAGTAGTTCACCAATTAATGAAACCACTAATATTTAAAGATAAATAAGTTAATATGCAAGTGGTTAACCCTAATTAAAACCTAATTCCTCAGGTGCTAATATCCAAATCAAAACCATATTAGAATCTTAATAAAGTTAAAAAACACTTAATACTGTTAATTCTAATGATTAAAATGCTGATATTTCTATCCATTTAAAAAATCTAATCAGTTTTTGCAATTAATCAATTTTAAAAAAGAATTAAGAATGCTATAGTTCTAAGAAGGACTTATCAACACAATAAACCAATTCTAGTGTCTTATAAGCAAAAGAAAACAACAAAGAAAATGCTTAACCAACTAAAAAATCAACTCCTTTATTAAAAGCAACTGAACATACTATGATTAAATTAACTGAATTAACAGAAGAAGATAATCCTGAAACAGCTAGATTTAATTCTGAAGATGATGTTCGTAAATTGACTAATTTCAATAGTAAAGGATTATAAAAGTTACTCTAATCAAAAACAAATTAATTGTCCGAATAGAGCTCAACATAATCATTACTTTCATTATTTTCAAGAAAATGATTATTTTTATCAATTAATATTTAATAATAAAATCTTAATAAAAATTGTGGAATCAATTAAATTTTTTAGTAATTTAATTACTTCTTTTCATTTCCTATTCTTAAATTTAATTCTATTTCAAAATATAAATAAATGCATAGAAGAAATACCTTTTATGATTATTCAATTAAAGAAAATAAAATTAATCTAAATCTTATATAGATTTTATCTAATAATTGAATAATAAGATTATGATATTATATATTACTTTTAAATCTTAATAAAAATGTTTCTATTGTCAATAATAAGCTTTTAATATTGAATTGATTTAGAATATTTAAAATTAGTTAAAATGATAATTGATTTTAATTATAATATAATTTATAAATGCAATAACAAACAATAGAGGACTTGGCAGAAAAGGAAGCTGAAATTAAAGAAGCATTTGAAATATTTGATAAAAACAAATCTAAAAGTATATCTGGTAATAAAATCTTAATTCATTATTATAACAGTTTAGGAATTGACTTCAGTTTTTCGTTCTTTGGGTTATAATTTCTCATAAGATGAAATATAATCTATGGTCAAAGAATTGAGACACACTTAAAAAGCAGAAGGAGCAGAAGATAAAGAATTAGATTTTGATGATTTTAAGAACTTATTATAAATGTAGGAAGAAAAGGCTAAAAGTGGAGAGGATGATTTGAGAGATGCCTTTGAAGTTTTTGATAGAGATGCAAACGGTTATATAGGTTTGGAGGAATTGATGATGGTAGCAAAAAGTTTAGGAGAGAATATTTCTGAAGAGGATTTAAAAGGGATGTTATAGTATGCAGCTAATACATTAAATTAAAAAGACGATGATAAGGATAAAGCACCTCAAATAAATTTATAGTAATTTGTTGAAGCTTATTTAAAATGAAAGCATATAAATAGATAATTATACTATACATTAAATTAATCAATCAAAAGTCTATAAAGTTATAAATAATATAATAGAATCCTTGAAAAATTTAAATAGAAAATAGTTAAATAACTCTTCACAATCTCCATGATTCATTTTTAAAGAAAAGAAAAATTAAAAAATTTAAATAACAAATTTAGTGATCTTATTTCATCTATTTAAAGGTTTCTCTTTTGAATTTGGCCCTAAAGTTAATTATTCTAAATTATAAATAAAATCTTAAGGTCAAGAGAAAAAGATAATCAAGTTTCTAAAAAACATACTACAGTAGAATGAAACAAAACAAAAAGTGAAGTATTTCTAGTGAGACTTTATGAAGGACCTAATGTTTAGGTTAAATTAATTAGTCCCTGCTATTTGGGTTAAAATTATTATCGAGTACATGAACATCATTATTTTAGAGAATGATTTCTTGATCTGACAAAAATGATATTTAAGTAAAAGAACTTTCTAAATCATTTGTGACTGGATTTGGTTTTGATAGATCAGAGTAGATTATTGATTATTCCTGGATCATTACAATACAGACCTGTAACAAAAATATGTGAATTTCTATTGGAGTAATTTGATAAGTCAAAACATTTTCAAAGGTGTAATGGTTGTGAAGTATTAAAATAATTTGATTTAGTTCTGTAAAATATTAAATAGCAGGAGAATTTGGAATATAGTGATTTATATGAATAATTATAAAGTTTATTTAAGAGTAAGACCAATTGATTATGATTAATCAATGTTGAATATCGAATAGAATGTCATTTCCATAAAAGTATTTCTTGTAAAGCACTTAGGATCCTACCAATAAATAAGCTGAGTGGTAATAGTACTGTTACGATAAGATATTTCCATCAACTTCTACTTAAAAAGAGCTTTTTGATGAGGTGTTCAATTTTGACTATTTAAATAAAAATGCCTGCATTCTATCATATGGATAATCAGGAAGTGGAAAAAGTTATTCTTTATTTGGAAATGTTCAAAATCCAGGGATAGTTCCATTATTTGTATAAACAATGTTAGAAAAAAGTCAAGCTGTAGAGGCTTCATTTTAAGAGATCTACATTGATCAGATTAAAGATCTTAATACTAATCTTGTAACAGAAGATTTTACAAGAAGGCAAATATTATTAATTAATGATCTATGGGATATGATAAAAATTGTTAGAAAAACTGACATAAAACGATAAGTGAGAACACATGTTATAATTACATTATATTTGAACTAAAATACTAAAATTTAGTTTATAGATTTGGCAGGATCTGAAAGAGTGGCTAAGAATATAACAGAAGGTGAAAAATATTAAGAAGCTATTATGATAACATCAAGTCATCAAGTTTTGAATAAATGTTTGAACTTATTTAATTAAAATAAAGCAATACCAAAAAGAGAGTCAAAATTAACTTCAGCTTTGATTTTAGAAAATAATAATTAAGTTATTTTAATTGGAACAATTAATCCAAGTTAATCTAATTATGAAGAATGTTTGCTTACATTATAATATTTGGATAGGACTAAGAATGTTTAAGTTTAGATTCGGAAATAACAATCTCTTTTAGGATTTGATACACCAAATAATTCATAATAAGATAAAGTAATAAAAAGGTTGTAAGAAGAAATATAAGAATATAAATAGAAAATAGAATAAATGAATTTGGATAGAAAGAAAAAGTTTATAGATTTATAAAAATTACTTGGTTTAGATATTGATTTAGAAAGATTATCAGCAAAAAATGCAAAAGATATAACAATTTTTAGAAATTAATAGGAAGCATTATAAAAAAATATTAGTCTTAAAGAATAATTGGAATAATAATAATATGAAATTGCTGAGTTAATAAAAAAGAATGAAGAATTAAAATAAGATTTTCATCAAAAATTAGAAAGATATCAATCTTAATTATTAGAATAAAGAGAAATTAATAAGAAATTGAAGGATTCAATTAATATGACAAAAATGAGTGGAGATGATGCATTAAGATAATTAAATTCAGAAAGAGATCATTTTATTAGGAAATTGTAAGATGAATCCAAAAATCTATTGGAAGATAAAGTAACTTCAATCATTAATTTACCTTAAACAGCATTAACTAAACTTTCAGAAAATTAAAAATTGTAAGATTTAAGAAGACAAGCTAGAAATGATGCTGAAAAAGAATTTAATAAATAATTAGAATAGATAAAATAAGAACATTAAAAATGGTTAGATACTTGTAAATAATAATATGAATATATATTAAATGAAAAAAATAAGGAAATCGAGAACTTTCTCTCTTCCTTTAAATAATATAGAGAAAAAAAAAAGTAATTTTTATTTTTATAATATTTAGATAATAAATCAATGAAATTGTAGATGAACTTCTTGATCTTTATGATATAATTCAAAAACAAAACAAAGTTATAGATAAAATAGAAACAGGTGGTTATAGTGGAGGACTAAAGTCTTTTAGCATTCCTAAATAAGATAAACCTAATCTTCCTAATAAAGTTAAACATAAAAAGTAATTTAATAATTCTATTTAGTTTGTTTTTTTATATAGATACAAAAAGTGTTTCAGCCACTATTACAAAGAAAGCATCGACTATTGAAAAAACTATTAAAACTGCAACAAAATAATTAAAATAATCTCAAAGCTAAATTGTTATTGAAATAGATTATAATCAAATTGATTAAATTAACTTTTAATCAATGGATTTAAGTACTTTAAGATCTTATGCAAATAAATTAAGAGATATGATTAAAGAATTATAAGATTAAATGATTATGGTATAGGATAAATGTAAATAATAAATAGCATAAATGCAAAGAGGTAAATTTATCAATTATCTAATAGAACGTGATGAAGCTATTCAGAGATATAATATTGAAAATAGAAGATACAATTAAAATAGAGTTGTAATTGAATCCTAAAATAGGATATTATAAAAGATAAGACCAATAAGTTCAATTTAAAGAAAATCATGATTCAAATATTTATCAAAGTAATCTAATTAAAAAATATTTATATATTAGGATAGAATTCATTATTAAAATATTATTATTATATAATGGTCAAACAAATTTGATTTACTTTGCGTATACTTTTTTCTACAATTTCTAAATAAAAATATTATCTCAAAATATTTACATAAAGTCTATGAGTATATTCATCATGAATTTTCTCTTTTTAAATTTATGTTTCAATACGTAATTTTTATTTATTTTTTTATTCTTATTATTTCATCATCTTAATTTAATCTGCTCTCTCAATCTTGGACTCAAATTTCTTTAACTTTTCAGTCTCTATTCTTCTTAATTATCTTTTTTGATATTTAATCCATCTATCATATGCTTCTTAGTCCAACTCTATTTTAGGTCTAATAACTACAAAATAATTAATTACCTCAGATGAATTGTATCACTTTCTAAGGATTTAAATCTATGTTCATTTTATTGATGCTTAACTGTAGATAATTGACTTTATTTCAATTTCTATATTTATCTATCAGTAATTAATGACATTCTTTCACAAGATTTCAAAACAAGCTCACTTTTTTGTAGTTCTTTTTCTCTAATTTATCTTTCATATAACAAGGCTTATGATATTTCTTTTTGTTATTTCTTCTTAAATAAAGATAAAGATTGAGAATCCATAATTTTTTACTATTATAATTATATTAATTACTATATAGTATTGTATATAAAAAATATATGAATCAATATTTGGAAATTCATTTTAAATCTATTAAAAAAATAAATAATTCCAAAACTAATTAAGTAAGGAATATATACATAACTAAAAGACTTTTTGATTGGTGTTATAAATCATAATCAAATAAATAATATAAATATTGTATGTGAAATTGAGTATTAATATAAGATTTATAAATATTTATAAATATAAAAAATTAAAGTTTTTCTTATGTCTATAAATATTGAAATTGAGCCTTTAGTTAAAATAATATAATAAAAATGAGGATAATTGTGATGATCAAATTTATAAGAATATATATACTTTGATTAATGATATAAAAATATATTTAAAACAGAATAAATATAATACAATCTACTTCAATCAAGTAGTTCTTCTAGATACTAGTTATCATTTCGATAAAAATAATCACTGTCATAGTTAGAGTTACAACAAAAGTTTTATAACTAAGGACGGGAGTCTTCATAGTTGGATAAATACTCGAAGTGACAGGGATCTATATTTTATAATTTATTATTGATACTTATTTGAGATTTGATTTCTGGTGTGTAATATTATTAGACTTCCATGGCATATGTTATGTTTTCAGCATCTAAATTTATTGTCAAAAAAATTACTATTTCTCTTCTTGTTCTTCTTGATTCTCTTTTACCCAGCTAATGTAAATGGATTAAATTTTTAATGGTGTGATCTTCAAATATAAATACTCTATACCTGCATTGCGATGGGGATCTAGTCCCAATTGTCATTGACATAAGTTTGAAGATTTTGTTATTTTTTCTATTTTATTGATTTTGCATAGTTGTATTTTGATGTTGTTAGAGGAACTCAACATAAATTTGATGTTCTTGATTAGACCAATGACCTTGATTTTTTTTTACATTTTAAGACTACTCTTTGCTGATTTTCTTTTTAGTGGCTTAAGACTTCTTGCTTGTTTCCTATTCATAATAAGAAGACTATTTACGTTTAAAGTAAATGACAATTCACCCTAATTATTAGTTCCTTAACTGCTTAATGAGTCACTTAATTCATTTTATTTGGGAAATTAATTTTGAACAGGAAGAGAAGAAGTTTATGATAGCAAGTGTAAGACACAGCTGTTCTCCATTTATAAGTATTAAAATTAATAATATATTTACCCTCTACATACTACCGTCATAAGCCGTATTATAATATATTAAATTTCATTCCCCCCCCTTATAAATTGTAAATTTGTAAAATAATATATAAAATTATTTTACAATTTTTTTATGCTTCATGACAGTTGTTAGTTGAAAGTATTAGTATATAAGAATGGTTAAAATAAAATAGAATTTTGTTTAATCTTTTAATTAGTAAATTAATTAATATTAAATGTTTTTCATCGGTTTTTTTATAGATAATTAATGTAACTGATTATTAAATTAGTAAAATTTTCTTAAGGAAACGATTTTATGAGTGTTTGAATTTGATGATCTAATAGCATAAAATGATTAATTAATAAAATACAATATTAGGAATAGAATATTATGATTTTTAATATAAAGGGAAAATTTTAATTATGAATTAATCTATGTCATTATAATTTTAATTCATTGAGTTCCTCTTTATTGTAAGTAGAATTATAAAATTTGCTAATATATTTAAGATGATTTTTAACATCTTATATTTTTTCACTTATCATGAGATCATGAATTATTTAAAATCCTTAGAAGTAATTCCTTGATAATTCTGCCGCAGTTTCATCACTGAAGAGTTTAGTGAAATCTTGTCTTGAAAAGTTTTTTTTGTTCTCTCCATTTTTTAAGAATGATTTAATAGCTTAATTGTCAACATTTTTAGTACCTATAATTAGGAAAATGAGTGAAATAGAATACATAAATATTTTTTCAATAATACTCCAAAATTTTTAGGAATATTTTTAGTTTCTGATTTATATGCTTGATGTGTATCTTTGTTCTTATGAATCTTCCCTTTCTTGTTTAAACTATTGATTTAAGAGGATTCTTAAAAATCTTCAGTTGATAATTATGAACGATAAACATCTTCTATTTTCACTTATGGTTCATCTTCAACCTTGATATCTTACTTTACATATTTTTTGAATGAAGAATTGGGATTGAAGTAATCTTTGGTGGAGAATTTATATTTTTGATTTTCTTGTTAAATCATTTTGAATTAATATTTGACAATAATATTTATAACATAAACAATTCTATGAATTCTAAATACTATATAAATAACAGAATCTTATATATATATATATAATATTTAAATATTGAAATCATATTCATTTCTAATCGCATAGCTATAATCCTTAAATTAATTCTTCTTAGATCTCTTAGGATAACTTCTCAATCATTTTAATATAATTTTCATGATCTTATTTAGAAATCTATTTCTTATTTTGTGTTTGATTTTTTAAAGCATTATTTTTTATTTATAATTCATGAAGTTCTTTTTTCTTCTGTTCAATCATTTTCATTAATTGTATTATTTATAAGTTTTGTTCATTCTAAAAATTAAAAATAAAATTATCTTCGATTTTAATTTCTCTTTAAGAATTCTATTGTGTCATAATTTAAGGTAGAGTATCAATAAAACTACCATTATCAATGCTGCAAACAGAATTACGTTTTCTAATCATACTACCTTTGGGACTTGAAAATGTTAATTAAGAATTTCCTAGCTTTTAGTCCAATAAGGTTTTAATTTATGTGATAGCTCAAATATAATGGAATAAATAAGATACATTTATAATCAGTTTTAGTTAGAATTTATTTGCCTATTGTCTTGTAATCAAAACCAAATTATCCAAATGATTTTAGACAACATTTTGCAACTACTATCAAATATTTTTAAATGACTTCAAAATTCATCTACTAAACAAATTCTAAAAATATAATATGAAAACAAGAAAAATTTAATCCTTTAATGAATAAACTCTATGTATTTGGAGTCGAAAAGAATTCCATAAATTTTTTAATTTAAGAAATTTAAGTTGAATCAATTTTGAAGGCTAATTGGAAATCTTAAACTAAAGTTTATATATTTGGTTCCTATGTTGAAGTAGGCCAATATTCATTTGGCATTAATTCATATAATTATTCTAATAATTATAATGCAGCAAAGTCTTTCATTAATGTCAGTAAAACAATTGAAATTTATAATAATTCGCAAGAGTATCCCACTTCTGCATTTCTATACAAAAATACAACTAATAGATTCTCTATATCATCAAAAATTTAATTAACTTTCATTTTATTAGTTGAATGACAAATCCAATCCTAAAATGAATAATTAAACATTTCTTATGTAATGAAACACTAAATTATATTATGTAAAATTGATTACTTTTATTAAATCAGATTTAATTTATTCAAGATTCTATTTATAATTCTCATTAGCTTTGGCATTTTTAATTTACTATTTATATTACTCTAAATTTAAGGATTATTGATAAAGATCAATTTATAATTCTGTTTCCTTATTCCACGACAATTCTGACTGTTCTAATTACTCTTCCATATATAAACAATCAGTTTTGCATTGTAGACACACTTTTTCCTTTTTGAGTGGTTTCAACATGGAGGAAGAGATCTAGGAAGTAGAATGAAGTAGATGGCTACTTTGAATTCATTTTTATTGCAATCAAGACATACTACAAGTCCGCATCTTTTACATTTTGATTTGTTTTGTTTGATAAAGGAGAATTCTTTATTACATATGGAACACTGCTTATCCATTAATTAATATAATAATATTAAATACACAAAAGTTTGAAACATCAATCAAAATCTCAGTGACTTCTCGCTTTTGATTCCTCCAAACTTTTCATTCAATAACCCTTTTATTTTTACATAATCATTATAACTCCATGATTTCTTTTAATCTTATTCATTTAACATATTTAAAGCCTATAAAAAATGAATTATATATATATATTACTTAACTCCAAGTAACAAATCTACCTTTGATTCTTAATCTCTCTTCAGCAACCTTCTATCTAATATGATAATGAACTTTTTTTTCATAAGTACGATTATGTTTTTTTTCTAAATATCTCTTAACTTTCTATTTCCTTGCCATTTCCTTAAGAGATTCATAATTAGTTGATGTACACAATTATTCAACCCAATCTTCAAATTTTAAAGTCTCTTCATCATTCAAAATTTCATCACATAATCCTACTTTGATTCTTAGTAGATCATCACCTTTTACATAATTTGAAATAAATTCATCTTGTTTTTAAGAAGGAGTAAAACGCATATTCAATTCTACTAAGTGATCATCAACATTTGAAGGAGCAGGCAAATTCTTAGGATAAGAAAATTTTTTCTAATTATCTCTTTATAATTGTTCTGCTAGTCTTTCTAAATCTCCCATTATTTGAACTTCTGATTATTCGACAATAGTGTTTTCTTACCAGATACATACTTTCTTTTTAGGATCTTCATCTAATATGAATTCATCAAAATTAACAGGGTTTGGTTTTTTTAATTGTAATAACTACTATGGTGAATAGACTTACAATTGAATATCATTCTACTATTATTCCTACTAGTTCATTTTAAACAGAATCATTACCATCTCTTTATCTACTATATAATGAGGCTCCTCATATGTAAATGAGTTCTCTTTCTCAATTTCAATATTCTCTTATTTATCACAAGACACTTCACTCAACTCTTTGACAGTATTCATTTCTTAAATAAAGAATTTTATTTTAGTTTATAAATCTTTTTATTTACTTCTAAATTATCAAACCCTTATGAGAGAAAATTCATATTGAAGATTGATAAAAATATATAATTGACATTTGATTCAAAAATAGTAATAGTATAAATTTAAATATAATGTAAAAAGAGTTCACATTAGTATTCTTTTTCATTAATATTAAATTTTAAATCAATAAATTAAATAAAAAATGACAACACTTGGAGAAGAATTTCAAACTATTTTATAAGAATTAGACAAGTCTAGACTAGATACAAGTAATTTGGAAACAACTTTATTGAAATTATTAACATTTGGTATATTTTAATCATGATATAAAAAAGATTCAAAATCTGAAGAGCATTTGAAACACAAGGAGAGTTCATATAATAAATTGTCTTAATTGTATTGCAAATAAAACAAACCACAATTAGTATTTCAGATTATGAAAACTCATGATTTCTCTGGATTCAATCAAACAAGAGCTGCAAAAATTATGAGATAAATGATTGATCAAGTAGCATAATTAGAAGGCACAATTGAATTATAAGTTGAAATGTGTTAATTCTTAATTGATTAATGTGCAAGAGACAAGAAGAATTACTTAAAACATAAGATGTAAATAAGATTGGCAACATTATATAATGAATAAGAAAAGTTCACTTAAGGAATTGAAATTATAGATAAGATTGTAGGTGAAGTAAGAAAAGCTGATGATAAACATTTACTATTGGAAATTTATCTTATTGAAAGTAAATTGCATTTTGGATAAACAAATCTTGCTAAAGCCAAAGCCTCATTAACAGCAGCTAGAGCATGTTCTAATACAATCTATTGTCCACCACATGTTTAAGCTGAAATTGATATGATGGCTGGTATTCTCTATGCAGAAGAAAGAGATTATAGAACTTCTTATTCATATTTTTATGAGGCTTTTGAAGCATTCAATAATTTAGAAGATAAGAGAGCTCTAAGTACTCTTAAATATATGTTATTATGTAAAATTATGATTGGAGCTACTGATGAAGTCAAATAAATTTTAACTGGAAAATATGGTTTGAAATATGCAGGCAGAGTAATTATATATATATATTAATATTAGCATTTAGAAGCAATGAAAGCCATTTCTAATAGTAATTAAAAGAAATCTCTTATTGAATTTACTAAAGTTTTAGATGAATATAAGGAAGAAATTGAAGGTGATAAAGTTATGAAATTACATATCAAATAGTTATATGAAGTCTTATTGGAAATGAATCTATTTTAAGTCATTTAACCATATTCTAAAGTTTAAATTGATTATATTACTGAAAGAATGTAAATTGATGTCGAAATTATCTAAAGAAAGTAAATTATTAATTAATCATTTTAGATTATCTGAGTTAATTCTAGACAAGAAAATAGATGGAACTTTAGATTAAGGAAATGATTGTTTGATATTGTTTGATACAGTTAAACATGATAATTTATATTAACATTCCCTTAGTTTGATTAATAATTTGAATGGAGTGGTAGATAAACTATTTGATAGAGTAAAAGTCAAATGAAAAATATATATATTATAGTAAATATGATTAATTACATTATTTTATTAAATAATTTGGTAAATTCTAATAAATTTTACATTTCAATTTATAACTGATTAAATATCAAAATTATTAGAATCTATTATTTTTTAATAATAAAAAGTTTAAAATTATAATCATATCTATAATTAAATAATTAACTTTTATTTTCAATTATAAATTACACAATATGAATTTACTTTATTATAATATAACCATTAAAAATTTAATAAAATTAAATAAATATTCAAAAATAATTTAAGATACTAATACATTCATATATGAATAAATTAAAAGATTTAATTTAATAATATTTAAAAGTAATAATATTAAACTAAAATCATAATGAAATCAGTTTGAAAATAAAAATTAATTCATGATATTAAGCATAAAATATGTAATAGAATTTTCAATTAAATCAATTTAAGGCGAATTTAGATAAGCTTTATTAGGTTTTGGTGAGTAAATTTTTAGATTTGGTATATATTTTCTTTGGAGGAAGAAGATATTTATTTAGTGTGATACTATATTCAGATTTGTATGGATGATGTGTTTTAATAGTTTTAATAATAGTTTATTTGGTTCTTTTTAAGTTTATATTTAGTTCATCTGGTTCAGTGATTTATTATCTACTAGTTTGAATTAATTAATTTAAGTTTTTATCTATTCGTGTCATTTATGTTTTAAGTTAGCTTAAAAAATATGTATTTGATTTTTTAGAATGCTAATATTATGAATATATTGATGATATTTTCTTGTTTTAGGAATTATCTTTGATTTCATCTTGTGAACTAGGAGTTGAAGTTTTTTATGGTGAATGATGACTGAAAGGAGAATTGAATTATTAATGATTACGAGAGTATATATGGAAATTCTTGTATTTTTATTTAGATCTTAAATATTTATCTGTTGGTTTAAATGTATTTATAAGTAAATTGGCTAATCTTATTTTTCTATGCATGACTATTTCATATAATTAATTAGGTAATGTGATTTGTTTTATATTTGAACTAGAACAATGAGAACAATGACAACTATTTCTACGAAGCTAATTTTGAGAAGGTGTGTATGAGTTTTGATTAAACGAAATTGAATGAAAGGATCTGATCATCATAAAATATTAATAATAATATATATAGTTTACAAGTAATTGTTATCATCCACACATAAATTATTTCGTACCAATAAGTTTAGCACATTTGGAACACTTATGTTTAGCATCTTTACAATTATCAAGTAAGCATGGAAGGAAAGCAAAAATAGCTGTAATTAAACCAGCAATTAGGATAATCATTACAATATAGCTACATCTACCCATTTCATATTAAACATCAGATTCTACAACTTGATTACATTAAGTGCAAAGTAATTTTTCTGTTTTTCTTGATTATGGCACTTTTGGATATTCTGTTTCCTTTTCAATAAGTTTATTTCTCACAGAAAGTTCGATTTAACTAGATTTTACCAATTAATAAGTTCCCTAGGACTGTCCACTTCTGGTTTGTTAATTGTTCTAATCGGATTCAATCATAGGATTCGAAATCATATTTGATTATTAATTATTTTATATATAGATTATCTAATGTAATTGAAAAGTGAAAAATGTAGTATTTTAATCTTTATCTTTATTATTAATTGTGTTTCTCAATTACTAAATCTTTTTCATTTATTGATTATGAACTTAAGTATCAGTTGACTTAAATGATAAATCTTAATTTCCATAAGCAATATAATAAAAAATTATAGCAATTAATATTTTTAAATTTTAATATCTTTAATAGATTTCTAATCCATTTCCTATACTAATAAGATATTAAATAAGTGATCGTCTTCTAATATAAGTGATTTAATTCTAATTATTAAACTTAATCTGATTCTATTTCTTTTTTTGAAATAAAATTAAAATTTTAATTATATTTGTAAATTCTGAGTTACTTTATAAATTATTTTTTTATTATTCTAAATTATTCAATATTCTAAAATTACCAAAAAGAAGGTTTATTGATGTATATAAATTGAAAAATAAATTTCAATATATATACATTCTCTTTTAAAATTATTAGAAAAAATAACAGATAATAATTGAAATTCTAATTATTTATTATAACAAAAAAGTTTATATAATAAAATTATTGTATTTTAATGAATTTTGAGATAGTGCACCTAAAAAGATTTTTGCAAAAAACTATTTATTTTATACAACACTAACATTATTTATAATAATTAAATCATTCCCAATGATCAGCATATGAATTGCATTTTTTACATTGTTTCTCTTTATATGTATGTCCAATCATAGAATTACATACTGTTTTATGCAACTTCTCTGTCTCTATTTTTTCACATTTATCATTGTTCTCATAACATACAAAAACTTTTCCTTAATGATTCACATACTCTCCATTGCATTCTTTGATACTTCTACTACTGCAGTCAATCTCCTAACACTAATCATTTTCATATTAACATCCTCCTTATTAACATACATCCTTATCTTTGATAGATTTGCATTTATCAATAAATGAATTTCTAGCCTTGCATTTTCTATCCCAATAACAAATTGAATCTATTTCTAATGGATTACTTTTAGCAATCAAAAAACTATCACATGTAAATTGATCATAAATATCATTACACTTCTCTGGTTTGAAACAATATCCACTCACAAGATCATAAGCACATTAATATAATTAACATTATTCTCTAGCCTATCCAATATTATTTTAATTTATTTGAATTTCATCACATTTGTTCAATTTCTCACATTTTCCATTCTTAATGAAACAATAATGAGGATTTTAACTTAAGAATTAAGATGCAATTATGCAATTCTATAATGATCTTTCATTACATTCAGCAATTCTGCATTCTGACTCTGCCCAAAAACAATTATGACTTTCACAACTATCTTAATCTATATGTTCTTAGCAATCACATGCTGTTGGATAATCAAGTGCTCCTTTTATACAATACAGAAATCCAAATATATAATAAATTATCATTAATTATAATCAAATTTCTCTTTCAAAATTCTTCTATTTCATATTATCAAATTCATATTGAAATAAGTTCTCTTTATTTATAAGAATAATTGTAAAACATCAAAATTTTTATAACACTTTTCCAAAATCATACTCATTATATTTATTCATTTATTTTTAAAAAATAAAATTAGAATTCTTAAGTTACCACCAATATTTTGATTATTATATTTCAATTTCTTAATAAACTTTAATAAAAATTATCTAAATGAAATTATATTCACTTATAAAATTATTAAAGAATTCTTTTAAAATATGTATTTTCCCACTAAAAAAGTAATTAAAAATATTCTATAATATATCAATTTCATGATTTATTTGTGTGTTATTGATAAATGAATTATTAATAAAGTCTATTTAATATTTAGGATCAAAAAGAGTTATATGTAGTACTAATTTTCACATTTTATATCTCTCAATTTATTGATAAGAAGATAATTTTTTAGTTCTTTAGCTAACAATAATAGGATTCATTTATTTATTTATCTTCATTCCATTTATTAATTTATTAAAATTCTGATCGTTATGGATTAGGAAATAAAAAAGCTTGAATAACTAAAATAATAAGAAATTCTGTTGATGTAATAGATTTATGAAAAGAAAGTATTGTAAATGTTTTGAAATAGATTAATTACTTGAATACAAAAATATAATTATTAACAGAAGAATCAAAATAAAAAGATATTGAATTACAAAATCTAAAAAATGCATCCTTAGAAAATTTTATTGAATATTAAGTTAAAACTGAAGAGTTTCCAAATCTTGAAATTTAAAAATAAAAATTGAATGATGAAAAGGATAAAGAATTATAAAAGATTAAAACATAGTATTAGACTGATTTATAAAATATTCATCAACAAATGAGAAATAGAGATTTGATGATAGAATAAATGAAATAAGAGATTAAAATGTTTGAACAATTCTCACAATAAAACCTTGACCATTAAAAAGTATAATTCCTATCTTAAATCATTGATGTTACCAATGAATTATTAGTTTAATTATGAATTCAAATATGAAATAAAAATAATTATTGTGTGATATTAAAGATAGTTTATGAAATGAATTATGAATTAATATATTTAGAATATAAAAAATTGATCAGAGTCTGCTAAAAATAGAATTTATATATTTAATGAATAACAGATAATTACAAATATAAAAATATCTAAATTAAATGTAATACATTTTACTATTTCTAATTTTTGAAGTAGTCTTTGTAACAGCTTAGTTATGCACTGAATCAAACCCCATCTTAAACAATATGTACAAAGCAAATAATCCTGATATTTAAAAAAAAGAATGGAATTATCAATCAATAACATGTATTAATTAATAATCTAAATTTAGCATTTGAGCAGTGTAAATAGGGAATAACATCAGATACTAAAAATTTTGATGTTTCTTAAGTGTCCTTATTAAATCCTAAAATCAGTTTAGATGTTGGAGAGATGATTTAGTTAGTGATGGATAATGCTTCAGGACCATTGGCTTAATATAAGACAGATTAAATCAAATTGACATCCTGGGGAGCCACTAATATTGCAAGATATCAATCTGTATATTTCACAATTGGAAAGGCAGAGCATAATTTCGATTTTTGGTCAAAAGCTCCTGATGCTGAAATTCAAGTGTATTTCATTTAGGATTAAATCTATCAATAATGTTAAAATGAACCTCTTTATGCTGTATTATCAATCCCAATCTATGGACTTACAGAGATATAAGATATTAGATATACAATAAATATGAATGTCTCAACAAATCTAGATTAAATTACAGATTTCAATTTCAAATAGAATATACTTGGTGCATATCATTCTGATATGACTAGTTTTGTGTCTTATAAGGCACCACTCAATATTCCGTAAAGATTTAATCATATGAAATCATAGGCCATGTGAAAATACTAATTGGTTTGTGTTGACATAGCCATAATTCATTAAATAAATATTGTTATAGAGTTTACTGGGTTTAAATGCAGTAAATACCTTATAAAGAACTTAGTTGGATGGCACATATTTGAATTTCATAAAAGGAGTAAGATTATTTTATAATTCTTTATAGAGATTCATTTATGAAGGAGAAGATGATATGAAAGATTATGATGATACTGTAGAATGGGCTGCTACATGGGTTGCCTCTATAATTCCATGCTTATTTTTTGCATTGATTGTTTGTGTCTATGGTTAATATGAACTTTCAAATATTGGAAGATTTAAGAGACCTGATGTTAAATAACATGAAGGAGTTGAATAAGAAGCATTACATCAAGATGATGCTATAGAAAATAAACTTGCATGACATTATTTTTAATTTATTGTCAAATTTACCAATATTTATTTTTTATTACAAATCCCTCAACACTTATGGATTAATCAAAGAAGACTCTCGTCAACCCAGAGACTAATGTTTATAATTTGAGTGGAAAGACTCTACCAAAAACATCAGTGTTTGTTACCAAAATTTATTTGAAGAGATTTGATGTTGTAGAGGTACATGCATTAGGAGAAACAATCTCAAAGGCAGTAAGAATGGCTGAATAACTTTAAAGATAGAGTATCTTTTATAAAATTACTCTTAGATTATGTGACAATTGAGAAAATCAATACATTCACTCAGAAATTCGATGATGATAGATCCAAAGCCAAGATTGTTATTACCTTAAAAGTGACTGCTGACGGAAAAAAGAGAGTCATTGAGGAGATTAAATAATGATAATCATATCAATATATAAATAAAAGTCTATTTTTTTTCTTTTCTTATTTTGAGATTTAGTGAAATAAAAGATTATTAATTAAAATGGAGATAAAGTATTTAGATGAGATAGAAGATCATATCAAAAAAGAGTTTCTAATTGAAAAATATATTGGTAAAGGATCTTATGGTATAGTATGGAGAGTTAAAGATCTTAAAACATAAAAAAAATATGCCCTTAAAAAAGTATAAAATCTCTAATTTGTATAAGATTTTTAGAGCATTTAGAAATTGTACTGATGCTAAAAGAACTGTTAGAGAAGTGAGTTTTCTAAGTTAATTATCTAATCATGATAATATAATTAAATTAGAAAAGGTTATCAAATCATAAAATTAGACTGATCTGTATTTAGTATTTGAATATGTAGAATCAGATCTTCATAAAGTATTTATTCATAATATCTAAGGTAATCCAATAAAAAATATTATTACCTATCCATCAGAAATATATAATTTACTAAATACTTCTAGTTCTTTAATATCTTCATTCTGGAGAATTAATACATAGGGATCTAAAGCCAGCAAACTTGTTATTAAAAAAGTCTTGCATTATTAAGTTAGCAGACTTTGGTTTGGCACGCTGTGTTTAAGATTTGGATGAGAGTATTTTTTTTAAATTACTAAATCTTTAAAGCAATTCCTGTTTATACAGAATATGCTGCTACTAGATCATATCAAGCTCCAGAAATCCTCTTTGGTTCTTAAAATTATTCTTATGCTGTTGATATGTGGAGTGTAGGCTGTATATTATTTGAGATGCTGACTGGCTAAGTCATGTACAATAAGGAAGCTATATATGATTAAATTTAAAGCATTTTTGAATTTCTAGGAACACCTGATGATTAAGATATTGAATCGTTTAAACTTAAAAATCCTGAAAATCTTCGATTCTAGACATAATTATTTTAAACTAAGTAAACTTTTAGGATGCATTAAATACTTGATGCTTACGATCCGAAAGCCAAAGATTTTATAAAGTATTATTAATATTGTGATTCTTTCTAGAAATTGCATGAAATATAATCCTTAATAAAGAATGACTGCTTAATAAGCTTTAGAACATCCTTATGTTTAAGAATTTAAGGGACATTTTAAATAAAAATTAAGTGGTAATTATTTATATATATAAAATAAAGATTTTAAATTTATATCTTTAAAGAATGATGAATAATTGTATTCAGTAAAAGAATATTAAGATATTCTTGATAAGTTTATACAATTTAGAGATGGAGATATCTAAGAGTTCAAAAGATAAAATAACCAAAAATTATTAACTTAATCAAATAATAGAACTATCATATAAAGTCCAATTAAAACTTTCTCTAAAAATGATAAAATAACTTAAGAACATTTATAGACTTAACAAAATAAATTTGGCCCACGTATTTAACCTGAGAACAAATAATTTGAAAAAAATATAACTCTACAAGAATTTTAATCTTGCGATGCAATAGATTCTCTTTGCGAAAATAAAAAATAATAATTTCATTAACCTAGAGTTAGTAATGATACTAAAAAAATGAGTTTAAAATATTAATTAAACTAAAGAAAAAATTCATAGGAATTTTTTGAGTGGGCTAGAAGATTGTCACTATAAACAAATTGTTCTTAATTTTCAATTTCTGAAAACTAAGGCTCATTAATAAAATAATCAGGTTATTATAAGCTTGAACAGTTTAAAGAGAAGAAAAATCTTGAATGATTTTTAAAATCTATACAAAAAATATAGCAAAACATTATTCAATTTATTTTAATCACTAAATTCTCTCAAAACAATTCTCTCATATATGGAATATTGACTAAATACGCAATTTTTGTGATCATTATAAACTTGAATGGGCTAAAGAAATTTTAAGAGTATTAAATTGATGCTTAGAATTTTTAGATTCATTATCAAATCATTAAATTGAAAATATGGTCATTCATTCTCAATATATATGAAGCTAATCGTTTATAACTTAAAAGATTATAAGGATTGCATAGAAGTAAAATTTGTACAAGAGGAAAATGTTGTAGATGTTCTGGACCAGAAGGAAAATGTACTTGTGAATTACTCTGGGAACTTTTATAACAAATTACTTGTTATATTAAACATATATTTATGGCTGAAAAACTATTGAACATACAAGAAATAATGATATCTACATTAAATGAAATTTAATCAAACTATTATTTACTAATATATTAATATTTACCTAAAGAATAAGTAATTGTTCTATTAAAAATTATTAAATTAGATTGTTTAGATTAGCTTTTTAAATAAAATCTGATTGATGGATTTGTTATTTCTGTTTTCAGGAAATGTCCATTTACTGAAACAAATTAATTGCTAAAACTATTTGATTTTAACTTATAATATAATAAAAATCTTAAAATGTTAGACTTTAAACTCATTCCAAAATTACTCAACTTTAAAAATATACATTTAGTCAAAATGTGTTTTTAACATTATTTTACTCAGCCAATACATTAAAATCAAACTATTTATAATTGTTAGAAATAGATCAATTTTAAACAGAGGGTTAATAAATTAGTCATTTTGATGATTATGATTTATTCTATTTTAATGTAAAATGTCCAAAAGTGTGGAAGAAATCTTTGGATAAAAAAGCTTAAACCTCAGATGATTTGGAAACTTTTAAAGTTTTCAATTTAGAAGATGGTCGTCATGAATCCATCGCCATAGATGCTTTCAGATCAAATTCTGTAGGTATGTAAAATCATGTTAAAAAAAATATGGATTAGTTGAAAATTCAAAAGCAAAATTCAGGAATTGAAAGAAGTTTACGTTAGAGATAGGATCTGATTTATTGGAATTAGAATAAAAATCTTAAAACATTTCAACTGGTACTGATAAATGTATTACAAATGAAACAGTTACTACAGAAACGACTCCTTTAATTGATTCTTCTAAAAATTTAGCTGATTAACAGTAAACTATGTAAGAATCAATTTATTTAACATAAAAATATAAATTGCAAGAGAGTGTATATTTGTAAATACCCTAATAATAATAAATGCTAGAATCTCTGTAATTTTCATAATAAGATAATAAGCCTATCCAAGAACCTGTGTATTTTTCTTAGACAAAAGATTAGTTATAATAAATGTAAGAATCTGTAATGTTTCCTTAAAAAGACTATATATAAATGCAAGAATCTGTATATTTTATACCTCCCAAATAATAAATGTAAGAATCAGTTTATTTTCCTTAATAATATAAGTAAGAGTAAAAGTTGTAAGGATTTGTTTATATTTCTAATCAAATGTAAGGTTCAGTGGTTTTTATTGAACATTAAAACTAATAAATGCAAGAATCAGTAATGTTATAGGATCCAAAAAATAACAATTTTGGTCAATCAGAAATGGTAGGATAATCAGTAATGATGGGTTTATCTAAATTTACTAATAATAATAATAATATTAATAACCCTAATATTAAGAAACCAAATATTAAAAATAACTATTAAGATCCTCTGTGATAATCAATAAATATAGAATAAATAATTGAAGAAGTATCTTAGGTTAAAAAAATATAATAGAAAAGTGTAAAGTTAAAAGTATCTTTTTAAGAATAAGATGATAAAAAGAAAGGAGAAATTTAAAATAGAACACCAACAAGATAAAAAAGAATTAAACTAATTTCATCTATTGAATAATCCTCTTTACATAGTGTTATTAATAATCAATTTATTTTAAATATCAGTCATTAAATGAAGATAAAGTCTGAGTAATTTCATAAAGTAAGTATAGAAATATAATAGATATTATTAATAAATTTGATTGGTGCAACTTTTGGTAGAAATTAAGATAATTAATATGTTTTGTAAGATTAATCAAAGATTTCTTCAAAACATGCCAGGATTAAAATTGTGAATGGTAAATTTATGAAATAGAGAAGATAGGTTTTCATTTGTAGGATTTAGGATGTAAAAGAGGGACATTTCTAAATGCTAATAAAATGAGAATAAAATAGGCTATGGTATTTCATATTGGAGACAAGTAAGCTTTTCAAATTTTAGAAGTTAATGACAAAGATGGAAGTTTAACATTTGTATTTGACAAGGAATTAATAGATACGAAATAAGTTAATTTAAAAATTGGTGAAACTTGGTGTATAGGAAGAGATTTAAAGAGAACTCATTATTAATTTATAGGATATCCAATTCATCAATTATTATCATAAATTCATTGCATAATTACTTATGTTTTAAAAGGATGGAGAACTAAAATTTATTATTGATGATTAAAATTCAAAAAATGGTACTTGGTTAAGATTAAGCGATAAGAAATTACTAAGTGAACCTCAGTTGCTATTGAGAAACAGTAAATTTAATTTGGCTTTTGAGATACAATATGAAGTGATTGATGTTTATTATTAAAATAATTAATGAATAATAAAGAAAAATAAAGCATATGGATATAAAAAGAAGGCCATGAAAACCTTGAAAACAGTATATTAGTTAATGTCAATACGGGAGAAAATAGTTAACCTACATCTCGTATTAAAAGCAAGAAAAATTAGAATAAGTAAGCATGCCATTGTGGCATTTTTTGATAGACAAAGTTTCTTAAAACTGATTTTAAATGATATTATCTTCACGAACTGTATTATTGATATATTAATAATTCTATGATCTTTATTGAGATGAGAATTCAAATATGTTAAGAACTTGAGAATGCTTTAATCTCACTAATAATATTTTCTAATCATTTTAAATCTTTTAATATATATTATAACATTAGTAATTTAAAATCCTTTGAAATTCGATCGGTAGCTTGGAATTTTCTATTTAATTAATCATGCATTATTTTCTTTCATTTTTAAGAAACCAAACAAACTAATAAAACCTATATATATTTATGTTATTGATGTATAAATGATTCATTTTATTCAAAGAGATTATTACAGAAACTTAAATAGTTTGATATTTGTCATTAAAATTGTTTGATTATTCTTGTATATTTAACATCATCAACAATTAATTTAATAAAAAAATTAAATAATAAGAAAGCTACAAATTATATTTAAGATAAGTAAATATATTAATCAGAATTATACATATACATCTATATGGCTTTAATTTTTATTCTTGTATTTAAAAAAATCTGCATTATTTAATTTTATTTAATTTAGAGAAAGAATAACAAATTTTTAGCAAATTTATTGGCTATGCTTTATTAATATATTATTATCTGGTCTGATTTTTATAAATAAAATGATGTCAAGTTCTATTTAATTACATTACTTTTTATTTTATTTTTTATCATAACATAGGTCTCCCACTTTATTTTAATTCGTAATAAATTGATAATTATGAATATTGAGAGTTCATTATTCTAGTTATTTAAAAATATAAAACATTATTGATGTTCTCTCTTACATTTAGTCCTTCTAAACTCATAATTTATATTAGTTTAATATAATCAAATAATGTAAATATTTTTTTAAATTTTTCCTATAAATCGATTTATTCACTAATGTCTTTAAGGAAATTTTGTGTTCTCAATATATATAATCCTCTTTTTCTTTTTTCATCTTATTGTAAACTTTGATTAATTTAAAAAATGGATAAAACAGAGTTTGTTTCAGTTCCTTTTGAGTCATGATTTTTTTATTAGTAAATTCAATTTTTGCTTTTTATTTACTTTTTGACCATTTAACATGATTAATTTAATACATCTTTAATCCATTAATCCATGTAAAGTATCAATGAACAGTAGCCAATTTTTAACACAATTAAATTGTATTTAAATAAAAGTTTCGACACATAATTCAGCTTCTAATATATTATCAAAGGGTATGATTTTAGAATGTTGATAAAACAATTAACTTAATTTCCGAGTTAATGAATATTTTAATTAATTTTAATCATAGAAAACAATGAAAAGTGACTCAAATAAAATAATTAATTCAAACTACTAGCTTATGCCTGTGGAATAGATTCAGGTTTAGAAGATTATCCATATGCATTATTTGTTAGTCATGTTTCAGAATATGTCGAATTTTATGTGTAAAATAATGTCCAACAATAGAAACTTTAGTATTGGAATGTGCTCCAAATACTTAGATACCTAGTTGCTAAAAATCAAAATACTGTGTTATACCCTAAAAAAAGGGTTAGTTGTTATGACTTCTTTGAATTTAAAGAGAATGTTTTTATGCAAACCTCATTAGAATATTATTAAAGAGTAAAAGATTTTTCATCCCTTGGAATAATAGGGATAATTATTAATTATGTAATGAAAACAAGGCATATCATACTAAATATAAGGTGCTTAATAATAAATATTTGAACAATAATAAATTACAAAGTAATTTCATATATGTAATTTGGAATGATTGGATTCTATTACATTTCCTTATGGAATTGCAAGAAATTATGAAAATGAATAGGCTTTTATTAATAATTTTATGTTTGGTAAAGATTCCATAAACAAGATGACTAATAACCCTTAAATTATTTCTTTTTAGAATTCTTTCTTATTACTTTTAATGCTTACTTGTGTATAACTAATTTATCATTAAATTGGTATATTAGTTTCAACATTCAAATGAAGGTCTGTTTGAAAAAATTGAAATAGTAACTTAAATGATTTCTTTTTATATATATACAATACAATATCTTTAATTAGGACTTTAAAATGAAGTATTGGTAGAATTTCATAATCAAATATATTAAGTTTAAATAGGTACTAGAGATTGAAATCAAAATTTCGTGTATTTTAATTATAATTTAATTATTTTAGAAATTAAGATAAATGATAAAAAGAAACTTTGACTTTTTTTTTAAGAGAATAAAAGTAATAATGATATTTGAATAAATAGAAAATATATAAGTGTAATTTTTTAATTTATGCTTATAAATTTTATGGAGAATATTAAGATTAATAAATTTATATGAATTATAAAAAATATTATTTTTAAATATGATTGGAACTGAATTTAAGATTGTTGATGGTTACGTGGTTACAGGGAAATTCTTGGGATCAGTATTAAATATGTTTATTAGGGTGCTTTTGGTTCTGTTTATAGAGGTTATAAAGAGAATGATCCAAAACAAATTTGTGCTGTCAAAGTATTGCCTATGATTGAAGCTACAAATAATAAAAATTTCATGAAAACAATCAAAAGGGAAATTGAAATATTAGGAAAAATAAAGAGCTAATATATTGTTTAGTAATAATCATATTTAGATATTAAGAATGTATCATGCAGCAAGAACGGCACGCAATTTTTACATATTTTTAGAATATTGTAATGGAGGTAATCTAAGAGAATTGATGAAGCAGAAAGGAGGATATTTATCAGAATAAGATGCTCTAACATACTTTAAGTAGATTGTAGAGGGTTTTAAAGCAATTTATTAAGAAAATGTGATGCATAGAGATATTAAACCAGCAAATATTTTATTACACAATGGTAATAACATAATATTCATTTAATAGGTGTTGCTAAGATAAGTGACTTTGGATTTGCCAGAATAGTTGATGATATGGAAGGATAAGACAGATTTACACTATTGGGTACACCTTTGTATATGACACCCTAAATTTTGGAATAAAGCAAATTCAATTCTAAATGTGATATATGGTCTTTAGGAATTATGTTCTATGAAATGCTTTATGGACATACTCCTTGGACTGCTAATAGTTAATTATCTCTATTGGATTAGATTAAGAAGAAACCTTTAGTGTTTCCTGAATAACCAAAGAGATAATAAATTATTAAGGATTTAATATCTTAAATGTTGCTGATTGATGAGGAGAAAAGAATAAGTTGGTATGATATTTTTGAACATCAATTAATAAAGAGCAATAGTTAAGAATTGAAGAATAAATTGAATTTAATTATAGATAGTGTTTAAGATACTCTTGAATAATCTGTATAAGTCAATAGATTTTATATTGATAATAATCTTGTTTTGGAATAAGGAAAGCAGTAATAGGAATTATTTGAAGTTAAGGAAAGTGATGAAGCAAATACTCCAGCAGATAAGGATATTGGATAATAAACTTTTGAAGATTTAAAAGGCTTGACTTATAATGACATTATGGAAGTTTAGACTAAGAAATTATAGGAATAAATTACCAATAATAAAATAGATGCTTATTTAACACTTTAAAGAAATATTGGAATATTTGTGAATCTATCAACAAATTATATTTTTGATTTGTATAAAGAGTAACTTATCAGTATTCCTACGCATTTATTTTATAGAATTCTTTTTATTCTTTAGAAAAAGTAGTTGATTATTTTTGAAGATCTTACAAATATCATGGCCAGCAAGGTACTCAAACTATAATAATCTATAGATTTAAATTAATAATGGTTTTACCGACTAAGATTGGAAACTTTATAAAAAAAATAAATAATATTTTACAACACTTAAGGCCATAAAAACAGATAAATATTATATTAAACCATATTATGAAGAAATAGCAAAAAGAACATAAACATATTTAAACAATTAAATAACATAAAATAAATTAAATGAATAAGAGTAATAGGATTTAAATGAATTCTTATCAATTATGGCTAATGGTTTAATTTAAGATTTAGCATTTAATTCAGTCTATGAAAAAACATTAAAAATTACATAAAAATTAATGTATGAATAATTATGCTAATAAAAAAAACTAACAGAAAATAAGAATTTCTTATTGGCACTTAGATATTTAGTCTTATGTTTAAGTCCTGAAATGTATTTTAGATAATAAAAAGAATTTCCAGATTTTAATAAATTTTATGAGCATTATAATAATTTAGAAATGGAACAGCTCATAGAGGAACTTCATAAAGAATTCTCTTCATTTTGATGAAGATTGATATTATTAATAATAATAATAATAATAATAATAATAATAATAATAATAATAATATATCATCCATTAATAAAATATAAATTGTTAAAACAAATATAATATTAAAATTCATATAATTCATTTAAATTAATCTAATATTTAATAGTATTTCATCTTATTTTTTATCATTAATTTCTGATTAAAAATTATTTAATATATGTAAATTATTTAATTAATATATTTATATAAATTCTACAAAAATACTGTTGTAGAAAAGAACATTTATTTGTAATTATAAATAGAAGATAAATGATAAAAAATCATTTAAATGAGACAGAAGAAAAAGTATTTCAAATTTGAACTCTAAATATTTGATAGCTATCAAATAAAAATGTTATTTATAACATACAGAATAGAATTTTTTGGAAATCTATAAAAAACATAAATTAACTTAAGTTCTGAAAATTCTCAATTTAAATGAATAAAGTAATTAGAGATTTATTGTATATTATGATAATGGATTTGGTAAATTGCTGATTATTTAGCTTTAAAGGAATTGATGGATTGTCTGGCTTAAATTTTTTTCATCAAGATTTATAACTAGAAAATTTTGTAATTCATCTAAAAGAGAATTAAAGAAAATCACTAAATCTGAAAAAATATGAAAATAGATATTTTGTGAAAATTTTTAAAAATTTTGCAAATTAATTCTAAATATTAATTATATTTTCCAAAGTGACATAATAATAACTAGTATCATAAAAATATTGATATTTTGGACTTTATGTTTAATTTTATTGCATTTGAAGAATACCCTTCATATTAATAGATATCTATTAAGATGAGCTATTTTGAATCAAATTAATAATTTAGTTTATAAATAATTGATATGCTGAATACAATTAATTAATTAAAAGTAATTCCATACATCAATTAATAATGAAAAAAGAGTATTAGGATTTTAAGAAGAATAAAAGTTTAAATTAAGTTAATAAATAAAAAGTTTTATTTGTTTAATAGGTATTAATAATAATTGAGACTTTTAAATATTACTCAATGAATACAACTATTAATAATGAGTTATTAAAATTTCTCAAAAAGCTAGCTTTTAATCTATTGACTTTTTAAACTCTCTTGTAAAATGAAGAGATTATAAAAAAATTTGTAATCCTTATATTTGATCAAGTAATAAGATATGCTTTTGAGTGATTAGATATTTTGAGGAGAGAGTATAAATTGATTTATCTTATAAAATCGAAGTAATTCTACTCCTCTTATCTAAATAAGTAAATAGAGATAAGAAACAAAGATAGTAGTCAAAAGGAGTTAAAAATATGTTTTTGTTGATACAAAGATGAATCTTATTTGAATCGATGTCCATTAACCGCAATGAATAATGCAATTTTATATTTAATATAATTAAAATCTACATACAATGGATATGCATCCGATCATTTCTACATCAAAATAAAAAGCTATTAAGTATAAAATAATTTTCATAAATTGAGTTGCTGTTGTTGGAGATAAGGGAGTAGGTAAACATTAATTAATTGAAAAAATGCTGGATGTTGAAACTAAAGTAAATGATAGAGATATTATGTCAATTGATTTTTTTATATCATATATATGGATAGGAGATTGCTAATATCAAACAATTCATTATTGGGTGGTCTCTTTAGATTCAAATAAATAACAGTATGTATTAATAAATAAGTAAGGTTTAACTCCATTCCATTTATTCCTTAAAGTGACATATATGTTATTATGTTCAGTTTACATTAAAACAGAAGTTTATTCAATGCTCTTCATGTTTGGTTTTAATTAAGTTCCTAAAAAAGAAATGTTTAATATATATTTTTAGGATCTGATAATGGACAATTAAGATAATGTGGTTCATTTAATGAGATAATAAAAATCATAAGGAATAAAATGATAAGATCTTCTCCTAACTTAGAAGAAATTTAAAATGAATCAAGTTTAAAAGAAATTCGAAAAACTATTGCATATGTTGATGATTTCATTGATGAATCACTACCAGAAAATGTTCAATATCTAGAAATCAAAGATTATGAACATTAGCCATTCAAAGGAGTTTTAATTAGTTCAATTTAAAATGTTATTAGTAATGAAAGATAAAAATTGTATTCAATTAGTGCACCCATATCTCCAAATATAATGCCTTAATTATAAAAATCTGTATCTGAATATTTACAGAAAACAGAGTATAATGAAAATAGATCAAATGATTCAATGAATATTAAAGAAAAAAGAAATACAGAAATAGTTCAAACAATAAAAATAGACTATTCATTAAATATTTAACCTATTTAAACAACTATGAATCCTAGTCTTTTAACTTTAGAATAGAGCAGCTGTTCTTAATAAGCCAAAAAAGAAACTGGATTTTGTTGCTAATTAATATGATGTAATAAATGAACTGACTGATTATACAATATGTTTCAATTGTAACAAATTATTCAAATTATTTTTATAATGGAGTAAGATAGTATCACTATTCTTTCATAATCTAAGGAAAGAAGGATTAAGTATTTATTAATAATCATTCAGAGTTATTTTGATTGGAGATTAGAGTGTAGGTAAAAGTAAACTTCTTGAGTAATTACTAAATGTTGAATCTAAAGTTAATGACAAAGAAATCTAAACTGTAGATTTTTTCATTTCTCGTGTTATTTTACCTGATAATTCAGAATAGAAAATATTTATTTGGGTTACAACAGGAGAAATCAAAAATATGTAAAAATATGAACTAATTATAATCATCATAGAAATCTTATTAGAGCATTTTTATTAAAGAGTCATATATATGTTATTGCATTTTCTCTTAATAATCCAGTTTCATTTGAGAATGCAGTTAATACTTGGTTTGCTTAGTGTTATAAAAATGCAAGAGAAACAAATAACTATTATTATTTCATTGGCACAATGAGTGATAAAGAACATCTTTGTGGATCTTATTAAGAGATTATTTAAATTATTGCAGATAAGTGTTAAGAACTTAAAATGGAGAAAAATGCATAGTAAGTACCATTTCCTACAGATAAAGCATATATAAGATAATCAGCTAAATGGAATGATGACAATATCATTGAATTTGCAAAAAATAAATTACCAAATAATGTGTAAATATTTTATAAGGATTAATTAGATTTTACTCTGAAACATCAGCTGTTGTAAAAACAGGTATTGAAAGAAGTTCAAGCATATTTATTAGATTATTATAAGCTGCTGTTAAGTAGGAATTTGCTAAAGATGGTATAGAACCTATTATTGCTCCATCAAGAACAGCTTCAAGATTTTCTATGGCATAAATGTAAGTGCCAATACCTGTTGCTGTTCCAACGTCATCTGCAAGATAATCAACTTAGACTGGCAATTTATAAGTTAATATGGCAAAAGAATCTGTTCCATTTTTACCTTTTGAATAAAAAGAATCAAATATGTCTTCGATGGCTGAAATTAAAAAGGAATAAAATCTATGTTGTATGATTTAATGAAATATATATATATATATATTTAAATTTCTTAACTATTTTCTAAATCAAAGTGATAAATTTTTGGATTAAATTTAATAATTTGATAAAAATATACAAAAAAATACATATATCTTAATTTTGATGTATCATTAAAATGAAAAATTTTAATTTCAATTAAAATTATTATTATTATTTGATAAAATTAAATGGATTCTATTGATGACCTCACTTGCAAATTAGGCTCTCCTAGTTCTGATTAATAAACTAACGATACATTAAGCCCTATCAATCTAAGAACAAGTGATATATTCATTGATTTAAAAAAATCAATTGACAATAATAATAAACTTCTTTTTGCATTTAAAGATTAAGTTTATTATTTATATCAAATAATGAGAAATATGACAATAAAAGAAAATTATAGTTATTAGATAGCATCAATAATATTTTTGAGTGAGTATTAAGATAATTCTTCATAAAAATTAGACAATGTTAAATAAATACTTTAAGAGTGTACTAATTTAAATCTAAAAACCTACTTTATAATATTAAATAATAATAATCGTAAACCTATTATAAAAGAACTTAGATAATTGGTTGAATAATTTCCATGTAGTTTAAGTATATTTGATACTGAGATTCATAATGTAGACTAAGAATTAGAAATGATTACAAAAGAATTAAGAATAGGATCTTTTGATACAAGAATATTTGTTCACATTTCAACTAATAAAGCAATGAAAACTTACCTTAATAGTCTAATAACTTCTTTGTAAAAATTTGAAAAAAGTTTGACTTAAAATGATAAAGTTTATTGGTCTTCATGTAAAACAAATTAAAAGTTTACTGCCGTTGAAATTTAAGAAGCTGATGAATAAGATGAGAAGAAGATAGGAAAGAGAAACAAAAGAAAATTTATATTATATGGTTTTGCCTTTTTAGTAATTCTTACAATAATATGTTATTTATTATATGTTGTAATTATAACGTTTATTTAATGAATTATTAATATACTATTTTAAATAATGGATATTATATAATATGTATCAATGAAATTCTGAATATTCTTGTTATCTAGGAGTCCAAGGATTATCAAACAATGATTTATGAACAAAGTATTAGTAAGCAACAAAAATTATTAGAAGGACAATAAATATAATACTAATATAAAATGCTGCAATAACAAGAGAATAGGTACTCGAATAAGTATTTTTAGCAAAATGATTAACTTAAGTAATAGCCTAAAATTATCATGAAAATATAATACTTATTTTAAACCTTCATCAGGAAAACAATTTTTCTCAAGATATTTAGAGAATTAAGCATTATGTTCTCTAAGTCCATTCTAAAATAGTATAGCAATAAAATTACATTTCCATCTACTTCATTTAAATAAACTGCTCCTAATCCTATGCATAAAATGGCAATGATTAATCCAATACCACATAAAAACTTTGGTTGATGAAAATCTGTCATATCCATCCATGAGAAAATCTAATATTAAATAAAATAAATATACTCTATTTTTCATCAAATATAAAATAGGAACCAAGAAAAGTACAATTCCTACACTTATAATAATAATTAAAGACATAGCTCTTTCTGAATTATATACTCTTTATCCACTCTTAGATATTTAATCAATATCTTTTGGAGACAATTTCTAACATACCTCATTTGTATTAATTTAAATTTTCTTTATGGCTTCTAATGCATACGTATCTGAATTATCTTCATAATTTTAATAGAAAGGTAATTAAGATAGTACATCTGCTAAACCATTTTATTAATAAATTTGATGAGCTGAAAATGTATTTAAAGTAATTCGATGAGATTACAAATCTTTATAATCATCACAACCAATTTCAGGTCTTTTTGCTAGAGGATAATATTTATTTGATTAGAATTTTGGATTCAATTTATGATTGTAACAAGGTGAAGAATTACTTTCTCCAATTCCTGGTACAACTTCAATACTAACAATAGGTGATGAGTTATCAAATTGTTTAATGTAATTATCTGTTCCTATTTTTATTGCATTTCTATCATTTTATCTTGAATTATCTTTAATTAAACCTGAAAGTGGACAATTTTTATTTTATGGTACACATACATTTCCACATTATTTATAAGTTGTTTCACAAGCAGCACCTTCTAATGTTTTCCATTCAGCATATAATTTAGTACAATATTATTTTTATTACCATGTTGTAAATAATTAAGAATCATGAGATTTCACTCTTTTACAATTAGATTTATAAAAACAAGTAAGAGAATGACTAATATCACCATTTTCACAAATACATCCAGATGATACTCCATCCCATTAACCTAAATGAGTTTTACCATAACCATCTGGACACTCTACTGAATCATGTGTAAAATATGATATCATATTAAGAACTGAAGCAGATGAAGATTGTGTTGCTACAACAATATCTTCTATTGGAGCTTATTGCATATTATTTTTCAAAGTTTCAAGTGTGTTATGTGCACCTTCTGGATTAAGATGTTTTACTTTAGAAGCAAAAAGTAATGCCATAATTAGAAGAATTATAATAAAGAATGCTATTGGCAATATGTAAAGTAACCAATCTATCAACTATAAATTCAAATTTAACGATTACATAAGAATACTTCTTTGGTTTTACTACAGCAATAGTTTTGTTTGGAATTGGTTACTATACAATTATTTACTCTCTTGGTGGCTCAGGTTATACTTTCACTTAAAGAATAGACTATATAACTACTTTAATATTCTGCTTCTATTGGTGGTTAGGGTTAATATACAGGTTTTGCTAATAATAAATATTGATAAGATACTGGGTGTGTTAGTAGTATATCCAAATGGTAATGGCGCTACTTATTACTGTGGATTTAAGTACATAGATTAGACATAGGAATTGGGTAACATTGATAAATCAAAATAAAATCAATAAAATTAAGATTAAAAAGAGAGTATTGTAAATATTGTGATTAAAATTATATTTATGTTATGCTCTTTAATATTGCTCAGAATTGATAATCTGGAGTAGTGTTGGCCTTTCTAAAAGCTGGTTTACCACATTCCAATAATGCTATTATTAATTTCATTGGGTACCATCTTTGAATTACATACATTTTGATTCATCCTTTGTTCTAATTACACACTAATCATATTTGGATTACTTTTTACTTCTTTAAATGCAGCTAATTCTCCTGGACATTCTTATTTCAAAATAATTGTTCTTGGGGCATTTTCATCTTCTCTTGGGAAACTAATTAGATGAAATAGAGTGAATTTATTACAAAATGACTTTGCTTTCCATTTAAGTTGATCTCTTTTTTGCAGTGGAGAAATTGTATGATCGTGATTCCATTTTAATTAAATATCTAAGATTTAAATTAATCTAAGTAACACACATATAAATATTTTGTTTCAATCATTATTTTCTACTCCTAACTGATTTGACTGCCAAATTAAGTGCTACCTTATACAGTTGAGAATCGAAAGTGTTTGTCTACTTCATAGATTTTCCTATTGCTTTTGTCGTAGCTGATTTTTGATGATGCATTTATTAAGAAGATGATTATCCACTACTCTATTTTAACATTGTTGATTATTGTGAATTAGTCACTTATCTTGCAGAATGAGTTTATTAATAATATACAAGTTTTTATTCTCCACTTGTATTAATTTATAATGGTTTATCATTTGATTTTGATTTTATATTGATTTTTCTGTTTGGTTCTCTATTAGATAGAGGCTCTTGAATTTTTACTCTTCTAAATTAATTCAATTCTTTAATATTCAATTTTTTTCTTGATGATTATCCCTTAAGACGATTTGTTATTTCATATCTCTAAGTAAGACTACGAGGATCTTAAGCTAGAGATAGACTATCATAATGAACAGTACAACACTGTTTAGAATCTCTAATTAATTTTTTCGCTAAAAGTGTCTACAAATCAGACATGACTTTTAATTCTAATTATTACACTTTTTTTGGATGATGTGGACTTTGTTAAGGAGCTCTTGGAGTAATACATTTAGGTGATTTAAGAAGAGTAGCAATTCTTTATTGATTTGGTAACAACAATGTATGATTATTTGGAGATTTAAATTCAACTTCACGAGGAGTCTAAATTAAAAGACTGAAATAGATTACAATATGCAATTAATCAGATTTTTATGATTGATTTTTCTTTTTTGCAACTACTTTTGGAATAGATGTCTTGAGCATATTAAGTATACTTGTTATACTTGATTTGCGATGTTATAGAAGTGGTTTCTTTTATTAAATCTATTATTCTTTAAGAGGTGGTTTGTAGTTTTCGTATTTAAAATTCGGATTGGTAGATTACATAAGTTTATATTGCTGGAGCTATTACTTGAAGTTCACGAATTGTGGTTTGGGCTCAATGATGCTGATACCATCAAGGATCTTCTCACATTTAGACATCGGCTAAGTTCAGGGTGTTCTGTCTTACTTCGTCTGAGGAGCTTGGATCTTAAGCAGTGACTTATTGGCTGGATTACGGCATTGGTGAATCTCCTACTATTCCTTTGGGTGGTTTGTCTGGATTATTCTTGTTCTCTTGAGCTATCAACTTGGCAATCCGAAAGTATTCCAATCTTCTCTTCTTATCATGGTAATAATTCAAAGGAATTATGGCTGGTAACATGAATAAACGAGGGATATCATTATGGAACTATTGAATAACAATGAAAACAGTACTTTATAATACTCACCCAACATTTGCAATTTTTCATACATTATGTCACATTTATATATTTTACATAATAATTCTTCAGGTGTGTCATACATGATCACATCCTTGTAAAGTATATTGTTTGCTGTACGGTAATTATGTAAGATCTCTGTGATGCCCTTAGTGTAATGGTAATTCTATGATTGAGAGTATTTCAAGAACAAAGAATGTCGCATGATTTCTACCTTTATAACATATACATTATTACCAATTAAAGGAGTAGTCTCTTCACAAAAATCACATTTCATTTTGAATTTGTTATATTTATAAAATTATATAAAATAATATTCAAACCATATTATTCACTTTTATAATGGATAAGACTCTTCAAAGAATAATCAGATAAACTCAAAAACATATAGACTCTAAATCTAATTGTCATTTTGATCAATATTCCTTTAATTACACCAGAGATCTCCTTGGTGAAGGATCATTCGGTAGGTTATAATATCTAAGACCATTAGTGTGTATCGAGGAATCCAAGGAAATTCTTATGTTGCTATAAAGATCCTCAATCTCAAATTATATGACAATCCAAGTTATAAATAAGCACTTAAAAATGAAATTACTCTCATGATGGAACTTTAGAGTCCCAATGTTGTAAGGATATTAGATGTAATCAATTCAAATTCATATCATAGGCATTATGTGATTAACAAGATAATGAGCTCTTTTTAATTATTGAATATTGTGAAGGAGGTGATCTTCGTCATCTTTTGTCTCATTAACCAAACTAAAGATTTTAAGAATAAGCTGCTGTTGCTATAATTTCTTAAACTATTTAAGGATTATCAGAATTATTACATAAAAATTATATGCATCGTGACATTAAAGTAATAATCTCACATTAAATTAGCCTGATAATATTCTTCTTAAGTAAAATACCTATAAAGTTGCTGACTTTGGTCTTGCTGCAAAAATTCCTCCAAAATAAGTCTTAAGAGGTATACATATCTATTTTACATAATTTAGCTCAAGCAGGAACACCTTTGTATATGTCACCATAAGTTTTAGAATGTAAAGAATACTCTAATAAATGTGACATTTGGTCCTTAGGATTAGTTTTATATGAACTTCTTTTTGGTAGAACTCCTTGGTTATGCAGAAGTTTTGATACTTATTTAATGGAGATCTAAACTAAACCTTTGTAATTCCCTTATGAAATAGAGATTTCAGCTAATGTAAAAGATTTCATTAAGAGATGTCTAAAAATTGAAGAACACAATAGGATGAGTTGGGCAGAATTATTAAAACATCCTATGTTATAATTTCAAGGAAAATTGAAACGATAAGCTACTTAGGAAAGATTAAATTTTACAATTTTAGAAAGAGAATACTTACATAATATCTAATTAGTATGTGCTCAACATAATATGTAAGCAAAAGATTTAATGAAATAATGTGGGAAGACTCATATTAATTAATAAGAATTTTAGAATATGCTACGTAAGATTATGAATTAAGATAATGATGAAATTAGTAAATAATTATTTGTTAAATTTGATTAATCAAAAGATGGATTGATAAGTGCTTAAGAATTTGAATATTTATTTAGTGAATATGATTTTGCACCTATTAATACAATTGCTGTTTAAATTACTCATGAATTATAGGCAATTATTAAAATGTATAAAATTTCATTGAAATAATTATTTTAACAATTAGATTAAGATAAAAATGGATATCTTGATCAAAAAGAATTTGAATTTCTTATTAAAAAGATAGCACCAAAATTATCTTAAAAAAATATCTTAGAAATATTCAAAAATTATGATTAAGATAATGATGGCAAGATTAGTTTAAAAGAATTATAATTTGTTCTTTAAAGTAAGAATTATCAAAAATTAAAAATCATTCTAAATAGAATTCGTGAAACTCTAATGAAAAAATCAGTATCCACTCATACATTGTTTACTTAAATAGATAAAGAATAGAAGGGATATTTAAATTTCAAAGATTTTGAGTATTTAATTGGGAAATTAGATAAATTAAATAGATCTGATATATAAGATTTATTTAATTTATTTGATGAAGATGAGAATGGTAAAATATCTTTAAATGAATTTAATTCATTGTTAAATTTATGATTTAGAAATATAAAGAATATTTATTATTTATAATTGAAAATTTTTGGTTCAAAATAATAGATTATGTGTATAATACTAAATTTAACTATTTTAATTAATGAAATACTATTTTGCTTTCTTAATAATTTTAGTTTTTGTATATATCAAAAGGGATGATTTGCAAAAGCTTACTTAAATTGAATAAATAGAGGATGTTGCAGAAAAGAATAAAAAATTGGCAGAGTTTGTTAATGGAAGATAAATCCATGATTTATTTCTTCTTTATGCAGTGAAAATGATTGATTCTAATCTTAAAATGGCTTATTATACATTGGAGGATACAGTGTCATCACTTTCAAATTTGCCTACTCTAATTTATAATAGGATTATAAGGGAATCTAGAATTCAAATCAAAAGTATTCCATCTCAAATAAACTTTGCAAATTATTTTGGTGGTGCCACTATTCTTACAAAAAGTAAATAATTAGTTGGAGTAGATAATATTTTAGTTGATAATTAAGAAACGTATTTATATTCTGATTTGAATTTAGTTATATGATCACAGAATGTAATCAAGAGAAATTATTTTTTATAATTTGTTTAAAAGAAGAAATCTAATTAGAGACAATCTACTTTATTAATAAAGAATTTTATTCCTCAACAATAAAGAATTTCAAGGTATCATTTAAGAATAATTAATTTTCTTAGGTTTTTGGAAGTATTGTATATCCTACTTAAGCATGGGATTTTTTGTAAGCATTTGAATCAGAAGATATAAATGATTGGCAAAGCTTTGAATTTGAATCTCATTTCCTAAGATATTTGAAAATAGAGATTATTGATTTTCATTAAGCAGAGTATCATTGCACTTTGACATAAATAAGGTATTTAGTTTATAATTAAAAATTTAGAGTTTTTGGATAAACAGTTATAGGAGATTTAATATAATCACATAAAAGATATAAATTACAATTACCAAAAATTGAACCTATAAAAGAGGAAATTAAATAACCATAACGAATTAAAATGCCATGTAGTGAAATAATTAATAATTACTCAAATAACAATAATTCTACATGCAGTTATTTCGATTACATATTTGATATATAATAGTCTAATATTGATGAAATTGATGATCAAAATCAATATTTAGATGTGATTCCATTTGAATCTAATTAATCATTATTTAAAGTGACAGCTTAAAATATAGTTATTTTATCACACAATCTTCAATTGTTAAAAGAATAATTATAATCAATAAGTAATAATAAAAAGAGAGAAATGGAAAATTAAAAATAACATGATTACATATAATAGTAATTATTACTTGAACTCACACAATAGCGAAATATCAATAGTAATTTAGAGGAATAAATAAAACAATTGAATTTTCTCACTAATGTTTGTGCAATATGTATAGTAATATTATTTATTGGACTTTGTCTTGTGTTTATAAATAAGCAAAATCACTCAGGTAACAACAGAAATTAATAAATTTTTATCTAAAACAATAAGAATATTCCTGATATTACTACTTTGACTCCAATTTTGGTGAACGGGTATTCGAATATGAATGATGAAAATTGTCATCATATAATAAAGAGCAAAAGCAATAATAGCAATCATAAAAATACAAAAAAGAGCAATATTGTTAATTGATTTATATTATTACTATTTTATTTAAAGAATTAAAATATTTAATTCATAAATAATTAATGTTCCCTAGTAAATTGTATGATTTACAATTAACTCCTTCGCTAAATAAGTTTAATTCTGATTTTTAAAGTGCTAAATTGATAGAGTCATTTAAACAACTATTAATTGAAGACGATAAGGAAATAGTCACATCCGCTATGGTATAGTGCTTAAATCAAAAAGTTAGGATCTGATGAAAGCAATTTCATATTCTCTGTATGGTACATGGTTTTATTGGAAAGCTTTGAGCGAAATTTGTCAAGGTGATGATCTCAACACCATAAGTTAATAATTGGAGAGAAAAATCATAATTTATGATATTTGTGAAGTTGAAGATTTGAAATGCCAAGTGATTAATTTTGGATATAAGAAACGCATATATTTGGCTAGATATTTAAATTACTTTTATGTGGTGGGCAAAAAGGGTACATCTGAAAAACATAAGCTTATAAAGGATATCTTGATGGATGTTATCAATGAAATAATAGGATTACCTATTAGAAGGCATAAAAGATCTTATTCAGATGCTTTCAAGTATCTTTCTGATTAAAAGGATAACAGAACAAATAAATTGAACATAAAAAATGTACCTCTATCTCCTTCAAATATATCACGTACTAGCTTATAAATGCAATTACTTGATGAGATAAATCAAGAGAGTGATCTTCTCTTAAAGGAATGTAATTCTTTAATTAATTGTCCTTCACCTTAGAATGATCTTTTACAATCTCTTAATTTAAATTTATAAGAAGGAACAAATATATTATCTAATGTAAATATATTATATAAAAATATATATAGATAAGATATTTTGGAACTCTAAAGTTTTATGATGAAGCAAGATCTTATGGCTTTATAATTATGGACATGGATGGCAGTGATTTATTTGTTCATTGTGATGATTTGACTAAAGCAGGGATGAGTAAGGATTTCTTAAGAACAGCTAAGCATGGAAATATTATTAGATTTTCATTTCTTATTCTTGAATACTTTGGAAAATATAATAAAAGTAGAAAAGCAGTTGATTTATAGTTTATTCAAGGTCAACCATATTTCATATGATATTTATATGTATATTTTACTAATATAAGTTAAATATAAAATATATAATCATAACTTCTTATTTCTAAGTTTGCTTAATTTTTAGCTACCATTCTTATCAAATATATATAAACTAATAGCGATAATACAGTTAAAAAAGCTGACTCCAACAAAGAAGTAAGATTAGTAAACATAACTAAATCTATAAATAATTATAATACCCTTCAAATGGATCTAATTGTCCATATTCATTAATGACATGTCCATTGTAAATGCTCCCAGTAATTAATGGAAAGAGAGCCAAGGCAGTATTTTACATAACTCCCAATAGACCAAATGCAGTTCCTTAAATAGAAAATAAAAATAATACCAATCATTTAAGGTTTAACAACTAATGGAATAGAAGGAATTAGGATTGCTGAATAAAATGAGTAACATAATCCAAGAGATAATAAAGGTAATGCAGATACTCCACATGCACTCTAAAAATAATAGAAATAATATTTACATCACAATGAATTAGGAGTAAACATAAATGAGTTACAATAAAAATAACCGTTGTGAGAACTATGAGTAAAGATCTTTATCTAATTTTATCTGAATATATGCCAATGATTGGAGTAACAAGGGCAGCAAATACATATGGAATTGTTAAAAGTACTCCTGCTGATTATTGACTAAATCCAAATTTAACTTAAAAAAATGCGTTACCATTATCTAAAAAAGGCACAAACAAAGCTTCACTCAACATAATGATGGATGATAGAATCCAATAAGATCCATCTAGATTTTTTAAATCAGATAATTTAATTTCTTCTTTTGCATCATGAACATTATGATTTTATTCTTCTTCATCATCATTATCATCTTCATCTTCATCTTAAAGAAATGATTCAGAATAATCACTACTATCAACAGATTAATTATGATTTCCATTTGTTCTTAATTGTAAACTTAATTCTTGTGATAAAGTATCTGATGATTCACTTTTCTCTTTAACTGTTGCTATAATTTAAGGATTTATTTTCATATATTCTTTCATAAGATCTTCATTTTTTTTATCCAAATAAATTAACAATAAACCACAACCCCAAGAAAATAAAACAATAAATAATCCAACCAAAAATGTAAAACCTAGTTCATTATGATTTGCTTATATTATAGGACTTACAAAAGAATTCATAGCACTTCCCAATTTAGGTATGGAAAGACATAATCCTAAAGCCAAACTTACCATTCCACCTTCAAACCATTTTGACATTATTGCAGCTTAAGCAGCATTCAAACTTTCAGATCCAATTCCAAATATACATCTACCTGCTAAAAGAGTACCATAAGAGAGAGTGTATCCTCCTATAACTACAATTCCTTATCCAAAAATTAAAATAGTAGAAAATATAAATATACTAACTCTCACTCCAATCTTATCTATTAAAATTCCTCCAAAAAAAGGAAGAATTATATTGGGGGCAGAATAAATTGAATATAACATATTAAATTATACATTGTTTAATCCCATTTAGCTTTAAATAGTGGATTAAAGAGCCATTGGATTATCAAAGGCATAAGCATCTCCAAATAATAATAAGCATGCCAATGCAAGGGCCAACCATAAAACCCAAGTTTTTTAGAATGGTTACTTTGTGATGTATGATTATTTGATGATAGAGATTTCTTCATTGGATTAATTCATTAATTCTTAAATTTATTAAAATTTAATTACATTATTAATAATACTGAAAATATATACTTATTATATATTCTGTTAATTCAGATTAGTTATCAGTTATCATTCAATTATCAATCCCTATTCTGACTCAACAATTAATTTTATGGTATTCTCATCCAATTATTCCCATTTTTAATCTTCTTTATTTAAGATCTTTGTAATCTTTAAATTCAACACAGTTTCTCTATTCTATAAAATAATTATATTAATAATTAATTTTACTTCATTTGTGTGATTTATCAAAAATGTAAACTTTCCCCTTTTAATATGCAAAACAGAATTAACTTCATTTATTTCAACCTATTCATTTTCTAACCATCCATATTGTTATTCAATTTATACAAATTTATCATCTACAATATCTTATATCAATCCCTACATTTAATATAATTTTATACTTAGCCAATAGCAAGTGCATTTAAGATTTGAGCTTAAGTATATACTCCAGTATTTTCATAGAGTATCTTAGGTTATAATTATTTATGTTATAATTTAGAGAGTTTAAAATCAAAACCTAACCCTCCTTCTTTGATTGTTCTGCAAAGAGCTGGATAATCCAAGTCTTAAATTATACTGATACCGTTTGGTAGTAAATCATGAATCAAATCATTAGCTAACATTAAATATACAGCGGCATCAATATCATCTGTTATATCAATATTAGAGAATTTAAATCCATCAATTTGATATTCTGTAATCCAAAAAGATATGTTTGATAATAATAATCTCAAAACTTCCCATTTTCCATAGTCTAATTATTCTATTTCTTCTCTCAAATATTAAAATCCAGTTCCATCCCAATTATTCAAGTATTTTCCTATTTATTCATGATCAATATCCATTATAACTGAATATCCTTTCTGATGAAGTATATCTATGTTTCTTTTCAAATCATCAGGAGTTATTAAATTTACGTCCAGTTACATTAGTAATTATTGAGTAATCATTATTGCATTATACCCATTTACTCCTTATAATTCTTTTATATTTTGCTTTATCACTTTTAGACCTTTACTCTGCTATTTTTATTACAATTACTATTATTGAAATTCATATTTATTCTCTGGATTCCAAAATATTGCTTAATCTCCATTCCTTACACTACTCCAAACTGAAGCTCTTTCTAGTTCATTACAATAAGTAATAAGTTTGCTACCATGTTAGATTTAATGATTATCATCATCATCTTTTGGAATAAACACTTCCCAGTTTCCACCATTATCAGTTGTACAACTATATTCATTCAATTTTAATTCTTTTGCATTTGGTGCCCATTCTCTATAAGTAATTCCTGTATCAGAAACAATAAATCCATATTTTTAATACCTACATTAACATCTAATATTACCCTTTAGAGAATTCCTTAATTGATGATTCAACTTTGATTATTTGTTCCAAAATCTAAAAAAACTTCTCATTTCTATTTTGAATCACCTCTTTCAATTCAGGCTCCTCAATCACTGTTTATAATTGATCAACATTCTTCTCATACTTTTACATGAATTCCTCATTCTCAAAAACTGATTACTATTATTAATGATAACATCAATACTTAATAAAATAAAGAATTCTTCTTAGACAACTTTCTATTGGGAACTTTTCTAGAAAGAGCAGTGCCTTAATCAATATAATTCATTTTTATTATTATTATATATATATATATATAATAGTGAATATCATATATTTAATTATAAAGCTTATTCAAACATTGAGAGTAGTACCCTTGTATAAACATTAATAAATTTATTTAAAATCAAATTCTACTCTAAAAAAAAACTGAATAAAGTAGTTAAATATATAAAAATTTATATTTAGATATTTAAAATCAAAGTAATAATAAAAAATAATTGTATATCAAAAATTCAATCTAATTTTTACGTATTCATTTTGGTTCTGTGAGATATATACTATTTAAATATACGACTATTCATATATGAGGCTTTTAGAGATGGATTATCTATTTTTGGATTGTTATATAGTAATTTATTCTTTTTCTTCTTTCCTTTAGATAAATCATTAATTCTGAAAGGCTATAAGTCTTTATATTTTTTCCTTTCTTTTTCCTAAATTATCATTTTACTTTAATTTGATAAAATAATGTCTTAATTATGTTATCCCTGAACAATATTAGAAGATTCATGATTCTGTAAAGATATTTCTTGTGACTCTTCATCTATTAAGACATAATTATCCCATTCATCATCGGAATTATGATTACTGTTTATCTTATTACAGTTTATATAAGATTATTTGCTCCTTTGCATCACTATTAAATTATTGATTGATCAAATAAATAAATATATTCACAATATTTTACATGCTCTCTCCATTATGTTCAAGAAGGAGATTGAAATCAAACAATTTATAATATTGAAAAAATATTTGAAATTGATAATTATTTTTGAAGATAATATTTACTTAATTTGTTAATTGAATAAACTTTATGTTTTTTTAAATCTATCTGAATATAATCATATAACTTGACTAACTTACACCTATTCTCATATCTATATTGATCATGACATTCATCTTCTTAATTATATACAATTTTAGAATACAATAACATCTATACAAATACTAAACTAAGAAACAATTCAACCATCCTTTTTTCATAAGCTAATATAAAAACTAAATCAAAATGAGTTATCATCTATTGAAACTTATACTATAGAATTGCTATGTAAATAAATTAGAGAACAGTGATAGTAAGTATTTTCAATATACATAATATATATTTTCTTCTAAAACTAATACTAATGTTTTAAAAGCTAAAGACATATTGATGAAATTAACAAGTTAATATTGAGCTTGAACTCTTAAAAAACTTTTAACTTAAATTCTCATACAGATTTTAATTTAAGTTTTATTCATAACTTATTCTTAACTAACAATTTTCTTTTTGTATTTTGAATATAAGTAATCATTTACCTAACCTTTTAACTCCACATTTAACACATCAAAAATCAAATACACTTCTTGGTTTATCCTCTTAAATGTGTCTCATGTTGTTCCATTTGAGATTCATTAAAATTCTTCAAGAAATCTTCATTTCAGTTATAATACCATCATTCTCATCTATAAACCTTTTCATTCAATATGTTTCATTCTCTTTCTATAAGTATAATTGATCTTGATCAAAAATTCAAATGATTTTAGAATTTTTCCTTTCCAATTATTTGTTCTCATCAATTATCTTTTCTATCGAACTTGATGAGCATTTGAGGATGAGTAGATAAAGAATAGTGAACATGAAGTCTATGTGTAAACTTTAAAAAAAAATATTCATTTGAATACAATCAGTAACACTATTGTTAAAAAATATCTATCTGAATTATTATATGAGTTCATAAAAATAAAGATAAATTTCAAAGATACTCAAGATTTTCTAAAGATATTCAAACATATTTTTTCTTATTTCTCTGTTAAATTCTTTAAGATTGAGTTTTTTAAGATCTTTGATATATATTATTTATATAAGACTATTACAATTATTGAATTATAAAAACAAAATTCTTATAAAGATGTTAATTTATTATTTAGTTATAAAAATAGATTGGCCATCATCATATATGTATCCTATAAGATCATTCTATTTCAATTAGGAATTTCAATGACATAAAATAAAATATATGATTTTTCTTTCCGCTTAAATTTAATGTAAAAATTTTGAATTTTTTTAAAGAATTAATAATAATATATAAGGTTTATAATATGTAAAAATAATTTGACTATTATTTGATTAATAAAAATATGGTTTATAAAATTAGAAATAAATCATTCTTTTGGACTAGAGCAGGATGGAAGAATAACTGGCATCCTAAAAATTTTAATGCTCCTCGTCCTTCCAGTTCAGAATTTACTATTGGTATTAGATGTAGATATGATCATAATTCATTTTTAAGAGGTTTTTTAATTTTGTCAAATTTAATAGCTTATCACTCATATAGGAAGATCTCTAGACATTGCAAATAATATTTCTTTGGAAATAGAGAATTAGAAGAATTATTTTAAATGGGTTTGAGGACTTTTTTTATTGTTCCACATATTGCTGAATGTCAAGTCACATAAATTAAACATGGTGGTGAAAGAAGAATGGTTGATTAAATAGATAGAGACTTTGAATTAGTATCTTATAATTCACATCCTTATTAATTATTCACATACACTATATGGAATCAATATTTAGCTAATCAATAAGAAGCTTATGAATAAAGAAAGAATGGAGGTAAAGCTATTGAAGATTAAGTTATTGATCATATTAGGTAAAGATTATATAATTAAAGTGAATAGTGAATTAGTGAAAGAAGAGAAGAGTAAGTTGGGTCCTGGAAAGTAATTAAGTATTGAGAGAACAGCTGATATAGTGATGAATGTAATGAGATAATTAAGAGCTGCATAATAAAGACCAAATTTGAATAATAGGTATATTATTAAATAAAAAATTATAGAAGAGCAGATGGAGAATTTGATGATTTCTTAGAATAAAGAAGACCCTTTACAGCTCCTAATAATCAATCAGCAACACATTGAGTAATATAATATGTATAGGAAAATCAATTAAAATTAAACATATCATTTATCAGGTTATTTGATTAATCTATAGCAGTGTTACGTCTTAATCTCTTTCTATATTTTTTTTAATCATCTTTATCCTCTTCATCTGATTCTTCATTAATAAAATTATTAACAAATTCATTTTTATTTTTTTTAATTGTACTAATATATTTCTTCTTCTTATTTTGAACTTCTTTTTGATTTATATTTTCTTCATTATTTTCTTTATTTTAATCACTAGATCTTTTATTGTTCTTCTTAATGTTCATTTTATTATTGAAAAGAAAAGTGAAAACTAGTTCTTCAAGATTTATAATTTTTTCTTATAGGTCTTCAAATTACTTTTCTATTAGTTCTTAATTATCTGATTTTAGTTCAACATCCCTAACAGTTTACTTGATAATCAATGTTTATTTTTAAACTTTCCAAAATAAATCTTATATATCTGATGCCTCACAATCAATCATCTATATCACTGATTACAATTTAGTTATTTGTTATGTCTTCTCTTGAAGATCCTTTTTCACTTGAACTAGTTATTATTATACTAATAATCATAAAATAATTATACAATCTGAAGAAAATTTTAAGGCTTCTTAACATTATTCTTTTAATTTCTGCATTTGTATATAATTATATAATTATATATATATTATTTTGGACATTCAATTTTATAACGCTTCTTATGCATAAAATTTAACATCTCTATCTGGATCTTCTACTAATTCATTAATTGCTCTATGAAATAATTAAATTATAATATACTATTTAATTTGATTCAAAGTTTATTAGTTATCAATTTTCTTTGACAAAGATTTAGCCACTCTTATACTAACAAATTTAATATTGGGAACAGGGTCTTTTAAACACTTTTATACTATTGGCCATAATCTATCTTAAGCAACAGGACCATCAACACTATAAGCAATTTATTAGATTGCATAAAGTGCATTAATTCTATACAGTGATCCAACATCTTTAGATAATGTTTCAACACATTTGGATAAGAAATTACCTACTGCCCATTCTTATTTATAAGTAGCAATTAAAGCAGGCAATTAACTTAATCCCATAGATCTAACTTCAGCTGCTCTATCTTTTAAAAACATTACAAAAACTGATTCCAATTACTTATTAAAAACATCAGGATTCTTGACAGTTCTTAAAAATATAAATATTAAAATTTATACAAAGCTAATTAAATGATAGTTTGCATAGTCTCTTTTCTTACTCTCCATTTAGGATCATCCATACATTTTTTAAGAAAAGGTACAAATTGATTCAAAGCCTCTGGACCAATAGCAGCTGCAAATTACCCAGCTGATTTTGCAGCATTTCTTCTTACATCTTAATTATCATCTGCCATTAAATCAATTAAATATTATTATAATTTGCTTTGACTATATTCTTTTGGTAAAAGTGATGCAATTTAACCAATAACTTCACATGCATTTTCTAAAATTGACAATAATCAATACATTTAACTTATGAAAAGGGATCTTTAGATAAAAGTTACAATAGAGGAACTATCAAATTTAATTTTTCTGGTGATACAAATTTAATGAATCTAACCAAACTTTTTACTGCAATGACTCTTACATCACATTCTATATCTTTTAATAAATTAGAAAATATCTAAATAAGTGAAGAATCTGCAATTTCTTTACCAACAGCTTCTGCTAACTAATTAGATATTATTAATTATTTTACATCTGCAAATATTTTAGATAATGCTAATCTTACTCTCCATGATTTATCTTCAGCTGATTATATAATAAGAGGTAATATATTTGTTTTATTCTCACCACTATTCAAAATTTTTGCTATATTCATTAAACTTTCCATGCATAATAATCTAACTTAATCCTATTCATCTTAACATAGTTATTTTAAAACAGGTATCAAATCCTGAATTACATGAATCTTATCCATAAATTAAGCAATTTCTCCAATTTTAGTAGCTACAGCTCTTCTTACCATAGGTGTTTCTTCACTACATAACTCAGTAAACTTTCTAATTCATATTTAAATTTGAATTACTATCTAATTTTCTCCTTTTAATTGCCTGCTCTTGCATATAATGGACACATCAAACTGACTGCTGATACACGACATGTAAAATTAGTATCATTTGAAGCTAATCTAATAATCTATAAAATTGTAAAATAAATAGTTACCATGGGTACAATAGTGTTAGCTATTTCATTGTCACCCAAAAATCCACACACTATAGTGATAGATTTCACAGCTTGTTCTCTCACAACGGTTTCATCGAATCCTGCCAATTATTCAAGTAGTGGTAACAAACATGAAGACTGATTTGGGATGATTTAACTAATTATAATAAAATATCATTACGCAATATTTCCCAATTCTTCAGATAATGCAAATAGAACTTCATCATCTTCTTTCTTTAATAAAGCTAGTTTAAATCATTTCTATTACTTTCAAAATATGGTATTAATTATGACTTTATTTTATCACTACCTAATAAAGTGGCTACTACTCTCACTCTATGCATAGCATTTACTTTTAAATAAACTTCTTCATTTTCCATGTCTTCTTTTAAAACCTCAAATGGATTTTCGCTCATAATTAAATAAGATTTATATATAACAAAGAAATTATTTCTCACATATGAAAGAAAATTAATGAAATCAAATATAGATGTAATATGTATATTATATTTAAAATAATAATCAATACTTAAAATATAAGGATATTTTCAAATTCAATTATTCATTTGATAATCTATAAATTTATATAAATAAAATGTAATAATAAATAATAATAGGCTCAATTGTATGTTTTGCTTCATTTCTATTGATTATATTAATCATAGGATGGGATGTTGTTGAAGTTACTAATTGGGGTTTAAAGTGTAATTCCATAAGTAAATAATGTGATAAACAAATATATGCTCCAGGAAGATATTTAGTGGGTCCTTTTAATTCCTTTTTTAATTTCCCTGGTAGCAGATTAACTATTGAATTTTCAGATGATAAACGAGCATAAAGTCAACCTCTTAAAACAAGAACTGCTGAAGGTCTAACACTTAGTTTACATGTCTCATTTTAATACCAACTTATCAAGAATGAAATTGCATAATTATACGCTTTAGGTGGATTGAATTACGAAGCCACTTTTATAAGGATGGCAAGAGATACTATTTTATAAGCAGCAGGCAAATTTGAAGCACCAAAATATTGGACTAATAGGAGAAACATAACAGAAGTTATGTAAAATCAATTGTAAGATGAATTGAAAAAAGCTCATGCTAATTGTGTATCACTTTAAATTTTGGATATTGAATTACCTGATTAATATGAAGATTCAATTGTTTAAACTTAGATTGAAGTATAAAAGAAAACTATGAAATAATTTGAATAAAAAGCATAAATGATTTTAAATGATATTCTTGTAATGAGAGCTGAAAATGATTAAGAAATCTATGCTATTCATGCATAAGCAGAAGCAGATGCTTTTACAATTACATAAGCAGCATAGGCAACAGCAAATAAATTATTATTGGAAGCAGAATCTAAAGGTTATGAAATGATTTAAAAGAATCTTGAACTTAGTTTAGAAGAATTTAATCAATATTTATATTGGATTTCTGTATTAAAATAAAAAAAAGCTAAATTAGTATTCAATCCTAACACTGTTTTAACTTATAATATGAATCGTAATTGAATAAATCATTTACATTTAAATATGTATTCATAATTAGTAGTTGATTAATTCTCTTAAACGAAGATTCTCTCTATTAAATATTCTAACATCCTCAACTTGACTTGCTTTTATTAGATATTCTGTCAATTATTTCAATTCTTCATCCTTTTCATCGGAATTCCATTCTAGTATTGGTATTCCGTTATCTATCTATAAACCAAAAGAATGAGCCAAATTATCAACAATTATTGTAGAACTTAAATCAATATCTTTAAGAGTTCTTAAATCTTTAATAAAGAATCCATTTTTAGTTTCCATACAATGATTTCTCGAAAATATTCCAATAATTTTAGTTTAATCTGGATCTAAATAATCTACAACAATACTAGCATATGAAGGTGATGAAGCTGTGAATATGAAAATTGAATATACTTACGATAATTTATTTAAAAAATAATTTGTATAGGGTCTTACATTAAAACTTATTTAATTAATGTTAACTTAAGCTTACTCTTTACTACTACTACAATGTATTAGAGTTTCATCTAAATCTAATAAAAGAACTTTTGATTTGTTTTCTTCTTTTGGGACCTCTACTTGACGAGATTTTATAAATTAATCACTGGGTCCTTTCAAACATTTGGTTGCATATATTAAACCTCTTTAGGTTAATAAGAGATGTTTCTTTAGTGTAGTTTCAGAAACTGATTCTCCAAATATTAAATGTCTAAAGGGATGATTTTTTACAGAAACTTCATATTACTTTTATGTTTTCAATTCAGCATCTGAATGATTTTACTTATTTTACAATACATTTTTAGCTGTGTTTGTAAAGAGTTATTAAATAGTTGATGGTTTAGGTTTGAATTTTGATTATTATGGTTTCTATGATGACTTAGGAGATGGAGTTATTGGAGTCCCACAATCAGAATCATCAGTTTAAAACTCTTATTTATGTTTTACAGAGTTAATTGAATGAGGTGTAGTGCTTTCTCCATCATCAGAATAAAATTGTGATTTCTTACTTGGCTTAGTTAATGTTAATTTATGAGTATTGTAATGTGGTTTGGAATTCATTTTTAAAGTGTAGATATGTAAATATTTAATTATATATGTCAAAATAAAATACTTATTAAATTTAAGATCATATATATTTAATTAGAAATAATATCTATACTAATTTATTACTCTTTATCAGTATTTTGTGTCAGATATTTATATTGTTAATTATATTTTTAATAAAATTCAATGATAAACTATAATTAAAGTTCTTTAAATTTTTATGAAATTAATAATAAATTGAATATATACATATACAAATAATTTATGATAATTTATATATAAATGTTTCTATTCTAAGAAATTAATATAATTAATCATTCAATAATGAATAGATTTCACAAGATTTACATTCTAAGCAATGTTTATTTATTTATCTTTAATTTAAAAAATTAAACAAATTCAATCTTATTCATTTTCATTTTGAGAATGATTATTATCTTAATGAATTTCAGTCATTTCAAATACAATAGAATCATTAACCTTTGAATGAGGTGTTTCCTCAGTTAAATTAAAAGCATCAGCTGCTTTTCTTACACCTATCTATTTTCCAAAATCTTCCCACTATCTATTTTCTCTATAAAAAGTTTCTTTATTATAAATTAAAAAATATGCTGCAAATGAAGAGAATCTAATAATAATAATAAAATAAAATACAAAACTCCCCAAAATGCACCCACAATTGATATCATATCAAATGATGTTGAATAGGTCAAAACAGAAATTTATTATGTCTAATTTTAATTTAATTTTTTATACTAATTCTGTTCTAAATCCTATTTAATATGCATAATCACTACTATATACACTCACATTTGTAATCCAACTATTAATTTTTTATATACTTAAGAAATTTCTAACATCATCTGACCATCTTCTCAAAAAATCAGGCTTTATTGTATATTTCTCAAGTTAAAAGAATATTTCAGTCCTGGGATATAATCCAGGCATTAGAAAGTATTAATAAGTAGAATAAGGCACACTTTCAACAGATTTTCCAGTAGTAAGATCGAAATTTGGTGAATTGTCCCGAATATATAATAAAATTCTTCCACTTGGCAAATAAGATTGACAATCTATACCCAGCTGCAATCTAATCGATTTCTTATTAACTTATACAGGTTTAATTGCCACCTTAGTTGCAATATTACACTTATATTCTAGGATAAGTAAACTCTGGAGTTTGATAAAGAGCTCCTGACATATTTGCGGATTCACTTGAATTTAAAAAATAAATTTTACTTTGGACAAAGAATTGTATAATTAGATGCTGGAATCCAATCAGGATTGCAAGATTTTAAAGGTATTTATGTTTTTACATCTTTTTTAGAGACATCTTGAAATTTAGTAACTTAAAACATTTCAAAATAAAAGATAGAAGGATCATTTATTGTTTTGGTAAACCTAATATTTAATTTAAATTAATTTATACGGATCTCCAAAAAAGTATCCAAAAGCTATTTCTGGTAAAGTTATATTTAAGGCCTCCAATATTTCTTCATACTAATTTACTGTTGGACTATTATTAGTAATAAATGCTAGAATTAGAATCTTAATATGTACCAACAAGTGTATAGATAAAATAAGCTAAAAAACATCCAATCATCAATAGACTTCCATATAAACTTCTTCTAGAGGATACCATTTCAGTTTTAGGAACAGGCATAAATTAAAATAGATCAAAAGATGCTATTAATCTCCTTTTCATAGTCACAACTCCTTTTGTTTCCTCTTCATTTCCTTCTTTCTTTTTATTTTCTACCACATTATTTTCAACTTACATAAATTTAATATTATATGACTAAATGCTTATTAATCATTTAAATATTCTTATTAAAATTTCAGTATCTAAATAGGAAATATCATAGTAAGTAATAATATATCATTTTTATAAATTACTGTATGATAATATATAATAACAAAATTTCAAAATTGATAATAATTTATTCATAACTACATTCTTTTGTAAATTAAATTAATTAACTGCAATTTAAGTTTATAAATATCTTTATCCACAATATTATAATTTATTAATTATTCTAAATCTTAATTATGAAAATCTTTTAACATTTCAAGAATGATTTCTATATCTTAACATAAATCAACTTAATTTAACATTTCTCTTAGAGCTTCATAGCAAGTCTACTTTTCATTATAAACTAATAAAGATATTGGATTTATGTGAAATGAATCATCATAATATTAAATAATATCATCTATATAGATATTAAATATTACTGCTTGAAAATGATAAGTCAAATTAGATAGCTTTTAATATAAATTTGCTTAGCATTCTTATATTAATTCTAAAATTATGATTAATAAATTTTTTCGTCTAATTTATATAATTAAATTTTACAATAATTCCTAGTTTATATGTTTCATCAGGCTATTTATCAACTTGAATATCATTAATAGGCATCAAAAATCTATTCTATATATATTTAATCTTTTAAATAGCCTATTATAATTCATTCACTAAAAATATCTATTAGAATTTATACTATTTGTAAAAACAAGAGTTTATCTACAGTATTCGATGTTGTCTAATTCAGAGTAGATTTATTCACATTATATATCTAAAAGAGGTTCTTCAATAATCTTTTCATTTATTTTAGTGAAACAACAATTTTCAGTCATACTTTGAGAATTGCCTGATATAGGAGATTGTAAGGTATGACTCTAAATATGATATAATATCAATTTACTAGTTATAAGCATTCAAGTTCTTGGTTACTAATTTAGTTATTTATAATCGAACATAGTTTAAATTCAGATTTATGTTATATCTTCACAGAAAAGCTTTGCATAGACTATTTATTCTTAATTTAAAACTTTTTTTTTAATTTATAAACATACTTCTATATGTATTCTATTTATTTGCAGGCTTAACTAAAAAGCCGGGAAATCAAATCAATTTCACCAAATTTGTTTTTAGTACAAAAATTTCATTATACTAAAAATTAGTTTCTTTCTAATTTTAGTATTTTTAGCTTAAAATCTAGAAGATGCATTAACAAAAACTCTCATTATTCTTTTAACTTCGATTTATTAACAATGATAATATATTTGTTAACTAAGTGTATTATACAATATATCAGTTGATAATAAAATAAAATAAAATTTCATTAAATAATAATTTGTTATTTTAGATGATCTGTATTAAATGATTTTCTTATTATCTTCTTTATAGGAAATTTAATAAATAATAAGAAGGAGAAATGTGAAAAGTGAAAGAAAAAAAAAAAAATATTTTATAAAAAAATTAATGTTTTTAAAATATTGGATTTTATACCCGGCTATTGCAGGATGCTTCATTGGCATAGGACATTTTGCTGCGTTTTATCTATCGAGAGTGTTATTGAATCAAGTCTGGTTTAGAAATACGTTGAAATACCTAATGATTGATGATGAGTATAAAATTTAATGAATCAATGTTGTGATATCGTTTATCAAAATTGCAATAAATTGGATGTTATACAAGGAAGTTATGAAGGGGGTTAGACGTTGTGGGAATGTACTTTCGATCTCTTATAGTACCCTAAATAACTTAGTGGTCTTGATGTGATAGATATGGGATGTGGTTTAGGATTGTTGGGAATATAAGCATTAAAATAAGGAGCCAAAAGTGTTTGTTTTTAGGATTATAATGAAGACACATTTGAGAAGGCAATATTACAACAATTGAAATTGAATAATCTGGAGGAGAACAAGAATTATTCATTTGTGAATGGAGATTGGGAAACACTCAATCTATAAAAAGTTGATATTATTTTAGCATCAGAAATCATATACAGAGAAGAATATTATTCTAAGGTGGAAGATTTCATAGCAAAACATTTGAGACAAGATGGAAAATGTATAATGATAAATAAAAGTTATTATTTTGGAGTAGGTGGTTCTGTAGCAGGATTTAAAAGTTATATAACTAAATTATAAGTTGTAGAAGAAGAAATAATAAATACAAAAAAAGGAGTGAAGAAAATGATTATGAAATTATAGTTAAAATGAATGATGTACATATTTTAATGATCTTTTGTTTTTTTTAGTTATTTTATTATATGATGATGGTATTATGTATAGATGAATTGATTAAAAATAGTATATGTAAATACTTGAATGATGAAATTTTATTAAATTTTAAATATAAAAAATTGTGATTTATAATGCCACAACACGATTATATTGAACTTCATCAAAAAAGATTTGGAAAAAGACTTGATACAGAAGAAAGAGCAAGAAAAAAGGCAGCCAGACAACCTCATGAATTAGCAGAGAAAGCATAAAATCTTAAGGGTCTTAAAGTAAATAAATGAAAATAATATTTTTACAGGCCAAAATGTTTAACAAGGAAAGATTTAAAGAGAAAGCATTGATGAAGAAATAAATGTTAGCTCATGAAGAAAAAGATATTGAAGTCAATGTTGAAGATGTTAAAGATGGAGCTGTTCCTACATATTTATTAGATAGAGAATAATAATAATAATCAAAGGTTTTGACAAATATGCTTAAATAAAAAAGGTAGAGTATATTATTTATATTATTAGATAAGAGAAAGCAGGTAAATGGGATGTTCCAATTGCAAAAGTTAAATAAATGTCAGAAGGAGAAATGTTTTAAGTAATTGAGAGTGGAAAGAGAAAATAAAAGTCTTGGAAAAGAAGAATTAATAAGGTATGTTTTGTTCCTGAAACATTTACTCGTAAACCTCCAAAATTTGAAAGGTATATTAGACCTACAGGACTTCGTTTTAAGAAAGCAAATGTTACTCATCCTGAACTCAAAACTACTTTTAGTTTACCTTTATTGGGAGTTAAGAAAAATCCATAATCAGCATTATATACTACACTTGGTGTAATAACTAAAGGAACAGTTGTTGAAGTGAATGTTAGTGAATTAGGTTTAGTAACTTAAACTGGTAAAGTAATTTGGAGTAAATATGCTCAAGTAACAAATAATCCTGAATTGGATGGATGTATTAATGCTACATTGCTTGTTTGATTTTTAGAAGTTCATATAATTATCTATTATAATAATAATAAATAGTGTTATTATGTTTAATTAAGATTTGGAATACTTCTGTTCATTACTTATTACTTATGAGAATAGAATCTTGATAATAATTAGAAATATAAATAATTATTTTTGATGAGTAAGAATAAACCAAAGCCAGCAGATGCTAAACCATAGTTATCAAGTATACTTCCCTAATTTATCATCCATAGAAGCAGAATTGGAGGCATAAAATAAGGCTAAGTAGGTTAACGATGTTGAGAATGAAGCATTTAAGGTATAATAATATTGAAACTTCTCTAGAAATAAATGAGAGAAGAAATAAGATTACTAAAAACAGATATAGATGCAGAAGAGAAATTACTTTCTTAATATTAATAAGAAAGAGAAAAGATAAATTACAACTGGATTATTGCTAAGAAAGAATTGGATGATAAGAAAAGTGACTTTATTAATAAGGAAAGAGAAATTTAGGATTTAAAAGAAAATCACTTTATGCAATTGAATCTTTATAAATAAAAGTATAAGTTTTATTTTATATTTTAGAATTAAGCATCTGTTATTTTAAAATCAAGATTAATAAAGTGATTTAAGGAAAGATGTAGAAGTTACTTTAAAATAATTAGAAGATGATCATAGAATGAAAGATAGAGAATTAAAGACTGATATTAGATCTTTGAAAGTTTAATAAAAAGAAGCTGATTTAGCTTAAAATGATTATATGTTTGCACTTAAAACTGAATATGATCGTTAAGCTACTTAATTAAGATAGAATTTTGAAAGATAAGCAAATGATTTAAAAGAGAAATATCATTTAAAAATGGAGAAATTAAGAAGAGAAATGGAAGAAGCTAGAAATAATCTTATTAAAATACTTTAAGAAAAAAAGGATCTAAGAATATAATAATTAACTAAAGAACATTCAAAAAAATATACAGAAATTAAAAATTATTATTCTGATATTACTGCTACTAATTTAGATATGATTAAAAGTTTAAAAAATGAAATAACAGATCATCAAAAAAAAGAAGAAAAAGATAAAAAATTATTATAATCAATTGAAAATGAATCTAAAAATTTAAATGAACCACTCAAAGCTATTAAAGAAGAAATTAAATTTTTAATTAAAGAAAAAGAAGAATAAGCATAAGTAGTATAATAAAAGGAATAATTGAAATTAAAAATAGATGAACTTGAAAAGAAATTTAGAAATTTAGAATATGAATATGAAGTTAAATTATAACATTTCTAATATATGGAAAGAGAAAAAAAATCACTTGAAGATAAATTTAATTTAACTATTTAATCAATTTAATAAAAAACTGGTCTATAAGTATAAATTATATAATATATTAGAATCTAATCTTAGAAAAGAAAACTTCTGCTATCTAAGAAGAATTGGAAATCAAGGAATTACAATTGAATCAAGTCTTACAAGGAGCAAATATTGATTAAAATACTATAAGTAACTATTATATATTAATTTAGATATTATTACAAGATAGTATTAAGAAATTGATGTCTAAAAATCAGCTCAAATTGCTGAATTATAATAATAACTAACATAAATAAGAAAGGCGCATTCTCATATGGTTAAGGCTTATGATGGTAAATTAGCTGAATTTGTAATTCCTGTGGAAGAACTTGGATTTGATCCATTAGTGCCAACTTTTACAGAATGAGTCGCATATATTCCATTCATTTATTTTATATAATGTCGAAAAAAATAAAATAATATAATTTACTATAATACCATAAATTATGTTAAAAAATAAACCTATCCTATGTACTGAAGAGCCTATTGAGGAAGATCAAATATTTATATAGGCTTTTTAGGGAGCTCCAAATGTTAGTGTAAGTATTAGTGAAGTAAGTGAAAGTCAGAATGATTCAAAAAAAGTATTTGAAATCCCTTAAGTTTTGATTGAACATCATACTTAAGAAAAATAAAGAGAAGAGGAATTATTAAAATAATAAGAGCCTAAAAAGGGTTTTGCAAAATTAGTTTAACTATTTCATATGAGATAATTTATCCATTAAGTACTTGCAAAAAGAAGATTGATTTCTAAAATCACTAAATACCATTTGTAAGTGATTAATGATAAAGCATCTTCTTTAGATGATGTTGGTTTTAGAAAATTTGCAATAACAATAAAACCATTAATTTAAAGTTTACAAGAAAATACCTAAGCTCACTTAGGAAATCAACAGTAAAAATTCAAATAATAATAATTTTAGAAGAAGATCATTGCTTATGCAAAGAACGAAAATATTTATTGGAAGTTAAGTTTAAAGATTTGGTAAACTTATCCAATAAATTCCACTAATTAAACCAGATTCTAAAGTTAAAGTAGTTTGGGATAGTATTTTATTTATTTGCAGATTTTATTTACTTTTTACAATTCCAATAGATTTAGCTTGGCCATCTATTTAATTATTATTTTATACATTAGAAGTACCAACTGTAATTTGTATAACTCTTTTGATATTGGATTTTTTTGTTTGTTTATTCTAATCATTTTATTAATAAGGACAATTGGTAACAGATAGGATGAGTATATTAAAACATTAAATAAGTAAAGCATATGGCTTTGAAATAATAGCAAACATTCTACTAATAATATTTTATAATATCTCAAATCAATATGATTATGGATTTAATGTATTTGATAATCCTTATTACATATTTCTATTTCTCTAATTTGTTCAATATAACAATATTGCATAATTAAGATAACAATTAGAAGATGCATTGAATTTATCAAGGGAGGCTGCATCTTTGGTAGAACTTTCAAAATTATTTGTTTTATTATTTTTTGTTATACATGTATTTGCATGTTTATGGTTTTGGGTAGGACTATATAGTGAAACATATTTGGGTAGTAGTTGGTTAGAAGCTAAATAGGTATTAGATAAATCTTTTGCTGATCAATATTTATATTCATTTTATTATTCAACTGTAACTATGTTTACAGTAGGATATGGTGATATTACTCCATAGACAAATCCTGAAATGATAGTTTCAGTTATATTTATGTCTGTTTGTAGTGTATAATTATCTTATAGTGTCAGCACTGTGAGTTCTATTATTGAATAGATAAGTGGATTTAAAGAAGAGAAAAAAAGAAAGTTTAATATAATCAATAATTATATGTAATAAAAAAATATTAGTTATGAATTATAATTTTAAATAAGAGAATATTTAAATTATTTTTGGACAATGAAAAGGAATGAGGAATCAAATGAGGAAAGAGAAATAATAGATGAGTTATCTAGTAGATTAAAATAGAGATTGATTTTTGAAGCTAATTCAAGAATTCTATATAATAGTCCTTTTTTTAAAGAAAATTTTTCATTAAATTTTAAAAAAGATTTAGTAAGTAAAATAACATCTATCACTATTGCTCCAGAGAATGTTTTAGATTACACAAAAAAATCATAAGATGAAAATAGCTTATCCATATTTTTTATAGAATAAGGTTAAATAGAGGTTTTTATTGAAAATGAATAATTAAGTGAACTATCTAGAGTATATAAGTTAAAAGAGGGAGAAAGTTTTGGATTTGTAAGTTTTATTACTGGTAATCCAAGTGTTGAAAAATATAAAACTATTGGTTTTACTAAATTATTAATAATAACGAGGAAAGACTTTTTAGATGTAATAAAGGATTACCCTGAAGATTATGAAATATTCTATAGTTTTTTTGAAGATTTGACATTTAATTCTGAAAGTGAATTACTTACTATGGAATGTTTTTCTTGTAAATCAAAAACTCATAAAGCAATATCATGTCCTCTTCTTCATTTTAAACCAGATAGAGAGAAAATTATAAAATCAGCTTAATTTAGTAATGATTAATAAAGAAGTAAATAGAAGAAAAGAAAAGAAAAATGTTATATAAAGGCTACATTAGGTTAGAGTATATTAAATGATGTAGCCAAACAAGTATAATCAGACAATCAACAATTAACATATATATATGAAGAATATGATGAAGAAAAATCACCAACTCCAAAAGTTTAATTTTTTAATAGTTCAGATGAAATATCAGATTTTAAAAACAATCATGAAGATGAAAAAATCTAACTTATTGAATTTAAGGAAGAAACTCTAAAACCTCCTATTCCTTAGAAAAAATAATTATTAAGAAAAAAGTAGACATTACAGGATATAGGGGATATTATGAAATTTAATAATAGATAGAAGGAAACAAAAGAGAAGTTTATATCTATTGTTAAGAAAGTAAATCTTATGAATGATTTTGTTGATAAGAAAATTGAAGATTCTTAAGAAAAAATGCTTGCTTAATATAGAGATCATTTAAAAATGATTTAATATCGAAAAAACAAGATATAACACATAAAACATATTTATTAGAATAAAACAATTAATGAATTAGAATTTTTTGAACTTAAATTAAAAATGTTATTATAAACAGAATTTGATATACTTTTGGATGCATAAAAATCTTATAAATATTTTAAACCAAAAGAAAATCTTTATTCAGTTTTAAGTAGAACAAAAATATCTATGTTATCAAGTACAAATGAGATGCAAATTTTAATGTAATAAAAAACAAAGTAATTAATTAAGTATTTATTTTATCCTTATTTATACATATAAAAATATGTATGCAAATAGAGACATTCAGATTATATAGGTGAAACTAAAAAAAAATAGTTATTTAAAAGGAATAATAGAATATCTCTGGCATTCATAATGCAATAACATTCTTCAATTAAAAAACCTTGAACAACATTATTAATATAAAAGTATATATATTATTTTACTTTTTATAATCTTGACTAAAGTTTATCAAATTTTATTATAATTAATATGAATTCAATTAAAAATATTGATTTAGAAAATAAGCTCACTGAAAATTCTGAATCATCACCTTTCAAGTCTCGAAGAACACTAATTAATAGATAAAACACTGAAACAAGTTTATACTTAAAAAATTTACATAAAAATCTTTAATATATAGAATCAATTAGTGCAAATTAAGAATAGAAGAGAGGATTTAAGATTAAAAAAAGACATGAATATGTAACAAAGTTTATAAAGAATCTTCGATCAATTCAAAATCATTATTCAAAATTAACAAATTATCATTTCTCTTTAATTGATGATCTAGCTACTTATGACAGCAGAAAAAATTAATCACTTGCATTAAGAACAATAGAGAATATAATATGTTTTTAAAAATTAATAGAAATTTTGAGTAATTTGATAAACAAGCTTCCCTTATTTCAACCTGATTCATAATACAAAAGTATTTGGGATATTGTGACAATAGTTGCTAGACTTTATTTTCTTTATTTAATACCTTTAGATATGGCTTGGATTGAATAAGAGTTTATCTTTTAATTATTTCAACCAATATCCTATATTATGCTTATTCTTGTTGTAACTGATTAGATTCTAGAATTTAATACTGCATATTATGAATGTGGTTAAATAGTAAATTCAAGGATAAAGATTTTTAAGAATAGTATTTTACGAAATTATAGTACAGAATGGATTTCAACATTTATATTGATAATCTACACTTTTTTATAATTTTAATATAGAATTAGAATAGATCCTTCAGAGAATATAATACATTTGTCATTAATATTATTTATTATTCATGCAAGTAGAGTAAGATAGACAGTAAAACATTATGAATAGAGTTTGAATGTAAATAAGAAATTATCATCAATGATACAATTAGGGAAATTCATTTTGTTTTTGTTTTATTTTTTACATATATTTGCTTGTTTTTGGTTTTGGGTACAATTTTAAATATTTTAGATAGGCTCTTATAGTTAATAAAATGAAGGACATAGTTGGGTGAGTATATCTCAGGTATAAGATCTTGATTGGAATTTGTAATATTTGGAAGCATTTTACTTTTCAACAGTGACTATGTTTACGGTTGGATATGGAGATGTGGCTCCAGTTTCAAATTTAGAGAAGGCTACTTCAGTATTGTTCATAATGATTACAAGTATTTAATTGCCTTATTCTATAAATACTGTTGGAAAGTTTATTGAAGAGATAACAGCATATGGAGAGGAGACAATGAAGAAATTGAGTATAATAAATACATATATGGAGAAGAGGAAGATATCTTTTAATTTATAGATGGAGATAAGATAATATTTGAATTATTATTGGTAAACATAGAATTAATAGGATAATGAAGATTAGAAGAAGATAATAAATTAATTATCAGAATGTTTAAAAGAAAGATTGATGGCTGAGGCATATTAATCAATGTTAAATGATTGTCCTTTATTTAAGAATAGATTTAGTTAGAGTTTGAAACAATTATTAGTAAAAAAGGTGAAGAGTGTAATATATCCACCTGAATCATTTATAGATAATGATTAAATATATTTATGTTTTATTGATGAAGGTGAAGTGGAGATTCATTTGGAAATAAATAAATAATTTCCTGTTGGTAGATAAATGAAGGGACATAGTTTAGGTATAAGTAGTTTTATAACTGGTAAAAATGCTCCAGAGAGATTTAAATGTCTATCATTTACAAAAGTAATGTTATTAAGTAGAGTTGATTTTTTGAAATGTTTATAAGAATGTCCATAGGATTTTGAGATTTTTTGTTAAATGAGAGATTATTTGACATTTAATCCAGGGAAACAATTACATCCAATTAATTGTTTTTCATGTGATTCAAATTAACATAAATTGATTGAATGTCCTCTTATTCATTTTGTACCTGATAGAGAATAGATATTAAAGAAACATATAAAATCATAATAATAGGATAGATAGATAAATAGATAAAGATCAAAATATAGACAAAATAATTGTAGAGGGAATTTATCTGAATTGACTAGAGCAGCTTGGAAGATTTAATCTCAAAGATATGAAAGAATAAAATTATATTATGATTAAGATGAGATAAAAAGATAGATGAGAAAAAGTAGAAGTGTATCATTTTATAATGAGAAAGATATAATATCTGAATACAAACATAGATTTATTCATATAGTCAAAATGATTATATATATAAATAGATTAAGGATACTTCCAAAAACAAGAATAAAAAAATATCCATAAATAAATGAATAATTTTTATCTTAATTATTTGATAGATTGAAATTAGCTAAAAAGAATGAAAGAATATTCAATAAAGAAATTAATGAGATTTAAGATCTTATTGATCGTTTAAATTAAAAGTCTAGTTTACATGATTTTGAAATAAATCATGAATATCAATTTTATAATAGTGTTAATAATTTATCAAGGATTCCTAATTTATAAACTAAGTTGAAGATTGGATTAATTATGAAATTTATGCCATATTTTCTATTCCCAGGAGAAATAATAAAAAGATTTGGATGCAAACCATCAATTCGAAATATCATTAATTATAGAAGAAGAAAGAATGTGATTTTGATTTGAATAATTTATTTAATATGTAAGAAAAAATGCTAGTTGGTAATATGGGACTTAAGCTATTGACAGAAGGGAATCAAACAGAAGGAATCCCTTTTCGATAACAAATCTAAGTTTAATCTTCAGGAGGAGAATCAATCATGATGTATTAAAAGATACTCAATCAGAAATAAGAACGTAAAACTCATTATGTCAAACAATTTTGCAATAATCTCAAATCATAATCAAATAGATTAGGACTTATTCCTGAAGAATAATTATCATGTATTGGTGATAAAACCTCATATCGTAGTTCTAATACATTCAATATAAGACTCATGCATAAAAACTTTTCATTGTAATTAGAATTGAAGTTTTTTGAGAAGATTAAACAATTTTTTTCAAAATATTTGAACATGTTAATTTCAAGTCTAAAACGAATAGAGTTATTTCAACCAGAATCTACTATAAAGTTAATTTGGGATTCAGCTTCATTGGTTTCAAGATTATATTTTTTATTTTTAATTCCCTTAGATATTGCATGGAGTAAATATTCATTTATGTTTGACATGTATAATTTAACATCCTTTATATTTTAAATGGTTCTTCTTGGAGATTTAATAGTTGGTTTAAATACTGCATTCTATAAATAAGGATAATTAGTAACAGATAGAAAATAAATTGTTTATCATAACTTTTTAAAATGTTTTGGTTTAGAATGGACTTCAGCAATTTAATTACTGGTCTATTAGATACTAACTCAGGATCCAATTATAACATAGTAAATCAAAGATTATAAAATATATCTTACTTTAGTGACCTTTTTAGTTCATTATAGTACTATACAAGAATGTTTAGAATATTATGAAGAAGGATTGAATCTTAGTAAAAAGGCCTCATCCATTATAGAACTTATTAAACTGATTGCAGTGTTATTTTTTATAATACATATGTTCTCATGCTTTTGGTTTTGGGTAAAACAATTATTCATTCTAGGTTGGTGATTATAGTCATAACAATTACGGAGTCAGTTGGTTAGAGAATATTGTTGATTAAGAATGGGAAATATAATATTTATCATCAGTATATTATTCAACAGTTACAATGTTTACTATAGGATATGGTGATGTTCTTCCATAAAGTAATTTAGAAAGAATTGTTTGTTGTTTATTCATTATTATGGCAAGTTTACAATTACCTTATAGTATTAATACAGTGGGAGCTATCATTTCAAAAATTAGTGAATATGGAGAAGATAAGAAACGTAAATTGAGAATCATTAATTCATATATGCAAAAGAAAAGAATTCCATTTTAATTATAAAGTGAAATTCGTCAATATTTAAATTATTATTGGTAATTAAATAAAGAAAAAGATGCAGAAGAAGCAGAATAGATGATTAATTAATTATCTGAAAATTTAAAAGAAAGATTAACTTAAGAATCAAATTCTGTTATTCTAAATTAATGTGCTTTATTTAGATATCGTTTTACACCTGCTTTCAAAAGAGAACTCATTAAATCATTAAAAACTAAGATATTAGCACCTGAAACTATTATTGGAGATAAGAAAGAGTTAGTGTATATAGAATCTGGAATTATTGATATGTATGGAGATTAATAATGTAATCTAAAATTATAATCTTTCCATACAAATCAAACTATAGGCCTTATTCCATTTATAACTGGCAAATTATAACCAGAAACCTATAAAAGTTAAGGCTTTTGTTTGGTTATGACATTATCACATAGAAAATTTAAAGCAACTTTAAAAGATTTCCCTAATGATTATGAAATCTATTGTCAGATGAAAGATTATTTATTATTTAATGGAAATGAAACTTCAATCTTTCCAAGAAAATGCTATGCCTGTTAAAATTTTACACATTATTCACATGAATGTCCAGTAGTGCATTATGTACCTGATAGAGAAAAAATAATAAAAAAACACACGATTTCAACATTTTAATAAAGAAAATTAATTCCACGTTAAGAATAAAAGAGAGCTCGATATCCTTCTAGGAAAGTTACTTAATAGTCTTTAATAAAAGCTTCATTTATTGTACAATAAGAGAATTAAGATATTGTTTAATAATATGATATTCCTTAAATTGAAGAAGAAGAGTATAAAATATAAAATTTAGATGCATATAAAAATTTTAAGAGTAGATCTAAGAATAATGAAGAGAAAAGGAAAGCATTAAAGGCTAAATTTAAACATTTAGTTAAAAAGATCACATTTATAGATAAATATTATCCTAAATTTTTAATGATTGTGTTGAAGAAATTTAGACATAATTAAAATTATTTTAGTCAAGAATCATAGCTGAAATAATTAAAATTAAGATAAGAACATCTTAAATAATTAACAAAAGTGGATCCTCAATTACTCAATGATATTGATGATATTATTAGGATTAATTCAGATTACAATATATGTTAAAATAATGAATTTGAAAGTCCTAAAAATTTCATTCATTATAATCCTAAATTTAATATTAATAATATTAAATTAAAAATAGATAAAGCAAAAATAAGAATTGTGAATGAATTCCAAAGATATTGTTTGTATCCAGCTCTTATTATGTAGAAATTCCATTCAACCAAAACATCTTAAGATTTAATAACATATAATAGAAGGAAGAATGTATTTTTATGAGTTGAATAAATTATTCATAAATTATTTTAAATGATGTTTTTATTATAATTTCATTTTAAGTTTTATCTAATCTAATTGAAAGAAAAGATATTGTCATCATCTTCATAATCGAAATCTGATTCTTTTGATTTTTTCTCGGAAAAACTTGTACTTGAATTCTAATTTATGACATATGGATCTGATGCTTCAGCCATACTTTCAATAGCTGATTCATCAACTCCTCTTTTCATTCTAAAGTTTCCTCCCTCTCCCCATTCATTTCCCCAACTGTTTTATAACATCCAATATTTAACACCATTCTCTTCTCCCCATCCATAACATAAGACTGAATGATCAACTTTTTCCTATCAATAAATATCAATTGAATACCCATTCAGCATAATCATTTGTTTATGCTTTGGAATGATAAATACCAGATTCATAATACATGAAATCATAAGATGGTTCAAAACTCAATACAACAGGACCATTCTTCATTATTTCTGCCATTATAACTTATTCTGAAACTCTACCATATGAACCTCCTAAATATTTATAGTTTCTAAAAATAATTATAAATATATAATAAACTTTGTAGAATAAACTTTTGATTATGATTTAGCTTTTTAAAAATTACAAGATCCATCAAATCCTTAATATGGTTCTGCTGCTTCAGAAACAAGTACTTATTCTTCAGCAAATTTATTTACTAAATAAGGATAACCACCATCACATCCTTAATTAAAATAATTGCAATTTAAAGACCATTAAGGAGAGAGATCAACATTTTCACCTTTTATTTTTAATCTTGCTGATAACATAGACATTGTAGCTATTGCATAACAAGATCCACATTATCCTTATTATCTAGGAGGTGCAAGTTTTCTAATATAAATAAATATTTATATACTCTTTCCAATTAAAAGATGATGGTAAATCTGAATACTCAGCAGTTTGAATGAATGCTTTATTTGCTGTTTAATCTTATTATTTATATGATTTATCTTTTTTGAATCCTTTTTTCTTTCCCAATGATTTAGCAACTTCAGCAAAACTCTTACCCTTCATATTATCATAAACTTTAGCTTTCCATGTTCCTTCTTATTTATTTAATTTCTCTACAACTTCTTCATGATTTGCTTCTGGTGTTTTTTCTTAAACTTATAAAAATGATAAAGATTTCAAATCATCATCATCCATAAATTCAGGTTAAACAATACTTACTGTTTTAATAGATTCAGATGCATCTACTTTTTCAGTTTTTTCAGCTCTATAACAACCTCTTTCTTATGTGTCTAAATTTGTATACCATCCCACAAGAGTTTAATCACAATATGAGACTCCTTCTCTACCTTTTGGCTCATATTTTGAAAATGCAAAATATTTCACATTACCTAATTTGATTTCAAAACCTTCATCATAAACCATAGTCCATTCACCTGATTTTGAATTTGATTTCACTTTATAATCATCTCCTAATGTAACTTCAAGATCTTATGATGATTAAAAGTTGCTAGAATATGCCATATATGATGTCTTGGCTCTATCAGGAACTTCATGACCACATGGTAATAATCCAACACCTTTTTAAGTTGGTTTTTCCAAATATAGTCTCCATTTTCCTGCAACTTAGTGTTTCAAGCAATGAACAGGTAAATCACAAAATACTAATCCTATCATGCATAATAAGATAACGAATCTCATTTTAAAGAAAATAAATATATATATATATATTAAAAAAACGGAATAAATTATTAAAGAAGCCTGTGTTAATAATTACTCTGAATTAATTATAGCAATCAATAATGGAGCTAATAGAATAGAGTTATGTGATAACTTATCCTAAGGAGGTACTACACCTTCTTTTGGAACTATAAAGAAATCAGTTTAATATCCAATTGTTGTAATGATTAGACCTAGAGGTGGTGATTTTGTTTATACAGCAGAAGAATTTGAAATTATGATAGAAGATATCAAGATTTGCAAATAACTATAAGTTAAAGAAATTGTTACAGGTATCTTAACAACTGATTCAGAAATTGATATAGAAAGAATGAAAATATTAATTGAAATTGCTTCTCCTATTCAAGTAGTATTTCATATGGCTATTGATGATTGTCATAATTATCATTAAAGTTTATAGCAACTCATAAATTTAGGGATTAAAAGAGTTCTTACTAAAGGAGGAAAGTATAAATCAGCTTTGGATGGAAAAGATTCAATTAAACAGATAGTTGAACTCTTTCCATAATTGACTATTTTAGCTGGTAGTGGAATTACCAAAGATAATTATATTAGTTTAGTTTAGTATTGTAATTTAAAAGAAGTTCATGGAACTAAAATTGTTTGAATTCCTTTTGTTTTAGATGTTTAATATAATTATTTATATGAATATTTTAAATTTAATATTCAAACATTACCTCATCTAAACCTAATAAACAAATGATTCCATTATAAGTCAAATAACTCATTTATATCTTAGAACTTCAATCATCGTTAATCAGCTTCTGTTTTATATAGATAATATGAATCCAGAAAACAATCTCCTGTCACACATGTTGTTGTTACACATAATCCAAGAAGAAGTCATTAATTTGATGGCAGATCCAATTCACCTTCCAAAATTTTAACTACTTCATATGTCTATCCTAAAATAATGCAATCCACAGAATTGAAAACAAGAATACCTACTTAAGTAAATCTATTCATTTCTATTATAGGGCTAAAGTATTCCTATATAAGAAGCACTTAAAATCTACTCATCGAAACAAACTCCAGATTCTAATTATAATTCAAACAAAGTCTCTTCGTTTCTTTAGGAGAAACTTAATGAAAGATCAAATTACACTAAGACCACAACAGGAGAGAGCTAAGAAGAGGAGAGATCCTCTAAACATAGTATTCTTTTTTGATTTTGTTAGAACCATCAATCATTTATTAAAAACAACTTCTTGACAAAGATTTATAAATCATGTAATTATAGAAAGAAATTAAATAAATTAAAGAATCCAATGTAATTAATTTCAATTATATATTTAGAAAAAGTATTAAAATATGGAAAAAGAATATGATAAACTTTTATAAGAAAATCAAAAATTGAAATAATAAATCTAATTATAACAAGTTCAAATTACATAACTTACACATTAACAATCTTTAATCTCTCCAGGAAGACCATCAGAATATGTTAGTGCATTAAGTGAATAAGATAAATTAAAAATAAAGACTTTACTAGAATGTGAATGAATATATATATTTATAATAATATATTCACTAATTTCTGAATTTTTAACTTATTCAGATTTTATAATTCAAAGTTCTTCTTTAACTACTTTATTATTCAGCCTCAATTCTAAATAGTACTTCTTAAGATTAATGAAATAATTTATTCAAATTTAGAAATCGATCTTTCCATTCTTATGCCTCTGTTTACATTATAGGTATTTATTCAATATATATCTTCTATTATTCACATTAATATTCCAATTATTGAATTCTATAAGAATCATTTTAATTATTACTTTTAAAGTAATTCATCTCTCTCTTAATTTTATTGCCTTATTTATTATTCCTATTTAATATTTTATTATTCTAATTCAGATTATAATTACTATATTTATGTTTTCTTTTCTTAAGTTTGCATATACATTTCTAAATTTTTAGTTTCCAAATCAAACATATTTTAAATAATGGCAAAGTTATTACTCTTTTTTTCAACATTCAAAGTATCTTAACTCTTTCTTTGTGTTTGTAAAGTGGTTTTCTGGTCTAATTCTAATTTGAATATCATTCTATTATTGCTATCATTCTTCTTTTTTGTTTGTTCATTAATTCCTTATTATTTTATAACTATCGATTCTTGTAATTTCATTGACTCAAGGGTTTTAGTAATCAAAAAATAACTCACCTATAAATACCTAATTACATTATGTTTATTCAGATTGCAATACATTCTTTTTTACAACCATTCCTTTTTAAGAAGGATTGTAATTAAAGATTTTTGCAATACAACTCTCATGTTTAGGTGCTTACTTAACCAACATTTCTTTTTTTATCGTTTGGAATTGCATTTTCAAATTATTTATTAATTAATACAACAAAAATATAGTTAAACTAAATTAACAATAATATTAAATCAACACCCAAAATCTGAAGGCAACCTATATTAACCAGGTCCAGGTGATCCATCTCTATGTTCTGATAGTATTCGTTATGCTCTTGGAAATTTGTTACATTTGCTTGCACCAAATCTTGAACAAAAGTAAGTACCTAAAGGATCCATGTTATCTGTCTCTTTGTATGTTCCTGGCCCTGGAGTACTATCCCTCAATTTTCTATCTGAATGGACTCTGGGAGGTGAGAGAATTACAGCACCCGAACTATTGATTTGATAGAATCATTCAAAATTACTCTCGATATTGACTTAGGGCATATTTGCCTCGACTGTTTATGCTGCTTGGTAAATCATATTCGCCTCTAGAATAGGTTCATAGGAATACGGTCCAGGTTTTCGATCTTTGCTTGATCTGCTTTGTAATCGTTGTCTCATACTGTAACGAACTTTTGATTAGTTTTCTTTAAAATTGTATGTTCCTGGCCCAGGTGTTTTTTAGACTAAACCCAAAAAGATACTCTCAAATTTATTTGCGCGCTTAAATTCGGCACAATAAAGTTACATCTCTGCCTAATCCCATAGTCCAACCATGTTCTCTTGTAGTTTAAATTGAATAAGAGTTTGGGGCAGGGGAAATCTTTTCTTAGGTAATGTTGATCTTCTTTCCATAACCTATTCCAGCTGCTCTCTTACTCAATGTCGTAGGTAACTGATAAATTGGAGGGCAGCTAAATTTGATTTAGTTATATAGAGATACATATTGTCTTTATGATCAACCCATCGTTTAGCCTTTGAGAAAGTATACATCTATTTAGTTTTACTTGTATTTAATGGAGATCGATTAACAGCAGTAAAGTCCATTATCTAATATATTTTATATTGATATATTATGGTCAATTTATAAACTTATTGTTGAACTATCTTATCATTCAAAGAATTTATTTAGATTTAACAACAATGAATTACTCTATATTTTGATTTAATAATTTTAATAATGAATTTAGGACCTCGCAGAAATATAAAGGAAATGCTCCCAATTCACTAAAACTTTATTGAATCTCATAATTACTAATAATTATTCAAAAGTCCTGTGAGCACTAGACAAAGATAATAAAGACCATCCAAATTACCCTCATTCAAAATGTCTATTGGATAGTAGGCTCCAGTTCCTGTGTCACCACCTGTTTCTCCTTAATGGAGGACTCGTAATATGAGTCGTGTAGAATAAAGAATGTTAAGTGTAAGTCCTCCTTAAGTACCTTCAGTACCTTAAAGTCCAAAATATTAGATTTAGATGTAGATCTTCAATGAACAAATATTAGTGAGTTAATGTAACTTAATTAGTAAAAAGCCTTGAAGAGAAAAATCAATGAAAGTGGAGCTAAAAAATAACCGGTTCAAACACCTGAGAAGTTATTAAATCAACAATCTTTAATTCGAGAAGATCTAAACAAAGGTAGTTTTAAATTCCTGTTTGTGCTTGGAAAAGGTGGTTTTGGAAAAGTGTGGAGAGTGGAACTTTGTAAAACTCGAAAGCAATATGCAATGAAAGAGATGAGTAAAGCCAGGTATTTTAATACGTTAAATGAGAATCTTATCAAAAAAGTCTGTCCATTCAGTTATAAATGAAAGGATTCTTCTAAGTAAACTAAGACATTCTTTCATTGCCAACATTCACTTTGCATTTTAAGATAGAGATCATCTATATTTAGTGATGGATTTATTAACAGGAGGCGATTTAAGATATCATATTGGAGTGAATCGTCGTTTCACTGAATGGCAAACCAGTAAAGAGTTCAATCTAATATAGAATTCATTATTGCTTGTTTATTACTGTGTTTAGAGTACTTGCAGAATAATAATATCATACATAGAGATATTAAACCTGAGAATGTAGTATTTGATAAAAAGGGTTATCCAAGATTAACTGATTTCGGGATTGCAAGAGTATTAAAGCCTGAAAATAGTTAAGAAACAAGTGGAACTCCAGGATATATGGGTTAGTAATTATATTAAGTCAGATAGCCCCAGAAGTAATGTGTAGACAGAATCATGGAATAGGAGTTGATCATTTCGCTTTGGGAGTTATGATACATGAATTCATGCTAGGAAGAAGACCTTATGTAGGTAGATCACGTAAGGAAATCAAAGAGATGATGTTAACTAAGTAAGTTACTATCAAAAAATAAGATGGTTGGAGTAGTGAAAGTGCAGATATTTGTAATCAAGTAAATTAAATAGTTATTAGTAGTTATTGTAAAGAAAACAATAAAATAGATTAGGATTTGAAGGGGTTCAATAAATTATGAAGCATCCTTGGTTTTTAAATATTAATTGGTAAAGTCTGATTGATAAGACTATGCCTTCTCCTTTCAATGAATTAGCTTAATCTGAAGATCAAGATTTTAAGAGATAGATTTCATCAGATCATGACTCATAGGATGCTCTGATATAAGAAAATGCTAATGCTTTGAGAAGGGATTCTATTTAAGACATGTTCAAAGATTATGAATACAATGATCATGGAATGACTGGTAGTACTAATTCAACTTAAATTATATGATAAAATTTATTGATTTTAATTACAATATATGTTAGATTGAGATCAAAAATGTATTCTTTAAGTTATGATATTCTTAAATATGAGTATATATTTTTTATAAATAATTTTGATGATATTAAATTTAGGCTAATGGAATGGATGAAATGATTTGAAAATTTATTTAAAATTTAATGTTTGAGAAAGAAATCGTGATTGATGGCAAGGGCCATTTGTTGGGTCGATTGGCTTCTTATATTGCCAAGGAGTTGTAAAGAGGCTAAAGGATTGTTGTAGTCAGAAGTGAGTTGATTTAACAATCAGGTATGATGTTGTTACTAAAACAGGTTCCCTCTTCAGAAATAGAGTCATTTTTGAAGAATATCTCAATAAGAGAATGGCCTTCAATCCAAGAAGAGGATATAAACATTACAGAACTCCATCACGATGTTTTTGGAAAGTAGTCAGAGGAATGCTTCAATATAAATCAAAAAGAGGAGCAGCTGCTTTAGAAAGATTAAAGATCTTTGAAGGAGTCCCACCTCCATATGATACAAGAAAGAGATAAGTTGTTCCAGATGCTCTCAAATTGATCAGATTAAAGAATCACAGACCCTTCTGCACTTTAGGTGATTTATGTGCCTCAGTAGGATGGAATTCATAAGCTGTTGTTAACAGACTTGAAGAGAAGAGAAAGCAAAGGTATCGTGCATTTTTAACACTTCAATTAGAGGTGCTGCCTATTACAAGAGAAAGATAGCCAGAGAAAATCTCAGAAGAAAGGCCATCGGAGCTAAAGAACTTGCTACAATCAACACAGAGTTAGAGAAGTTAGGCTATTGAAAAAATATAATAAAATCATGTACATTTAATCTTTATAATGTAAAAAAAATCAATTATAGTATTGTGTTTAATATTGATGATATTCTCTTCATTGACATATTCTTATTCTAAAAAAATTAACTCATTTCTAATCAATATCAATAAGAATCAGTAATTTTCTTTTTATTCATAAAACAATTAGGAAGACATTATATTAATTTGTAAATGGAATTGGTAAAAGATTTTAATATTTGAATGCTTAAAATAATTTTAAGAAGAATTGTCATTGATTAGGTGTTTTATTAATTTTTATAAAGTAGAACTCCTGAATTATAATAATAATAAATCTGAAAATATTAGAAATATGTATAATTTGATATTTATTATAAAATGAATAACTTTTATATATCATTAAACAATACTATTAATCATAGAAAAGTAATTTATTATTAATTCAGCAACTTCTAGGCATATCTAATTAAGCCTCTTTTTTAATGTTCTACACTCAAAGCAATTCCATCTCTTTCATGTGTTAATCTTATTAATTCTAAATTACTAGAGAATTTTCTGTTCCTTATTGTCTCTGTATAAGTTGTTGGAATTTCAAATTTCATTTCTAAACGTTATCTAATCATTTCCTCTAATGGAAGTTTCTTTTAAAAATCATTTAATTTAATGATTGGCTATTTGGTTTTAGTAGGATGTAACTTTAAGGTTGATAATTTTATTAAAGTAGCAGTTTAAGTTTGTTTTAATTACTATATTTTTGGTACAGAACTTTATTGTCTTATACTTTCATATTCATCAGCTACAGATATCGGTATGGGAATTTCAAAGGCAAAATTCTTTCCTTTAAGAAATTATTGTAACATTTCATCTAATGATATATCAATATCAATAACTCTTTGGTTAGGAATGCATTCCAAATTATGTGATATCATATATTAATTTTTAACTTATCTTCTTTAATAATATTAAGTATTTTAACATTGAATCAATTTGATAGGAAAATTAACAGCTTTAGAAAATATATGTAACCCCAATCTTTTCTCTTCTTATGGTAACATCTTTATGATTTATTACATTCCTTTTTATGAAACCATTTTCATGGCAGATTTGTCTTTTTCAACTGTTCCTTTCATGCTTTTATCATGTAAAGATTTAGCTATTTTTAATTCATAATTTAGAAAGCATAATTTTCCTAGTTCTTCATAACATATTATTTCTTAATCGACATCTTTCAAATGCCATGCATATTCCAATGACTATGTATATATATATATATAGTATTACTTTCTTTATGAATATTTTACCCATATCATATTTCTTAACATATTTACATAATATTCCAATTTGAAGAAATGTCCATTAAATTACATCAAATTATCTTGTAAATTCACTTAAAAATTTGCAATGTTATAAAAATAGAAGTGCTTTAGTCCATTCTTAAAAAGAAATAAATGTTAATGCACTTAGACGCATAAAAGTTATTAGTAAAGTAATGTTATCTTATTCCACTGCAATTACCATCATATTTAGTATACCTTATCAAAAATGTTAGTTACTTTCAATAGCTCCAATTTAATCATTTGATTGAATACTATCAGCAAATTGTTATTCAAATTGATTAAGCATCAGTATTGATGACCTTATTGTTAAAGGTGTTTGAATAGTTTTCCTTGAATATATGTAAGAATGTTTTGGACTTATTGAATTCTTACGAAATCTAGAAATAGATCTCTATGTAGTTGATCCAGATTCCTTAGGTGAATAGAATTAATCAATTTCATTGAATGCTAATAATGTTTTGATATTTGGTTATTCATTTTATTTTCTATTTGTAGTTTATTAACTATCAAACAATTCTGATAATGTGCCTGCCAAATTTTTAATTTAAAATGAAAAAACTCTTCTTTTTTTCTTTTGGTTCATTATAATTTTATAAATAAAAAAGCATTTAAAGAGACTAAATTACATTAATTAAAATAAGTTAAGACCTGTTTAACTTTCCCCAACCCCTTTTGTTTCATCAAAAACAACAATGTCCAATTAAAATCAATAGTTTGCTTTATTATAATCATCTCAATAACCCTTGATTGATGAATAGATAGCAGAATTACCTATCCTCTCCTTCCTAAATAAGAGACGACCTATCAAAGCCAAAGCTCAATTGACAGTAGAAGTAAATATATAATTTTTAAGATTTTTCTAGAATAACGACTTTGAAATCGAGATAATCAACACTAAAGTAGTTCAGAATAGTTTCGTGGTCTATGAAATTAAAATAAAGAAAGGAACTCTTTTCTGGATATTTTAAACTAGATATAGCTTATTGGAGAGTTTGAGTTCAAAATTATCAAAGAATCTCAAATCCAATTTACCAAAATTTCCAGAAAAAAGACTTTTTGGAAATCTTGACAATGATTTCATAGTATAAAGAGGAAAATAACTTGATTCATATTTGAAAGTATACATATTCATTTAATTTATTATAGGCATTGTTTAAATTGGGAAGGAGTGAAAATACAGTACGAGAATTCGTACGTTAAACCTAGAAAGCAGCATTTATGATCAATGACCCTACTGCTGTTAAATTATTCAATCTTGATGCATGAAATATAATAAATCAAAATAACACATATTAATTTTTTAAATCATTTGATTTAATCTCATACTTTTTTTTCAATTCAATTAAGTTATTCCTATTACTCAAACAACTACATATTAATTTACACTTATTGTGATTACTTATAAATCATATATACCTTCTAAACATTTAAAGTATCTGATTATAAATTAAAATTTAATCAAAATAAAACGAACTTCATCGTTATTTCACATTTTTTATAATTAATTATAGTATTTCCCTTTCTATTATCATTTAAATCTTTAAAATTTCTATTAATATTGAAATAAAAGAATATTATCACATGATTTATATGTATGATAACTCTAAATTCAATATTAAAGAATGTAATTAGAATTAACATATTAACATATATAAATCTAAGAACAATTTTTATTAAAAATAAAATAATGTATTTATATATTGTATTGTACATTATTAGAATCATTATGCTTTTGTAATTTCTGTCTTGAGGTTAGCAAATGATTCAACTGGCACGTACTAAGCAAGAGTATAGTACTTTCCTTTACCATCATCTTCTTCCTTCTTCTTTCTTTAAAGTCTGCAAACAATAATGTTAATCACACTACCTAACTCTAATTCTTCTTGGTAAATTTCTAATTCCTCTAGCCCATATTGCTTCATTCAATTATGGATCAACTCTAACATCTTCTGTCAACATATTCTTTTGAGCTATTCTATTAATTCCATTTCATTACCAAATCTCACTATATGACTAACAGCACGTGGAGCCTTTCTCTTGAATGTCTCTTTGTGAACAGCTTTATGAAGATGAATAGTATAATCTCTGCTAACTTCACCTAATGGATTTGGCTTTCCTTTTTCCTTTTTGCCCATAAATTAAAAAAAAATCTTTAAATTTTTTAAAATAAAGCTATGCTATACATACAAAACAATCAATAGAAGTGAAAATATAATAGTAATTAAAAAGAATATTAACAATAAAGATATCTTAATATAATGGGACAACTAATGAACAGTAAATTCAATATATCCAATCAATATTATATCAATAACATTAGTATTTCATGATAAGATCAATTATATAGCTATAATTATATTCTATTTTAGATATATTTATTAATAAAATAAACATTATCATTCAGAATAATAGAATGAAGATGCAATCAAATTGAAATAAATGATAAAATTAAATGATTATTCTAATTTATTTATAAATATATGGTTAGTTTCATTTTTACCTAAGCTTTAAAAAATACAGAATTAATATTTGAAATACATATTGAAACTCTTTCAATTTATAAATCAAAGTATAGTTATCCTTTATCAATGAGAATTTTCATTGATTAATTTATATATATATTTTAATTTTACTGTTGATAATTAACATTTCAGACTAAATATCAAATCATCATTTATTTATATATTGCTATGTTGTTATTAAGTTTATTTTCTACTTTAAAATATTCTTTTGTTGATATCATAAGCTATACATAATTATTACTATAAATAAACATTAAGTCTAATTGACTCTCAGGGAAAACATTAATTAAGTATATATTTATTGATAAAGAATTGATAAAGAATCTAATATTCATGTAAAAATTTAGAGAATAAATTTTCAAGTTAAAAAAATAAAATATTGTCATTTGAAATGATAAAAATAAACTTTAACTTATTAAATTTGAAAAAGATAGTAGTAAAAATTATAGAGAGTAATATTATATTATAAGAATTGAGTTCTATGTTGGATCAATATCAAAACAAAAATGTATAAAGCAAGATTAATTTATATGTAATAAAGATGTATAGAATTATAAAATTAAAATTAATAATAATATAATGAACTTTAGATCATACATTAAATTCAGAAATTAAGTTAAAAAATGTAAAATAAAATATCATTTAGGTTATTAAAATTGACTCAAGATTTGATAAAGTTATACTTAAACATGTGATATGCTTCTATTGAGATAGTGTAATATGGGTCATTATTTAGAAGGTAAAATAGAAAGATAGTTATTAAAGGGAGATGCACTTTAAAAAGTTTGATATATTTTATTTTAGAAATAAATGTGTATTTATTTAACTTTATTTAGTTGAAAAATTGATGCATAATGGAGAATGAGTTATATTTAAATTTACAAAGTTGAAATACATAAAACAAATAAGTTCAATTAATGAGAGTATAGATTAGCAAAAATAGAAGAGATATTAAGAAATTTCACTTTTTTTGATTAATTTCTTATGATCAATAATTGTTTACAAAACTATATTGATAAATTAATATTGAATGAATATTTATTTAAGTTTATCTATTATCATTGAATTATGGATAGAATACAAAGAAATCCTCACACTGGAACCTTTTTTTTGAAAGTCAGTATTTAGAATCTATAATAATACTCTACAAATATAATAATTAATATAAAAATGATAGCTTAAAAGATTGAAAGACATTTCTTAAGAAGAGTCCGAGCATAAAAATATTCAAAAAATAATATGAAATTTATTGAATAAGTATTATCTTAACTGATTTGTATATAGTCTGATACAATTTTTTAAGTAAATGAAGAGGCTTCTGAGTTATGTTAAATCAATAAAGAAATTAACAATAGTGTGGTTATGAAACAAACTAAACAAAATGAGACTTAAATTTCAGATTCAAAAGACATATACTAAAGAAGACATGATGTTTAAAATGATTCTTAAGTAATTCATTTGTGTTTATCTGATCTAGACTGTCACACCTTTAGCTGTTCCAGAAGCTTAAGACCTTGAATAAATTCCCAGTCTTGAAGATAATCTCATCCCAGTTTAAAATTCTAAAAAGTATTGTCTTTCAAATAATTTCCTCAGTAAATAGAAGATAATGAAAAGAAAAGTCATTCACAAAAGATTTAAGTCTTATTAAAAATCATCCATTACTATAGACAGTAATAATTCTTTGCCAACTGCTTTGGATTTATAAATAGAAGGGGAAGTATTAGAACAAAGTGAAATAGACAATAAATAATTGTTAAATAATCAAAAACCAACTCATTAAACAATAGAAGTATCGGAAGATGGGGAAATAATTAAATAAATTCGAATTGAAGATTTTAATTAACCAAAAAATAGAAAAACTTATTATACTGATAAATTAATTAACTTGATAAAAGGAGATTAAGTTGATATATTTATGGCATAAATGTACATTAATCATTTTATTTAAACTTATGGAATTCTCTAAAAATCAAAAGTGTTAAAATAACCACAAGGCTATTAAATTTTAAGTAAAATCAAACCATAAATAAGTATTTAATTTATGTAATAATTAAGTTCGATAAAAAACATTGGTTATAGATTTAGATGAAACATTAGTGCATTGTAATGAATCATATCTAATGCCCAAAGATTTAATGATAAATATTAATTTAGACAATGGTTTTATTGTTAAAGTAACAAATCCAAATATATTCTAAATTAGGCTGAAATTAGTGTTCGACCTTACGCTTAATAATTTCTATAAAATATGGCTAAACATTTTGAGATTATGATATTCACAGCATCAAATGAAGATTATGCAAATTAGATAATAGATTATTTAGATCCAACCTAATAATTAGTAAAGTATCGTCTCTATCGAAATGATTGTATAAATCTATCAAAAGGATGCCATATTAAAGATTTAAGAAATTTAAATAGAAATTTAGAGGATATAATTTTAATTGATAACTCTGCTTATTCATTTGCATATTAATTGAATAATGGAATACCAATCATACCATATCTTGATAACAAAAAAGATGATGTAATATAATTAAATTATATTTTAATAGGAATTAATTGAATTGGAAAATTACTTAATGGAATTACTAAATGTTGATGATATAAGAATAGAGAATGAAAAGAATTTCTAATTTTAACAGATTTAAAATAGTAGCTCAATATAACAAGCAGTTAATCACTTGATTTGTAATAGAAAGTGATTTTTTTATTTAATTCTTATAATTTAACTTGTTTAATGAAATTTATTAAATTCAATACATTTTAGAACTTCTACGAACTTCTGAACGAACTTCTGTTTTCTTTTAATCTTACATTGCTTTATCAGCAGCTTCAACTTAAGCCAATTATCTCTTTAAATCTGCAATTTTCTGATTACTTTCAGCATAATTCTTTTCTAAATTGGCATATTTTTTCATCCAAGTTTCAACTTCATTTGATGCATAAGTAACTTTTTCAGTTATTATTATTTCATATTCTTATCTCAATTCTTCAAGTCTAATTCTTAATTCTTCCATCAATTATTCATCATCATGTATTTTTTATTCTAATTCTAATTTTTAAAGTTCTAAATTTTTAACTCTTGTATCATCTTAAACTTCTTAAACTGTTTCTTCAACAATTGTTCCATTATTCTTTCTAATTTAAATTTATAATTCCAATATCTATCTCTCTAAAGTAGCACACTTCAATCTCCATGGTGCTTCAATTTCTAATAAATATAATCAATAATATTATTACCATCTACAGTAATAACTTATAATGGTCTTTCAACATGTCTAAATTCTTATACTTAAGTTTAGGGTTAAACAGTCTATAGAAATTATTGTTAAATTATTATACCACTGGTTATTATTGAACATAAACTTATTAAACAGGTGGAGCAACTTAGAAATTAACTTATTAATAGGATGGTCTGACATTAATAGGACTTTAAGAGCGTACTGGAGCAAATGCTTATGAAGTAACAGGTAAAATTTGATTTTATTATACAGGGAGTTAAGGTTGTCTTATTTATGGTTGCTACAAATATTATTATGATTAGGGAATCTAATATGGGGAGCTCTTTTGAATAAATGAATTAATAATACAAACTATTATTGTGTCTAATATGTTTATGGGGATTGAATTATTTGATTTTAAGGTGATTGTTGATATTGTTTGGGAACACCTGGAGATGAAAGCTAATATAATAATTTGGATCTTTCTCATACATATTGACTCTAAATAGGTGAACTCTAAAAGATGTTGTTTTATTGGAAGGGTTGTTATTATCTGGGGTCAGTTTAGTACATATTTTTTAAATAATTTTTATTTATGTTTTAGTAAGTTATCTCATTAATTTAATGGAAATCATATAAAATTTATACATTATTGAGTAAATATATTTTAAGAATTTAGTTATAAAGGGTTGTGTATAAGTTAATTGAAGAAGTAAATGATTTATGATAATTTGTATTCAACTTTTGTTTATAAATCTTATTAATTAAGTTAACATTTATTATGTTTCATCATCTCTCAAAATAAAGATTCACTCTAAACAAAGCTGCCAATTTGGATTCTATCAAAATTTTCATTAAAGATCTTAAGGATGTTGCCTCAATTGTTCCTTCCAAATTGGATGATACAGATATACATCTCTCTCTCTAAATTCATGCTTTGGATAAAAGTTGGAAAATAGTATGATACTATAATTATTCGTATTAGAGTTCAAAGTCTTTATCAAAAGAGTACAAATTTGATTCATTCAAATAAGCATTTGTGTTTATGAATACAATTTCAAATATGGCTGATGAAATGAATCGTAATTTTTATTTTTTTTATATAGATTACCCAAAATGGATTAATGTTTATAATAAACTAAACGTAGAAATAACCACTTAAGATGTGAGTGGTATTTCTATAAAGGATGTACTTTTGGCTCACCTAATGGAATCAGTAGCTAAGGATGTTAAAGAATAAAATTTTGAAAGCATTGGTGAAATTTGCAAGGTATCTCCTATTTAATTGTTATAAAATTGGAATGCAAATTACTCATAATATTAAGAGATTTTGAAAAAAAATGTACACAATCTATGAAATTGATAAATGATATGACAATTAAAATAAAATATAATATATATCCAATTCACACGTAATTATTTTATTCGACATATTTATTTATTATTAATAATCAATAATTTCATTCAAATTGCTTTGTTATCTTTAGGCCTTGTTTGAGAATTCTTATAAAATAAAAAGTGTGTCAGAGTATCATAAAATTTTTAGGTTAAATTTTGTATTGATGTTTTATTTTCATGCTGATGATTGTTAGAATATTTAAATGACTATTACTTTAATAGAATAAGTTGATGTATACTAAGTAGACATAATCAATTTTTATGAAACTAATTGTAATCAATTCAATAAGGATCTTAATTATGTGTAATCTTCATTCATATTACTTTAATAATCAATTTTCTTATTGCAATGAAAATTCTTTCAGATATTAAAATCTTTTAATTTACATTATTTTGATAGAGAGAAATTCAAAATTAATTTGAAGATTTGATTATGAATTTATTATTAATAAATTTAATAATATAAAGGTTTGTCTAACAATACTTAAATTTAAGAACTTGATATATATTAAAAAGATTGTGAAGGAGTTATTATAAATAGAAGAGAAGTTAGAAAATAATCTGGACTTTCAGATTTTGATGAAGAAATCTCTAAAAAAGCTTTTAAAAATAGAGAAATAAAGAAAGAATTAGAGAAGAAATTCAAAATGAATATGATTTTAATAATTTATTAATAAATTTAAGTAATCAAAATCTGATTATTACTTTTGAATTTGTATTATATTTAACATTATCTTGGAAGTATTGAATCATTAAAATTTATAATGAACAATCAATCATAAAATTCATAAACTCAAGGATCAATATAGCAAGTTAATCCCAATTAATAGAATTAAAAGACTGAATCAATAAAATTGAAGCAAAAATAGCATGATTATAGTAAAGGAAATAGGTAATAATTCAATTTAATTTAAAGGACATGTATGGCAACAGGAAAAAATGGAATCGATTTCTATATCATAGCCAAAATAGTTTAAAAAGAACATTCAGACATAATTTTATCTGTTATTGAAGAATAATCTTGATTTATATTAGTAATTGTTTATTGAAAGAAATTTATTTAATTCTAATATTGAATTTAAATGTTTTAAGAAAATCTTTCATTAGAGTCGTTATTTAAATTCAATTATCTGAAGCTTTAGAAATTAATATAATATATAAATATAAATATGGGTAATTCATGTTTTAAGAAAAAAAAATAACAAGATTAAGATATAAATAATTAAAAGCAACAGTCTCCACAACAATATACAAAATTTAATATTGAAGAAATAAAAAAAAATGATCCTTAATTTTATAAATATTATTAAAAGGATGAGCACTGGTTTGAATGGGATTGATTTTCAAGCTGAAATAGAAAATTATAATAACATTAGATCTGTAATCAAAAATTCAATTGAATGATATATCATTAATTATTGAGCACATAGATTGTAATTTTTTAATTTAAGACTTTAATATTTTTAAGAACCTAATTGATTTCTTCTTAATCTTTTATTTTAACAAGTTATTTATTTTTTCTTATTTCTTAAGTTTCTATCTAATAAATTAAGTCATTCAGCTTTATATAATATTAGGTAATATTTATTATTATATGTTTTTCAAATTGACATTAAATTCAAGTATTTTATAGTCCATTTCTACCTAGACATTACTTATTTTCTTCATTTCTTTATATAAATCCTACATATTTTGCAGATATCTCTTTCTTGTTCATTAACTTACTAACATCTTTCATAGTATTTTGGATTGATTCCATAGTTTCAAACAGATTATCTGATTCATACTTAATATTTTAAATCTTTCATTCATTTACAGCCTTTCTCTTCTTTTGTTTTTTTTAATTAAATAATTTTGTTTTTGCATTAACCTATTTAATAAAATTTATTAGCTTTGTGTCTTTATTTCTTTTTTAAATATATCATCTGCTTTTTTTAGCCTAATCAATTTTAAGAGCTTTTCCTTTTAAAATTACAAAATTAAAATACATTTCTATTTTACGTATTTCTTTATTCATTTATCTTTTTTTATCTTTTAATTCTTCTTAAGTCATAGATTATAATTTTTCTCAGTAGGTTGAAGAACTTGAGATTTGTAAGATCAAAAAAAATTCATACTGAAAATATATTTAATAATGTATATTGTTATGAATCATAAGGCTGTATTAAATTGAAAAAATTCGTAATCTATGTTTTAACGAATAACTTATCCTCGATAATAGCCATCAATTTTAGTTATGACTCCTTTAAAATCATACTCCTCTTCTGCCTTAGGTTTAAGTTGAGCTGTAGTTTAATATTGTATACTTGTGGATGGTGCACAACACTATCCCATAAATTTAATATAAAAATAATATCATTTTTTGTCAATTTTTGGTTTGATAATTTGTTACAAATTAAAATCTTGTTTGTTTTAATGAGTTTATTTGATAAATTTCTATTGACAACCTTAACCTTGTAGACTTTCAGGATTCATAAATGCAAAACAAAAAACTTCAAAATCTTCAAAAGTATATTCTTCATTCTATTTCATTTTTAATTCAGCAAACAATTTTTAGGATTATCGAGCCTACATCCCACATAACTTAATTATTATATTAAATTTAATACTTTAACAAATATTTTTAATGTTAACCCCAATATTTTATTATTTGTTTATTTTAAACATTCAAATAAGTATTCTCCATATTGATATAAATAATCAAACTATTATTTACTATCTCTACTTAAAAACATTAACACTATTATATAAAAATCTCTTATTTAGACTTTCTCATTTATTTATAATAGTTAAAACCATTCAATTATTTAAGTTTCATTTATTTCTAAAAAAAATTCATCCATCACATTTGCAAATTGAAAATATGACAATTAAACTAAGCCAGGATCCTCAAAAATTGATTTTTAAATAGGAAACTATTAGAATTAACTCTTCGATTATGATGATCTCACTTATCTATTTATTGGAGTTGGAACTGTTTTCATGTAATCTTCAGAAGATTTTCTAGCATTCTAATTGTAAATTACTCTTGAAATCCTTTCACTAAATATTAAAACTAATCAACTCCTTATTATGAAGACAGTATATCATATAGACTTTAATTCTATTCTGGAACACATTGCACCAAAGAACTTTTTAATTAATCCGATATTTTCATTATTATATAAATTGTTTATATATATATATATTATGCAGACACAAAATATTTTTGAATATTGTTATTTCACTTCTATTCATATTGAGAAACCTTCATACAAAATGAAATTAAATCTGTTAAGAGATTGATGTTTAGAATAATAAAAACAGAATAGATATTAGATTTCATATATTGATGATAATTAAATACTTAATGTATCTTATACTGTTGTAAATCTCATTTGGCATTTTTCTTAGCTTCTTATTATTTTTTGAGTTGATTGGCATCAACAAATACGATAGTCTTACATCTCTTTATGACTTTTAACCACTTCAATTTACACTTAACACATTCAAGTCTAAAACGATTAACAAATGTCATACTTTAAGGCAACTTTCTTTGTTGTCTTTGCCTTCTTTCTGAAAATAGGTTTAGTTTGTCCACCATAACCAGCTTGCTTCATGTCGTACCTTCTTCTACCTTAAGCAAAAGGACTTTCCTTGCTCTTTTTATATTAGGACACTTTGCAACTTTAATGACTTCCACATTTTCTACAATAGGTCTTTCTGTTTTTGGGGACGTTCACCATTTATTATTTTTTTAATAAAATTTAATCATTTTTTGAAAATCCAAAATAATCAATATTTTTATTCAATCAATCAATTCTCTAAAATTAATACATTTCATCTCCTAAATATACCTATTAAGATATTTAAATCATATATAAATAATAGAATCATATAATTATAAGTGAAGAATTAAATATTTATTTTAATATCTATAATCATAATAAATAAATAATGTTCATATCATTCTATTTAATCATTAGACTATTCAAAATAAATTGTATTTTACAAAATTTACTATTTAATCTGTGAGTTTTAACAATTAATTATAGTTTTTAATTTATTTTTACAAATCTGCCTATTTAATTTAATGATGATTTTATGATTTAATCATTAATTAGTAATCTTAATTTAAATATCTTTATTGAATGTATTTTTTACATTTCTCTTCTTCATTATTAGAGATTCTTTATGCATATAAATATAATTTTTATCATCAAATTTTAAATATATTATTCTTCTCAAATTTTAATTAATTTTTTTAATATGTATTTAATCATATTAGTAGTTATAATAATATATTATATCTACTAAGATTCTTTTTGAATCTTTAATAATCAAATGAGAATAATATAATATTTTTAATATCAAAATTAAATTAATTCATTGATAAATTTTAATCTAAACATGTAATAATTTAGATCTAATTGATTTATATTTTAATTAAAAAATCAATTTGAATCACCACTGCTTTCAGATATATTCAAAATGTCTTAATCTTTGAATTGTGGGGAACAAAACAATGTTTTTTGATATTAATCTTTTCTTATTTCTAAATGACTATTATTTTGACTTGATTCACTAGGATATGTCATTTATTTTTGATCACTGAAATGTTTCATTTCTTTAGAACTAAACATTTATTACACTTCTTTATCTTCATCATTTTCAAATTCACTTGGATCTTATTGATCATCACAAAGATTCATTTATTAAACAGAATCCATTAATTAAGATTATTTATTTGATAAAATAGCCTTTTTGCATGTTTCAGTATCTTGTAGATATTATAAACATTAAACTCCTTAAAGTTCATATTTTTTAATATCAGGTGTTTCTAATACAAACTTTTGACTTGATTAAATCATTTATTGGTAAAATCTAATATAGAATAAAATATAATAATTTACTATTATGTTTTAGATTGATTATTCGAGATTTTATTTAAAATGGATCTAAATTTTTCACTTTTAGCAGGACTTACACTTGAATCATTTTGAATAACATCACTATTTTATTAATCTTCAGTATTATCAAACAGAGTTCTAAAAGTACTTTTTTATTTTTAGAAGGCATCTTTAGGTATTTAAACATGCTCTTCTAATTTGGTAGCTGTTCTTTATACTGATTATTTAGTTTATCCACTAGCAGGACTATGAGGAGTAGATTTATGTGAATTATGTTCACTTAATTATCCATCATCTTCAGATATATTTTTTTTAGATTCTCTATAACTTTCTAAAATCATAATTGGATTTGAGGTAGCAGATTATTTATCTTCATGTAGGCTTTGTTTTGAATTTTTTTCAGATTCTAAAATATTCATAAAAATATCTTTATTTTCAAAAGATATATAAAGATTATTTTTATTTGGATTTTATTATGATTATTATTATGATTATAATTTGGATGCACTTAACTAATAAATATTTGAATCATTAAAATATTAGTAAAAATTAGATGGAGTTTCATTATTCTATGGTTAAGTTTTAGATCCACTATAATCAGTTTTAACTCTCTATTATTAATTTGATTAATGTATTTATGAATCAACAGTATCAATTCTTTTTTTTGGAGGAGTTGGCTAAGTTCTAATAGTTTAATTGAATATAGAATTGCTATGTAAAATTAATTGTTATTCAGATTCACTTAATTAAAAACTAATATTATATAATTAAATCAATACTTCTATAGAATTAAAGCTAAAGTTGATTAAATATCTGTTTTTGATAAAGATTTCACTGAAATAGTTGATGATTATAATTATGTTTAAAAGTCATTCATTTTAACAAATTCAGACTAATAATAATCCATTATCTTTCTAAAAGGATCCATTCTTATATCTTCTAAGACTTCAGTCCAATTCTTTTCAATATCTTATTTAATATTCTATGCATCTAATTAATGCTATTGTAAAACTAAATATAGATTTGATAACTATTTTAATGATTCTTATCTTTAATTTTAAAGTATTTGAATACTATTATTGCATGCATCATTCATTAATTATTACATAACTTGTTTTGATTTATGACATTATCCAATCTGAGATTCATACCATTAATTAATTTTTTCAATTTAACTTTACATTTAATTTAATATATCAGCTCTTTGAGAATGTGAACATTCTAATTTAGTTAAAAATCCACTTAATTCTCTTTCCTTAAAATTAGCATCCGAAAAATTAGAATGTCTATTTGAATCTACTGAACTTGATTAAAATGATAATATTTATGATTCCTATGATTTGATTATTAATTGACTTAAATCTTGTACAATTTTACCTTAACTGGCAACTGTAATAGCACATTATGAACAATAGAATATCTATTTTTGATGTTCATCCACAAAGTACTTAGCTTTTTTAGTTCTATGATTAATGCATGTTCTAACAGGAAATGATTCTTATAGATGATCATTAGATCCACTAGTATTTTAATATGGTGATTGTTAAGTTAAAATTTTAGCTTAATGAAATTTACTATTTAAACTTTCACCAACCTATTTTTTAATTTATTAATCTTACACTTTATTATTCAATTGATATTTTAGAATGTAAATAAGTACTTGGAGTACCAATATTTAATAAATTCATATCATTCTCTTTCTCTTTGTCATAATATATCATTCTAATGCATTATTCATCTAAGACTGATTTACTTTTACTATGTTCTGTATTTAATGTTGTAGTTGTAACTTTTGTTGGTGTATGATTCATGCCATAATCACATTTCTTTAAAATATTAGGTTTTAAATTATAAGAAACTGAATTAGCTGAATTATGACCTTTCATTTTATGATTTGATTTTTATTATTATTATTGAATAGATAAATAAGGACCTAATTATAATGGATTAGTTTTTGGTTTTTGTGAATTTGAACCTTTTGGAGATGAAATAGCTACATATTTACATTATAATTATTTACTTTAATGATTTTATAATAGAGATGCTACACTTTCTTATATTTCTGATGGTGTTGGAGATTTGGCTATAAATCTGTTAATTTAAGGAGTAGCTGAATATTCATCATTTACTAGAGAAGAAGGTCTTCTTTATAAGAATTCTTCATTCTTTTTATAATTGCTTAATTGGGAATTAGGTGAATAGTCTCTTCTTTTACTAAATTGATTCAATTTTTCTTAGAATTATTCATTTACAATATGACTTTTATTTTGCAAGGACATATTGGATTTATGAATAGCAATTTATTGGGATGGTTTTTAAGATGGTTTAGTTGCTTAATTGTTTGATCTAGGTGATGAAGGTTTCTTATCCATAATTTCATTAGTTTTTTTGTTAAAAAAGTTATCATTGATTTGATTGGGAATCAAATTTGAAAGTTTGATCTTATCAGGTTTATTAGAAAATTATTGTGCTAAAAATTATTAAGCTTATTGTTATTTGAGTATTTATTGGATTTGTTATGACATTTCTTAACTATGAAATTCAAATTCAATTTCTAAATTTAATTATATAAATGCCTCCAAATATTTATTAATCTAATTACTTTATATTAACAGCTACTTTACTATTGATGTGTTTTTACTATTACTAATCATGAACTCATTATACTTATCAACCTAAATAAGTCAATCAAAATCAACTTAACAAACATCTAATATTTTATTCCAATACTTTGATAAATCTAATTTGATCATTTAATCACTTTCATAATCTAATTACAATCAATTCTATATTAATTTTATTGTCTCAATACTTATACTCTAATACATATTCCTTATTCCAATATTAATAGTTCTTATCTTATATTTTAACAAATACTAAAATATTTATATAATACCTTCAAATTATTCTATATCAAAAATAAATTAATTTAGCATCATCTACTTTTGATTTTCAATTCTAATTTATTATAAAAATCCTCATTAAATCTATTTATAAGTTTTCTATTAAACCTATTCTTTTTTTAAATGTAGTTATCATATCTATATCATTAATAATATACTCTATAATTCGTTATTTCATTTATTCTCAGATAATTTGAATAATACATTAGAAGTTCTCTTTAATTTGAAGCTTATTAAAATTTTTATATGCTTGATTAAGCACTATAATTTTCTTATTTCAAGGAACCTCCATCAAAATTCCTTGAAATTTTACAACAACCTCTTAATGGAATCAAATTAAAGCCAAATTACTTCTATAAAGAGTACGAAAATTCTCCTAATAAATTCAAAAGATTGAGGATTTCAACTTAACATGAAGGCACTGTTAATAATATTGTTATTGACTTAAATATTCCAAGTCCAAACTTCAGAGTATAACATAAAATGGATTACCTTGACAATAATATCACAATCCATTCTCAAATCACTAGTTAAAAAACTACACCTAAATCATCACGATCAAATAGTCCGTTAAAGAAATTATATTTAGGCTCTAGCCTAGTAGCTAAAAGAAAATTAAATGGTTATGTAAAACACAAAAAATCACCTGATCCTTATGAAATATGTAGACAAATGACAAAGAAAATATAATATAAGAAAACTGAAACTTTGACTATTGCCTCTTAAACTCTCTATCTTTTATCAAAATATGGTACTTGATACCTCCAATAATGATATTTATAAATTTTCTTAGATTTACTTAGAAACAACCCTTTAGAATTTACAATATGTATTGATTATTTAATCTTATATTAAATTAATTTATATATCTGGTAGATATATATTGATTCAGTTAATATAGTAACATGGCAATTCAATTTCAGAATTTTATTTTTGTTTAATTAGATTGATCACAATCAAGGTTTTTATCACTAATTTTTTAATGAATTTACAGTGATCAATCAATATTTAATCATCTTTTGATTTATAGAAGAGATCTAAAACAGAAGATCTCATAAACCTTTTTATTATAATCAGAATAATGAAGAGAATAAAAGTAAATTATAAATATGACTAAAAAAACAAACATAAGAAATTATGAATATTAAATAAATGCTGGAATTATTCACATTCTTTGTCAACTTTTTAAAATTTATATGCATTAATCGAAATAATTGGTCATTTCTAATATTTCCTTTTGAGTCTATACATTTGCTTCTAAATTTTAATCAAATATAGAGTGCCAAGGTTCCCCATTAGACAAATCTGCTATTGTTATTTTTAATAATTTGCTAGCCATAGTAATTGCACAAAGAGTAATTATTTTTGGTTCATAATATAGACATGCATTATTAAGGAATAAATCTGATAAAAATTTCTATGCAAATTCAAACAATTATTAAATATCTCCTTAAGCTACAACTAATTTAGTTTTGGCTTCTTAGAAGTATAACTATGGAACTATTATATGTAAGTCATATCCTATCATCTATAAAATATGAGATTCTGCATCTATTATTTTCTCTTAAATAATTTTATAAGTATTTTAGTCATCATTTTCTATCTTCAATCCATCAATATCTACTGCCTTTTTTGATATGCAATAACTAATAAATGCACTTGCATATCTCTTAACAGACCAATCAAACATGTCATTATCTTTGGCTGATAAAAATAAACAAGCTGCCATATAAATATGTCTATTAAATTTCTTATAAGAAACTTAATGAGCAAATCTGTGAAATATAGAGAGTGCCTTTTAAAAATATTGATTGAATGTGCCTTATTCACTATTTTTCAATAGAATCTCAAAGTCACGTGCAATTTGATAACATTCTGATTATATTTTGACTTCTTATTAGAATGTGAAATTATCTCTTGATGAAGCAGAGTTTTTCCAATCTTCATATATAAGTAATTTCATAATTATATATAATTAACATTTTAATTAGTACAAAAAAGATTTCTAAATTATTCACATAATTTTTAGAATAAATAAAATTCATTCAATACATAGAAAACAATTAATGCACAATAAATTTTTCAATTTATTTTATTAGACAATCATTTCAGAATTCAATCTAGCAATCTTTTTATTAATCATTGATTATTTTTTAATTAATTATTATTCAGGATAATTAAAATATATTTTTTTAAATTTTTGATTTCTTGTTATAAGATCACCAATTGTAAAATGAAGTAAAGGTGTCTTTTCCTTGAATTTTTCTCTTTTTATTTACTCTAGCATTTTATTATGAAGAGAATCAACCCATTTTTATTATGAATTTTCTTCTTCTTCTTCTTAAATTTAATTTATATCATATTTATCAATATTAGATTATAATTATTCTTAAACGAAAGTTAATTTATTTGCAATCTATAATTTATCTTATGATATTTTCTCCTTAAATTAATAATAATTGTAAGCATAAGTGATATCTATAGGTATTATTGTAACTGATTTTCTACTTGTGATATATCGATTATTATTATCTTTTGAGAAAGATACACAAATGTCACAAATAAGTTTCGAATCAAATTATTTAGGATTTTACAGTTATTAGAATATAAATAAGATTATTTCAATATTAGAACCTACAATTGGCAATTTATTTTGAAATTATTCTGCTGAAATATTAGGAAATGTATTTATCATGTCAACTGAATCAAAATGAAGAATTTTATTTATTTTAAATCTATTGAAGTCTCTAAGTATTTGATTAAGTTTTATTCCTCCAAGTTATTACTAAGGTTAAGTTTGATTTTTACTAATGTATATGGCATCAATAAAAAATCCATTATAAAATAAATATTTTTACCATACTTAAGCAAAAGCTTAACTACTAAATAGGAATACAATCAAATAAGTTTTAGATAATCTTAAAAATTGAAATAATTAATTTACAGTTTTAGAGTATTTTTTAAATCATTTCTTAATGTGCATGGACAATATGGGCTTTCACATTACTAAACGATACTGCCTCTTAGAAAGGAAGGACAAATTTTCATCTCTATTCTAAAATCCCAAAAGTTTTTCTTTGATTATATCAAAAAGTCTTAAATAATAGTTTATTAAATACTTTCAAAATTCATTATTACTATTTTATCAATGGATTAATCACGATCATTTGTACCAATATAAAGGCAATTTAAATTTAAACCCTTTTACAATTCCTCGAATTACTTGTTCAAGTATCTCAATTAAATAACATATTCCTAAATCTTTTTTTATTTAACTATAGGCTTGACCTTCTATTAACGACTCTTTAATTTCAAACTAACAACCTATTGTGTAGTGGATAGTTGTGGTAGTATCTATTCAAGTTTATAGGATGGTTTTTAATTGAATATGCATTGATGTCCTTTAATAGGTTTTTTAAGGATCTTTTATTCTTATGAATCTTCAAGGCATGATAAATTATCATAAATTTCAGCTCTTTTATTTGGAATTTATTATAAGGAGTTAGAAATGAAGAAAGATTCATTGAGTTCTGTTCTATTGGTTTCATATTTTAATTTATTTCTTGTTTCAAGGATACTAATATTTGTATTCTTTAGCATAAAATATCCACGATAAATGCTTTATTTAAATTAAGACCGATTGGAAAAGTAAAGAGAGTTTGAGAGATCATTATTTTACATATTAAATTTGATAATTAAATTGATAATTTTCAATTAAGTTTTCTAAACTAAGATGTAAGAACCTCTTATTTTTATTATTGCTTGGTTACTTAAGAAATCATTTATTAAATTAAGGAGTTTTTAGTACTCATTGAACATTTTAAAGTTGTTGTTCCACTACTAACTCGTTTAATTTTTTAAGTTTTTGGTGAATTTTGACAAGAAGCAGCAATACTATTTTTGAATAGAAATTCACTAGCACCACCTCTATCTGTTAAGCAAACATACTCTTATTAAGTATCAGGTAGATTAGTATTTAACTAGAGAGGTTTTCCTTCAGATTGATTTTTTTTATGTTTTGACTATTATTCTAATAAATATTTAATAATAATAATTACATTTCTTTAGTTCTGGATTATCATTAATGTTAATGTTGATATTAATAATTTTATCCTAATTGGATGTATATCGTATATGAATATTAGGTTGAGAAGATTTACGATTAGTTTAAGATCCTGATTATTTATTTATTTTTGTATTTGCTTATTATGATGATGGGGTTGGTGTCTATTTATTTTTATTTATTTTCAGATCATTTTATATTACTCTGGATATGATTGGACTATTTCTATTTGAAAAGAAATTTTAAGTTCCTGAAAGAGGTCTATGGGTTTAAGAACCATTTTTCCATTTAACTTCTTATTCAGTAGGATCTTCATCAATCAATATCTTAGATATTTATTTTAAATTTAATTTGCCTTATATATTAATCAATTAAATTACCTATATTTGATTAATTGGATATTGAATTCTTATTATGAGAATTAGTTGTAGGAGATGGTATATTATTTGTATTATATTTGTTTAGTAATTATGGTATAGATTGAACATTTTTCTTTAATTCTTTTAGAAAAAGTTAGGTAGAGATCTTAGGTTAGTGTTAAATAATAGTTTTAGATTTTGGATTTGCAGATTACTTAATTTATTCATTTTGATCTACTCTTGTAAGACTTTAAGGATTTTCATTACTCTGTTTGTTTTTAAATAAAGAATCTACTTGATTTCTAACAAAATTAACATTGAAATCTTTAGATAATTTATGCATCTAAAGTAATAACTCATTATTTTATTTGGAATGTTAAGAACCTAACCTAGATTTTGATTCTTCTTATTGTTTTTGTATTAAAGTTTAAATTAACTATTCCTATGGTTAACTCAATTTCTTTTTAGGTTTTTGATGTTAAGAATCATTTTTAATCTATGTTTTCTTAACTTACTGATTCACATAAGTAAGAAACTTATTTAATTTCAATTCTTCTGTTTTTCCTGGTTAAATGAAAAGTGAAGATTATTCAAAAGCTTAATTACCCAGATATTTACAAATATCTTGTAGAGTACAAGAAATATCGATTTTCTATTTATTAAATAATCTTGATTTATTTAACCAACTCAAGTCTTTCAAAATTTGAATGTTTCTGATTCTTCTTGCTGTTGTAGGTGATTATTCTTCTTTTTAGGTTTCTTAAGAATTAGCAGGAGATGGTTGTTCTCCTACTATACCTTTGGGAGGTCTATTTGGATTTTTTTTATTTTCCTCTTCAATCAAATGAGCAATTCTATAGTACTCATATTTTCGTTTCTTATCGTAGTATTTGTTAAGCATTGTCGCAATTGGTTCCATGTATAATCTGGCAATATCTGTATGAAACTCTTTTATATGGTTAATTTTACTTTATAGTATTCAGTTAACAACTGGACCTTCTGTGGATATTCGTCTGTATAATAATACCTTTTGAGATATTCATCCTTAGAATGATTCATATACTTACATCATCATCATATCCATGCCAATCTTTGTATCGGATTACAGCTTTTGATGAAGCATCAGCAAGAATTTCATTTATGTCTCTAGTGTAATAATAATTCTAAGATTAGCAATAATGAAGGAACAAATTTTTATTTGTCCAAACAACAGTATTTTGAATTAATTCAGATTATCGAATTATCTTCAAATTGTCTTTGTTGATTTATTATTCTTTGTTATGTTTCATCACACTTATTTGTAAATTAATAATATTTTAAAACCATAACAATTCATTTTTATTTATTATTTTATTTGATCTTATTAATATTAATGAAAATCAACAGGCTTAAACTAATCACAAAATATATCCTTATTATTTATAAAAGAAATTTATTTTTAACATAATCAAAATGAATTAAAATTAAGAAGATGATGCTTAACCATAATTATTAGATAATTAAGGAACTGAAAATTAAAAGTAAATTGAAAAGAAAGTAGTTGTTTAACCTTTTGAATAAGAAAAATAAAAAATTTAGTATAAATATCTTGGACATCCTCCTTTTGAAATTAATCAAGAAGATGAAGTAACTATATATTTTATTTAAGGATATCAGTTGTATTGAAGGCAGAATACCTAATATATAAGCTTTAGATAAATGTGTTAATCTAAAACGATTATGTTTAAGAACAAATTTAATTTCTAAATTAGAAGGACTATAAAATTGTATATTACTTGAAGAATTAGATTTATATGATAATCGTTTAATAAAGATAGAAAATATAGAATTATTAGTCAATCTAGAAATACTTGATTTATCTTTCAACAATATTAAAAAAATAGAAAATTTAGAAAACTAAAAGAAACTTAAAAAGTTGTTTTTATTAAGTAACAAGATCAAAAAAGTAAATAATTACTATTATTATAAGATTTAAAATTTAGATTTTCCTGAACTTACTATGTTAGAACTTGGATCCAATAAAATTTCAGAAATTGAAAATCTTGATAAATTGCCAAAACTTAGAGAATTATTTTTAGGCAAAAATAAAATATAGTTAATAAAAAATCTTGAACCATTAGCAAATACATTAGAATTATTATCTTTATCATGCAATAAAATATAAATGATTCAACCAGAAATATAATGTTTATAGAATTTGAATTATCTTTAAATAGCTGAAAATTTCATAACAATTATTGAAAATTTGAATGGATTAAAATAATTAGAATTATTGGATTTAGCTCATAATAAAATTACTAAAGTCTAAGGAATAGATTAATTATAATAACTATAAGATTTATGGGTATTAATTATTAACTATAATAGTTAAATAATAATAAAATTGAATATTTTAAAGACTTTGAATTATTGAAATTAAATCAAAGTATCAAAACAATATATGTTGAATAAAATCCTGTTTCATAATTCCCTGATTACAAAATGTAACTATTGTCTTTAATACCAACCTTAATTCAAATAGATGCTGTAAGAATTAAATGAGTTTGAGTATATATACATTATAAAATATTAATAATTTTAAAAATTAACATGCAGAAACCTGAATAAGTGATGCAAGATTTTGCTAATTTATTAGATAAATGTAATTCCATTTTTATATAATCTTAGATAGAAATGATCCTGAAGCTTGGTCATAAATTTATAAGGTTATAAATTATAAACCAACTTAAAATATTCCTAAAGGATAATCGTTAGACCCAGAGAAAATACGAGAATTTCTAAGATTAGGAAAACCTGGAACATAAGAATTCGATCCTTATGATGATATGATATACTTTGATGATAATAAGGTCAAAGAAATAGTTTTAAGATAAAATTTTCTAATTGCAAAAGGTTAATTATATATATTAAATGATATTCTAGGTTATTTTGATCCAAAGGCATATTTTCCATCAATTAATTTAAGTAGTTTAGATGATACATCATTTGATGAGAAAATAAAAGGTATAATGATTTATATAAATAATTAGAAATGCTTAAAATACCAGATTAAACTGAAAAGAAAATTTGAAATTTATATCATTATCAAAACAATAGTTCATATTACTTTACTAATTCATATTACAAACCTATAAATGCGAATCAATGCTTATTTAAAGTCATCAATATTCAATGGTTTTGTTAAAACTATTTGCATTCCACTTTCATAACATTTTTCTATTTCATATTATCCATTAAATGCAGTTAATCCAATTATAGGAATAGATGGTATGATATTACCAGTCATCATATTTCTTAATCTTTTAGTTGTTTACCATCCATCTAAAATTGGCATTTAACAATCCATCAAAATGAAAACATATAGTTAACAATTTTCACTGCATTTTTTAGTATTTTTAATAATTTCTATAGCTTATTAACCATTATATGCAAGTTATATATCAAATCCCATTTATCCTAAAATCATTTCAAGTGCTTTTTAATTGAAAGAATCATCATCTACTGATAAAGCTCTTTAACATTAACATTTAAATTTAAATTTTACTTTGTTGAAATTTATTTATAATTAACTCTAGTCATCATTTCTTTATTACATTCTTGATACTAATGAATTTTGTCTATGTTTTGTAGTCAAAAATTTTGGATAAAAATTTGATTATATTTATATAAGTTAATGAGTTAAACCAAATCTATCAGAATCTAAATACTAATATAATATCACTTCATACCTTGAATTTAAAGATCTGTTTCAAGTTAACTTTGAAGTCCAACTATCTAATTAGATTAAGGTTTCCCATAATAATCAGCAATTGATGGTAAATCCTTAACAGGTATATTTTTGACTGAAGCATTCTTATATTCAGCATTTGTTATAATTAATAAACCTTATTAAGTATTATTTGATTTAAATACCTTATAGACCTTCACTGAGATCTGGAACTGTATTTGGAGTTTATAGAGATCCTCTTTTAAATGTTTTATGTTAAGCTAATTATTAAGTGAAAACTTAGGTTTAAGTTTTAATTCTGAATTTAACTTCAACTCCTTGATTCAAACCTTTAGAAGTAATTTAAAGATATGATTTATTTTAAGGTGCCAAAGTTATTAAATTCATCTAACTCACCAGAAGTCCTAAACCTTACCACTCATGTTATTAAGATAAACTCCTATTCAATGCAAAATCTTAAAGAGTTTATTAGATTTTTGTTAAGAGTTATGGTTCTATCCCTTATCCTTAATCTTATATACTAAATAACACATAACCATCAAAACCTTGTATTACAACTTCTACTTAGCCTTTTGAACTAAATTTAACTGAATTTTAGAGAATGTTTACTAAAATTTACATGATTCTATAATAATCTGATTTAATGACAGTAGGAATAGACCTTTAAGCATTTACATGTAAACCTATTTTTTTATGTTAAAAAATAAGTTTAAATAGATCATTTATTTCTTAGATGATATCTACAAAATTAAAATCTGAGAAATCATATTTGATCATCTTCTAATTAAATTATGTGAAATCAATAATATCTCTTATTATATAGGCTTATAATCTTAATGAATTTTTTGCAGGATCAATAAAATTTTCTTTTAATTAAACAGGTAAAGAATTTGTTTAACTTAATGCTTATAGAAATAATTCTGCACTATTTAATGGTGTTCTTAATTCATGTGAGAATGAATCAATCATTTTAACAATGAATTATTCTTTTGTTTCCATTTTCTTGAAATTTGTTTATAGAGTAATATCTTAAATGATAATCAAAAATTCATTTTCATCTTATGCAGATGAAATTTTAAATAATAGATTTCTTTCTTCAAAAAAGGCTTCATTTCCTTTACAAAATGTAGCAGATAATTCTAATTGATCATCACGTGTTTTAAATTTTTCTAAATGTCCCATATTTAATAAATTTAAAATTTGTTTTATAGTGAATGTCTTATTTTAAATTTTCTATTATGTTAAATTGAAGGTACCTGAAGCTTAAATCATACCATTTTTCTCTAATACTATACTAGTTTAATGCATAAAATAATTGTTTTTCTTTTGAATTATTGTACATTCTAAATTCTCAAGAATAAATTTTCCAATATCACTTTCAGCTTCAAAAATTTATAATAACTAATCATTTTCAAATAAAATTTCTAAATTTTCCTTTTTTACTATTACTATTCCAACAGGAAAAGTTTATAATTTATTCATCCATTTCATACTAACAGATTCACTAATACGATTAATTAATAAAGATTATCTTGTTTAATATCTTGATGGTTTAATATCTGTTTTTTCTAACTCTTTAAATTTCATTTTCTCTTTCTTTTTCATATTTTGATGTTTTTCTTTAAAGATTAACATTGTTGCATAACCTACTGTAAAATAAGTAACTCCTTATTCATTTTATGATATCATCAAAAATAATTAGAGAGCATTCAAACCAATAAAAAATATGTAACTAAATTGCTTTTATAGATTATCTATTAATTGTTTTTCATAAAATTTAATAAGTAAATAGCCATATCTCAACATTTCTGTAAAATAGAAGCAACAATAAAATATTTGTGCTAATTAAGCCAATAACATAATAATTTATATGTATTTTCTCTTCTTTCTACCAAATTTCTTTGCAATGCAAGGTGATAATAATATACCCAATAATTAGATTGTAACTGTATTTATAGTTACTATAAAAGAATCTTTTGAATAACCATAAATTATCGCTGATAATGCAATGTCAATTATGCATTTGAAATAATACCAAAATTCTTTATTATTAAATTTCATTATTAAATATATTCAACTATTAAGTTCATCATAAATATATAGTGAACTAAGTAAACTTTATGCTTTGAAAATTAAATAGATCATAATTCAAAATATAATTTAATTCATTAGATCCATTATTAAGTTGTTAAGTCATCATGTGAAAATTATCTTTATAACATCTTACAGTTTAGAATTATACTTATATCATCATTTTATATATTTTTTAAGCATAAATAAAATCATTATATTTTTAATACTCATTCACAATAAAAGGCTATACTTTATTATAATTCACTTAGACCAGTTCTATTTCTTATTAATATAAAATGCTTACAATACCTCACACTTGTAAAATGAAGCACCTAAGATGAATAGATATGTTTTTCTAATTTTTCTCTACTTTTTTAAACCAATTCCTCTATTTTAGATATTTTATCACATTTTGTAAATACTATTGTAAATGGCTTTTCCAAACTTTACATTAATTATAATGTCATAGAATCTACTTCTTTAAATCTAATTATGATTATGTAATTTTAAGTACCCATGTTCACTATCAATTAGAATATATGACTATTTTAAGAAAGGAGTATTTTTTATATAATATTGCATTAAATATCCCCAATTTTATACATCCTTTTTATTACCCTTTGCAAAACCATAACCAGGTGAATCAACAATCACTTTTGATTAACCTAAATTATAAAAATCTAAAGATCTTGTTTTCCCAGGATAATTAGAAGTTTCAGCAACATTTCTTCCTAATAATGCATTTAATAAACTAGATTTGCCAACATTTGATCTTCCTAAACAAAATTAAAATTGTACAAAAAAGTACCTATTATTAAAAACTAGGAAATAGTACTCATTTATTTACCTCTTTTCGCTTGATTTTACTTAATTCCTATTCTTTTTATTGTTATTAAAGGAAATTATCAATATTATTTTTCTCAAATTTACCTTCTATTTTAACCATCTTGTAAAATATTTCTGAAGCCATTTAACTCTAATTATGTTACCATTATAAATATTTACATATTTAGGTTTTAGAAATTATATTGGCTCACCTTTTAAATCAAAAATAGTTGTAGAAAATAGAAATTGAGTCTATTTAAAGAGCATGTAGATATAAATAATATTAATAATATAAAAATCTAATTACTCTCTGATTATTCATATAAATTATTTATAAAAATTCTTAAGATCTATAGGCCTTACTTAATAATAATAACAATTATATATTTATTTATTTTATAACGTAACCATAATAAAGTAAAATTTAATAATAATTAGAGTTTTCTTTAAGAAAATTTCTAAATTAATTGTCAAAGATATAATAAGTCTCTTCAAATTTGAATTAAATAAGTACTATTTTGATAGAATATAATAGCAATATTTATTCTATAAAAGTCAATTGAATGATGTCAAAAAAAATAAAATAAATTATTTATTTTTAATTCTGTATCATTTTTAAATAATAACCAGATTAATAAATTATTTCATTTCTAATATTGAGATGACTACCTTAATTTTATTATAAGTTAATATTATATTTCATAATTTTGAAATTCTTTTATTTCTAATTAGTTTATATTTTCTAACAAATTTATCTGTCCAACCTTTACTCGCTTTGAAATCAACTCCTTATTTAATCATTTTCAAAGCTTATGTTTATATCATAGCTCGAGATACTCTTTTATTAGTATTTCTAATTGTTTCATGACACCATTATGCCAATTTTTGTTCCATTTCCAAATCTATTGATTTGCGCCCACAACCTTATTTTCTAAATGGACCTTGTTTTTTCCACCTTCTTATGTTTTTTAATGGGATATCTAGTTTATTTGATATTATTCTATCATCTATCCCTTCCTCAATCCATTTGAGCGCACAAATTTTTAAACTTAGACTATAGCTTCTATACTTTCCTCTTTCCTTTTTCTTTTTCTTTCTTTGTTACTTTACCTTTAAGTCTTTTACTCTTTAACAAAGGTTCTTCTTAAATCTAATAGGAATGATTTGAAATTTTTCACAAATAGGTTTTTCATAATTGTAAAAAAAGTGAAGAGTTATCATAATTTAATAAAAAATTCTATTTTTATAAAAATCAATCTCTAAATAATATATTTTTTATTAAGTATCAAATCCTATAAATACATTAACATTTTTATCTCAAAATAAATAATCAGATTCAATAATTTTAATGGTTATATAATATAACATATAAGATTATTATAATTTTTTAATATTAAAATACAAAAAAAATGATTGAAGATTTAAAGAGACAGTTTGATTTATTAATGGTAGAAATGTAGTCTTGTTAGTATAAACTCACCACAGCGGAAGAAAAAGGATTTTTTGTAATCCCTAAGGGTTATTTTGGATATTTACTAACAAAAGGGTTTTGGTATAAATTAAGAATATGGATTTGTATTGAGGAAAACAATTAAATAAAATGCAAACTAGATTTATGTGAGGATTTTTATTATAAAGAAAATGCATTGAAAGTTCTAAACTAAAGAATAAAGAATTAAACTCCATGTGAAATGTCATGATCATTATATTAATTGAAAAAATTCGCTCAAATTCTAGTTTAATTTTCAACTATACTTCTTTAAATATACATAACATATCTATTTAAAGTTTTACAAAGGAAATATCATTTACAAAAATTATATTAATTTCTATAATAGTTAGTGTCATATTAGATTATAATAATAAATGAATTATGATCATTCAGTTTTTTTTAATAGGGGATGCTTAGCTAAGAAATTCAGAATCTTCTTATTCTAATTTCTAAACAAATTTTTCAAAGTCTTTCATTCTTATTTTTACTGTTGATATACTTGAAGTAGATTTAACCATTGATCTTTATGAAAATAGCTAATAATTTTATGGATAGATATACTGAAAGCAAACTACTATTTTTTTTCATTGATTATTTATTATTAGCTTTAAAAAGACTTTTAAAATTGTCAAAATCAAGTTAATCATTTTGAACTTCTAATTATTCTAAAAAATCATCTATATCGAATTGTAAATCAAATTCAACTTTTAATATTTCAATAATTCTATTTTTATGGACATATCCACTTGCATCAGGTTCTCCTCCTAAAGCAACAAATGCATCAACTAAAATAATTTATTTGTATAATACTAAATTCATTTAAATGTATTTATTGTTCCTCATGTTTATTTTCTTATTCGAATCCTTTACATACTTTTGTAACAAATAAAATAGTTTAAAAATCTAATTATTATGTATTTCTAAGCTCAATTTCTTTAAAAATCTTTTCCTTGCATTATTAATCAATGGAGAATCCAAATTCTAGTTTTTCAATTCACAATTATATACCCTTTAATAGATCAATCATATCATGATAGCTTAAATAGCCCTATTTATTGATATCCATTCTTTTGAATATTTTTAACAATGTATCAATTTCTGTTTTTGGTAGATCACAAGCTTAAGAATACTTTAAAAGTTAATTGTAATCTAATTTATTATTTTTCTAATTATTTAGCTAGACCCTTTATGAAGATTATTGTTCGGCTATTGGAATGCTATTAATATTGTTATCCATGACACAGCGAGTCTGTTATTAAATAAATTTATGTGATTTTAAATCATAATATTATGAAATCTCAAAATAATAATTGATTTTTTTTATTTAATTTTAAGTATTAGATAATTTTAATAATGTTGTGATTCTAACTTTATAAGATATGTAAACTAAGTTATTAACTATTATAGTAATTATCAAAATAAATCATCAGACATCATATCCTAAAGTTCTTTTCCTTTTTTTGAATTCACCACTTTAGTTACAGTTTTTGCTGAGGCTTGTGTCTTTTAGGAAATTAAACTTGAATTATTTAATTTCTTATCCTCTTATTTTTCAATTCTTGATGGAATTTCTTCTTTTTTTATTATATCCTACTTTTATTCTTAAACATCAGATTGCTCTAAAACTTTATTAATATCAATTAGATTTTTAGCCTTAGAATTTTTATATTATATTAATGCCATTTCTCTATCAAATCCATTGGTTATACCTTCTGTATACCAAATTGTATCTTTTACTTATTTGATTAATTTTTCAATATTTGGTTCATCAACCTTTTTTCTAATACCATATTATTATGAAGTAGCATTTTTTAATTGTCTTGCTCCTTTATTTAGAAAATCCAAATCTCTTATAATTTTGAAATAATCTTTTTTTGTTTCTTCAATCATTTTCTCCATTTCTTAAAGACTTTTTTTTGGAATTTCAGCCTTAATTTCTTATTGTTTTGTTTGATGTTCATTTTAGACCTATTTCCTATCTTAAGCAGATAGAGCTCTATATTGATCCTAATCATGATTAGAATATAGTGGATTACTTTCTTCTATATAGGGAATGAATTTGGAATTTTTAGTAATTCTGGTAAAGGTAATCTAACAAATTCTGAAACTTTCTTTTCAATTTTCTCTTCTTCTAGTTTTTTCACAAACTTCTCTATATACTGATCATGCTCTTTTTATAATTCATGTTATATATTCTCAATTGTAACAACAGTATCAGAATAATTATCTTCATGTATAGATGAGTATCTCTCTTTCTTTTCTTCTTCTTCTTATTTCAATTATTTAATTCTCAAGTATTAAAACAAATCCATTTATAGAATCTATAAAATAAATTAATTTGAGTTTCATATATTAAATATTTGATATCCTATATAATTTTTCTTCCATAATTGCTTACTTATAATAGTAATATTTATACATCATCTTTGTCATTGACAGCTTGTGCACCTCCAAAAGGGGGAGGATTTTCCATTTAAATAAATTCAGGCAAAGTTATAATATCTTTGATTTATCTCTATTTAAATTAGCAAGGCAGAGGAGGAATTTATTCTGTAAATTTATCAATTCTTTTTGGTTGATTAACTTAATCTAAAAAGTGATCAAATTCATATTGCTTTATTTTTTAAATATTCTATGATTTAAGAATAAGATCTTTCCCTTTGATTTTGGTTGGAATAGAAGGAGCAGGTTTAATTTGTTTCATAATTATATATATATATATAACTATAAAGTCAATTAATTATTCAATAAATTTAAGTAAAAGTTCTCAGAACCAATCTACTAATGTTTCTATTTCTGAGTAAAGACTAAGGTAAAAGTGTAATTATTAATTTCAATTAAGTAAATTCTTAATCTTCCAAATAATACCATATTAAAAATTCAACACTTATTAAAGCTAATGAACTATAAATTTATAAAATATATATATATACATCAGTCCAGAGTATAAAAAGAAATTACTTAATTTATCTTTTATCTCTTAACCTAAAGCCAAAGTTTGATCATAAAAATAATGGAAACTAGTATATACTAAATATTCCATATCATAAAAATATTAAACAAATATATTTTAATGAATTTATGTATCTAAAAATTCTTACAATAATGTAGTATTAGTTTAATATTATAGATTATCTCTTTCATAAGAAAATTCATTCTATAATAAATTTTAATATTTTTGCATCATACCACTAATTCCTTATGTTAAATACATATAAGTAATATCTTTTTCAGTATGATTCAAATTTGAAGAAATATTACAAAAATAATAAAAATTTGGGAAATTTTCACATAAATTTCCTTATAAAGCAGTCATAATTAATTCTTAAGTAGATGAATTAAAAATATCATTCTCCATAACTTCATCAATAATATTATTAATGATAGGTAACAATTAATCAGTATAATTAAAAAACTATGAAATAATTTCAATTTAATTAATATGTTATAATGAATCTGTATTTATTAAGTATTCTGTTTTAATAAGTTCCCCTAATAACACTGAACTATCAAATATTTTCTTTAATTTAACAAACTAAAAAGTAGTTCTCAAAGACTACTTATATTATTAGTAGTATTCTAAATGTAAAAAGGATACTGACAATCCTAAAGTAATAAATATTATGAAATAGGTTAATGGTAACATAAATGATTTAAGAGATTTATATTTATGATTGATCAATTTATGATTGATCTATATAGATGATTTTGGTTTATTAAGACGATTAGATTATTAATAATTAATAGTTGATGGATTCTAAGTAGTAGATGACATTGTATGATATGGATTCATTTCACCTAATTGAATAATTATATCATTTATAGTATCATGATTTAGATGACTTAATAATTAGAATATTCTATTTTTTAAATCAGAAGAACTAAACATAGTTTTTGTTTGAATTAAAATAATTATTAATGCCAAACTACTTTCTATAATTAAAATAATATTAAATTATTAAGTTGATTATTCTATTTTATCTAATACAATTTAAACTAAAGCATCCATTGCAATATCACAAAATACAAATATCTTAATTACATTTTACCTTATAAAACTAGATGAATTTAATGTTGAATAGTCTTCTAAAGATGTATTATAATTAATTAAATTTTCTCTATGCATTTTATCCATTTTTGTTCTTGCTATATCAAAAAATTATAAGTAATTCAATTCATCTTATTTAATTGTATTATTACTATAATAATCAACAATTACAGTTTCTTAATTGATATCAAGACTTAAGAGATAACAACCCATAGAATCTTAATTATATCTTCCTAAAAATATTCCATTTACAAATTATAAAGATCCTTATCTTGAACTCTCTACTAATTCAGATAAGTTATAAATATTTTGTATTTAACATAATCGATTCCATTAATTCAAAAATAGTGCAGCATAAACAAATGTAATAGCTTAGGGATAAATGGCATAATCATAATAATATTCAAAAACTTTGATATCACTTTGATTTGTTGAGATGTTTAAATAAGATAGAATTACCAAAATGAGTGAAACTATTAATAGCAAAAATAATGATATCTTAATATGTCGATATTAACCTTTGTGACTAATTAAACTTTCACCTTAAACTTATGTTTATTCTTAAATTATTTATTATTAATCATATTATTAAATATTATTTATTAAATGATTTAATCCTTACTAAATATATTAATCTTATGAGATATGACTTTTCAATCCTTCAACTAATAAAAAATTGATAGAAAATAAGGCAATCATTTCACCTTCAGGTTATTCATATTTTTAAAAGGTTAATTCATATTCTATATCTATGCTTATAGATTTTGAACTGATGACTAATTTAGATATTTATTCTTGATAGTTGGGTTTTATTATTTTAATAGGTATATTCTAAATTTTAGGATCTGTGGCTTAAGCCATAGTAACTTTTGATTTAAAATTATTAAACATATTTTTAGTAGATTAAGAATAGAATATTTATTATAATGATTTTTTAGAAGTTAATGAAATTTCTTCATTGTAAAATTATTTAACTTTTTCTAAACATTTTTTATGATTCAATGGAAATTTCCATTAAGTTGAAGCTTTAAGACTAAATTAATCTTATAATGTTAATGATTAAAATTACAATACCTAAGAATATATTTCACCAATATAAAACTATATCATAGTATTTTCTAAAAATTCATTAACTTTCAATGATTAAGTAAAAGCATTCCCAGATTTTAAAATTAAATGTTCATAAATTTCTTTTGAAATACCAAGTATCTTACCATCTGAATTAAACCATAATATTTATGGAGTTAACTTTTCTATAATAATAAATTGATTAATTATTATATCATCATGTGTAAGTTGATAGGATAAATAAATTTAACAAGATTAAATATATGGTTCATTATTTAAAATACCTCCAATTTAATTCTTGGAATTTGTTGATGATTCTAAATATGTTTAAATTAATTTAAAATAAGAATCCTTCCAGAATATAGGTAGTAAATCAGACATATTTTGAGGCATAGTTTTGAGATTAGGAAATGTTTATTTCAATCTTTATAAATTAAGTTGACAAATCTTTCCAAATTCTTTCAAATAACTGATTTAAATGACTAAAGATTGACCTTATTATATAAATAATTTTAAATACATGCTTCAATTTAAAGATTTAACATTTTATTCCATGAAATTTTATCAATAATTCTGTTTCTTATTTATTAAGCCTTATTTTATAAATATAATAGATTACTTTTTCAGAATCCAAATAAAAGTTTTAATAGAAATTAGCAATATGTTTTAATGTTAGAATATCACTTTATGGTACAAATTTCATTTTTAATTAATTTAAATCAATAAGATTTTCAAATTAATGTTATTAATTTTGTAATTCTTAAGTAATCTTATTTAAACCTTTTAGAATTGCATTTATGTATGCTTATTCTTCTTGATCACTTTTTAATTATGACAAAAATTCTATTTTAAGTCTAGATATTTTATTTAAAATCATTATAACTTTATCTTCAACAATTAATACTTTTGTAGCTAATTTAATATCTACTTATTAACTATAATAACGTTTGCAATGAGTATTTAATTTTCTTTTAAGTGTCTATAATTTTAGTTATTAAAGATAAGTAAATTTATCAGATTTAATTTTAGATAATAATAGAAGTCCTTTCATACAATTTTTATCTTTTAAATGATCTATGTACTATATTTTTTAATCAAAAGATTCAAAATGTTTTACAATTTAAAAAGCATCTAAAGTTGCATATTGGATTTAATTAGCAATCAAGATTTCAATAATTTTTTTTTTTTTATTTGATTGAACTAAATTATGTATTTATAGTTTTAATAAAGATACCTGATTATTATCCAATATATAATATAATATTATCTTTTATCTAATTGCAATTATTAAAGTAATACCTAATATAAAATAAATCATTATTTGACACCAATCTAATTTTAAAGTATTTAATAATATTTATATTATTATAATAGTTTATGTTGATAATTAGAATGTTGTATTACGATCTTATTTTTCTATTATTATTATACAATAAATAAGTTTGAGTATAATTTAAAATATTTGAATTATTAGAATATTTTATGGTGTTAAAGTACGTATTAAACAAAATGAAATATTAAACAAGATTTTTATGAAATGAATATTTGTTGAATAATAGGCTCCTTCAATTTCTATAAAATGTAATCTTGTATTCAATGTTATATTAAATATTTCAATAGTAAATGACAATATCATACATATTATAGATATTCCATTTATTGTTTGTTGAGTAAAATTTTGAAATCCTGCAAAAAAGATTGGAATAATGAGTAGATAATGATTAATAGACATTACATAATAGATAATTGAATTTGATTGAATTAGTTTTTTCATATAACAAATTGTTATTATGTTAATACAGATAAAAGAGATTATGATAAATGTAGCAATTACATATAGTGCAGATATTGAATTTGCTGGTAATAAGAAACTGATCCTGTATCGTTGTGCAATTTCTAAAATTAAGCTAAATATTGAATATTAATACTAATTAAAGTCAGGATTGTTTGAAAGTTCAATCTATTGTAATTCATGAAGAATGATAAAAAATTAGACTATTATAATTTAAAAAATGTGATCCTAATTTCTTTCAAACACTAAATCATTCAATGCTATTATATATTGTTTTGTAAATGCATGCAATTCCTTAAAGGTCTTTTAGAGTATTTTGACAATCATATTAATTAAAAAACTTTTTATATTAAAATTGAAACACAAGTATTAATATTTCATTTGATCTATATTAATTAGGAGTACAACAATTTATTAAATCCTTTCTATTAAATTAAAGCAGGTGGAAATAAAGTAGCAATCAATTTCAACTGATTTAATCTTTTATATTACATATTAATCCAAAAACCTGACACAAATGAAGTAAAAAGGAGAAATCTAAAAATAAATAACTATTTTTTTACGCCACTGATGAAGTGATTAAATATATTAATATTTAATTAGATAATTTATTACTTAATATCTAGGTTTCAGTAAAAATATCTACAAAACAATAAAAAATACAAGTTTGTAATTCTATAAAGTATTGTAAGAATAAATGATCATGTATTGGTAATTTTAGAAAATAATCTGAATGATTCTAATCATATTCATAAAGTAAATATACTTGCTCATAATTGAATTCCTATTTAGATAATTTATTTAAATCTTAAATTATTCCATAAATGCCTTTATCTATTAAAGTTACATAATTTTCTTTTTCATAATATTCCAATTTGATATTTTTAATATTACAAAAACTTAATATACTTGAATAGTAAGTACAAAGATCATCATTATATATATTGATCAATTATTATTGAAATGTTTAATTATATGAATTTGTAATTACTAGTTCATTATTGATTTAATCTGAAAGTTTAAGTAAAACATCAATATTATTGAAAAAGAATTCAATATGATCAGTTTAATTAATATATTCAATTCCACTATTATTATTTATTAAATGTTCAGTCTTTATAACTTCCCCAACAATTACAGCTGAATCTAATCTTGATTTCAATTTCAGATATTTCATGGTAAGAATTAAACTACTTTAATATTGGCTATTATATAATTTAGAAACTAATTAAGAACCAAATATAAATAAAATAAGTTCAACCCCAATCACCAAAGATAATATTATTAATAAAGTATACTTTTCATTATAATTTTCTAATTTGCTTAATGGATTATACTTGGATTAATTGATTATGACTTTCTCACTTTATTTTTAACTAATAGGTTCATCCTTTCCTTAAAATTAAATCAATAATAAATTTGATAATTATTCTTTCTAAAAATGTAATATATCTAATTATTCTTATATTATTTTAACATTTAAATATTATAATAGTCTAATTAATTTAGTTTCTGTTCTTAATAATCTACAATTTACAATAAAAAATATTATCAAAAGAAATAATATAACTAATGAAAATTATACACAAAATATAAATGTGCTATTTTCAAATTATGAAAATGATTCCTCTGTTGTTGATATCATCTCATCTAAAATAAAATTATGAAATTTAAATATTTTTAACATATTTTAACGAACCAATCCATTTGTTTTAAGTATATCTGGATCAAAAGTACTGATATTCTTAAAATCTGTCTTTTTATATTGTCTAACCAATGCTTCTCTCATTATAGTATAAAATTCATAATAATCCAAATAAGTTTCAATCTTCAAACCATTCTTATAACTAATTAAATCAATCTTATCAAAACCCAATTCAATACTTTTCTTACTTAAATTCATTGAATATTCTTCATGAACACTACCCCAAAAATCAAAAACATAAATTAATTAATTTTGTCTTCTGTATTCTAAATATGGACTTATTAAATAAAGTTTATTTTAAATACAATATTGATTCCACATTAACATGAATGAAGCACCTATATTGAATGTCATAGCTTAAGGAGTATTTAAAAAATTGACATCCTCTTGATAATTAATCATATTATTATAATTCAATTGATAACTAACAACTAAAGCAATAGTAGTCATTACAATCATTAATGTAAGGATAAAAATATTATATTTTAAAGGAGTATATAATTTCTTACTTTTAATTAAATTTGAAATGAATTCATAATCTGATTATAATCCTTCGAATTATTTATCATTAATAATTAAAGATTAATTTTAAATATTTTCTATTTAAGGAATTTAAGCTATTTTTTCTTATTAAAATTCTTCTATTTATTTGAATTTCAATACAAAATAATTTGTTTCTGATTCTATAAATTTTTATTATACAAATTCTAAAGACCCTTCAAAATCTATACTTTTTAGTCTTGATGATGGTACTACTAATGCTTATATTTAGTTCATAATTTATTTTTACATAATCTTAATTTTCACATTTTTAATTATTGGCATTTCCTCTGTTAATTTATGTTATTTTGTAGAAATCAATCTTTTTGTAGATGAAGAATAAAAGATTTTCTTAAATTATGATGATATAGTTCCTTCATCATTAACAAGTCCTAATGCTTAAGTTTATTCAAGACATTTTTTATGATTCACAGGAAATTACCATCTAGATGAAATATTCACTTCTTATTAAAATGTTCCTGAAGAATATTAAGTAGTCAATTCTTATATATGTGAATATATTTCTGGAAGATAATATTATATCATTCCTTATTGAATAAATTCTGAAACTACTAATTTCTTAGTAAAAGCATTATCAGACTTTGATATTAAAAATTCATAAATCTATTAAGATATTCCTAATATTTTTCCTTCAGAATCAAATATTGCAAAATGATTAGGTTAATTTTTAATTACCAATAAATTTTATAAGATAATATCATCTTAACTAATTGTTACATAAATGTACAAATTGCATTCTATCAAATATTCATTTTTATAAAAATATAAATTCAAAGGCTAATTAATATCTAATCCTTAATATAAATATTGACTAACAAAACTATTATACACAGTCTTTTAAAATTAAGGTAACAATTCAATAAGTTATTTTGGTTCTAATTGTCCACCTATTATTTGGAGTAATCTTTTATTATTTTTATTTATTATATTGTTTGAATCTTTTATAAAGCTTGATGACAATAAGAAGACTTCATCTATCATAAATTTAAATATATATTTACTCTTCTGAAACTTTGAATTCATTATTTTATCATAACCAAGTAAGTCACTTTATCTCTTCTAAAGATCTTTAACCTATCATTAAATTTGTTGATTACTTAAAAATAATTACTGTAAAATATAAACAAAAATGAAGATACTATATTTATTGAAATCTAATCAGAATTCTTAAATTCTTATAATCTTCCTGTTTGTAAGTCATATTATTTTTCAAATATTTTCTTGTATTTTTCTAGTGTATTTAAAATCTTATTAAGTTAAACTCTAAATGTTTTAAGATATTAATCCAAAGCTTACTCTTTTGTCAATAAGATATAAAATTAACTTTTTAAATCAATAAAATTAATTAAAAGTTAAAAATTTTATTGCTCTAAAGCTAATGTTTTTATGTATAAATTAACATTTAGAGGAGATGTGATTAATTTCTCACAGGATTAAATTACATTTAATAAATTGGCTTCTAAAGTTAATTATTACAAATAACTTAAATTTGTTTTCTCAATATTTATTAAATTTAGATATAACTAAATTTTCTTATATTTGAAAACATGTTATAAAACAGTTAATTTATCTTGTATATCACCATTTTATAGTACTCTTTTTTAGTACTTTACGATATTTTATTCTTTAATTTCTGTAAAAAAATGAGAATATGATTTAAAATTATTCATCAATTCTTGATTTCTAAAAATACTATATTTAAATATATTTATTTCATTATCTTTTGAAAATAATTCTTCTCCTAATTTTTTTTATCTTATTTATATTTAAATAGCAATAAATAAAATGTAAATCAATGCTAAATCATACCAATATTGATTTGTTAAAAGTATTAATATATATGATATTACAAAATTGGTTATTTATATATAGTACCAACTATTATATTAATAACAATTAATCTTTTAAGTAATCATTATGAATCTTGAAAAAAGCATAAGAGCAGGAGCCACTTAATGTTAATAATTATTTTGAACTACAAAACAAATTATAAATTGCATAATTAAATAAAATAAATTAGCCAGTCTTGATGAGTAACAGCCTTCAATTTCAACTAAACTGTTTTTAATATTACAAAAACAATAAATTAATTCTAAAAATAAACCTAATATTATTCCAATTATTGACAGTTCTATATAATTTAATGAATTTGCAAAATTAAATGAAATATTTAAAGTTGGCAGGAATATTATTGAGTGAAAAATATTTTGAAAATATTTGTAAAATTATCCTACTAGAATAAATTTCTCCTTCTTATCAAAATAAACTATTAGCACCACTAAAAAATATATTACTTCAGTTGAGAGCAACAAAAATAAAAATAGTTCGTCTCTATCATATTTAATTAAATTTATTGAAAACTTTTATAAAAAAGACAATAATGAACCTTGTATTTACATAGAAGTGTAATTTTGAATATCAGTAGATGTGATTAATTATATTTCTTATAAGGCAGAAATTAACAAAATGATTTTTGCAAATACTAGATTAAATAATGTTGGTTCAATTTTGTTTCTGATGATCATTTATTGCATCCGGACTAAACCATTAAATACTAATTTTCCTAATTTATCATTTATTTTCTTCTTTTTTAATGCTCTTCTCATAAATAACTCAATAAAAAATATTAATATTAAAGCAATTTAATAATTTAAGTAAGGAGACATGGTTTACATCTATAATTAATATCTTTATAAAAATATATAAAGAAATTAGGGTGATAAAATGATAATAAATAATAAATAATCAATAATAATAATATCATTCAAACATATCATTTTTCTTAAAATTCTAAATAATACTATCTTATTGATTTTCTTCATCTGAACATTTTTCAGAAATGTAACCTCCTTATTTCTTGACTTGTTTTTCACTTTAAGATAAATAAAGAGTTCCTAAGCTTTTATCAGATTTAATAGCAGGGAAATCTATTTTTTGAGTTTCACATATGACTTTCATAGGAAATCCATTACACATTTCATTAGGATCAATATAAAAATTAAGATTCCTTAATTAACTTTTATCTTCATTGTTTTGTTATTATTATTATTAATTTTGATATTCAGATCTCTTAGGTTGATGAATGGTTATTTCTCCATCAACATTAGATTTATTCTTTTTGAATGAGTTAGTTTAAATAAAGGGATAAACTCTTTTTCTGATTTAACTCTTTCTTCTACCTTTATATCTTTCAATGAAAGTTTAGTTTGCTCTATAAGCATTTTCATTAATTTCTAATTGTTTTAAGTTTTTCTCTTTTTACATATTTTTAATTCTTTTCTTAATTTTTCTTCTCTCAATAACTCTAAATACAGTTCATTAATACCCTCTCAAAATATCAGTAATGGAATTGATAGCAAAGATATCAATTGCAAATTATTGTGCTTTCTTTCCAATTAAATCTGGATATCTGGACTCCCATGATTTTCTTATTTAACGTAAAATGGTTTTGTCTTCAATTTATTCAATTCCATTAAGATCATTTTTCTTTTTAATTGCATTATAGGCTAATTGAATACATATATCTTTAAAATGAACCATTTAATTTTGATATATTTAAACTTGATAATCACTTAATTTTTGAAAGATTTCAGTTTTAAATAATCTCATTTTTTTCTTATGATTATAGATATGAGATTTTTATTTTTGATTTTCTAAATATTTTAATTAATTTTTACTTGCCGCAAATTCATAATATTATGAATTTTCATCTTTAAAACCTAAAGGTGGATTTATTTCAAACATTAAAAATGCAAAATCTTCTGGAGTGATCCAACCTGTACCTTATGGATCATAATCAGACCATTTAATTAAAAAATCTTCTAATTGATATGGATTTATAGCTGCTGTATTTTCTAATTGACATTCTTGATAGGATTCAATTATCATAGCTAAAAATAATGAAGTCATTATGATTCGGATTAAAACCAAATAACTGATAAAGAAAAAGTAAGCAAATATTGTACTGCAACCTCTTGCTCCTTCTAATTCAAATTAGTCTGGAGTTTATGCATGACATCCTTAAGTATCAATTGTATAATCTGCCATATACAATGACCAATATTAACCAGTAGAAATATCTATTAAGATTAAAATTCCATCTAAGAAATTTGAAAATGATTTTGTTCTCTAGTTTTCCTCCATTGTATATGGATATTGAGGATCTGATGAAGTACTCCATATTGTTGAAAATGCTTGAACACCTATAAGTGAGTATATAATTATAGTTATAGCTATAAATACAATAACACTTAATAATGTAGGTATCAAATCTTAAATTACATCAATTAGAACTCTTAATTATTTATTAAATTTAAATAATTTATTAGCTCTTATGATTCTTAATGATCTTATAATAAAAGGAATAGTGTAAAGTCTAGGCAATTCAAAGTTGTCTTTCATAATCAACAATATATCAGTAATTATCAAAACTATTAAATCAAATTTATTGAGAATATCTCTAAAAAAATGGACCCAATATGCAAGTAATTTGATGAATAATTCAATGTGGAATATTACAATAAAGAATATATTCATTCCATATAATGCCTCTTAGGTAGTAGTATTCTAGTTCCCACTATAAGATGAACAACTAGATATTAGAGAAATTAATACAAAATTAGATTTATCATTAGCAAAATTAAAATGATTGCCTCAAAATATTGATTGCTTGTCAAATGATAACATATTAATCTATACTTATTTTAAGGTTTTGGTATGAGATTGATAAGCTTTTTCTTTTACATAATTTACATCATTTATATCCATTATCTTTAAAATTCATTCAATGATTAAAAATTGGCTATGTTCTCCTTAATTGTTCTATAATTATTGATGATCAACCCTGTAATTAGATTAAGTAATACAATATTCAATGAAAATATTAATACATAAAAGAATAACTAATATTAGGATGATGAATTAATTTTAGGATTGAGTCCTCTATCTGTAATATCAGATACACTAAACATTTATTAAGTCCAACCCTCTCCAATAATTAATCTGAATAAACAAAGTAAAGAATCTTAAATTGTATCATAATTAGTTATATTATTTATCCATTAACCTCCTTTGTTTATGCAATCTTCTTAAGTAATAATCTCTTCAAATTCTTTCAAAGATACTTAAGAACAAAAATAAAGTTTGCCTTTCCAAATTGTCATACAAATAATACTTAAAATCCATAAACTTATGCCAGTTACAAAAATCATTGATGAAAGTAATGAGATAGTTTATAGTAAAGACCTGGATATTAAATTTAGTTATTCATTTTATGATCCTCTCTATATATATATCAAAATTAATTACTCGAAGTGTGATTAGAATTCTAAGAGTTCTTAAAGCTCTAAATGCTTTAAGATATTAGTTATTATAAATATTGAGATCATCAAGAGAACTTATAATAAGAATTAAAAAATCTAATTAATTGTTGTTATTCTTTATAAATGATTTTTGAGGTTCTAATTTATTCCAATAGAATCCTTGAGCTAATATTTTTAGTAATGAATCCAATATAAAAATACCAGTAAATATATAATTAAGTATATCAATATTTATATTATCTTATCTTAGAGGTTTGTCATATCCTAAAAGTATTAAATTGACTAATATAATAGTACTCATTCCCCAATCATAATATTTTTATTGAGTAATATAATGTAGTCTTTTTCTTAAATTAGATTTATTATGAAGAATAAAAAGTGAAGAATTTAAAAAGAATTATTTTAAATTTGATAATGAAAATGAGATAGGCATTATTATTTAGGAATCATCAGTACTTCTAAAAGTTTAAACTTAATAATATCTTGATTATGATCTTTTTAATCCTGGTTATGGTTTTGAATTATCCTCTTCTTTTTCACTGTCATCTGATACCTTTGATAATCTTCCAAAAAAGCGTTTCTTTTCATTTTATAAATTGTTAACTTATAATAATGATGTTTCTTTTGTTGGTACAATTCTTGATTTATTTTACATTGTAGAAATAACTTTGGCTGCTTTGGCTTTGGATATATCAGCTTCATTTTTAGCATCCTCATAATTATCAAGCATCAAAGTTAATAATGAAGGTAGTATAAAAAATTTACATATAAATTAAACACAAATAAAAAAGATATATGGAATCCAAGATCCAGTTTCCAATGTTGTATAAAAAATGGTTTACCATTAATCTGAACATATTATTATAAATAATGAAGTAATTGTCTCTCTCATAGTATCAAAATTTGCTCTTGGAATGTAAGATCCATTTAAATCATACAATCCTTACTCATTAAATCTAAGTTTTCCAGCAAAAAAGTTTCGACCCATCAAACCTATAACTAATCCATATACTAATAATATTAATATCATTATAGGAATATTATTGAAGGATTTCCATAAAGCTGATAATAAAACTCTATAATTAGACCAACTAGTTTATTAATTGAAAACCCATAATAATCTTATTCCTTTGATTGCATTTAAAATAAATGGGTATTCTAATTAATTTAATTAGACTATTAAACATATAAAATCACAAATAAATTCCAATATTAATATTATTTTACTTTCCTTTTATTTCCATATATATATTCTTGCTATGTCTTCTATTAAATAAATTACTAGAAATATAATATTCACTTTAGCTAATGTACCTTCTAAATTATTTTTATATGCTGATTCATCATTCAAAGATAAAACAACAAGATTAGCTAGAAATAATAGACTATAAAAATATCTTGTTATTGTTGATGATAAAATTGATTTGATAATTGTTCTAATCCTTCTTTAATCATTATTTCTTTTTGTTGAATTCATAAGCATCATCATAACTCTTTATTTACTTTTACTAAGATAATTAGGACTTTAAAAAACAGTTTTCCTTTTTTAATTTGATAATGATATTTTTGTATGACTACTAAAAAGTAATAAAGGTTGAATAGGTTCATCTAAATGCATATCTTGTTGAGAATACTTAAGTAGTATTGCAACAATTAAATTTTATAAAAAGAATGAACTTATAAAAATATAAGTCCATAAATAACCTGTACTAACATACTTATTAAATGAGTCAGCTAAATTTTATTCTATTTCTACCCACCCTTCTATAAAATGTACTATAAATAAACTAGCCATTGATTCCTAAATATAATCAAATTTAGTAAAATTATGTGAATATTAAATAAAGGGTTATTCATAATATCCCTACTTACATTCATAACCAACAGAACAACTTCTTCCAAAACCACATAATCTAGTAGGATAATAATCAACTTCATCATTTTAATTAATACAATAATTTCCTAATATTCCAGTCCAAATTTACAATCCCACAACAGCAAATACATAAAAGAAAAAACAAATTATAATTGTGATATAAACAATTGAGATAAATGAATGTTCTAATGTTAAACAAAATTTTCTAACTATTCTTAAAATTTTGTAATGTACAAAAAATTCAAGTAAATATAGTATTCTTAATGTATAAAAGTATGATTGCCTTAGAAATATTGCAAAAAATAATGCAATTCCATTTATAAATGCAATTGGATTTCTATAATATCCATATTTACAACTCCACAATCTAAATATTTTAATGTTGCTTACCCATAGGATATTATTGAAATAAGTTGATGAGAAGTAAATATAATATCTGCTGTTATTATTATATCAGATATCTAATCATCATCCAAACTTATTCCAAATCCACTTTCTTCATTATTGTAAGGTTTGATTATCAAAATTATTATACAAAATGATGTCTATATAGTTTGTAAATAATACAAATATGTACACTGTATATTAATATACTCGAGATTCATTTATAAAAATGCAACATTGTCTAAATTTATTATTCAACCCAAAATAATCTAAAGAAAATTAGCAATAATAAGGATTCTCATTTTTTAAAAACTGTTCATCAATATTTTCTAAAAAATTTAATCGAATATTCGTTTATGAAGGATTAGGTGAAAATATTCCTTATTCCTGACTTAACCTAATTAAATCAGTTCCTGCTACTAATTCCTTATGACTTCCTATTTTATTCATATTTTACTTGTTATAGTAATGTTTCTAAAAGGAAAAAGGTAAAATGTCTTGGACTGAAGATAGGATATCCTTTCCATAATCTCTATCCATACTAAACTTTCTTTGCTTTCTGAAACAATTTAAAAAAGACTAAAGCATATAAATAATATAAATTTAGTATTATTCTCAAAACTTTTCATCAAATCCATCTCTTCATTTAAGTAGATTGAGTAGATTGAAAAGATCCTCCAATCTTACATATTCTTTTATCTCCTTATGTTTTTTAATATTCTGATAAATGTCCTGGAATCCAAATTTCTCTTACTTCCAAACAAGATTTTGAAATTTCAGGATGTAACAATTTTCTTATTTCTGATTGGCTAGGTGTCTTTAATGTTTATGTTTTCTATATTATTTCTGGCTCATTAAAAATATCATCTTCACTATCTCGTTATGATTTTAAATATGCTTCATCAGCACTTATCTTTCTTGAATGCTATTATCCTTATTAGTATTTAATCCTTCTTTTTCCAACAGCATTTATTTCTACTGGCCTTATAGGTACATTTTTATTTAATGTAAATCCAACATGAGCTATACTGCTTCTTCTTTTCATACTATTTTATATTGATTAAAATTTTTATTCCTCTTATGCATGAGCTAATTTTTATTGACTTTAAGAAGCTATTCCATTTTTACCTCTAATCTACATTAATTCGAGAGTACTTTTCTTTTGGTTTTAATGATTATTGTTTTTTAAGAGATCTAAAATAGATGAAGTTTTTGTATTAACTTTATGATAATTTTCAATTGAATCAAAAGGTTTTGAAGCACTTAAATATATATTAATTATATTTACTTTGAGATTTTGATATTGTACATTGCATATTAAACAAAGTTTTTAAGCAATATATTTGTGAAAGGATATTTAGTATCTATTTCAAACATGCAAGCTAAAGCTTTTGGATATTCAATAATAGATGGTCCTTCATCACTTTCTGCAAGACAAATAAATTTTTTTTCTGAATTATTAAATTAGAAGTTATGAACATCCCATTTATTTAATAATGGAGCTAAAAATCGAGATTCCATATCTTTAAATGCCTTTAATTAATTTATATAAGTAATAATACCCAATGTTATAAATACACATTTCTAATTGAAACAACAGTTTCTGTATTTTTATTTTTACTTATAGATGAACCCATTTGTTTTGGCTTATAAATAGGAGCCTTAACCACATACTTTCCTATTGATTAGAATTCTTGTGCTGCACTCCTTAAATGTATACCAACATTTAATTTAGGAATCCATTCAGAAGTTTCATAATTAAATACATATAAATCTCCTGATGTATTTTCTAAAAACATATCACTTTACTATATTTAGATTTTTAACTCCCTTAAATCTGATAATTTACCCCCATTCTAATTAATTAGGTTTATAGGCTTATATAATATTATGTTCATACTCTTTCAATATTAGATGCTGATAGATATACTAAGGCTTACATGGCAAATCCAGAAGCAAATAGTAACTTCTATACTCTCAAACTCATCCTCAACAAAACTAATATTTTTGCTAACTGTGATTCTTAATTAATACCCATATGAACAGCCCAAGGTCTAGTATGACAATCTCCAATAATAAATATTACATCAAGTTGATCGAATTTTTGAGCTGCTTCCTTTTTCACATAAGAACTTTCTACTTCATATAGGAAATCTTCAATAGTATCCCTATTACGAACATAAAATTCATTTTCTGTATCTATTAACTCTTTTTATTCAGCTAAATACTATATTAGTATTATATTATACTTTCATGACATGAAATTGAAAATGTTAAAATTTTTCAAGGTCTTTGTTATCATAGCAATTAATTATTAAAATTCGCATTATAAAAAAATAATAAGTTAAATAATTTGTCTAGGGGAAAGTTGATTTTTATAAGTTAAACTTGAATTTAATGAAAAAAAAACTGAAAAAATAATAGGATAATTTTAGGGATAAATTGAACTCTATAAATATAGATTCTGTAAGTAAAATAATAATAAAATAATCAAATATTAGGAAGAAATAATTTATATATTCATCATTTTTCATGTATACCTAGTATTCCTCTAACTGTGATTTTATTTTTGTTTATAGTTTGTAGACCAATTCTCAAATCACCAGGTTTAGAAATACCGACTACAAATTTATGAGACTCAATTTTATTTGAGAAATAGTCATTTTCTAATTGACTCTAGGATTTATCTGATAAATCTGTATCCATATTAATACACTCATCTTGATTGGAATTTGGTGAATCATTTTTTTAGTAATCGATATTCATGTCAAATTATTATTGCTGAACTTTAATTAATGTATTAAATCACATATGATTTAACATATAGAATTCTGTTCATTACTATTAAAAAAAAGAATAAATAATTGAGTATCAAAAGTATTATGAAATAATCAATGTTTCCTCTTTTTTAGAGTTTAATCAGGAGAAATGAAGGCTCTTTCATATTGTCCTCCTGATTGTTAATCACTTTGCCATTTATAAATAGGGATGTCTTCTTTCTTAGAATTACCATCATCTGAACAATGAGTATTTTGATGTATATTTTCTGGTTGAGCCTATTCTCTTGATAAAACTTATTATGCAACATCCTCTTAAAGAAATTCATTACAATCTTAATCAATACTAATGATTAAAAATGAAATAATTACTATTGATTATTCATAGTTTTTTGATCAATAGAAGAGTCTTACTCATCTAAATCTTATTCAGTAAATTAATTCTATTTAATGGCTAACTTTTTAATTAGTTTTTTAGAGAAAGCCTCCCATGCTTTGTACATGATAAGGACTGTCAAATAATCATGTAATATATTAAAATTAGCTTTTAAATGTAAAATGGGACTAATGTTTGTTCTCTATAAAAATCTGTTTCTTCTATAATACATCAAACGAAGTTGCATTTCTTTATTAAATTACTTAATCTTCTTGATAGAAGAAGATGTACCATTTTTGAAGACTTCAACATGATAACAAACTCTGAATAATTCATACATTAATTGATTATATTAAATGTATCCAAAATGATCACTATTTTTATTAATAATAACCAATACCATTATAATTTAAATGAGGAAGCCAATTTTCCAACATCCCATAAATTTTCATCTTTTCCTCCACCTAAAGGTTTCCCAATATCCATTAAGAAACGACATAAAAATTTATAATGCATAGCTTAACCTTAGGTTTCAGAGGAGTACTTACACCAGATGGTTTTAATCTTATCTACATTTTCAACATATGTCTAAATCATTGAATTTTAGAGCATAAAGAATTATTCAAATTATTCCACTAATCCTAACACAAATAAATTTAATAAAACATAATTTGACAGTAACATAAATAAGAAGAAATAGATTTAATTATAAATACTTCCACAATAGATTTCATCTTCAACACAATAAGGGTTATAGAACATAGTATCAGTCATTATAGTTCTCCAATCATCTCCTGATGCACATTTAAATAGAGATAGCATAGCTTAAGCAACATTTTAGAAATTGATTTAATCATCCATTACTTATCCTTTTTCTAATTAACCATACAAATGACATCCAAAAAGTGCAAATATATACATAGTAATGATTAATATACAAAAGATCTTACCTAAAAATGGCAAAGCAAAAACCATGACTCTCATTAATCTCTATAGATTTATCAATCCTTAGAAAATCAAAATAATTCTCAAACATCTTAAAGCAAAGAATAATCTTAAGAATTGATATCCTGAATCAGCTGGAGATGATCTAAAATAAGCTAATGCCCAATCTGATTAATAATCAGCAATAATATCAATTATGGCTATTGTAATCAAGAAAAAATAGAATCTTCTCCAATAATTATCAAAAAATCTATTGACTCCTAAAGCTAAAAATAAAAAAATATTCCATAAAATGTAAACATAAGTTAAACTATTATGAGTATTATTTAAGGCTCTAAAAAAATGATCATCCATATCTGAAAAGAAAAGTAATAACACAATAAAATCAAGTAATAATAAACAAAACATAACTTTTTGTATTGTATTATTGTTTGTTAAATCAGATGAAAATCTTCTAATTGTTGATGTTGGAGGTGAAGAATACAATGGAAAGTCTTTAATAATTATTTATGAGATTTTCATAAATTCTACTTAAGCCTTAGTGATATCTGACATTTCAATCTTACTTTAATTAGCTTTCAAATTTGCAAATAAAACTCCTGTAAATAAACTAAGGAAGAACATTGATCCAATAAAACAGAAAGAAATAAAAAAAAAATAAGTATGAATATAACTATTAAATGCTTCTGGTCCAATATTAGCATTTTAACTGTTCTCAGATATCTATAATATTTCCCCCCATCCATCAAAAGTTGAAACTACAAAAAGAGTAGGAATAGCTATTGTGATATTATCAAAATTATGTTTATAATTGATCCATGTCCTATTTTGCTCTTGACATTCTCGTTTATTAACTTCAAATTCCATTTTATCTTCACAAAATCCAAATTATTATTCATATAAAATTATTCCATAAACTCCAAATATGATCCAAACTGAAAGCATTGTTATCAATACATTCCAAATATCTGCTAAAGATCTGCCTAATGCCAATCTTAATGTATCTAACCATGATATTCTATACATTAATTTCATTACTCTAAAATATCCAAAATATAAAAAGAATTCCACTATTGGTCTTTTTTCTGCATTAGTTGGAAAGTGAAAGAAAAATGAAATAATATAAATTACATCAACTATTTACCATGTATATGTAATATAAGCTCCTTTATTCATCCACATTCCCTTTGCTATACTGCCCATAATTATTTCAAACAAAAAGAAAATATTTGCTATGAATTACAAAATTTCTGGATAAATAGATGAATCACTCTCATAATCATTATAAGTTTTTAAAGCAAATACTACTATTGAAAAATATAGCACTATATCCATAAAATAAATAAAGAATTTTGAAGTTATTATTCTACAACAAAGTATTCTGAATATATTATCTTTGTTAAATAAATATAAAGATTATTTACATTAAATTCCATCATAAAGATTAGGGTATTAACTAAGAATGTCTTTATGAACTTGCCCTATTAAATAATAATAAATTAATGTTACTTATAGATTTCATAAGATTTGAAATTAAATGCTACTTCAATTTTTTCTATTGATTTTCACTCACATTTATTTATGACATCAATGGCTTTAAATTTAATTAAAATTCATGCATTTCTTATTATTCTGTTATCTGTGAATTTTATTCCTCTTATTTCTCATTATTTTTATCTTCCTCTTATTCTTTTTCTTCTTCTTATTCCTCCATCTCCTTGCTTATTGCTCCAAATCCATCTAACAATATAGCCAACACCAAACCATATGTTATATAATTCAATATAATAACCATTGAATATGAATAAATTACAGCAAATACATAGTTGATATTACCTCCCAAAACATAAACTCCATACCAATCATCATTAGTTAAGATGTTGAATATAGTCATAAAAGCCTTAAATATATTATCATATGAATGTAATTATCCTAGAGCATCTGTTTAATCAAAATAACCAGCATACATTTCCATACCAATCATTGCATATACAAAGATAACTAAAAAAAATAAAAATGTTAAATATATGTATTATCGAAAGGTTTTCTAAGCTATATGACCAATAGCTACTGCCATTTTATTATATTTCAATACTCTATAAAAAAGAAGACATTTAGTTCCTCTTATCAATCTAAGATTTTATTCATTTAAATTTGTCATTACTGAACTCATTGTAAGTTCAATAAAGTTTAAAGTCACAATACAAGATTATAGTACATAATCAGGACTTTAAGATATATCTTTAAAAGAAAAAGCAAAAAATCTTAATACTAATTCAATGCATAAGAATATAGTAGAAACATCTTCTTCATTTGATATTGTTACTGAATCAGCTATTCCTTATAATGATAGGAATGTAAAATTGATTAAAATAATACAATCAAAAAATAATTAGCTGATTTAAGATGTAATGAATAGATAAGAGTATTTACGTAAGGTTTCTATCTTACCTTTAAATCCAAGCATCCAAATTTAAATATCAATAAAATTCAATCTTTTTAATACGTCTCTAAAATTCAATAATCTTGATTCATTTAATTTTAAAACATCATTTCCAGACCAAGTTTTTTTCGAAATTTGATTCTATTGAATATCTTTTCTTCTTAATAATCTATATTAAAATTCATTTGAAGATTGAGTATTTTTGTTTTTTTATATCTTAGCGTTAATCTTAGTAGAAACTCCATCATAATTTAAGTAATAACCTTGAATATAGACATAATTTTAATCTTATTTTTTTATGGCAAATGGAATTATATTATCACCTTAAGAAGTTTTTAACTTATGTGATTGTGCAATACTCAACTTTTAATTAAAATTGTTTTAATCTATGGAATTATTTGTTTCATTTTATTCATCTTCAGTTTAATTTATAATGATTCTTTTTACTCTTCTAACTGGAAATTTACTATGTTTCTTATGGTCATATTAAATTTATTCAATCTTTTTTTATTTAATATCTGGATAAACAACTGGTATTTTTTAATTTCTCATATTTATTATTTCTTTCTCTAATTCTTTTTTCTCACAATCAGGTAAACTATTTATTATTGAAATTTTAATTACTTAAGAGTTGGTAAAACATCTCCTTCACTTTCAAAACTTTATTGTATTTATTAATTTACACAAGATTATAATTAAGAGAATTAAAAAGACTTTAATCTTTCCAATATTTACAATTCAATCTCATCTTCAGTATATTTTCTAATATGAATATTTTTTTATTTTTCATTTAATATTAAAAACTTTGGAAGAAGAATATTTTTTATTGTTAAATTTTAAATTTTCTAAATTATTCTCTTAAATAATCCTAACTAAATAAAGTGATAATATTATTACTTATGGATTTTAATCATCATTCTTTTTTTATTTTGCTGAAAGTATTCTTGTTTTATTTGAATTCCCTTTTTCACCTACATTTTCTTCTAGTTTAATGGATCTATAAGAAGATTTCAATGCTAATCTATATCTTTGAATAACAGGAAAAAATTCAATGTATCGTAAAAAAGCAACATCAAATACATTAATAATATCTCTCTCTGGTAATTCTCTATTTTCCTTTATTTTTTATTATATTTATCTCATTTCTTCTTCTTTTGCATTCTCCTCTGTAGCTTCTGCATAATGAATTTTAATAACTGCAATAACCAAATTAAACCCAAAAAAACCACAAACAAAAATAATAAATAAATAATATAACCAAGTCCATGGATGATAGATTCTCATTGTAAAAAACATTACCCAACTCCAATCATCCATTGTAATTGTTCTCAAAACTTATCCATATGAATAAACTACATTATTAAATGATGTTGGAGGTTTAGGAGTGAAAGATGAAAATTAACAGGACATCCCTTCCTCATAACATGAATTTTAATTGCATTATATCCAACCATCACTTTCATCTCCATTATCATATTAACATCTATAATTAAATAAACCTTGAAACATAAATACTCCTGTTATAGCAAAAAATAATGAAAATAATCCAACTATCATTAAAGCTTCTAAAAGAAATCTAAAAGATTATTTCAAAGCTTTTAACATTACTCCTAACCCTGAAAAGATATCTCCTAAATAAAGTAGTAAGGTTATCATTCTTAAGGGAGATATATCTACTATAAAGACATCAGTATAATTAAGATTTAAAACGTAAACCACAACCAAAATGCAATCAAAGATATCTTAGAAATTCTTAAAAAAAGCTCCTTTTGGAATTATTACTCCTGAAGCTATTATTCTGATTGCCAACTCTATCAAAAAACAAACCATAATTCCTTTCTCCATATTTTTAGTTGACAATGGATCTTATTAAGTTTATGAGTAAATGTATAATGTGACATTAAAAATAATAAGAAAGGACATTATAATTTTAAATAGAACACTATTAATTATTCTTTTGCATAGTATTGGAATATATAATGAATAATAAACTATTTATTTTCTTAATTTCAGAAATCGTTTATCATCATTATAAGCCTAACAATATTTATTATATTTTTACATTTATTTCATGATGCAACCTTTCAAATCCATGGAGATCTTTTAGTTTAACATAATAAGGATCTTCAAATGGATTTCTTTCATAAAGTTTTTCATATTTTTTTTTTATTTTATCATCCTCCTATTAATTGTCAGTATAATCATCTTCTTCACTATCACTTATTTATTAATTGCCTTTGCTTTGAGCTGCTTGCAACTTTGATTATAACGCTCCTTTTTTGCTTCGATGAGACATTTTTAATGATCTATGTGAAGACATACCTTCACTAGCTTAAGACATAAGCATTTAATCACCTCCACATTATTTTTAAATATTTATATCTTATTTCATTCCCCATCTATGTTCGAAATCAATAAACTAGATTTTTAAAATAGATCTTTCAATTCCATCTGATATATCTAAAGGATTCATGAATTCTTATTCAAATGACATATTAGGTAAAATTAATTTATCCTACACTTAATAAAAAGACGATTGACCTTATTATATAATTCCAATATTATCCTTCAAAATTATCGATTAATCTAAAGGTTCCTTATTTGATTCTGAATCACTAGAGAATGATGATGATCCTGGAGATAAATCTTTGTTCATAGAAACGTTCACTTTTTGTTTACTTTTGATTGATGAAACTGAATGTCTGCTTCCAAGCATTCTTATTTTACTTTCTTCTGAAGAGAATAAATTAGAGTTGCTCATTTTTCTGTTTGCTATTTCTCTTGAAATTGAGAAACGTTTCTTAGAGCTTCTGGCTACTTCAACTTGTTTTCTATCATTGATTTTCTGCATTTCTTATAAATAATATATTTTTTTTAAACAAAAAATTCAGGTTTACAAACTAACCAATATTTAAATTAAAATATAGAAGATGATCATCTAAATTTTAAATCAAAAACTTCATTCTAAAATAAATATTTAGTACTGATATTCTAATTTATATTAAATCATTTAACGGCAGAACGATTACTTTTATGAATGGTTGTTCTACTGTCTCCTAGTAATTCTGATTCAGTCTCATAAATAATGTCAGTTCTATTTATGTTAGTACTTTTTCTGTTTTAAATCACTTTTGAATCTCTGTTCAACTAAAATTTTTCAGATAATGAATATAATCGATCAGCCAATGATTATATATCATTTTTTAATTTACTCTATTCTGGTTATTAACTTACTTATTATGGATGACTTTCATTAGATTTACTTCTGTATTCATTTTAAATTTAAGGTTGTTTTTAATCTAAATGATTATGATAAAAATACTGCTCTAATTTTGAATTTTCTTGGTAAAATTTTTTGTATCTCTTAAATTTGGTTTCTTTTATTATGGAGACTTATTTTCATTATTTGAAAGTGTGGATAATCTATTAGATGTAGCCTTAAAATAACTTTATTATTATTTTTTTGGTTGTAAAAATTTTCCATCTTTTTTTGGAGTTTTCTTTTAACTTTTAGTTAAAGTGTCTTCTCTACTTTATATAATATTTATTACTCTTCAATTCTACGAAAATCTTAACTAACACTGCTTCTATCAGATCTTAAGGTTTCTGTTGGTTAAGTAAATAAAGGCATAGCATCAATATTCAACTATTAAAATGAATTTCTTCTTTATTTTTCTATCTAAATATATAAATTATTCAAATTACTTTAATTTCTTATAAACATTATTATATTTGATGTTCTAAATTTTAAAGATCTTCTAAACTAAATTTTTTAAAATTTGGCTATCCTTCATAACATGATAGTCTATTTAGAGCATTTTATGATAATTTTTCATATTTCTCATTTTATAGTCTTAATTCTTTAATCTATTATTCCATATCTTTATGAGAATTAAAATATGTAAGAATTTATTCATTAGATTTCTATAATCTTTTATGAAGTTCGGTACAATTCTTTTCTAAAAGTAAATTTTTATCCATTTCTTATTATAACTAAGAATTTAATTCTTAAGTTTTCTCTAAAAGAGAGACATCAGTTTCATTAAATTGACTTACTGATGGTTTAGTAATTAATTAAATTTCAGATTATTTAAAATTTGTTAATATTTCTGAACAATTAGATCCTTACAATTATTATTTTAATGAATCTATAATTTTTTATTAATCTTAAATAATCTTTTCATTTTATTTATTTTTTTAAATTAATTAATTTAATTTTTATTAATTGTTGGAATATGAAGCATCAAAATTGACATTCTATTCAATTTTAGATTCAACTAATTTAGCACTCATACCAAATCTTAAAGTAGATTATGTTTGATCATATTAACTCAATCCAGGATTAATACTCAATAAGATTAAGGTTTTGAAATTTCCTGTTAAAGAAGATCTAGAGAATATATTAATAATTTAGTTACTTTAATAATTTAGTTAAAGTTGAATTACGATAAGGAATATGTTGAGGTGGCACTTTTTATGTTTTTAATGCAATAACTCTTGTTAAAAAGAATAAACTCTTGTTAATAGCAGAACTTTCTTTATTTCTGTCTTTTCTATTAGAATTTCTTGTTACATCATCTGAAATAGGACTGGATGATATTTTTTCACTTCCTGCTAAATCAATGAAATTAATGCATGCTTCTGTAGAAAAAGTAAAGTTTTCTTCTTCTTCAGATTCATTGGAGTAAGCACTTATAAGTACTTTGAAGATTGTATGACTTCTACTACTTTAATGATTCAATATGGTTTCTGCATAATGTCTATTTTTTTCTCCCTTTGAAATACATGTAATAACATCTTCAATAGAAGTAACATTGTATTCTTTGATATTTTTGATTACAAATTCCTTATGTAAATATTATGATATTTACCTTACGATAATCAGTTCCAAAAATGAGAGGTTCTGATAATTCATTTTCTTCACGTAAAAGATCATAAATAAATTCATTGTAGATTTCATAATAACTACATTTAATTTCAAATTATCTCTTTTCATCCTATTGATATTGAAGTAGCTTATACAATATTAATTTGTTTAAATAGTTCCATCATTGAATAAATCAAAATTCCAACATCGTTATATTAAGTATTTGCAAAACTTTCTTTGATTAATTACTAAATGTTGCTATTATTATTTTGTAACATCTCCTAATTTCTCTTGCCTAACATAGTAAATGTTTTGCCTGATCCAGTTTATCCATACATAATGACAGTCCCATTAATACCATCTAAAGATTGCATAATTACTTATTTGACTGATGTTGAAAACAAATAATAATTATCAGCTTATTATCCATAACAATGATTGAATTCATAAATTAAACTATTGACTACTTTTTTTTAAGCAATTAAATCCTTCAAACAAATTTTATTAAGTTAAATTTTTGAATCACTGGCATCCCAAGCTATTATTTCATTGTCATTAATTTCTTTTTGATTAAGTGGTCTTATTCTTAAACACACACTAATTTTTTCCATACTAACAGATAATTATAAATATAATATTATCAAAAGTTATAATTACAATATTTAACATTATATAAAGTACATTATTATGAAAATAATCATAAATATAATCAATTTGTAAATCATAACTCTAAAATATGATGAATATATAACTATTTTATAATATTATATAAAAATATTGTACAATTCAATACAAATCTAAAATTATAATAGATTCTATCTACATATCCATAATATATAAGGAATATATTTTCAATGAAATATAAAATCTGAAGATTTATGATATTCTAATAATATAAATTAGAGACTTTATTATTTCTATATAAAACAAAGAAATAAGAAGTAAGAGAAGATATTGTATTGAAACCCTTTTATAAAGATATAATATTCAAAATTAAACTGTTTATAAATAATGAGTTGAGATTTTAAGAAATAGGAATTTTATTTTTTTTAAATTATAGAATAATATAAATGTCATTTAGAAACTTTACATTAGAAATATAAGATAAATAGAATTCATAAAGTAAAATCAAAAAAGGTTCTTGATACCTTATTTTCTGATTTATATAGAAATATTTACAAGTATATTATAATTATAGATCCAAATTTTAATAGGTCATTTAGCATCCTTTTTTTACAATTTTGATCTATATTTAATAATATTAAAATTTAACACTTTATGGAAACAAGTGCATTTAGATAAAAAGGGTCTAATTCTAAGGTGTCTAACTTTGAAAATATTGAGAATCAATATAATAAAGTATTTATCAGGTATATATATAGAATCTAATCATGCTTACAACTTAAGTTGAAAGACTTACTTAGGCTTTAAAGAAGAAAACAAATGAGATTGAAATACTCTAAAATTAAATTGATACTTAGAAATCAACTCAATATCCATAGGAGATGGAAGAATTGATTACGGTATAATTAATTTAAATTTTAGACAGTTGAAGAATAAACTAAAGAAATTGAAAAATGGGCTTAAAAATATTAAAATTTATAATAATAGAATCAGTAATTACAATAGAAAAATTAGGATTTGGAATAAATAGTGTAATTACTTAAAGCTTAATCTTCATAAGAGATTAAATCAACTGAAAGTTATTATTGATTATAATTGATTAGGTCTTCCATCTAGGCGATTTTATTAATCAGAAATAAGTAGAAATGATAATAAATTTGATCCTGATGAAACAAATTACATTTCATAATCAAAACTATTATCAAAATAAGATGAAATCAATTAATTGAAATTATAATTAGGATAATTAAAATAAGAACTTTTAGAAGAGAAATAAATTCATAGAGAGTTACTTGAAGCTGAAGAAACTAGAGTTAGAGAATAAGAGAGAAAGAATTTAAATTAATATAAATTAGAAACTAAAGAACAATTATTATTATATAAAAATTAAATATAGGCACTATAAGATATGTTAGACAATAAGTAATTGGTTTAATAATAAGATAATTTTGAAGAAAAGAATCGTTAACTTAATTTATAAATTTTAGATAAGAATAAGAAAATAGAATTATTGGAAAGTCTCATTACATAAAAAGATTCACAAATAAACTAATTGTAATAATAATTAGAAAAATATCAAAAAGAATAAGTCCAATTAATCAAATAATAATAATCATAAAAATAATTAACACTTCCTTCCTCATCTTCCACATATAGAGTTGTATCAACTTAGCATTCTTCTTTTGATAATAATTATTGTTCTTTGGTTAACCTTAACAAAACTAACTCTATCTAAGATTAAATTAATCAAACTATGGCTTAAATCAATAGATCTATTCAGTAAGTTGATCAAATGAAATAAACAAATAGCGTTAATCAAAAATTAATTCAAGAATAATTTAAATATAACAATGTTCCAAGTACTTTGAGGAATTCACAAATACCATAAATGCAATCAAATTAAATTATTCAAGATAAGATGAAAACTCTCACCTCATTATCACAATAGTAAAATAGTTTAAATTATAATAAATATATATGAATTTAATAATAATATATAAAAAATTATATATTAAATGAAGACTAATTATTTAAGAAATTCCTTTGAATAATAATAATAACCATTTTATCAATATTCTAAGAGTTAAATTGTAAATTAAACTTCAAAATAATCATTTATCATTAGCTAAAATTATCAGAGTCAATTGTTATAATTATCAATACAACCAAAATAAAATGAATAAAGGAAAGCTTCATATTAAGATGAAGAAGAAAAAAAATAATAAATGGCCTAAGCTATTCAAGATTAAATTTAAAATAATTAAAACAGAGATGATTCAATTTAAAAGCCTTTTGTGGATTAATATTCATAACCACTTAATGAAGATGTCTAGAAAGACTAAGATATCAAATTAAATACTTTGATGACTAAATTTTTTGATGTAGAAATACCCAATTTAAATAATGTTAGTATAGCTTATTTACTTGAAGAATTAAATAAATGATTGTTTCATATAATATATAATATATATATAAAATATATATTTATTTATTGTTAATTTCCCATTAACATCTAAAAAATGAGATAGTTGATGACCTAATTTAATATGTTGAATGTATTGTTACTTGATAAATTTCTATTCAAAATTCCAAAATGAATAGAAAAAAATCAATTTCTATTTATAACATTAAAGTTCAGCATATACCGTTCTTAGTTATAACTGAACTCATCTAATACAATTATGTATATTTCATAGATTTGCATAAGTTTATTATGTAATTATTCTCTCTTATTCTTGAAATGGAAATTTCTTATCACATTTTTGCTGAAATTAGTAGTTTTTTATCTATATTTGACATCTATATGAGTACAAGTATAAGAGTTAATTATTAAATAATTAAATTAGATGGATAGTATAAGCACTTGTTTATTATTATTGAATAAGAAAAGTAATAAAGAAAGTTAGTGTACTAAAGATGAGCTTAACAATTCTATAGATTTGTAATTTGACTCAAAAGTTAGTTTAAAGGAAAGACAAATTGTGAAATATCTGCATGAAATGGGAATATAAACAAAAACCGATCCTGTATTAAAAGAATAACAATACTGGAATCAAAGAAGGATTGAAAGCAATAAGAAATTGGAAGAATTTTAGAGATGTCCATAGTTATCATTTAATTCTTGTGTATTAAGGTTATTAAACAGAAGAGAATCTTCGTTTGGCAATACATTTAACAAAAATTAAAGTATTTTGTAAACATCTTTAGCTTCCTGATTAAAAGAGCAATAGAAGTTGATTAATTAAATATTTAATCTATAATGTTCTATGTTAATTTACTTACAATTTTATATCTTAAATATCTAAATATATATTTGGGTAATTTAATTTAATTGAAAAAAAATAATATATAATTGTTTAATAATTTTTATTAATACGAATTTTTGATATATAAATATTATTATTATCACATATTGAAGTAATTTTGTTGTTTTTTTGTTTGAAGAATTGAGTTTATTTTATCTTTTAAATTAGATTATCTGAATAGTAAGAGCTTCATATAAAAGTGTTATATAAATAAATACAATTCATTTTATAAAGGAGAATGATATAATTCATCAATTAATAATAATACACTTTGATAAGTTAAGTTATTATTGAGATTTTATTATTATTTCAGTTCAGATAATATATATAAATTCAATTATAAGACTAGTTTAATAAAGATAATAAGATTTATTTAAGGAAGACTCTATTTCTTTATTTATTTTAATAACAACAATTAACCTCCATCAAATAAATAAGAATATTTGGATTTTTTATTTTATTTTACTTTAAATTTTGATTTTCCACTATAAATTTCAATTCCCATTTACTAAATAATCAATACAATTAAATTGATTCGTGCTTACTAGATAATAGATAAAGAAATATTTAATTATAAACTTTTATAATCACAAAGAATCTCTGTAAATGTTGGATTGAAGTTCATTATTATAATTATTAAAATATTATCAAAATTAAATTTTAGTCTAAAAGCCAAAGTAACACAATATGAACTAGGCTACTATCAATTAGGCAAATAGGAATTCCCACAATTGTTCATGCAAAAAGTCATAAATACTATAGGCCATAAACATTCCCCCAAAATGTCGACACACTTATGATAATCCTAAAATCATCGTTCGGTAATCCTTAGATTATCGACCAAGTTACTGAATGGATATCGGTTGTTATATTATAATGGAATATTCCTTGCAACAAAGTAGCTATCAATAACACCATATCTGATTGCCAATAAATGTAACTCATCTTCAACATTTAACTAATTATGCATATTGATTCTAAAATATTAATAAATATACATGAAATTTGATAAACTTGTTTCTAGGTATATAAACCAATCATGAATTAGTAAAATGGTTTACTAAATGCTCCAAAAATAGATAATAGCATAATATCTATATATTTATTACTATTGTCTTAATTGAAATATTTGATATATGTTAAATTACTAAAATTATTATTCAGATTATAATTACCTATAAAATAAAAATCCTTTTAATGTTTAACAAATAAAGTATTTATAAATTTATTCATTGATTTTTGACAATTTAGTAAATAATTTTCTCATGGTTGGTCTATGTACTTTTATTTAAAAGGTTTGAATAATTGAAATTTATTCATTTGAATTTTTACTAATAAATTATTTTAATCAATATACTATTCTTCATAACTTAATATAGAATTATTCTAAGCACAATTTTCAATATATTTGACATAAACATCAAATTCATTATCTAAACATTCTTCCATTATAGGAGGAAGACGAGAGCATCTCTTCAAAAATATTATTAATAAGCAAATCTCAGAAACACATATAAATCGATAAACAGAATACCCAAATGTAGTACATGTTATTCCGATAAGACTGAACACTATAGTTATCAAGTATCCTACATTTATAGAGATCTTTATTAATTGAAATCTTATCATCTAGAGCATCTGATTCATATATCCATTAATCAATGATTTAATTAAGAAAGCAATGATAACAATTATATTTTGATTCATCTCGAAAAATAATATGCAAATCAAAACTATTTACAGTATTGAACAATAAAATTAACAACGTTACACATATTTATTTAAGGCTACTAATTGACCAATAGTATAACATGTAAAATACAATAGAAGTATTAATGGACTATCATATACAAACATAGCAATACAACTATCAAATATATGTATTATTTGTCCTAAGCCTATTTGTATTTCTATCATTTATACAGATTGTAAAGAATAATTTGCGTTAGAAATCACTCTATATAACACCATTAATCTGATCCTGTAAGTTTGATAGGTGAATTGAAGCAGTTAATTTATCCTCCAATTCAATAATCATATAATATATTTATATAATTTCTAATTTAATGAAATATAGAAATATCAAAATTATATATTTGTAATAACTTTTTTGGTAATTACAAAAATTAGTTTATATAAGATGATCATATTTTCAATATCCTAAAATTATTTTTATTTTAATTAAAATCCAGTAGAAAATTAGTGTTATTGCATTTGATTCTCTATATTTCATTTTATTAGAAATGTTTTAGTAATTTAAGCTCTTAATTAAATCTACTATTAAGATATTTTTGGTTCATTAATCATTTGCTTTACAATTTATTATTATTAAATAAATTAGACTTTTTAGAAACTATTTGGATTTATGTAAAATTATAAATATCAAATTAGATGAATATAAGATTTAAAGAATAAAAATTAAATTAATAAATAAACACTAATTATTAAAAATAGATAGATTAATATATATAAACCACACTAAAAATTATAAATCATGATCCAAATTTTAGTATAAAATATTGAAATTGTAATATCAATTAATTTAAGATTTCTTAGATTGATTATATATTCATTTAGGGATTTGTTAATTTTATCTATAATTAAGTTAATTAAGCAGCTATCCCTTTACTGAATTAATCCATACCTGCAACAGGTTGAATTTAAACTTATTAATTTTAAGTTAAGGATTATAAATCATTTCTTAAATTCAAAATATGTTCTTCTATTTTTTGTAATCTATCATCAGATGAAATATTTTATTATTGTTAAGGCAATTGATATTACTGTTCTGCTAATTTAAGTCCTTTCTTGGCAACTTCATATTATTTAACCATTTATTCAGTTTATTAAATCAATTAATCTAATTTTTATAGAGCATCTGATCCTGGTCTATTATTTTCAGCTAATTAAGTTATATTTTTGCTTAATGTTTGTAGTTATTATGTAGCATTATCAATGAATGCATTAAAATTAGCCAATTTAGTTTAGTCTATGAATTACATGTCATTAAAATATTAAATTACTTTATCAAATATTTAAACAATTCCTTAAGACATTTTAGCTAACTCAACTTAATAAAGTTAACCAATTTGATTCTTTAAATAATCATTTGTTGAATTTTATATTAATTGTGTGCACTTATATAATATAAATTAAATATTTACTTCATTTTAAGTTATTTATTGATTAGCCAACAATTTTAAATGAGTACTTATTTTTTCATCAATTAATTATTCAAAATAAGTTTAATTAAAATTATCCATTAAAAAATTTTCACATGTTTATTGATATAATTCTAAATTTTATGTAACTACATTTTCCATTTGAGTTTCTAATTAACATAAATCCTATTTAAATTATAATTCTAATTTATGTAATGCTTATTAATCATTTTACCCTTGTTTATCAATTTCCTTTTTTACTTAAGCTTCAATCAAATCTTTAATATCAAAAATGAATGTAATGTCTTCAATTAAATCTTTTTTCACATCATTACTTATCATTTAAAATTATTGTTATTATTAACATTATTAAACTTTTGGTATCAATTCATTTTCTATTATTTCATTTGCCTTAATCACTGGATCAAATTAATTTAAACTATTATTATTTTAATTAGTATTATTGCTATTGATTTCCCACTTTTATTACTATTATAATTATTGTACATCTTCTTCTTTGATATAAGGAGGTGGAATTAAATGAGATTACTGAATAATACTAGAACCTTACTTTTTTGAAGTATTTTAATCATAGAGTTAAAGTAAATTCTCTGGTAAAATAGCCCCTAAAACAAGATCACTATAGAACCAACATAATTCAATTTTATCTTTCTTTTCAGATTATAATCCAAAAATATAAGGTAATTCATGATCTGTAAATTCTAATTCTTAATTTTAAAAATCTTTAAATCCTTATTGAAATTCTATATATTCTTTTTCAGATAAACATTTATTACCACCATGTAAAAACTTTGTTGTTTATTCAGGGGGTATTATGAATTGTATAAATAAAGATGAAGTAGAACTTTCCTTAACAAATTTTTTGATATGTTTAATTTTGCTTTTTTCTTTTTTTTAAATCTAAAATATATGATATTTTATTTACTTAAGATTGATTCAATTAAGCTATATAAATTTATACAGTCATATCTTATGTATGATATAGAATAAAAAGAAAGTTTTGTGTAGTATCAATTTAGAAATCAAATAATTCTATATTTTATTTGCTTCAAATAATGTTAAATATATAAAATACCTTGAATTAATTTTCAATTTCACAGATTCAATAGGTAAGAGACTTGAAGTATGCAAATCTTCTTTATCGAAAGACCAAAAAATTATTCTTTTTTCAGATGTGATAGTAAAAAGAGCTATTTAATTATTTAGTTCAAATAATTAAAATTTTATTGGTTCTGATTCTGTATATTTAAGATTATGTTCATTAATGATTTGTAATGATTTTGAATTGAGAACCTATAATTTAGAATCTTGAGTAAGAATGAATATATATTTTAAACATCTTGTAATAATCACTTATTTAACTACCTATTTAAGTTATTATTTCATAAATTTATTGTCTAATTGAATTAGATATATTTATGTATTATCTATTAAAATTATTCCTATTTATTAAGAACAATATAATTAAGGTTATTATAATCCTTCTATTTTAAGCTCATTATTTAAAGAAAATTTATATTGGTAATCAATTTTGAAAAACTATATTTCCTCCTTATTTTAGATTATTATTAAATAATATGAATGTGCAAAATAAGCAAGTGCAAAATCTGTAATATCTTTATCTGTATTTAGATAATATTTTTCATAGCTATCAATTAATGAGACTAGATAAAGACATTTAGATGATTTTTTGCAAACAAAGAGATAATCCATACTTTTGATTTCTAATGAATGATAATTTTCAATATCAGAGATATCAACAGTTTCTTAATCTATTATTGTGTTTTAATTAGAAGCACATGTGTACCTATTTTTTAAATCAGTATTTACTTGTAATGATTAATACTTGAGGACATATAAATTGATAAATAAATAATATTTAATATATTTATCAATTATAGTAAATAACTTGTAAAAATATACATATTATATTTATATAAACCACAATATATATATAATCATAAATTAATAAGAATTAATTATAATATAGGTATGATATAATAGTAATAATCAGATTAAAAATTTCTCTAATACTTAACTCTAAATCAAAAGCATTTCCATAATTTCAAATTAATTCTTTTGTGCTATTATGTAATTGTTTGAATTATTCTTTTTACTATTATTTTGTTATTAAATATTAGTTAATTCTTAAGAATTCATCATTTTATGTTAAGATAGACTTTGAGACAAATATTCTTATCCAGCATCAAATAATAAATTATCTGAAAAATTAGATATAGCATTTAGTTTAACATTGAGAATGTTTTCAGTATAGAATAATTCCTTTTATATTTGATTTAAGTCATTGAAAATAGATTCAGGTTTTAAATTATCAATTTTATCCACAAGATTTTTGTACTAATTACCAAAATAGAGAGCATCACTTAACAAATGATTCTAAAAATTAATTAATTTGATTACAATAATAACTTAATTTTCGTTTAGTTCATTTCTTAAATGATTAATTTCATTCTCTTTTATTTATTAAATTTAATTACATTAATTTTAATAATAAGCAAATGTCTCTTATTTTTAATTTTCAAATTACTATTTACATAATTCAATTGTATTCTAATAAATATATAATATTTTTACTTAAAATTATTCCAAATTTGATTTCAATTAAGCATTTTCATCTTCATATTCATGAAATAGATTATTATATTATTCCTTTTCTTCTTAATGTATTATATTATTCTAATTAAGTGCTTCCAAAGATTATGATAATTGTTCAATCTAAATATTAATAAATTGAAAAGTTTACTTCTTCTTATTTTTATTTTAATGTCTATTTTATAGATATAATTTAATCATTCAAATCTTAAATTTAAGCTTACTTTTATTAATTTGTATTCTATAATTTAGAGATTTATTCATTTAATTTACTTATTAATTACTTTTTCTATTCTAATTCCTCTATTTAAAATTTAATTATTTTTTATGAGCCTGATCCATTATTCTATTATTATTATTTTTTTGCTGATTTAAATTTATCACTACTAATATTTGATTCCTTATTACTATGATTCTGTGAATTAGGTGTTCTACTAGTCTCAAAATTACAGCTACTAATTCGTTAATGATGTGATTTATTAATTGACTTATGTGTACTATTGGAATCAAGCTTAAATTTATTTTGAATTTTAGCTAATTGTTTATTTAATGTATCTATTTGAGAACCTGAAAATGATTTTGATTTCACTTCTTCTATTATTTCATATACAATACTAATGATATCTTTAATCATTGATTAGAATTAAGATGTTTAATCATTACTAATTTCTTATTTTTCAATTGTAGGTCGTTAATTTAGTTCCTGTATTAAAAGAAAGATCATATATTTTAGTAATATCAGATCTGTACTTCTATAAAAGTCATAACATGTTTATGCATTATCTAAACAGAAAAGCTTCATTTTAGCAATTATGGCTGCACATGTATTATGATCATTCTCTTTAGCATATTTTAATAGTTTAACCTTCTTTTCAATTTATCCTAAAACAGGGAAAGTTAATTATGAAATGGTTGAAATTTATGAATATTTTTACAGATGGATGTCAAATACATTTTCATTTTGAGTAAAAGAAGAGCAAGAAGCCTTTTAAGTTGGCTTTATCAATCTTTCTGTCCATTGTTCAAAATCATGTTGTTTAACTTGTAAATAAGGAACAGGGGATGATTTCTCAATTAATTAGTTTAATTCTCTACACACAAAAGGTCTAGGTTACAAGGGAGAGACTGAATGTTCACTTTATTTTTTGTTGCTTGAGTATAGATTTTAGAGTTTCTGAAGCAGTTGACTGCTTGATGATGAGTTCATTTATAATTAACAGATATTTATACTAGGTTTAGTTAACCTTTAAAAATTAATAAAAACAAAACAATGCTTTTTGAAAAAAGACTACTCTTATTTCAAAGGATCAATTCATCATAATAATTATTATTCATAAGTATATATTCATATAATAGATTTTTTAATCCATTGATATTGAACTTCTTTGATAATTAATAATCAAATTCAAAAATCAACTTTCTCTTTAAATTTTGATATTATATTTCCATATTAATATGATATCTAACATATATATTTAGACATTAGCAAATTACTTTAAATTATATAAGTTAATATTTGAATAATAATTTATACCTAATAGAAATTTAAGTTATTATAGACTATTTTGATGATAACAATTTCAAAAAGATTAGTTATATATTAATTGCTTATGTTCTATCTTTTCTTATCATTATATTTATATAATATTTGAATTTGATAATTATGGTTTGACAAACATAGATGTAATTATATTACATAAAATATAAAACACAATACTCAATCTAATATCATTCATTAATTTATGTTTCACCATTTTCTTCTTCTGGCTAATTTACTTATTCTTCTATTACTTTTCTTTGTTCAACTAAACTATTTTGATAAGTTTGAATTGTTTTTTAGTATTAAGACTTTAGAATTTTAAAGAGATTCAATTATTTTAAAGCTGTAAATAGAAGAGCTTAGAATTATTCAAACTATATAGTTTCAATATATTCTTTGAGTTATGTTAATTATTCTATTATGTATTGTAATAATTCTTGGTTATTATATTTCTCTCCTAAAACAATAAGCTAACTTTTTAATTCATTTAAAGATGTTGTATAAAGACTTGAAATTGGTTATATGACAATTACTCTATAAGTAAATAGAATGGCATTCATATGTTATTTTAAATTGAGAGTAACATATATCTTAAATTGCTAAACCTTTTAAACATTAAAAGTATGAATCTCATTATTCAATAATGTAAAGAGTCCTTGAGTTAATTCAGTAAGATTATAAGCTAATTGAACAGCTCTTTAATTATAAGTTTACTATGAATTTGTTTCCTTAGTTTCTTTCAAAATAGCCTTTTACATTTTGGTTATATTGCCTTCAATTGAACTAAAGACTTTATTAGCTACATTGTCACAAGTATGGAGTAAAAATTATGTGGCGCCATTGTTCTTAGCCAAATCAACTCCTTAATCAAGAGCTTTCTTTGAGTTCTCTCTTAATTAATCAGTAAGTTCTTTTCCCTTTTACTTGAGTTTCTATCCTTGTTCTGCTATGTTTAAATTCTTCTCATATGATTGAACTATCTAGAGACTTCTATTTATGTTGTCATCTACAGTGTCAGTCACTTTTTAAACCAAGGGTTGAGTTATTGTATCTGCATAGACAATGATGTTCTCTACAAATTTAGGTGCTCTATTAATTATAAGTTTTAAACTTACTTTAATGGAAGTTTTTAGTAATTTGTAGTTAATAAAGACTTGGTTCTTGATAAGATGTTTCCAATGTATTTCTATTATTCTGACATGAAATTTAAATTAATAATTGAGTGATCAAGGAATAGAGAGCAACTTAAGAACTCATTTCATTATGATGTAAAATCACTATTTAATACGCATTTGACTTTAAATAATTTCTGATTTACAGTTTGCAATGTAAAATAATTTATTTTAATGACGGTATAATTAATGGAAAACCTTATATTAATAATTACGACATTTTTGTGCTCTTGCACATCAAATCCAACGTCTTATCATTTTTAAATATTAATGATATCTTTGACAATATATAATTTAGATTTTATTAATAAGGTATAATAATACAATTGAATACTTATTAATATATACATGAAGACTTGGTAAAAAAATAATCTTTATTATCTAAACTAATACATTTTAAGAAATATATAAATAGTATTCATATATTTATTACTAAATCAATAGATATTCAAATAATATAATTTTCTATTGAAATTTAAATATCAGCTTTTCTGTTAAGGTTTTTTATTTTCAACAAATCAACTGATAAACTAATATTTAATATAAAAAATTTTAAAGAATCTCTTATAAGATGATCAAAACTTATTCATTAGATTATATACTAAAATAGCTATAAATCTAATTAGTAAATATTTTAATGTCTCAGTTTAAGATTCTGAACTACCCTTATAATTTTGCATTTATCTTCTTTAAGGATTTCTGAACTTCCTAAATAATAATAATAAATTTATTATACTTACTATATAAGAATATTCTCTTCTTTTATTATTCTTAAATCATCTCAATATAATTTAGTTATTAATTAATTGAGTCGTCCTTAGATTCATAAAGAAATGATTAAATTATAAATTAGAAATTCATTTTAAATTATACGAATTCTATATAAAGTCCCCTTATAAAATTTCATATATAATAAAAATGATTCTGTATTAAGAAGTTTTTTGATAAATAAATTTGAGTAATATTTATTTATTCACTTTGATGGAAAGTTTATTTAAATGATTTTATCAATTAGAGTTTAATTATGATTATTAGGCTGTAAATTATTATTTTAATTATACTATAAAATATGAACCACATAGATCTTTTATATTATAAAATATTTAATATTAATATGATTAATGATGTTTTAGATCTTATTTCATTTTAGGAATTAGAATTACAAATGAGAATTGTTTATAATTTAAAAATCTTTGGAGTAGAATAGATATTAAGTAAATAATAAGAAAGAATGTTAAAATTTTGAAATATATTATTCAAATTAAATAATAATATGAATTAAAGTATTATTATTATATATATTAAGATAAATATAAACTCTTAGTTTAAATTAGATTAATGTTTAATTTAATACGCATTATCTAATTTACTACATCATTAAATATAAATTTAATAAAATGAATTTTCACTCTTATACAGATTCAAGTAAATTTAAGTGAGTTACTATAAGATATCTATTAAATAATAGGACTAGCCTATTTATTTTTTGTTGAGAATAATATTTCTTGTATAGAGAGTATAAAATTAAAGATTAACAGTAAATTTAATTTTTAGGACATGTTAGAATTTTACAAATTTTTCTTTAATTTATTTAATTGAAATCGATATTCATTTTGATTTAACTAAATGAGTACTTTGACTTAGTTAATGGAAGTTAGAAGTGAAAAATTGCTCAAAACTTAAGGAGATTCAGATAGTGTCATTCCTGATTCAGATTAAGAAGAAAATTTGCGTAGTCCTTTTCAAAAAGGAACACCGAAGTCATCTATAAAGCCTCCAAAACGTTTAAGGTTTAGCGGAATGAACTAAGTTTGCTACTATTAAAAAGGATCAAAAAGAGATATGTCTCCTTCTCCAACTAGAAATACATCTTTATCCACTCATTCAATACTGAAAAATAAGGATAGCCCAATTTTATTTAAAGAAAATAAATGATATATAATGTTTTTCCTAAATTATACTTATAGTTGAATTTATGTATATGAGTACAATATAAAAAGTATTAATAGATTTCTATCAATATACAAACAGACTTTCTAAAAACAAAAGAAATCAATTAAAATGAATAAAGAATAACAAATACAAAATAATAAACACAAAATAGTTAACTATTTCTTATCATGACACAGATTTTTTAACAAGCTTTCTATTATTAGGAATATGAGATTGATCTGATTTTTGACAATTCTCATCCTCTTCACTCTAATTGCATAATTTTTAATGAATACCATTTAAGAATTCTTTAATTAAAGAAATAGAGAAGAGGTTTATAATTCTTAACGAAAAGAGTTCTATAATAAAAGTAAATATTTACCTATCTCATTGCTAAAATGCATGAACCTAATTAAACAGGAGTTAAACATTCTTTCAATTACTCCCACATTTAATCAACTTTATTAGCTTCACTTTATATTAATTTTAATTGATCCTTTATTTTTTAAATTGAACTATATTTTAAGATTAATATTACTCAGATATACTATTTCTAACACTCTATAATTTTGATTTCATTCTTTTAACCTTTACAATTTATTCTGGTTAAATCTATGTTTTTTTAAAGGTCTCTTTCATCCAATCAGTATAATCACTATTTATTTTAATAATAAAGTACTCTGGCTATTAAGCAAAGAAATCCTTATCCTTTTCTAAAGAGTAAATCAAATATTTAGTTTAAATTGGTAAACATACTTCAACCATAGAATCAAAATATTGTCTAGCAGCATCATTACGTTCTTAACTATTTGAATTAGTTCTATATCTTAAAGCATCTAAAACCATTGCAATTTCAAAATTGTCTTTATTTTTTAATAAACAAGTTTCTAATTTATCAAATAATTATTATTGTTAATCTAAAAAGGTTTAAAACTACATTTTTTAATAAAAATATACTTTTTCTTAAGTTTTATTGCAAACTTCTGTGTATTTAGATTGATTACGATTAGATTCCTTTAATCTTTCAACTTCATCTTGTAATTCTTTAACTTTTGTTTCTAAGAGTTCATAATATATTTTCTTTCTGGCTCTTGAATTTCTAGCTGATTCTCTATTTTTAGCTAATTTTTATTAGACAGGATCCATATTTCCATCTGGACTCATTTGACTAGATTACATTTCATTTGATGACATATCATATTGATCCCTTGGAATGATTGGTGATTTTCTCTACAATTTTTGTTGACTCTTTCTAATTGAATAAAATAAATAAATTTTACGATAATCTTGGAGAAGATTTTGTTGCTAAATCAATTTTTTTCTATGTTTGTTCAACCAACTGTGTGATTTTGTTAGTATAAATACTTTTGGCTTAATTCACATTAAAGAGATTTTTGTTTTCTTATATAATATTTTGATTTACAAGCTACTTTATTTCTGGCTTGAATTTGGAGTTTATTTATTCTCCAGATTCTAAAAATATAAGCTTTCTTTTTAAATTACCTATTTTTATATTGAATTCCTATGAAGAAGGTTCGCTATTTCTCATTCCACTATCTTATAATGGACTTTTGTGTTCCTTTGAATCCTCTAGTATTTTAGCTTAAATATTCAATCTGTCTATTCCAATTTCTTCAAATTGCATTTCAAAATCTCCACTACTTCTAAAAAAGCCTGCCTTCTAAATTTAAGGTTCTTAGTATTCATAAATTTAAATTGGAACAGCTCCTTCTTCTAAGCCCACTGAAGAACGATATTATTCAGATTGTACTAGAAACCCAGAATTATGAACAAAACTTCCACCTCCATTAGGTCCAAAGCTTTAATTGTCTTATTGCAATCTTCCAAAGCTAGCGCCTAAACTTAATGATTAATAAAATGAAAGTACACATCTTATAAACTTCCCAATCCACTTTAATTTTACTAAGAAATCTCACTTCTATTATGTACAAAAAAATCACTCATAATCAATTATATATTTTTATTAAATGATAAAAATCTAAAGATCTAGAACTCTTTACACTTTAATTGATAGTCAATCTAATAATCAACTTTCAATTTAAGGATTTAGTAATAAATTACCACAATTTATGAATTTAATAAACTTAGAAAATATTTCTTCCAATTAATTTTATTCATTTCTAAAAGACATTAAATATTCTTAATTGATAAATCAATTAAAGGAGAATTCAACAATAATAATATATCAAAAAAATTAAATCAAATAATCTATGTATAATTTTATTGTTGTTGTCTTTTTTAATTTCATATTCAAATATATAGTACAAAATTAAGAAATAAATAATAAGAATAAAAAATTAGCTATTTAAAAAATACAAAACTTACTTTAAAATCAAGATAAATTCTAAATCTATTAAAGAATTGGATTGATATTATAAATTCAATAAGCAATCTAAATTAGATATAAGATCCAGATTTATTTGATATGTAAAATAAAATTAGTAATTAATGATGTTAATATAGTTTCTGGTCAGACCTATTAAATAATTATAGGTATATAGGTTATTAATAATAATAAGCCAGGTAGATAATAATTGATTACCAAAGGGCTTTACAAAAATATTTATGTAAAGTAAGTTACATATGACATTTTGTTGAATAATGTATAGATATTTGAATTTTAGAAGAGAAAGAGTATTAAAAAATTGAGTTTTTAATATAATTAATACTAGTTATAATCCGTTTTTATTATAATAAATATAATGAGAGTAGGCATATTGCTATTAACGATTTTAATGATGGGAACATTAGCCTAAGATAATGAGGTTGTTGTCTAATTATTGGCTGAATTAAGATAAGAGGCAGTTGAATAATTACAACTTTTGAATGCTAGATTCTAACCAATCAAGTAAGCCAAATTAGATTAAATTGCAGTGATTTAATAAGCAATTTCAGAACAGAAAGGAGAGTGCTATAATAGATAGCAAGATGTAATTAAGCATATCATAATTTTGTTTAGGTTGAAGCTAAGCAAACTGAAATTGATTTGGCTAATGAATATAAGAATTGGATGAAAGCAAGATAAGAAAGCAATAATAATCGTATTGGTGTTCTTTCTACAAATGTATGTGAAAAGAATAATAATTCTTTAAATAAAGTGAAGAATGGTAGAGTGTTATTAAGATTGATTGCTTACTTAAGAGCAACTTTATAAGCTTAATTATCAACATCATTTGCAGAAGTCAAAGAGAACACAATATCTGAAATATCTCATATAGTCACTGCTTATAAGGAATATAGAAAGATGAATATGTTATAGACAAAGCAAGAGGAATTAGAATTGAATGGCACAATTGAACAATTAATAGAAATGTTAAATTAAATGGAAAGAGAAATCTAGGATGATGTTGCTAATGGATAAAATGGTTAAGTATAAATTGGAGTAACCTTCTCAGAATTCAAGGTGAGAATTGAAAAAGAGAATGATATTTTTAATAGATAAATTGAAGTCTAAGATGATTTGATTACAGTACTTATATTCTTTTATATTCTTAGCATTTCCAAAATCAATTAACAACATTATATGGAAGAGTTAACAAATGTGAATCCAGATAAAAAGAAATAGAATATACCTTATTAGTAGCCTAAGAAGATTTGAGATATGATCAAGAATGGGCTGATGAAGATAGATTAAGATTGGAAGAAGAAATTGAATTATTTGATTGGTTAATTAAACATTACTAATCTGGTAATTTTGATGATGAAACTGATGGAAGTGGAAATAATAATAATGATAATGGATCAACTGATGGATCTAATGGATAATCAGTAAATTATAATAATATCTATTAGGGTTTAACTGGAGATGACAGAGATGGAGTAATTGATTATACACCATTGAAAGAAGTATCAAATGCCTGGGGATCTGAAGATGAAGGTGATAATCATGAAAATGGAAATAATAATACAGGAAATGATGCAGAAAAAGAAGATAGAGGGGATGTAATTGATTACACACCTTATGAAGAAAAAGATCTTGATTGGGATTCCTTATTGTAGAAAAAATAAAATAAGAATCATCGTTAATCAAAGAAACATAATACTCATAAGTCCAAAAAATGATTTATTAATCAAATCATAGCTTATTTCATATAAAATATTGATGTCTTCAAAATTATTATCATTTCCGGTATAGTCTAGTGGTTAGGATATCAGGTTTTCACCCTGGGGACCCGGGTTCAATCCCCGGTATCGGAATAATATTTTTTTATTTATCATATTAAACTAATGTGTTCTTATGTTAATGTTTTGAATTATTTTTATAATGCAACATTAAATCAAATTATATATTTTTTGAAAAATAAAAAAGAAAATTATTAAATAAAAATAATGATACATATATATAATAAATTTATATATGATAAAGGATCTTAATTAAAGAAAAATGATATATATAAATTAATATTTTAAACATTTTAAAGATTAATTCATTTCAAATCATATAATTTTTAAACTAATTAAAGAAGTTGTTAATCTAAATTGCTCTTTTCTTATTATAAACATTTTTAACAACGAATACATTCTTTACAAATGATAGAGTCATTTGAATAGCTCAAAGTTTTTAATAAAATTAAGAATAACTATTAATTGTTTTATTTTAACTAAAATCATTATTTAATTTAATTACATGTTCAACATTTAATTCACAAAGTGTAGGTAATATATAAGTATCCAATAATTATCTATAATTTTAAGTTTCTCTTTCAATTTCTTGAAGTTTTAATTTTTACATTTATTAATCTAATTCCTCTGGGAATTATGTGTTTGTTCTAATCATTTCATGTTTTTTAATAAATACATCAATTGGTTGTATCAATGAATCAATATCCAAAATATTATGATTTTTTAATTTGTATTTTTTAATGATTATCATACAACCATAAGCTTCTCTTTCTTATTTTAGTAAACCAGGTAAAAACTTCATATCTTATAAGACTCCCTATTTCCATATTAGATATCTTTATTCAATTTATGAATTAAATTATACAGCAAATTAATAGGAGTATAAAAATGTATTTTCAATAGTTTATAATTATTATAAATTTAATTTTTAATTGAAATGTTATAAGATCTCTATACTTATTTAGATTATTAATAATTAAGAAGTACATTAAGTAAAACAATCTTCTATCATATTTCTCATTCTACTAGAAGTTAATGATTAATTTGCAAAACTTGATAATTTTGTAGGTGTAGTTAATCGAATCATTCTATCAATAAATTAAATAATTTATTCCCATTCTTCTTCATTAAACATCATTCCAATTTTAAGTGTCATATTTTTAACTGAATGAATACTATATTTAGCCAATTTAACATTTTAATTTTGTATACAATTTTCAAATAATTTTAAAAATTCAGGTAATAAACCTCTTAATTTCTAAAAATATCTTTTCATTAAATTAATAATCAAAGAAAATCCCTTTTTACATGAATCCTTAAACCAATCATTATTTGTATTAGCTACTGTATAATTTTATTGAAATGTAAATTAAATTTCATCAAATATAGGTCTAAGTACAGTACTGAATACCATTTTCCAAAATTCAGCACTAAATGCATATCCAAATTATTATAAAGTTTCAAACAAAGCTTCCATTGATTTTGCCTATATTTTATTTCTCTTATCTCCTGCTAATTATGATAATACTCCAAGTAAAGGTATCCATATTTTTTCAAGTTAAACAGCTGTTGATGCATTTCTAACAGTAGCCTCTGGTTCTTCAAATTCATTCCAATTAAGTTTTGGTATAATCTATGCTTATTTTGATAGATATCCTAAACATTTAATAGTAAAATCAATAGATGCCAATGCCATATCTTCTTAATTCTTTCCTGCTAAAACCTTTAATGTTTAAATGAGATCAATAAAAACATCTTATAATAGATCAAGATTATGTTCCATAATTTATGATAATATCTAGAATGCTATTTTACAAATTTTATCATTTTCTTCTTTTAAACCTAATGCTATTAAACCAAAGATCATTCTCCAACCAGATCTGATATTATGTTTGTGATTTAATACAATATGATTGATACAAGAAAGAATGAATTCCTTAACTTCTAAATTAGATTACAAAAATATAGTTTCAAATGGTTTTAATACATCTCTTTAGAATTAAAAATCATATAATTCATCCTTCTATAGAAATTTTATACTTAATTATTTTAATGAATCTACAGTAAACATTGCAACTTTCTTTTCTTTCACTGCCACTTCATTAATATGATCTTTAACTATATTCCACATTTTAGTCCATACAAAACTTACTCTTTTCATATTATAATCACAGACTTCAACTAATTTTTAAAGACAAAACAAACGTGGATGTGTTTAATATATTTCTTATTTTGACATATAACATAAAGCATTAATAAATTCTTAAATTGCTTCATCATCTAATTATTTTGATTATACAAAAATCTTATCTATTAAATCAGATTCCAATAATAATTCAGGTAAAATGGATATATTTTATCCATCCTAATTATCCTTAGATTATTATATCATTCTCATTTCATCAAGTCTACTAATCATTTTTAAAATACTTTTCCATCCATTCTCTCTTAATCCATTTCCAATTAAGGGTACAGTTTATAATATTTATTTTATTAAATTAATATGTTTATTAGATATTTAACCTTAATTATTAAGTCTAGTAGCCTTTATTAATGTATTCATATAATCTTGTAAAGGAATTGAAAAAAATGAACATAATTTAATAAATAAAACTAATCCTTAAATACATTAATTTGAAGCTTATTCCATTTAATCATTATTAAAAACAAATAGAAACATTTCAAATGATGGTTTACCTATACATTCTAAAAATGGTTTTATTAAATAAGCCATATCTTGATTAATAATTTAATATAGAGTTTCATGAGAATCTTATTTAGTTTTTATTAATTCACTTCCTTATTTAAGTAAAGCTTCCTTTTCCCTTTAAAATAAATCCTATTTTTTTCTTATACTTTAAGTAAGAGATTCTTTCATGAAAACACGACTTTTCTCTTTTTCTCTTACTGCTAATGGTTATTTAAGTATAGAATTATAAGTTTAAGTCAAATAATCTTATGGTAAATCATCACCATCATTTATAGATCTAGCCAATTTTTAAAAATCTATTAATTTCATTTTTTCTGCAACTGAAGGATTATGCAAATCAGTTTATAACATAACCAATAAATAACAATAAGTATATATACTTCCACTAGATTTAAAAGTTGAATTTGGATTTTCTTTGTAATATCTATCTGAGAATTTTTAGACTACTCTATCTACTTACATTGCTTCACCTGGTAATGTAAATTAATCTAAATAATATCTTAATGCCTATTCAACAGTCAAATCTTTAAATTTTAACATATCAGTAAATTCACTTAAGACTTTAATATTTAATTGTTGATGTCCTCCTAAAAAGGCTCCAATTGCATCTTTACTTACTTATTGTTAATTTTCTCTAAAAAATTTAGCAATTTCTTTTGCACTAAATTAATAAAATAAAATTACTCATTTTATATTATTTAAGCATCTAAAAGATATTTGATTCCTTTATCAGGATTCTTTCTAAATATTTAACATCCTTTCATAATTTCTTATTTTAATTATCTTTGTATTTCAATAGGATTAATATACATTACAGTTGTATTATCATTAACATTAGCATTTTAATCTTCCATTTATGGTGATCCAATTTCTTCAGAAGGTGTGATAATAAATTTATCAAATATTTTATTTAAACCTTCAATAACATAAGATAAAGCTTTAATAGCTAAATATTTTAATAGAATTTCTTATTATGTTGAAATTTAATATTCTGCTTTTTAATAAATAGAAACTACTATTATTTCATAAAAAGTATTAATAATTTTAGACATCAAACATTCATGTTTTGTATGACAATCATAATTTATATAAAATTCTAATCCAGTTTTTGGTCTTTCCAAAATACTACATAAACTTTCAAGAGCAGTTTATTTATGTAATACATTAGAATTAGCACTTAAAAGTATATTTAAATAAATTTAATTAATAAATATTGCCATTTCATGTTTAATACTTTTTCTCATTATATTAACTAATCTTTAAAATATTCTAAAACTAAATTAATATAAGGTTTTCTCTGTTTCTAAACAATACTTTAATAGTTGATTACACAATCTTTCTTTTGTAGTTTTAATGAATTTTTCATTTTTACTTAACACAAAATCTGGTGTTTCAAGAATATATAATAGACATTCTAGAATGATTTATTAATTTTTAGCTTATTCTAATGTTGTTTTATTAAGTAATAGATTGCATAAACTATCATACAATTATAATGCACAATCAAGATTTTCTTCAAATTATTTAACTGCCCCACTATATGTACTTTAAGCTTATTCCACATATTCCTAATGTTATTTCTTACAAATAAAAGAACAAATAGGAACTCTATGATCTTTACAATAAAGATTAGCTGATTTTCTACACATTATACAATAACCAAAATAACCTGCAGGTTGATTTCTTTCATTTTAAATATCAGATTAAATACAAAAATTTAATGAAGTTCTATTTAAACATACCATATCAACTAATTAGAGCATAACTAATTAAGTTAATTTTTAAACTGAATCTTCTTTTATAGACATTCTACGTTTATTTCTTTAAATTGTGAAAACCTTATAAATTATGATGAATTTAATTACTTCTCCTTCTACAGCCTAAAATGTATAATTTATAATCTAATAGAGCATATTCTTTGTATTTCTATCAACTGTCTATGTTCTAGAACCTATGCTTAAAATATAGTATACGAGTATAAGAAAAGATAATAGTCCTAACAATTCTTGTTAGATTTTATGATGTTACATAACAATATGGATTCAGAACGAATGCAACCAATAATTTTAAACCTTAAATGATAATCTCATCTTTATCAAATAGACAGGATGTTACTGAATTAATTAATACATCCATGATTGTCTATGTGATTATAAATATCATTTCATACTCTTTTTTCTCCTTTATTATAATTAGAATCATTAAAAAGTTCTGAAAATTCATCTGTATAAAATTCTTATGAAGTATCCTCTATTCTTCCATCGATAAAGCCATTTGAAACTAATCTCTAATTGGATCAATAATTATTTCATTACAAATAAAGTAGACAAAGCCAATTAAGTTAGTTTGGTTTATCTCATATTGATTGTCAATCTGAAAACCACATTATGCTTACCTAATTTAGGCAGACTTTCATATTTCACAAGATCTTAATTTCTTAATTCCATATATACCAATCATTTTGTTCAAAAAGTCTTTAAAAGAAGGATACTATTTGGGAATATTCTTTCTAACCTTTTCCATATATTCCTACAATATTTCTTAATACTTTGGCAACACATATTGTCTATTCATTAATAAATAAATTATTGAAAATTATATGATCAATAGAACAAAATTATAAATGACTTTAAATAAACTATAAAAATACAAACAACTTTATTATTTTTAACAGTTCTATACATATTCTTAATTTAATATTTATATGAATGATTTGAAAATTATAATAAAAATGAATTATATATATTAAACATCTAAAAATTTTAGATTAAGAAAATCATCTAAGTTTTGTTGTGTATTATATATATTAAACAATTTATACTAAATTTTTTATATCACATATTAATAACTAATAATTAAACATCTAATATTTAAAATATTTATTGATTAAAATACCTAGTTTTTATTTTATAATTAATTATTGAATAATCTCTTATGATGTAATAAATGGATTTAACATATAAAACCATTATTAAAAATTAAGTTATTGTTTTATTTCTTAATATATATATTAAATAGTTTCTATTCAAAAATTTTATTATTCTATGAGTATAATTATATGATTAGTTAATAGTTTTTATTAAGAATTATATGTATAATGATTATTATAATCATTATATTAAGTTAATTTAAATTAGTAATTTTATATATATATGAGAGGTTCAGAAAAATTATTATATATGGGGAATTTTCATTGTTTATGTGCAGGAGTGAATGAAAATGAATCCTTATGGTAAATGAAAAGAATTATTGTGAGTGACACATATATATATTATTTCCCATATACAAATTACACAATAAAAACACCAAAAGTTAATGAGGATTGGTCTAATTATAAGGATTTACCATCTACTATACCATAAATATAGGAGAGAATGCAATATATTAAATAAAACAAATTAGATCCTGATTCTGTTACAGCACCTCCACTTTAAGTATAATAGGTTTCAGATAAATAAGTGTTTATGATCTCTATTGAATAATTAGTCAATTATTTATCAAAAGATGGATATAATACTAGTATATCATCAATATAAGGATAAGCTATATGTTTGATTAATAAATTGAGCAAACAAGTGTAATATTTGATAGCTTAAAATTAAGCGGATAATTTAAAATTCTTTAGATCTATAATAGTTGGAAATGCTTTTCAAAAATATTATACTGATAGAAATTCTAAAAAGATATAACTAAATTAAAATGTAATCACATGGTTATAAGATAGTGTTACTGAAGTAATTGCTAAATTAGATTGTAATAATGAAAACTTAATTTCAACTTATTAAATATTATGTGAATGCAACAATCTAGTAAATGGTTTAATTTTTAGATTAAATTTAAAAGAACATCTTAAATCATTATAATTATTATTGGAATCTATTAAACCAGATTAAATCATTAATTTAACTCTTAAAAATTGTAATCTTAAGTCAATAATGATTTAGGAAATAGCACCAATACTTAAGAAACGTCCTTATCTTTAATAATTAGATTTTAGTTAAAATTCAGTAGATGACAGAGGTATAGATTAAATTGCAATGCTTTTTGAAAAATGTTTAGATATAAATTATATAAATTTATCTGCAAATATTATATAAGGTAAAGAATAATATTTAGAAATATTTTTATTAAAAGCTGGAGCCATTTTAAATAAAGTATCAATTGATTTAAGTTAAAATTAATTAAATGATTCTAGCATTCTTATTATTGAAAATAGAATTATTAAAGATGATAATTGTTAAATTATTAATATCAATCTTAGTTACAATAGATATTCAAAAGATGGTTAAATGTCTTTATTTAATTTATTCTCTAAAAAGGCAAAGCCAAATCTTATTTATAAAATATATCCTTTACCTTATACATAAAATATTGTTGAGTAATTGTTTAATATAAAGAAGAATAATTAACAAGAAATTATTTTTGAAGAATCTTAAGAATTATAAGGATCATAAGCTAGAAGAGGTTAATCAATATTAAAATAACCATAACATATATTTCAACATCATCCAACATTATATTAAAAATAAACAATTTAATTCAATTTTCCACCTCAATTACCTTAAAGACATTAAATTACTTTTCATAAAAAATAAACAAAAAAGTAACTTCCTTCAAATACTAAAGTATTATAAGAAATAAGAAATAAGGAAGAATAAATTCTTTAAGTTTTACATTCAAATAATAATGATCCTCCAGTTGAAGAAATCTATTAGATAACAGAAGAAATTAAAACATTTTAATATAATATTTCACATACAATTGTAAATCAATTATTATAAATGATTTGGAGTAAATTAAATGATGCTATTCTATTTAGAGATAATTATTCAATTAGTTTTTTAACATTTTCTTCATTTAATTTAGGAATGGATATAACTATATTCAAAGAAAAGTATGTAAAATTATCAAGGAAACTTTAATTGATTGAAAATAGAATAAATAAATTATTGAACTTTTAAATTGAAGAGAGTAAGATTAATAAAGAACTTGATGATTTAATATCATTATGTCATAGATTAGATATTAGAGGTACTCCAATTGATTTCTTATTACAATTGAAATTAGAAAGAGAAACTATAATAAGAAAATTAGTTTATTAAGATTATGTATGGTAATTTGAATACTATGATGATCTATTAAATGATTCAAAATAATTTATTTTTAGAGATATAGAATATGCATCAAAGTAATTATAATAATCATTACCAGTTACATCTAGTCTACTTTCTCATCCATTTAATATATGTTATTATGATTTGACTAAAATATCAATACAAGAATATGAATAATATTTAGAGACACTTACAAAAATTATAATATATTAAAATTCTTTTTAAGATAAAACACTTATAAATACACATAATATATTAGATTTTGATAAAGTTGAGAATGAAAAAATATTATATTTTGCGAAATTAGGTTAAAGGAGAGCTAAATTTATTGTATATAATCATTATGAAAATTTCAATTAAAATATTTGGAATGAGAATTCAGAAGAACATTAATTAAATTTTGTAAGAGTAGTAGTTAATTATTATTCTGCTTAATATCGAAAATAATAATTAAGATATTATTTAGAAAAGGTATCACATAATTATACTGAAATGAAATTAAATGAAATAATAGAAGATATAGATGTAAAACAATTAAATTGTGAATATAGATATTAAATTTCTGATTTAAAAATAAAACATCTAAGAATTATATTACCTATATATACTAATTAAGATATTAATTAACCAAAACATATCTTTGAATATCCTTATTTAAATAGAATACAACAATTAGATATTGAAGATCCTATTTATGTATATGCTTAAAGTGAATTAATTAAATAATTAAAACATATTGTATCATAAATTGTAATAATGGATAGTGAAAATTATGATAATAATTCTGTATTAAATGCATCTCGTCTTGTTATAGACATTTGTACTAATTCTCCTTGTCCATGTTTATTAGGTGATGATCTCTATATATTTCTTATTATGACTTAATTGAAAATTAAGGAAACTAATTTTTAGAAATTATTCTTATTATTTTTGCATTATTTAAGTCCATCAAAAACATTAATGTAGCCACTTTATGATTGGTTAATTACAACCTATTAGGATATTAAATTATTATAATTAATTACTGCATGGATAAATAATATACCTATGATATATTGGTTACCTTCAATATAAGAAATTAATTTTAGATTAAATAAATCTAAAATTATGATACATTATCTACATTCTAGAATACTTTAAATTGAATTTGATGGATTTGCAACTGTTTCAGAGGTGATGAATTAAATATATGAAGAAGTAAATGAAAGTGATAAAGGAAGTTTATGGATTTATGTAAGAGTAGAATTTAAGTAAGAATAATAAGGATAGAGTAATATTATAAAGTATTTGGATATTCCTCTATTAAGTTAATTGGGTTTTTGGGAACATTTTTCACGTATTAATTAATAATATAATGTACTCTCAATTGAATTAAGAAGAAGAATTTTTTGTATGGATTGTGTTGAAATTTAATCAATTTAAGAAATTACTAATTAGTTTATTAATTATCCATATATTTGTTAACATTATAATAATGAAAGTATTAATAAGATTATAATAATATTGATGTGTATTGAATCAATAAATGATGAATAATAGAACACTTAAGATATCAATATTTATAATTATATTTAATTTATACCAGTTCATTTAAGAGGTTAAATAGATATAGATGATTTAATCAATTAACATTAAGAAATGATTGCTTAATTTGCTTATTTTGATTAAACATAATTAACTAAATTGATTAAAATTATATTATCATTTAATCCTTGTTTTAATAGTTCAATTTATTAGGTTAATTTTGAAAAAGAAAATTGTGAAATGATAGTAAATTATCATGGAATATATATTTATTAAGGTATATCTTATATATAATCAATATTATATTCTGAAATAGTAGGAATATCAATTTCATCTAATTAATTGAGATTACATTCATTTAGATAAAAATTTAATAAATTTATAGTCACTTTTTAAGATGATTAAAGTTTAGAGTGCTATTAAAATATATTATCTTATTTAGTTTTATTATCAAATGAAAAACCAGAGTATTTTAGTTAATATTATGAATATTCAAAAATTAGATATAAATATAATTTACATTTAACTAATTCATTTGATTAAAATGAAATTGTAGAATAATTATTGTCTTTAGCTTAAAATACAGGAATATAAAATATATTAGATCGTTATCAATAGAATTATATCCAGAAGTTTTTGGAAGATAGTCATTTATAAAGAGTTGCAAGAAAATAATTGAAATTACTTTAAAATATTTAATGTGCAACTCCCTTTAGACCTATAGACTAAATATTTCCATTTTAAAAGGATTGTCCTATAATTTAATTTCTTAAACCAAAATTTCCTTAAAGTCAAGATATTAATATATATTTTGGTAAAGGTAGTAGAAATGAAATAAAGAGATTATTTGATCCAATTAGAGAATTGTTTCCTTCAGTAGAATATTTAGATGATTCACCTCATTCTTCAAGAGGGAAATCTGCAAAGGAATCTTTAAAGTTTGAAAATTAATTACTTGGATCAAATCATCTGAAATCATAAAGATCTAAAGGTATAAGTTCAGAAAGTAGAAAAGTTTCTTTAATAAATTCCAGAAAAACTTTAGAATAAATTTAAATAAAATCAGAAGAAAAATAAGAAGTTAAATCAGAATAATAAACATATCGAAAGATATCAAATGATAATATGTTTAAATCTTAAGAAATATAATCTGAAAACAATTAGAAAGCTAGTTTTATATATAAGATTTAAGAAGAAGAAGAAAATATCAAATCTGAATATAGTCCTAGTATATTGTAATAACAAAATCTAAGAGTAAGTTTATCTTTGAGTAAAACAGTTGAGCATGTAATGTTTTAATCAAATGAAAGTGATATAAATCGATTAAGATTAGAGGGAGTCTTGAAATCATAATAATCAGCTATATTATTATAAAATTAATAAGATTCTTAAACCTAATCATCTCAATAATTATTGGATAAAGATAATGAAAGTATTTTTGGTTCAATAAATACAATAAAATCAAAAAAAGAATAAAAATAGCATTCGTAATCATAATAATTCATTAATTGATCTTATTATTATTATTATATTAAAATATTAAAATAAATTTATCATCCATTCACACTCAATTTTTAACTATATTAAAATTTGTATTCTTCATATTCTTAAATGAGAAAATCCCAATTTTATAACTATTCTTCATAATCATTATTTACTTGATTATTAGTATAATATCTCATATTATCTAAATAAAATCTTATCTCATTCAATAATTTATCAGTTTCAATTATAAATTATTAATCAAACTATTCATTGAAATGATTCAACATATACACATATTAATCTTTTTTTTCATTTACATAAAAGGTCTCTTTTGGTAACATGAATTCTTTGGCATATTTTAAATCTGTAAAACACCTATTTATGTCTATTTTAGATTGTAATTCTTAATTCAAACCCCATTTCTAAAAATCCTCTAAATATATAAGAAAACATCAACTTAATGTGAATAGTTCTTCTTTTCGTTTCTCTAAAAGAAAGAATTCATTAGAAAAATTTTGGAATGTTTCATTGAGATTAGATTTCAATTCAAATAATTATTGTCTAGAATTTTTGAATTTTACTAATGTAATTAATAAAACATCCATAATTTATTTTGTAGATCTTAAGATAAAATCTTTTTAGGTTTACTAATTATAATAATATTTATTGAATTTTACAAAGTGAGACTTTATCATACTTAAGGCTTTTCCAAATTCTTATGCTTCAAAATATTAAGGAAGAGAAATGCATAATTATTAAATCATTTCAATTGAAAATCCTAAACTCTATTATCCTTTGTAAGTAAATTCTGCAAACTATTCTAAATGTTTTTAAATTATTTCATAATTTGCTTATTCTGCATTAAGATATGTATAATAATCTTTATATTTTTAGTATTGATTCTAATTAAATTATATTTATAATGTTCCTGTCTTTGATTATTTTTGATTGAGATTAAATTACTTTATGAGATTTTATTCATTATAAAATTTTTATTAAAATTATTTGGGATTAGTTTCATTTAAAAAATGTAAACTAGAAGCAATAGTTCTTATTATAGGTTTCTTATTATAGATTTATAGAAATATCTTTTAGTATAAAATATTAATAATACAGTAAGCACTTTTAATATGTTTTACTATTCCTTCATGATTATATCATAATCATCAATATCTTTATATGGAAATGAGGGTATCTATTTAGATTATAAAATACAATAAATTCAGGAAAGGCTGCACAAAGTATATTTCTTAATTAAGCAAAATCTTAAAGAGTTCTTTTAATCTTCCATTCCATTGGATTAACTTAAATAGGAAATACAATTGATTTTGAAAAGAAGTCTAAAATTCCTCCTCTCTCTTCAATTGGTCTATAATAATATAAAGAAAATTACGCGCTGATTTCAAATTATAATTCAACATTTTCATCAATAAAAAAATACTATTATTTGCATTTAATTGTTTTTTCGTATGGTAAGATATGCATTTTTTCATTCTAATTTTTATATTAATAATTGATTTACAATTTTGATAGCTTCTTATTTTTAATTTTATGCAGATACTTCCTTATCAATAAATGAAAATGAGCCTAATATTTCTGGAGATTCAGGTTCATTTACTTAAGTTTAGACCTATAATTATTCTTATTCTTAATCTATATATGAATAAATACTTTCTAATTAATATTGTTATATGATGTTAAATAATTCACCATAAGTCCATTTACTTATATCATGACCTAATTTTTAATATTATTGTACCTTTTTCTGGTTCCTTCTGAAATACGAAGTACTCAAATTCTTCTTGATTGTATCCTTTGTTAATGATTTCATCAATTAATAATTATTGTTCCTTTGTAAAATTTTAACTCATAATTATAAAATCAAATTTGTATTAATTAGATATTTAGTTTATTTATATGATCACATATTAGAACTGTAAAGAAATGATTAAATTATAATAATTCATAAAAACATATCAGAAATATCTTTTGGTCCATAATTTAAGTTTCTCTTAACCACTAAATAAATTCTTAGATATGGCAATTAATCTATCACATTTAGAATCAATAACTCCATTTTCATAAACTACATCTCTTAACTTTTTTATGAATGGTTCAAGAGAATCCTTACATCCTAATTGCCAAAATACAACATTCAAATACTCATGAAGACTATAAATTAATAATAAGATGATATATTTACTCAATATTTAAAATGCCAATAATGGTTGCTGTGAATGTTGGTATTAAATATGCATTTAAATTTATTTCACCAACTAAATGTTCAATATTCCTTGAATATCTAATAGCAAATGGATCATATAAATTAAGCCTTTGATTATTAACTTTAAATAGATATTTCTTTTGGTAGAAATTTCCATTGCTCAAATTTATTTATAGATTTTCCAATTATTTAGGAGATTAACTACTAGCCATAGTGAATGATAATGCAAATTGAACACCTATATTGACAACTAAAACTTTTCTTATTTGAACAAAGGTCTCAATTGTTTTTGAAAATCTTAATATATAATTAGTTAGATCATCCTTTTTCAAACAATCCTTCTCTAATTAGGAACTAGGTTATATTTAAAATAATAATTACTTATAGTATGGTATTTTTATTGACCTATCATTATTAGAATTTGTATGGTAATGAATTTAAAGGATTGTATCTAAAATATTACTAAGATTATAGGTTTCTTCTTAATATGGTTCTATTTGATAATGTTATTTTTCATATTCTAATAGATATTTATCTGTAACCATATGTTTCACATTTCTAATTTTAGTTTCTTTGTAATTTTAATTTAAAATATTAGTCATTTTGACAAATTAAGTAGATATATGTTCATCAAGAATAGATTGTATAAACTTCTTATTTTCAAGTTTTTTAGTTTTTAATAAGAAAAAGTATTTTTTTTCATCATTTCCTAATAAGGCTAATTATCTAATAAATCTCTTTCTTCTTAAAAACATAATATGTATAGTTGGAAACATATTTGTTATATATATGGTCTCAAATGCTTAAGTTCTCTTAATTTAACCATCAAATCCCAACATAGGAAGTTGATTCATTTAAAATTCATCATTTATTGAATATAATTAATCAATTTAGATTTATTTTGGCAACAATTAATTCATAGAATTGCTTAATTATAATGGAAAATCTTCTTCCAAATTCATTTTAATTCCAAAAAGATTAATATATACACATTTCAATGTAGCTAGATAAATTGATTATATGGTTTTAAGTTAATCAATTTTTAATTATTTATTCAAATCATTAAATTGCCAATATTAATTAATCATATCTTTAATTTATGGATTCTTTTATATAATATTTAAGATATATTGACATCTATCATTAATATTACTAGAATTAATTTCAAAATATTTGGAATCTAAAATTTTTCCACATTAATAAATTATTTCTTCAACATAATCCCAAACTGGTTGATCAAATATGGAATTGTAAAGATAACGTAATGAGTAGATTGATGCTATTTTCTAGTTTAGTTTTGAAGGATTTTAAATAAAATTGATAAGTTAAGTTGATCTATCATCAGTACATTGCCCTAGACTCTTTAAATATTATATTAGTTATAAACTATTAAGAGGATTGAAGATACATAATTTATTGATAGCATCTAAACAATCTTTTTTTGTTAAATCACATGGAGTTTAGAGATAAGTTGATACTAATTATGTAATAAAGCGTTATAATAAATGTAATGGTATTAAGCCAATTATTTAAGAGAATGCATCTGTTACAATTGAATCAGTTGGATTTGTAATATTTAGAATATGAAACATGTACATACCTGTAATAGGGAATTTTTATGGTTTATATTACATACTAAGAGGTGTTATTTAAATATAATGATGAGCAAATTTAATATTATTGCTATACTTTTTATGAGCAAGTTAATATACTTTATGTGCTTCTTTCCAAAATTTCAAATAATTAACTTAATTTTAAATAAAGAATTCATTTGTCTAACAGACCATAACCTCTAATTTTTATTCTTCAATTTACATACCATTAGATTCATTTGATTAATCTAATCTTAATAATTTATAAAATTAATTGATCATTTTATATCTTCTTATTTTACTTATCATATAATTTTTGAATTCTTCTGCACTATAAGTTCCTAATTACAAATTAGTAAAATAATTAAGTAATTCAGTTAAATTCTATTAATTATTATCAACATCTTAAAACTTTACTGTTTTGAATTTGATTTTCTCTAATTGATATATTTTCTCTGCATATATTTATAATACTTTAGGTACTTCCTTTAATATTGATTATTCATCAAATAATTCAAATATTCCATTCTATTAATAATATCTCATTGGATATAATAAAGTCTTATAATCTAAAGCAGCTAATTAATAACTCTTTTAATCTAAGTTTGTATTTGATTGTAATTATTGATTATTCATAAATTGACCTAATTGTCCATTAAATCTTTGTAAACACATTTATAATTATACCATTCTTTAGCTAATCAAATCAAAAGTGAATTCTTATTAATCAATTATTGTTGGTTGTCTTTCAAAAAAGTATTTTTTACATAATAGACTAGATTAATAGGAATTAGATATTATATCTAATAATTAATCATAAGCAGTTTAAGCTTATCCAGGATATGTTGGTTAAGTAGGTGCATATTATCTAAGACTTTCTTCTAATTCAGTGTAGAGTTAGAATTAAGATACAAAATTAAGGAATTTAGTACCCCATAGTTAAGGAGATGACATCATTTAATCATATGATTAAGTGAGTTTAGGTAGAGTTTTGATGAAATTATAACAATTTATAATTTGAGCATATTTAAGATTTTATTCGATTGATTATAAAACATGATTGCCACTCCTTCCATGTTGATTTGATGATGCTTCATCTCTAACAAAATCAAGTAGTTTGAAATAAGCTTAATTATAACAATAAAGATCATTTTATTGTATATTTGATTTGACTTCTGATAATAAATTCAACTCTTTCCATCCTTAATCAGTAGCATCTCTTTATCTTTCTCGAAATCCCATAATTATTTTATTTTAAACTGCTTATACTTTACTCAAATCTACTTATTTGAGTGTATTCCATTAATTTAATTATTACAATGATTCTGTAAATAATTGATGAATAATTTATTGATCATATTCTTTTTAAATACCTTAAGCCTCATTAGTTTCTTATTCTAATTACTACCAAAATTAATCTACACTCTCTTAATTACTTAATATCAATTAATATGATTATGCAGGTTCTCTTAATTGATTCATTAAAACCAATTATCTAACCCAAGGTTAAGTAGCAGTCAAGGCTTTACAACCCAATAAACATTATTTATTCCATTATTCTTAATACACACCTTGCAATTATACAAGAATATCTTCATTTAATTATGAATAGTATGATGAATCTTCATTCAAATATTAATAAATATATTCTAATAAATATTATGCTAATGATAAAAGATTCTTTTATCTAAGACACATTATTAAATTATTAAAATTAAGTTGAGTCTATTAATTCTCCATAATATCATAAATATTAGACATTTGAGATAAAATCTATTAAACCAAGAAATTTGATATTGTTTATAAAGTACCATTGGATATAGATTATTATGATAGATAATCGGTTATCTATGATATTGTTTTGATATCATTAAGTATAACTTAATTAAATATTGGTTTTAATAAACGACTGCTTACATTAGCAGCTGTACCCATTAATTCAATTGCTGCACTTGGAATAATACATTCCCTTAATGGTTATTGTGGTTAATCTTAAATTGGAATATAAGATAAATTGTAAATAACAATCGATGGTAAATATTCACTTGTAAATAATTTAATACTTGAATTGTATAATTTCTACCAGTATTTCTTTCTGTAATAAATAGCCAAATATTTATTTAATACTTATTCTCTCATCATAGAATTTTCATCTTTTGGTACTACTTTCACAACAATTTAATTTGGTTAAGTTGATTAGAATGCCTTAGGAGACAACATATGTCCTCTTCCTAACATCATGAATTTAACTGCCATCAACATAATCTCTTCTCCTTCTGTCTAAAGTGGCTATTCTTATTATTTACTACTTGGATCCCCTAATACAAATTAGAGGAATCTATCATATGTATATCCATAGATATCAAGAATCATTCGATAAAAGAATTATAAATAATCCAAACATGTACTCAATTTACTTATTACTTATAAAATACGTCTAAATTCTCTCAAAGAGCCATTCCCTTTATCAAATATATTCTTTAATAAATAAAATCCACTATTGATTGATCCTTATTGTTTCTTGAATGGATACACCAACAATAATTCACATAAAAAAATAAAATATAATTTGAATACTTTCAGATCTTATATTTTTCCATGTTGATTATCATAACTATCTGAACTTCTTTGATCTATCTTTTTGTCAAACATACTTTAAAATTTATTCAAATCAAAAAAGAAACTTAATTACTATTCATATGATAATTTAGATGGCTTAAATTATAAATTCTCTTCCATCTTCTTTAACTCTTATCTTACTTGAAATGATCTCACAGGAGACAAATAAACTGATATTGCCTATATATAACCTTCTCTATTCGAAATTCCATTTATAAATAACATTCTCAATATTGATATACATTCCAATTTCAATTCATAATCAGGTACTGACTCTATTATCCATATTATCATTTATAAATATTCAATCTATTCTTTTTAATCTTTAATCTCATCAAAATTATAAGCTATCATCTTTAAAGTCTTTTAAAGTGCTGATCTATACAAATGAAACTTGATCTTTTAATTTTCTGGAAAATCCTCTGGAAAATAAAGC